TATTTACTAAACTAGCCTTATAATAAATTAAAAACTTTTTTTAATAATATAAATAATTTAAATAAGCTATTACCTTACTTACCCAACAATAAGCTTTATATAAGGCTTTTTAGGCCTTAAGCTCCTAAAAATATAACTTCTTTTTTTTTATAATAACTTAAAATACTAAAAAAATAATTAAAAAAAAGAAAACAAAAAAACAAAAAAAACCAAAACTTATAAGCACTTATTAGCACCTTAAAGCTATTATACCTTTTACCTTACTTAACATAAGCAAAATAATAAAAAATACTTTTTATTATCTAATAAAACTATTCTTTTACAAAATAAAATAAATAAAGTATAATTTTAAAGCCTAACAATTTAATAAATATAAATAATTAATTATACTAATCTAATTTCTTAAAATACAGTTTCTCTATATATAATAATATAATTATTAGCAAAACAAATATAATAAATATATAAAAGGAAATAGGAGAAAAAAAAACTTACCTAAATTCTTTAAAAATAAAAAAGTAATAAAAAAGGGAAATAATATTATAAATATAATAAAAATAAAACTAAAAAAGCACTATTAATTCTTTAAAAGCATAAATAAACCCTATAAGCTAGCAAAGTAAGCTTAAAAAAATTTACTATATAATAAAAGCAGATTATATAATAAAATAAAAGAATAACTAAAATAACTAAAGCAATACTTTACTCTAAATAATTTAAATAATTTAACGCTCCTACCGCTTTAAATAAGCAACGCTTTAAATAAGCTGTTAAGAGCAACGCTCCTATTACTCTAGCTAAAAAAATAAACTATATAAATCACACTTATTACTAGTAAATAGCATTAGCTTAAAATAGCTCTTTAGCAGTTAATCTAAATATTTACCTAAAATAGCTATAAAGCTTTTAATCTACTATTATTATATATTGCTTAAAATATTACCACCTTAAACGTTCCCTAAATATAAACCTGCTCACTAAGTTTATTAGCTAGGAACCAGCTGTGATTGTTATACTAGGGCGGTTAGTTGCTGCAGGCCCTTGAGTGTGTCTTTATACAAGGCCCCTTCTTAACACTGCCCGCGCACCTTATAGCTGCAGCCCTAACGGATTTACTATAGATCTCTTTTCTTCCTTTTTTATTAAAGCCAGTCTACTCTTAAACTCTATAGAATTTACTATAAACTTTAAGCCTATAGCTAGTAAAGCGTAACTTATATATTAATTTTAATATATTTAAAATTTATTTTAAATAAAAAAAGCTTTTTATATATTAAAATTATATATATATATAGTATAATAAAAGGTTATAAAAATAAAATAATAAATTAAATAGTATTATTAATTAAAATATATAAAAAAAGGGCTTTTTTTTAATTATTAAATTAAATAATATAAATAATATTATAATAAAAAATCTTTATTACTTAATTTATTATTATAATTAATATTATAATAAAAAATCTTTATTACTTAATTTATTATTATAATTAATATAAATTCTTTTTATATTTTATTATTTAAAAATATTATAAATAATAAAATTATAATTATGAAATAAATTATTTTTATTAATAAAAAGCTTTTATAATAATTTATATAATAATTTATAAAAATTAATTATTTTAAACTATAATTATTACTATTAATTAAAAAAATATTAAATTATTTTTAAATATTTTAATATTTAAAATTAATTAAAAAAATATTTTTATTTAAATTTATGAAAATAAAAAAAATTAAATTTATATTATAATATATAAAAATAATTATATAATAATAAATACTTTTTATTATATATTTAAAAAATTAATTATATATAAATTAACTTTATAAATATATTTTTAAAATATATATTTTTATTATTTTATAATATAAAATTAAAATATTTATATTTTATTAAGTTTTATTTAATTACTTTATAATTAATAAAAGTATTTTTAAATATAATATTAAATTTTAAATAATATATTTAAATATATTTTTAATTCTTATGAAAAAAAGTTATATGTATTTATCAGCTAGTTGTGAGATCTGCACTAGGTGGTCTTTTAAAACACCTGAGATCCTCGAGGCTGGCCATAACAGCTGTGCTGATCGTTTTCAGGTTCTCTTAATGCGTGCATTCGGTTGTTATGTTATCAACTCTATCTATAGCATCATGATAATGGATTCTGTTCCCCGATTGCCCCAGAGGCCATAGTAGCAGAAGCTAGACCATTAGACGTGCCATGCTTCTGGCGTTCTCTGCGACATAATTAGCTTATGGAAACCAGCGCATCAAGTGACTCGAAAGGATACACATGTCACTCACTGATCTGATACTAAACTGTCGTCCTTTCCAACAAGGTACTGGCCAGTCAAGCCGGTAAGCTCCGCCGGAGCTGAAATTTGTACCGTTGGACTGCTTGCTTCGTCTTTCAAATGTCCTTGTGCAAGAGGGCTCTTCACCGTGTCCTCTCCCGACGGCCGGTGGACTTCGACGGACCTCTTTTGCTCTTCATGGTCATCATCCTTCTTGCCTCGAGGCGACCTGCGGAATTGTTAAGACCAGAGGATTGGGATGTTGGAAACAGCCAAACTGACAAAATGTCTTTTAATTTATCCATATCAGGCCTTAATGATATCGTGCCAGCCCGTGAGAGTTTGATTGGGTTTCCTATTGCTGGGATATGTTGGTGGTAAGGAAGAGAAAAGAAAGGAAAATTCAATTGTCGGCTGTCCAACTATTGAAATCTCACCGGCATTCTCATGTGCTATGAGGTCATCATCAATGCGACATTTGAAACGGTCTTAAGGGGCTGGAATGGTCTAAAGACAGGCTAATTCAGGCACTTAAGTAGTGCTGCCGGGGTTTGCTGAGCTAGGTCGCATTGATCTTCCATGATCTACTGGAAGCAGTCTTGGCCGTGACCTGCTACAGGCACATTATCACTGTGTTATTCACGGAGTCCTTCTTCTTGCTTTTGTGTAGGATCAAGGCGGAGCCCAGTCATCCGCGGAGCCTGACTAGAAGATGCTCATAACGGACTTCATACAGCAATAAGGCTATTTGATGCTAATTTTCAACCCGTTCGTTACATTAGTGAAATTGATTTCTTTAAAGCGACCAAGGCTCTGGTCACATCACAGGATCCGAGTGTTATATACTGGTCTTCGTCGCTGTTAGTCTTTTGAAAGTGAGAATCATTGGCGATAAGAAATCCGGGGTTGGCAACCCGGGCTTTCATGAATCATTGACAAGGCTAATGATACTGACGAATTGATGCTGCTCTTAAAGCTATTGGCTAAGCGCAAATAGAACGTTCATTTACGTCTTTGTAATATCTGAGACACTCACAATATCTCCAAATACCCCACGATACTCTCGTCTATGGATGCTGACGGGCCGACGACCATGTGAAATAGCTATTCCCACTCCAGTGTCTCTGCGAGTCTACCGCATCTGGGCGTTCAGAATTATCGTCTGGACACACCACGTAATCCCCGTTGGTGGGACTCTCGACTGGAGATCGGATGAATCCAATGTTAAAATCATGGCATTTAAATTCACCCATGAGATTGGGACTAAAGACCTCATTACATGCTCCGTAGGCGATTACTCCCCATGACCCCTACTATTTCGCGGTTCGCGGCTACATTTTGATACAGCTAGAAAGTGCGAAGCATCAACTATTGTGAATTGCTGATATTATGATACCTTCAACAATCATTTGGGCTAGTCAGCATAGTTTCAACCTCCTCACACTGGAGAGGTCTCCTGCATGTAGTCCGGGTCGGGATTATTCCCCCATGTGCGCACTGCCTCTCCTCTCGCAAACATCGGCTGATGTGGTTCCGGCTCAAGTTCGAGTACCACAATTTCGTTGTCTTCTCCAGCTTTCAGAACAGTGCCTGGCAGATAGAGGGATTGCTGCGGCCCGATGATCCAATATCTGCCAAGACTGAAGCCATTGACCCATACCATACCCTTTCTACCGTTAGGGATTGCAAGAAAAGTATCAAGTTCTGCTGAAGTGGAGTAGTTCTGGGCCTTGAAGGTACCGGAGTACAGCAATGGTGTTGCTGCAACTTCCGAGGCATTAGTGTTCGACGTAAACAAAGGTACGTTGCCTAAGGGGAACGACTTCATCGTCCAATTTCTGACTGTGGAGTCTCCGATCGTGACATTCCCTACGATGCCCTTGTATGGATCAGTCAAGCCATCAAATGTATAGGCCTCTAGCGACCAATAGTCAACCCGGCCAAGATTCTCAACCAGAAGGGAGAGCGTGTCTCCTGGGCGGACGTCCAAGGTAATGTTCATTGGGAACTGGTCTTCAGTCTGTTAGCCAAGTGTCCAAAAGCCCAATCATCGTGAATTAATCGAGCTTAGACGTACAAATGCTGTCAATGACACCAATGCGAGCCTCGTTCACGTAGACAATTACTCGGTCCCTGGGGCGGTCGCCTGGCTGAAGCAGACCGGAAACGGCCTGCGTCACCTTGTGCTCGTACAGTACAAAACCGTAATCCTGATCAAGCTCCTCCATTGTGCTGGGGAAGTCGCTAGGTGTGTTTGTGACTGCAGTGTCAAACAGAGGCATCCTGGGCGCCAGCTCAATTGCGGGAATACTCGAGAGCGGAACATTTATTGGAGGCTCCGGGAGGCTGCGATTCGAATACTTCTGGATGGTGTCCCTTAGTGTAAAATAATAGTCCGTAGTCCGTCCACTCTCGTCAAGAGGCGAGCCATAATCATAACTTGTGGTAAAGGCACTGGTTTTATTTTTCCAGATAGAGCCGCTTCCCAGGGCAAAATTGGTACCTCCGTGGAACATCTAGGGGTATTAGTTGAGGTGCATGGGTAGAGACCAAAAGTTAAGTCACTCACATAAAGGCTGATAGAATTATTCGCTCCTAATACCCAGTCTAAGTCTTGCACGAATCGTGCCACATCTGTGTCCCCGGCGGCATTATGGGGGCTCTCTGAGCCCCAGGTATCAGGCGCAAAAGTGTAGTACTCGCCATCAAGGAGTGGTCCTAGTTTTGATGGATCTGTGATATACTTATCGCGAGCCGCAAAGCCGCTCACGGGGTCGCCATCAATTTCTGCAAGTACCTATGATACTGTGAGTCAATTACGAAGGACGGAGTGGGCGTATTGATTGAATAAAAAGGTGCGTGAGCCAGACACTTTGCAGATGTATCCCAGCTTGCAAAGCTACCACACAACGAGAGCCTTGTGACAAATATCTATACAGGCCTTTTTCTCTTATGGTTTTCTTTGAAGATAGAAAAGAATTCTTGCTTGAAGCTTACTTACCCCAGGGACACTCCCTCCGACCAGTGTAAATTCAACGCCTCCGTCGTTACTAGGTGTAGGTTGTTAACATTGAGGCCCGAATTTCCCGTGATCTACATGCAATACATACGTATACAAGGGTACATCGTAATTTTTCAAGAGAAAATCCCTAAGAGCCTCCGTATACGCATGATTAGAGCCGTAAGAGCCATACTATGCAGCCAATTGATTAGTAAGTAGCCGATAAGATATCTTCCCCGCGGTAGGAAACAAGTGTCTATAGCAGGGGCAACCGGAAGTACTTGATAGACAAAGGAGCGGGCTTGCTAGGCCGATGAATAGGCTTGCAAGGGGCTGAATAAAAGGGCTTACCTCATTCTCGACCTGAACCATTATTAACGGCCCGCCTTCCGTCACCTGTAGGTGCTGTAAGTCGGCAGCTAGACGCTCCAAGTATCTTATCGAATAGTTTAAATATGGCTCATTGTACGTTCGCACGGTCAGCCCAGGAACACGGCTCAGCCACGCGGGAAAGCCACCCCATTCTCTCTCGCCACAGATGTAAGGGCCAGGACGCAAGACCACAGCTAAGCCTTCCTCCTGGGCAATCTTTAAGTACGTGGCTACATCGTTCGACGGCTCATTGCTTCGCCACTGTAGTCCATGAAGTTAGCTAATCAAGCACCAAGGGCGAGGCTCCATGAGAGACAAAGGATTGATATGCAATGTCTATTTGCAGTTGACACGTGCACGGGACAGCATTTCGACAAATAGTGAGGCAGTCCGTAGAAATGGTAGACGCTTGGCCATGGGATGGGGAAAACAGCTACTGGAAGCTTCTTACCTGCCCAGGTTCTGGTTCCAGCAAATTCCAATACACATAGCTGAAAATAGTGTTCAAACCCATTGCACTGGCCTTTGATAGCCTGTCTCTCCAATATTCCGGGGGGATACGTTGAGGGTCCATCTGACCCCCAATGATGGTGAATGGCTCTCCATGGAGAAAGAACGAGCTGTTGTCGTATGTGAACGGCGTGGCAGCGGTGATATGAAGCAAAGCCACGAGAGCCAGTATGGTGATGTGGATCAGTCTCATCCTGACAAATTGGCCTTGTCAGGACCGCAACCGTTGAGGAAGTTGGCGAGCAAGTATCTAACAACTTTGTATGTGAACAGCAACATTGCAGTCACCGGATAAATACTCACTACATCAGGTTACATCTAATCCACAGCAGCTACGTACCCAACGTTACATCATGAGGCTGCAGCCGCTATCAACGCAATTAAATCAAAAGCTCGGGGTTAAATCACCCGTCGGTTCTGATAACGGGTCTATGCCGGAGCTGTACTGCTACCTTGTTAGGGTCTCAAGCTAGGGTCGGTGCAAGCACCGCAAACGCGTGAACGACTATGCGTCCACACTCTGCTGCTCCAAGATCGCTCCTCGAAGCTAAAATGGGCCTTGCCGACCTGTTTTGATTCTCTGATCGATGTTGGCCTCCTCGATCCTGCTCTAGTATAGGTGCTTTCCTTCGATCTTGCGTCATCTCAGCAGGACGGAGCACATACACATCATCTTTTGCACCCTTCTTACTATATCTTCCTAATCCCGGGACTTCTTTGCGCGCCACACCTCGCCCGCTGCCAACAGGTCCTGCTTAGGTTTCCTGCACACCAATCCCGCATATTAAAGCAATGCCAGCTAAAGTCATTACGGAACATGTTTGACGCAGAAGAGGATTGTACGTAGGTGTGGCGTAGTAGCGAAGACACGGGATCTAAAAAGCATGTATCACTTGAACTCAATACCACCAATCACTGCTATAGTCAACCTATTTTATCCTGGCACAATGTACTGAGGGTATTGTTCAAGTCCACTGTATTTGTTGATTACCATACATTGCAAATCGATTGAACTGTGTTCCTCATCCGTTGCTTATTACAAAGCCCGATTAATTCCAGTCCCTCGTGGCAACGCCCAAGCTGTCCTCTCGACAGCAATCTCTCAGCATTGCCCCCCTTGGGAGCACTGACAATATCCAATTACACAGACGGCATTTGCGTCGTTTCCACAGAATCCGTAGCAATCATTGCTTGCATCGCAAGTTCCGTCCATGCGGCAGCTACCAAATTGGCATGACCCACTACAGCAATTTGCGCCACCGTAGCAGTCGCCGTCGTTACTGCAAAACTGCCGGGGCGAGACATTCGAGTCGCCGTGAATTGCGCTTTTTCTGACTACCATACTGGAGGCAGTGGAGAGGCATGAAAGGGTGTATACGACTTTGAGAATTTGCATTGTAGGCGTTATCTTTTATGGGGTGTCCGGTAGCACTGCGTATACTAGGAGGCACAGTATATAACACGAGACACGGAAATGATAATGAAACTGATGATTGTTGGCTTGCTTGATCGTGGTACGGTTTTGGTCATTGAAGGGGTCGACGCGGGGAATGCGTTCTATTTATCTTCGAGGATCTTCAAACTAAGAGGTCTGCCTAGTACAGCAAACTTCCGAGATGACCGCCATTACGACGATTAAAAAGTCAGTGGGCCCAAGGTGGAGAGGTGAAGAGCACAACCTTCTTCATCGAGCGAGGAGAGTACGGTCACAGCAGGGGAAGGCTGTGCAGCCTTCTCCATTTGACTCGCAGAGCTTGTCTAGCCAACTCTCAACAGTTCAGATGAAAGTCTTTGAAACGGTGTTCTGTGACCATGCCGAGCTGATATCGCCGAACCTACGCGTGGAAGGTTCAGGAGGAGTTGGGCGAAAGGTTTGTTACTTCAGCCGCACGACCAGCTTCGTGCTTAAGCAAACATTCTACTGCTGGTGATTTGCGTATTTGAGTTCTGCCGACTTTTCCGGCTAAAACATCTTCTGGTTGCTGTATATAGTGCCCCAATCGCATGCTCAAGGCTTCAATGCAACCCCAGCGCTTTGTCCCGTCGACAGCTCCGAGGGTCACCCGGATACCACATCATGTGTTGATAGAGCGGCGGCATACTTTTACAATAAGCGAGGTGGTAGTTGCCCTCGGAAGTGTCGGAAGCTTCACTCAATCAACATCGCGTGCCCGGCTGTCGGTGAAGCACCGAATTCGTCCTCTGAAGTAGGACTATTTTTAGCATATTAAGCGGGATACGTCCAAAGTATACTTCCCACTCCCTGCTTGCTGAAGGACACTATACCACTAACAGGACTTCTATTCTCCAGCAATTGATTGCATAGAGATACGTTAGCATTTGCAGAGAAGATGATACTTTCAAGGCCTTGGCGGGAGTGATCTCGACCACGCGTGCTTCAAGCCTATTTGAACAACTGTAAAAGCCAGCAGCTTCTGACCATCCAGGCTCACTCGACCAATGAATATTATAAGATTGCCACCTTATTGGGCACGCTCCTGTCGCTCGGGTGACGGCGACTGAGATGCTGGTGGTTATAAGGTGGTCCCAGTCCCGGAACTGCAGTGTGGATGCTGTTGCCGTAGACCAGTTAATTGCTATCAACTGATACGTAACAGAACCAAAGCCGTAAAGCTCGGGTACCTGTTGTCCTCAAATGCCTCACTGTTCACCTCAGAGAACAATTGATGCCCAATTTGACGGGCGCTTTCTTTGCCACGGCCCACTGAGCGGGTTATCAATTCAAAGGAATGCTCAAATGCGCTTCTCGGGAAAGACTAGCTGCCGAGGCCCCGGACACGTGCAGGTTTCAAGTAACGTGCACTGTGGCCTAACGAAGCTTATTTTCAAATCTGGCCCCTCCTTTGACTCGCAATCGAGCTTCGGTCCTCATTGTCAACTCTGCACAAATATCATCGTTGCTGTGTCTCATCATTCTTTGTTACGCGCTTGACGGACACCAATAATATTTAGCATACTGCTCAGCAAGCATTCAGAAACATATATCGATCCCGGGCGGACGTAATGCCTCAAATGGCTTCAGCCACGGCCAGCGTGCCTCGGATCTACCGCCTGATTCTCTTGACCATCGAACCTTTCTTCGCTTTGATGGGCGCAATCCTTGTTCTCGTTGATGCGAGCACCTATCTCGGTGGTATCACGCGTCACTCCGTCGCCTTTGAACCCGACACGACATTCCTTTACACCGCTCTTGGTGGTTCTTGGCTGTACTTCGCCTTCGTAGAGGCTGTGGTCTTGCGACTGTTCGACGACCTCGCGCTTTGGAGGGTCCTGTGTACGGGAATGTTATTGAGCGATGCAGCGTTCTGCCACAGCACAGCCCAGGCAGTGGGAGGCTGGGGTGTATATGTCAACATGGGAGATTGGACTCCGGAGGATTGGGTAGCGCTCGTAACTACCGCACCGATGGTGTTGACACGGATCCTGTTGGTGCTAGGGGTCGGAATCAAGCGATTGCCAATAGGAGTGGTGAAGCAAGAGTGAGCATAGTACGACTGGGACAAGTGGGTGAAGACAACAATGCTTCTTTCCTTTCCTACGCCTTGTTCATTCGTAGAAATCATTAGAACAGCGAATTCCATATGTTTCTACCAAGCATTTCAGCTAGGTCTTAATCACGAAAGAGACATCCGAGGTTGCTTTCAGGGACAGACTGTCTTCAGGGTAACCAAACGTCCATTTATTACGATAAGCATGTTATCTTGGTGAGATGGCCTCCCTGACTTCGGTGTTAGCTCTTCTATTACTTTTTAGTGTGATTTAAATTCTGGGCGTTGACATCGAAACACTGCATTTGTTGCAAAATTCAATCGGTCTGACTTTGTCTGAATCTGATTTCTTTGCCCCCCCCCCCCTAAACACCGATTTATCACTCGTGCAGATTTTCTCCCTGACACGGCCAATCGAGGATTCTGAAATGATTTCCACCCCCAACCTTGTTTGCTAATCATTGCACCTAGTAGCTCCCGTACTGAGTTGCTTGGTGGGATAAACAGGTGTTGAACTTGGGAGTATCGGCGCTCAGGTCCTTCTAATCTTAAGTTTTATATCTTCTTGGCATATTTGCTATTCTGAAAGGAGAGAATGGAATTACACTTTCTCCTAAAATCTTGCAAGACTACACCGTCTTATAGACAATATTTGGCCTTTGTCGACTACAATGCAGCGCGTTCTACTCACCCAATCTATCTCACCATGTTCTCGATTCTAACCATAGACGCTATTAAATAAATTAAGGCTCTTCAAAACCCATACTAGCTACACGCCTTTACCTGCTTGTAAAGCGTTTAGTCCCTTTAGTCCTCCGTTCTGCGATTTCAGAAAGCGAAGATAGCATGCCATAACAGCAGCGCTTCCCTACTTTTACGAATACACAGACGCATTTTCGATAAATGGATGAGTGAAACTTGGGCAGAAACACCTGGCAACATCGTTTGCAGTGTTTCAGAACAACAACAGCCTATCTATTACATTATAAGACGAGCGGAAATTATTCATGGCGCGGCTTACTTAACCCTTCTTAATCGCGAGCTTCTTGTGGAGCAGGCGATCTCGCGTTGAAGTTCTGGCGGGTGGAAGCTACTGTATTCTGAATTTTTGGGTAATTGAAAAGAGTTGAAACATCGGCTACATCTATTATATCCGTTGTCTCGTATATCCTGTGCTTCCAGGGGAATTCAAAAGACTGCCAACATTGTGAGAACAACCACTTCTCATGGTAATCTTTATGCTCGGTTATGACAGCCATACCGCGTATTACATCGGTCTTTCCGCCGGAAGCCTCGTGTACGATAGTCTAAATTGCAGACTTCCAATCAACCCCAAATTGACGGTTGTAATTCTCTATCTGCTTGAGAGGGGTTTTATATAAGGGTGGCATACGTTGCTACTGAGAGGGTTATATGCTAAATCAAGATTCAGACGATAGTATCAGTGGGATACTTTAGACTCATTAGCTGGTCTCCCATTTCCACTTCGGCGTGGATATCACCTGATTCTGCCATCGCAAATTACTGGCCGAGTGTATGGATCAAGGTTCAGAACTCTGGCAATGCTCCTCTCGTGGATTTCAGCCAAGGGATTGAGGGTTGTATTTACTCTCGAGGTCGGTCTTGTTTCGCAAGGGCTTCGATTTCATAGGAAAAACGGACCTCAGTGTGATGAAGGTACCGAACTGCACCGGCTTTCGCGTATGAAAACATTTCATTCGATAAGCAGAACGGAACCACCCACACTATCCGGGACACATACAATTGTTCTCTGATACTTTTTAGACCACGTTCGTTCGGGTAAGGAGCAACCGATAAAACCTGGCGGGACTCCATCAATTCGAAGGTGTGCAAAGACGTCCTGAAAACTGGCAGAGCACGTGGATAATGCATGATTAGAGATTGAGGCAGGTAGGCTTATTGCGATGCATTAGATGTTAGGGTTTTAAACTCTGGCACGTGCATATGGAGCATAATTGGAAGAGCTTCCGCGACACCTCTACAGCAGATCGGGGGACGATGATATGAAGAAGCACCTGGAGCTAACAACTAGGATTTTAGAGTGACTAATCCGCCCGACACTAACAATTCTACATATGAGCAAGGTGCAGCCTAGAACTCTCAGGGAAGCTGACGTATATTTCGGTCCTAAGCTTGCTTTAGACATGCAATGATGAAGTCAATATCATCGACAAGCCATCCCGGGTTGTCACTGCACAACACACCTAGGACACTTCGGAACCAGGTGCGGAGGTGGGCGAGGCTGGCATCAACGCATTTGGACGGACGTCGATTTCTGAAGGCTGACCTCTGTGAATACATCTGTGATTGAACTACGGAAATAGTCATCAAACACACGTACTGAAAGGCCATTTCGCGCCGTTCGCCATGACATAAGTCTCGAATATGTTCATGCTCCCGGATGTATTCACGAACAAGTGCTAAGGCAGTGTCGAGCGTAAACGGGTTAAACCGCGCCCTATGATTACCACCCAGGTTCTTGACCTAATATACTTGATATATTGGGGACAATAGTGACGCCGGGCTCAAAGGCTCCGACCAAGATGAAATATGACCATGCAAACGCGGGGGCCGTCATCGCAAGCATGTGTATGGTCGAGAATTCAATCACTGGAAGGCTTGATCACGAACGTACACACGCAATGAACGAAGAGTATGAGGTCTTCGGTAATAGCTACCGATTCGCCATCACTTTCTGCTGTAGGCTGGGCTTGCGGCGTATATCGCTGGCTGATTAGTGCACGCTGTGGATGTGGAAGGCCCCTGGCGGGAAATACGCGGACGACTCGTCTAGATGCTGCTCTACGGCGTCATTAAGTGAGGTATAGATAAAGGCCATTACTCTTAGCAGACGTGCCTTGGTAATATCATCCCATTCACAAAGATTACGTCCTGGTATCACAGCATCGACTGGCCCGCCACAGCAAAGAAGTATAGCAAGTACACCCCCTCTGGTGTTTATTTTCATGGAGGCCAGGCCTAGTCCCTGTCAATGACTAACTTGGCCTGCCCTTGAATATCCATATGGTTCGCAACATGGAAAAAGAATATTGGTATTAGAGGCTCCATTCTGGCCAAAAATCTGGTACAGATAATCTGATGGTGGCCTTTATGATGCAGCGCAATGTAGCTGTCAACAAGCACGTCACTCTCCTCGATTATCCACCCCCCCTCCCCCCCCCCCCCCAAAAAAAACATAAAAAAAACACACACACATGGCGCCATAGGCGGCTGTAGAGCCCAGCCATGTCACTTGTGAACTTGTGGTCTTTGTCCTTGGGTGTGCGGTCTCCTGTCGTTTGCTGCAGGCGGCTAAAGTGGGATGAAAGGATCTGCGACAGACTGCGGGAGATAATGGCTGCAGTGCACTGCTGTATCTTTGACCATGGGGTATCCTGTCAGACAGCCTGGCGTCTTCTATTTGACAATATCGGCGAGTTGTATCTGCCGCGCACATGCACAGAACCTTGTTCAACTTATTTCATACTATTATTATATGCTATAATCGCTCGCTCGATATCCTCTAGACTTGACTTGTCTCCATACGCATCCATCAAGACGTTCGTTCTTCTTCTTCGATCCAGGTCTTGTCTCTCAAAGTCGGCAGTCCGTGAGAGGTATGTCTCAATCTGGTTGCGCCTGTAGGCAGAGACGCCGTAGCCTGCGAGGACGCATATTAATTCCTGCACAGCACTTGTTACTTTGTTTTGTTCCACGTGGAGAGTAGGACGAACCTATGCACACCATTGCGAAAATTGTGGGGACCCATCGGACGCCGGCAAATCCTCGGCGTACTGCTATTGGTGATGTGGTCGGGGGCATGATTGGCGGGTAGACTCTTGTTGTTGCTGAGATGGCACGTCGTGCTGCTGTTGCTAGCATTGCGGCGTGGTGTCGAGGCGGCAGCGAGGTACGGTATTGCAGATGGCTGACTATATGTCTCTGGTGTCTGATTCCCTGAGATTGGGGTAATTGATTTATTGTTTGGCACAATCTTTTCGACTTTCTGTAGGTATGTATGGCCGGCGATCAATGTTACAGTGGCATGAATCTGCGATGAAAAGACTTGAAGAACACACAGACAATGCTTCCTCTTCCCAGACAAAGAGGAGGCATGTTGACAGGATTACAGGCACATATTTAAACCCTTCTGGTGGCTCCATATTCAGAGTCGGAGAAGGTGTGAGTTGCATATTGGCTCGCATGATTGGTGTTGATCCTGAAGCCACAGGCTGTCTACGGTCAGGCCACTACAGCCACAGAACTGCATCATCAGCCGCGGTGGTGGGCCGATCTTGCTGCAGCTCCACTGGGGCTTCCCGGATCATCCCGGCCAAGCCCCGGTAATGCACGTAATCCCCTGGCAGGCTCCGCCCAGATCCGACAACTTGGGTAACGTTTTCAATTTTGGTGATCATTTCTTATCAAGCAGGGGAACTGTCTTTTGGTCTCGCGTCAACGCTTGAACAATATGCAGACATGGATCGAGATTAGTTCTGGGGGCGGTTGGTTCTTTTGGTTTTGTTTTTTTTCTACAAAAAAAAATTCTTTAAAGAGAGGGGTAAGATGGCATAAAAAGTCTCGCTTTTTGAGCTCTCCTTGCCACACACGTAGTGAAGGATTAGAATAATTCACATTATGCTGGAGCGTTGGGTCTCTACGTTACGCGCTCGAGATTCCTTGGGTCGGACCGCTCTGCTTCCAAGAATGTGGCGACTATTATCATCGGCTTAGGACAGGTAGAACAAGACTAGAGTCTGACTGTTGTTATTGACGAGATCCACGGGATTGGTTACACTTGACATATACCCAGCAGGCTTCAATAAAGGATTTTGAATTCCCCTATACGGGACATGAAATAGCGAAGCCACTTATCTCTTGTATTTTTTTTCCCTCACTTATTTCATACGTAAACATGTCTATAGAACCAAAGTTTGTTTAAAAATACGAGAAAATAACATATCTTGGAGACTATACGTACTGCAGTGTCCCAAGGCGGGCATATTAGCCTTGTCACAGGGTCACGATTGTTGCTCTTTAAACCAGGCCAACCTGATTCTTGCTATGGCCAATGTATGTTACCCTGCGAAGCAGCTGCTGGGGAAAGGCCACAGGCTCAAGTGTCGACCGCACCACATGGTGTGCCGCACATAACATCAATTTCTCTCTACACTAATGATTCCTATTTCAGCCAGCCTCACCTAGATTAAGTCGCTAATACGTGGACTATTCTTGCGCCCGAACGCAAGAGGTTTTTACGTATTTCGGAGGCTACAGCAGCTGACTGCGAGAATGGCGATACGCCGTACATGGGTATTCCTGGTTGGCTTATGCTGCTGAGGATCAAGCCCTTCGATAGGTATTGTAGTGGGAAGGCTGCATTCAGGCAGACCGCAATCCGGTATACATACGAATTGGTAGCCATTCGTGAATACTATTGCGATCATATCAACCCGGGCACTTCCGGCATTGGAGGCACATGGCTGGGAAACCTATCGCACTGGTTTTTGCCAAGATATTGAGGGAAAAGATGTAAACCGTGGTAGAAACCCTCGTGATGGCGCTTGTGGTCACTTCACAGAACATCTACAATGGAACATTCTCTGGCCCAAGTTCGTTGTATAGAGGTCAGTAAAAGATTCGGAGAAGAGTCACATTCTTCGCTATTGACAGCGCAATGTCCTTGTATTACACTTGTGGTTATCGACATCCAGCCTACTGACGTGGGACAGTTGATGCGATACTCCGAATATCATAAATTCTGTGTCTAGCATGGTATCAACAAAACGGATGCATCCAAGCGCAACGAAAATCACAGCATGCTCTTCATAGGCAACATGTCTGGTAGTTTGCAGAAAGCCACCATGAACATTGAGTTTCACAGGCATTTCCCAATTGCCGCATCGTCCTTCATCCACTTTCCCCCTTGCGAGACCCAACGTGTTCATTATCGCTTGAGCGGCCAGGGCTGCTGATTTTCGAAAGGCCGGACGACAGAGACCTCCTGAACTTCCCCATGGATTCTTTCGCTCGTTGACGCTTGCCCCGCGTGGATGGGGAGAGAGAGGGTGTCGAGGGAGTCAAACCACCGCTGCTCTGCTCGACGCTTTGCCTGACAGTTGCAACGGGTGGAATGTACTTTTCAGGGGTCGTGCTGATGACAGGCGATTCCCGCTGCGGCTCGGATCCGTTCGGTGTATAGCTCGTAGCCATGTATTCCGGTGCTGTCTTGAACGATGCTGGCGATGCCAGGTCAGTATCATCGAAGTCCGCTAGCATCTCACGATGTGTAACGGGGACAGCGGCTACGTCCTCGGGTCTATTCGCGTTGTTTGGCGACGACTGCCCATGGAATGGCTTCTGAACACCTCTGTCCCATAGTTCCTGATTGAACTTCCAAATTGCGACGGTATCCTCGGGCTTCAGCTCCTTGAGAATGCTGCGATACAACTCCGTCGCAACCTTGTCTTCTTTCTCCGGTCTGAAGAACAGAGCCTTCCATTCCTTTCCTTCCCGCGCTTCATTTCTGCGCATGGCCCGCTGCCCTTGTTCAATGGCTGACTTAGCCTTGGCTGCGCCCGTCATGTCTCTACGTTCTAGAGCCTCACGCACAGCCTTCCATGCCCGCCGGGATTCCCAAGCATCTTGAGCCTCGGAATCGTCTTCGAAAAGTTTCAGCGGTACAGTGGGAAGGTCTTGTATGGTGACGATTTCCATCGACGCTTCTTTTGATACTTCTGCGCCGTTGTAAATTGTGAAGGAATCGTTCCAATGGCCCGAAACTGTGTAGAGAGGTTCGTGTCCTGCTCCGCTATCTCCTCCCGGCCCGAAGACTTTGGCTGACACTCCATTCTTGTTCCCACCACCCAAGAGAGATCTACCGCTGAAATCGATGACAGAGTAATACCCAGAAGTACAAGGAATAGTATACGTCCCTTCCAGCTCGGGGTACGTACCCGCAAGCCCAGATAAAAGTCCTCTGACCTTGACATCGGGAAGTGGTATGAGGTAGGTCTCGTCATTGTGTTCCTTTAAGGTAAGCAGTGCACGGCCCAGCTGCCTGATGGTGATGTTGCCGAAGCCGAGTGTAATTTCCTGGCGAGTAAAACCTTCTGCAAAGACCCCGTATTGTTCATTCCAAACGCGACAAGCCGTGACTGGGGGGTGATGGGAGACCTGCTCAGCAACAAGTGTGGTCTCGCCATTACTATCGTCCCACTTCGCAAGAAAAAGTTCTCCGAGGAAAGCGTTGAGGGGTTTTCTCACGCCCTCTTCTACAGACCTTCCGCTGTACTGTTGGTTCTTGAGCGAGGACAGGAACCAACGAAGCACCAATAAGGCCCTTTTCGCCGGATCTGGAGATGCCGACGGGGCGACGAGAAGGGATGGCCGCTCGGCCCAGAAGCCAGGTAGTTCAACTACCGACTTGGTGTCCAGGACGAAGGGTGGTGCGGTAATATTGGAAAGGTCTCCCTTGATGGACGCAATTGATGCGAGAAAATCCTTCAGTGATAAGGAGCTGTGTTGTATTTTGGAGCCATCCTCGCTCATCTTGTTGGCCTGTGTGGACTGATCCGATGACGCTGCTTGGGTTCCGATGGTCTTGCATGTGCTGGACATAGAGAAAGATGGGTCAATTGCGGCTATTATGTAGATGGCAGCTATAATGAGAGTGAAAAAAGTGAAACTAATGCTACTCCTTGTCTCAGCTTATTATGACGCTTAGACGGGCGCACGGCCTGCCAAGCACACAAAACACATGCGTTGCCATCGACCGACCACCCTAACCCTTTGCTCAGCGTTGCGAGGCACAACTAAGCAGCTTATGCTTGAGTGGCTGCTTTTGTGAACTTTAAAATAGTGCTGCTCATATGGGAGCCCTTGATCGGGAGCCTCTTGCTGCTATGGTATGAATTTTATACAGAGGTTTACTGGCTGGCCAGCTCTCAGCCAAGAAAGAGTCTGTCAGCAATTACAAAGAGGCTGCCTGCCACCTGAATAGGCAGAGGTCGTATCAAGCGTAGCCTGCGCGGTACTTGCTCAATGGCAAAAGACCTCAAACGCGTCTTTATGAATGATGTCAAAGTAGCTGGTAAGCAATGCCAACGGTGAAACCGCGAGGGGGGATGCGAACATATTAGTCAAGAGCAGACTAAGAATAACTATGAGATGTCTGCGCCAAGCCGGGCCCATACGCGGAAAAACCAGTAATATGAGCCTCGGGGAGTATGTCCATGTGATCATAGAGGCAGTTGATAGTTGGTCTGTGACTTCCTTCTATGATGTATCTCGATCACTAAAGGCATAGTTATGATTATCACGATTTTAGGAGGACCGAGGTGAACCAGACCTTTGAGGAGTAGATAGAAAGGGACTAAAGACAAGCAAACAAACCTATGTGGGTGCTGTTTTGCAGACTGTCCTACAATATGTATGAGTAACTTAAAAGGTCTGCTGTGACAGATTACTCTATAGTATGTTACCCTCATAGATGTCAACCTATAGAATAGAGAGTGTATGTATGGTCAAGTCATGCGCGGGTGTGTGGGCACTTTGCGGGCTGTTATCTATCTAGCGGTCTGCCAGCGTCCAAATTTTAATATGGACCGAAGACAAAAGGGCCGACTGATCGGGTGGTGATAATTCTAGCTCCCCAGTCCGGCCTGCCCGCCCTGCCGCGATTTTGCTCGGACTGCATCCGGAAGTAGCCCCCATGGGGGGCAGTGGGGTTCAATGGTGGAGATTTCGCGGGGTTATTGGCCGACCTCGACAGCCGAGCCACTCCCAGCTCGTGCTCGGTAGAACAAGGTCACCAGGTATGCAGGTCTTCTAGATTTTTCTCTAAGTTGAGATGATCTCTGGAGGCTAGGTGGGTCCGTGGCGGGCATCCGATGCTATGTGAACGCCTTGATTACATGGAGCACCTGGTCTGCAGCTGTTCATCGGATGTTGACCTACGTACGATGTAGAAAGTCAGGACTCATGCCCTCGGCGTATGTCGGGTGTGAAAATATATAAAAGCCTGCCGACATCTACCAGTGCGTTTTCCAGTCCTCCCTTCTCAGACCCACTCGCTTCGTTCTCCGATTATCAGGTCTTCCGCAAGACTCGATTGCCATGTACTGGTTCGGCGTCACATTGCTGGCCGCCCTGGCCCAATGTACAGCAGCTTTACGACCTCGACCTGATAGGGGTCAGCATGTCATTCGGGATAAGAATGAGAGCTCCATGGGGGCTTCGAAAGCCCGCTGGCCGAGTGGGCTGCACCTGGCCGTTGACTACTACCCATCACAGTGGCCTGAGTCTATGTGGGAGCCAGACATTGCAGCTATGAAAGATCTCAACATCTCGTACGTCCGCATCAACGAGTTCGACTGGGCAATACTGGAGCCAGAGCAGGGTGTTTACGACTTCTCTGTCCTGGATAAAACCATTCAGCTCCTCGGCCAATATGGCCTGAAGGCTATATTGGGAACACCAACAGCCTCGCCCCCCAACTGGCTCGTGAATCAATATCCAAGTACCATGTTTGTCGATGTCACCAACGCCACTTATACTTTCGGTTCTCGACGATACTACAGCTTCTCATCCTTCGCCTACCGTGAGCTGAGCAGGAACATTACGCAGGCTCTTGCCCAACGCTACGGGCACGACCCGACCGTTGTTGCTTGGCAGTTGGACAACGAATTTGGCTGTCACAGCACGGTGCGGACATATGATGCAGACGCTGTCAAGCGTTTCAGAACATGGTTGCAGAACAAGTATGGAAATGTCGAAGCGATGAACGAAGCTCAAGGCAGAGTCTTCTGGTCGAATCAATATCAGTCTTTCGACGACGTCTTACTCCCTTACCTCAAGGTCTACACAACAAACAATCTCGAAACACTGGATTTCTTCACATTTTCATCAGATATGGTTGCCGAGTTTGCTAAAGAGCAAGCGCAAATACTTCGGCAATTTGCTCCAGACCAAGCTATCACTACCAACTTCATGATGCAATTCACTGAATTTGACCATTACAAATTCGCCCGAGAGGTTGGAATCGACTTTGCTACATTCGATGAATATCCTCTGTCCGGGCCCAGCCAATATTCATGGCTGTCCGACCAAGACCTTGCTGACACACTCCGCACGGGTCTTCCAGACTACCAAGCCTTTCACCATGCCTTGTACAGGGGCATCGCAGGCGCCGCGTACGGCGATGTTGAAGGCCCATTTGGAGTTATGGAAATGGAACCAGGTGTGCTCAACTGGAATCAATTCCGCGTGTCACCCTGGGAGGGAATGGTTCGTCTCTGGACTCTCGAGACATACGCCGCGAAAGGCGATATTGTTAACTACTTTCGCTGGCGCCAAGTGCCGTATGCACAGGAACAAACCCTCTCCGGTCTTCACATTTCAGATGGAAGCCAGGATGAGGGCTACTTCGAGGTGCAAGATGTTGCGGTAAATGACCTACCGACTCTACGCGCAGAATTGGGGACAAACAGCACCCATGAGCCACAGGGCGACGTGGCCGTGGTCTTCGATTACGCGTCTGTATGGACCTGGGCTATTGAGCCATACAGTGGAAGTTGGGATGTCAAGTCTTCATCCTACACAGACGCGGCACTGAATTACGCGGATCTATCATATGGATTCTACTCGGCTCTGCGGCGGCTTGGCTTGTCGATTGATGTGATTGGTCCAGAACAGAGTCTTGAAGGTTACAAGATGGTGGTCGTGCCCAGCATGCCCATCATCCCAGACGCTTTCAATGCTCTTCTTACGGCTTATACCGGACCAGTAGTCTTTGGTCCACGCTCAGCCGCTCTCACCGCCAATTTCTCCTATGCCCCGGGTATTCAGCCGTCCCAGGGCGCTCTGCGTGACCGTCTACCTATGCGGGTGACGCGTATTGAGACGCCGCCCGAATACGCCAACAGCGGTGTTTCGTATGGTGGGACCAACTACAGCATCTCCTATTGGGAAGAATGGGTCTCCTGCGAACGTGAGAACAAAACGAGTAATGTGGCCGTTACTTCGATATCAAAACATCGTGCGGGCAAGCCCATGGCCTGTGCATCCGACGGCTCATGGCATTATCTAGGCTTCAATCCGCCAGTGGACTTTTTAGTGGCGTATCTTGGAGATGTAGCTGCAAATGCCAGTATCAATGATCTGACTGGGAAGGCTGCGAGCAAGGAAAATGACCTTGGTAGCTCGTTGAGGTTGTTGAGAAGAGGTCAGCTGCTGTGGGCTTTCAACTATGGCACCGACACTGTGGCTGCCCCCACCGTGGGAGAGGATGCTAAGTTGGTGATTGGACAAGCCGGAGAAATTCCTGCCGCCGGTGTGTCGGTTTGGAAGGTTGGGTCTTAGTTGTCGGGCACCTGGACTGCCTCAGTTTCTAAATGCTTCCATGGATGTTACAGACCAGACGACTAAGGCTGAAACGATTCACGGGCTTGCAAGTATTTGAAATACAGATTAAATGTATCTCAGTAATAAAACTCAACCCGTCACCCACTGTTCAGGTCTTTGCATCAGGCTAATCATCAGGCGTTATGGATAGTGGTTGAGTGTCCTGGTATGAAATTATGAAGTCAAAGCAGAAATCGAGCAATAGGTAGTTGTGCTTGACTTCGAGTGATAGTTGCGCTCATCTCCCAGCGACGTTGTTTTAAACGCGGGATTGGAGAGTAGGCTCGTGTCATCAGGCAGTTGGGGGCCAGCAGCTGCGTGGCCACTGCATGAGGCTTTTGGACGAACTGGACACTGGATACTATTGATGCAAAACTCATGCACGGGTACTATCACATCCAATCATTCCCAAGAACTACACTTCAATCTTGAGAGCCCCGATAGCACAATATCAACCCGTGGCTGTTAGCTTGATCCTACTTCACCCCATCTCCAAACATCTTCATTGCTAGATCATTGCGCTGATAAAATGTCGACATTCTATACTGACTCTCACCGCTATATTGTTGCAGATCTTGCAGAGCTTGTTGACCCTCGCGATTGATTGTCTGGCGGATTTCCTCCGTCCTCGGCTCAATACTGCACTCAAAGGGCCGAGGGCGCATATTGAGCCCATTCCTACCTCGGCGTCAGCTGGAATATTCAATGGTCATCCACTGTACTCACGTGTAATTAAATATATCCACTTCAGAGAGACTCCCGTCGGGCCGTCTTTTCTTCTGAATTCGGAAACCCCACAGAAGCCTTGCAATTGTGACCCACGTACCCTGCTCGGCCAGCGCCTGGCCGGAACAAACCCTTCTTCCCCAGCCAAAAGTCATGTAGCCCCTCTCACCTGGGAACGGTCTGCTCTCTGGGTTTCCAGGCATATATCTCCTTGGATTGAACCTATCGGGATCCGGGAATTCGCGTTCATTGTGATGGATGGCCCACACATTGCCCTGGATCCACGTCCCTTTCGGAATCAACCAACCCTTGTACAAGTCGTCCTGGGTAGGGGAGTGTGGTTGCCCTCCAATGATTGCAACAGACCTCCACCTGAAAACCTCTTTGACGAATGCATTCAAGTAGGGAAGGTTCGGTTGATCATCAAAGTGCGGGCTCCGATGAGGCCCGACAACACGGTCAAGCTCCTCATACGCCGGTTTCAATGTCTCAGGGAAAGCACAACAAGCCAGGACAAATGTGACCAGAGTGGAACTGCTCGTGTCAGCCCCAGCACCAAACAGATTCCCGCTGAGAGAAGATATTTCTTCGTCGTCAAGGCCATGCTGTTCCCGCGCGGCGAAGAGGTGTTTGACAAAGGAATCGTCGTGCCCGGGTTTCATCGCTGCCTCTTCAGCCAGCGCGTAGAAGAAACCTCGTCCCCTCTTGCGGCCAAGACCGTGTTTCCAAGGGGCAATGGCGTTGGGAAATTTGGCCAGGAATGGGAACGTCTCCATCAGCATTGGGAACGTCTTGCCAGGAACATTAAGCTCTGCTGCCAGTTGCATCACAGCGATCACTAGAAACATTAGCTTAGAGGCTCGAACCAGGAAGCGGGCAACCGGGGCGAGTTCGACAAATAGGTACACGTTAATGCAGGGCACTTCCATACCTTCTGTGATGATGGGGTCCTCGCTACTTTCCACGCGTCTCCCAAAGCCAATGATGCTCACCACGCTGGTGGCATATCGCTCGAAATACTTTACGTAGTCCTCCGGCTTATTGAGCAAGTCAAGCGCAACAAGCCGACTCTCATCATTCTGAAAGCTACGATACTTTCGCACAGCCTGTACACCAACAGCATGATGCATCAGCTTCCTCTGAAGACGCCATCTGGCTCGTTGTTCAGGTTCAAACGTGTATTGATTGACCAAATTCGACTGCCCCGCTCCTAATTCTGCAAAAACCAGCATCTTTGGCCGAGAGGAGTATATTCCCGCGCGCTTTTCGAAGAGGTCTGAGACCGCCCAGGCATCATTGATCCAGACGGTTGGGTTCCTGCCTATCCACACGGTCACGAGAGGGGAGTTGTATTCCTTGGAGAGCTCTTCGAACCACAACCACGGTTTATTATCAGGCAGCATAAACGTATTACCCACTATAGGAAATGGTCGTGGTCCAGGAGGCTTCGTGAAGCAAGTCAGCGGCTCGTGTCAGGGTGTTCCAACAGCATGGGGTATGCACTGCACCATCTTTGAGCGGAGCCATAGCATTCGCGTGTAGTCAAGTGCTATACATCCTATCAACACAAAAAGTGTTGTTACAATGGCCAACCCGGTGGAAGTCTCGCGGAGAATTTTTTGAGCGTCAGCGAGGCCGACCATACCATCGACGTGTACGGAAAGCATATTGATTGGTGATAGTGAAGCAGTTCAGGCGCCTTCAATAGACAAGCCCTCCTCTGACCACCTTGCTACCCAGACTTGAGATTGCCAAGGCGTGCCAGAGGCTTTCACCGAAGTCAGAGTGCAGGTGGGTAAATTTCGACTCCAACGACAATCGACGAATGTGGCAAGCTGGGAGGCGAATTGGATCGTGTTGCTGACACTGATTGTCAGCAAAAGGGGGAGAACGGCAGAGGGGTATTGTGTTTTGATATATCTTTCAGTGTGTGTTTAGCCAGTCGGCCTACTTCAATTCAGATCCGGACCCTACATCAGTGGCCGGGACAACTAATGCCCTTGTATTGATCATGGTACTACGTGGTATGCGTATTTTGGGAAGAACCATGGATCAGGGACCTTTACCCCGCAGTCCCATCGTCGGCAAATGACCTACACAACCCGGCCTTGGTTAATACGTAGGTAAGCGAAAGATCCCGCTTATTGACCAGAACTTTCAAGGGAAGATAATGACTCCTGCGTGAGAATTATTTAGATGATATAACTACCTGGTAAGTGCTAAATGCTTTCAACTGAATAAAAAAATAAGTATTTAATTTAAAAATTTATATCAAGTATTCTTGGTCCTGCATTAGCCTTGCAATATCAAGCGAACCTTTGTAAACTTTAAGAGCTACATGAACTACTGACAAGTATAGTATACTTGATTGACATGGGGTTTGGATACATCGGAATAATCTGTACTGGTCTGGTTCATTCACATGTCGCGGTCCTGTAACAAGCTTCCATCGCGCCTTAGTGCTCGCCATCTATCCTTATCTGGGTACTAAGCTAAGCCTCCAGCTCCAGATGTCTCTTCCTATGAGTTCGGATGCCGAGTTCAAGCCCAAAAAGTTCAATAGCTTGTATAAGTAGCGTTGAGGCAGGCTCGCCCATTGATATTTAACGCGGGATCATATTTTAAGATCTTATTGGAGGAAACGTATCTCTCATTCTGATCGGCAAGGTGTGGTTCACCTGTTCGCAGGTTCCCAAGAGATCGCCCTCCAAGCGACTGGTTGCATTGACCACAAAGTTTTGAAAAGGCGATGTGCCACATTTCACCCCCAGCACAAAGGCCTTGGAAAATGTGTCTGCTAGCCAGGGGGATGTATGTGTGTTGTCCATCGGGAAGTTGGCGTTCGCTGTCTCTTTGCCCACTGCGGCATTCAGGATTAGCGTCCAAAGCACCAAGGAAGAAGCTTTTCTCGAAAAAATAAGTCTAAGTCGAAGCAAGCCATCATAGACACATTGCCTGTCTAAAACGCTGTGGTCTGACGAGCTGGAAAATGAGCAAAGCAAGTAGTGAAACAAACTATGAATAAAGCAGATATTTCTTCTCTGGAGAAGGCAAAAATGTATCAGAAAGCTGCTTACTGAGCTTGAGTGCCTGGGCACCATAATCTCCATGGTTGACATAGTACACGCCCTGCTCTGGACCACCCAGCGAGTCAACAATGTACCAGGAATACCACTCGTAAATGGTGGGAACCCAGGAGTACTCGTCGTCGACACTGTTGTATGTATTCGTAGGCGTTTGCGACGAGATGATAACCTTGGCGCCCAAGGCGAGGAAGGTAGAGCTGGCGTTATGTAGGTATGTCGTGTAAGTCTGAACAATCTCGGTCTGGTTACTGTTGGTGTGTCAGACGTTAAGAACTCCGTACAAGCTCTACAGGTATCAAGAAAACCCGGCCTACTCGTAGGTAACAGGACAAGTCTCGGCACCCAACCCCAAACAATCCACTCTATTCTTCGCGTCATTCGCAGGATCAGCAGCTGATGGAGCAGGATTAGTATCCGTTTCACGAAATGCCGCAGTCCTAGATCCAACTTACGACCATCGTTGTGCCCAAACTCAATCACTACCCAGTCACCAGGCTGGACTTTCCCGAAGATAGCTTGAAATCGTCCCTCTCGAGTGAAAGTTCTCGCGCTTCTCCCGGCATAGGCCGAATTGTTCACCCTCATTCTCGATGAATCGAGGGAATATTGCAAATACTGCCCCCATCCCTCGGTTCCGTTGTGTCCCCCACCCGGAGCCACTGCAGCATTTAGAGTTAGCTGAACAAGCACAAAGGAAGAAGTGTTTGCGAAAATGGGGAGGAATAAGGCAACCACTTGCCCTAGCCTCTCCGAGGCTGCAACGGTTAAAATGACTGGGACAGGTGGTGAAACAGACCACACATGACAGATGTCTCTTCTTAGAAGGGTTAAATTTGTATCCAAAAATTGCTTACTGGTACTATCACCACAAAGCCATACTGTATTTGGCTCGGCAGTCTAGACTTGGATCAGCTAGACACCTGAAAAGGCATAAAAGCGTTGCATGGTTGAGACTCACTCGCGGGGCTGCAGCGGCTGCTGGCAGGAGACAGGCGAAGAGAACAGGATATTTCATTGTGAATGTACAATAACGGAGGTTCTCTATAATAGCTCGGCTTGGGGTCAGTCCAGCCCTTTGGAAATATATACCAGAGCAAATAAGCCATCCAGCTGTTTGGGGGGGGGGGGGGCGGCACCCAAGCTTGAACTGCACGAATGGTGGTGGATTCAAATTGTCGCGTCATTAAAGCTCGGCCTCTCACTACCCCGAGTTTGCCGGTCGGTGACAGGCCACGGAAGAGGACGCCCCTCGGCACATCTTCTCAACAAGGGACAATCCGTCATAGACTTCCACTTCGGCCGAGCATTTCCAATTTAGAATCTCATTTCAACGAAACTTCTGTGCGCGTCTTAAGGGAGCAGTGGTCTCGCAGCTTACTCGAAATCTTCTCGAGGCGATGGGAGGCACGACTATCGGTCACATTAATCAAGCTTCAGACAATACTGGAGCTAGTCACACAAGCCACATAGGTAGAACACTGGATGACCATATCCGTGGATGGAACTTCCGATGAATACAGCTTAGTTAACGGAGAGATTCTTTTTAAGGTCCTAGGGAATTACAGAATTGTGTGCGCTGCTCTCGTAAAATTCCTGCAAACTCCCTAGCATTTGTCCCTGCATAATTAGTAACGGGGAATGCTGCGTACGCGCCAATATTCGAGTGATCAATGTGTTTTTGCATATTAATATACTCCTCATAGCCTCAGTGGAACTCACACCGCATGAGACCTGCTTTCTCGCTATTCTCCGATATCGCGCAGGATACACAGGTGAAGTGAGGTGTATGTCTAGGTAGTCATGGGATTAATGCTAAATTCCTTGCATTAGAGAATGTTGGTTGGTGCAAGAGCATGACACATACGTGTCAGAGACTGAGACAACGTTCTATATCGGACCCATTTTCTCTGCCTGCATTTGACGGACGGTATTTTCTACACTTGGACTTGGTTAAGGACGCCTTGAGCTACTTCGCAAGCCGCTCGGATATATCAGTGCCTGTTCGAAACTGATAGAATACCTGCTCATGGCCAGAAATATTCCAGATTTTTTTTGGACTGAGTCATCGAAAATAGGCCTGAGAACTGCAGGGCTCCACCCAGGTATCTCATCTACTCATCTAGCAAAAGAGTACGTGCAATATATAAATAGGCGGTGGCGTAATAGGCCGATGCTGGGCCGTATGTACAAGAGATCCTCATGGGTAGGAATAAGCTGACTTGGGAGAATTAAAAAATCTCACAAACAAAATGTTAAACTAGGCTCCTGATTTCCCTTCCTAAACCTCTAAGCCTCTTAACTTGAACAAAAGAACAATTGTAAATTGCAAACACATGCGCAGATTATCTTGAAATTTAAAGCACAAATACAATCAGGTGATTTAACACTTTCTTTTATGATGTACTCGAGTGGGTAGAGAGCTTGGGTTGTATTTCGAAGATTTATAGAAAGTCTCATGGCGTTGTTAGAAATACTGTGACCGGGCTGACAAGGCTTCTTGATTATGTTGGTCTCACTCACAGCAGAGCATGTAGCAGAGCGAGAGAACCGCCAAGCAGCCTTTCACGGATACGACCCTATTTAATACGTTGGGCAAGTGGTGGAAAAGGGCTCCTCATCGTATGAAGACCTGGAGAACCAAACCGGTGGGGTAACAGTTTGTACGTTGTTCATCGAGACAGACATCTTCACTGGTGCCACCAACTGGGTATTGTTAGCATATGCTAATGGTTGTGAACAAAACGTGTTGCCAACTCATGTCTCCCCCCTGCGTTTTTTTCTGGACCGAGCATGTTGCTCAAGAGACGCCACCTGAGGGTGGGTGGAGAATAGCGAGTCGTGGACAAAGTATCGGGCAGGATTCGGAAACCGGGCCGCACACAATCATGCTATTGCCGCGAAGTGATTCGAAAATCTGTGTCCGGTCCTGTTCTGGTATGATCACACACTCCGATCACCGGGAAGTCCATTGCTCTGTTGACAACTTCCGACAACATGAGTGAAGGTTTCTCTCTGTCTGTCTCAATCTAACGTACAGTGCGGAGAACAACGAGATACAATGGGCGACTTCAACTACCACAGTCGCTGTCCCGTCCTGATAACGTTGCATGCAGGTATTGGCATCGGTGTGGACACACCGTACTTGGCTCAATTTTACAGTCTGTATCCAGCACCTCCGGCCTTTTGACCTCCCTTGACATCAAACCGGTCGAGCATCATGACCTTGTTCCATGCAGCGACAAAATCCCGAATGAATTTGGCCTCTCCGTCGGAGCTGCCATATACCTCGGCAATGGCCCTGAGCTCGGAGTGAGAGCCAAACACCAGATCGGCGCGAGTAGCAGTCCACCGCTCGCTACCCGTCTTACGGTCGACACCGGACCAGAGCTCACCATCATTACCCTTTGCAACCCAAGTAGTGCTCATATCAAGGAGATTTACGAAGAAATCATTCGTCAGCTGGCCAGGGCGCTTTGTGAAGACGCCATTGGGGTTGCCGTCCCAGTTCGCATTGAGTGCGCGCAGACCACCGACGAGGACGGTCAGCTCGGGTGGGGACAGGCTGAGAAGGTTCGCCTTGTCGACGAGATACTCCTCGACCTTGACGCGTGCAGAAGACTTGCCGTAGTTGCGGAAGCCGTCAACCTTGGGCTCAAGGTAGTCGATGGAGTCGACCTCGGTCTGCTCCTGCGTGGCATCTGTGCGGCCCGGGGTGAAGGGCACTGTGACATTGTGGCCGGCGTCCCTGGCTCCCTTCTCGACAGCGGCGGTACCGGCAAGCACGATGGCGTCGGCCAGCGAAATCTTCTTGCCACCAGACGCGGAGCTGTTGAACTGCTGCTGCACGCCCTCAATGGCGCTGAGGACCTGCTGCAGCTGCTGTGGGTTGTTGGCGGCCCAGTTCTTCTGAGGCTCGAGGCGGATTCGTGCACCGTTGGCGCCACCACGCTTGTCGCTGCCTCGGAAGGACGACGCGGCGCCCCAGGCGGTTGCAATGAGGCGGTCAGGCGCCACACCCGCGGACAACAAGTCCTTTTTGAGCTGGGCGACATCCTTGTCGTCGACTAGAGGATGATCGACCTTGGGCACGGGATCTTGCCAGATCAAGTCCTCCTTGGGAATCTCGGGGCCGAGGTAGCGGGACAGCGGGCCCATGTCACGGTGCAAAAGCTTGAACCAGGCACGGCCGAAGGCGTCCTCCAGCTCTGGGAGATTCTCGAGGAAGCGACGCGAGATCTTCTCGTACTCGGGGTCGGCACGCAATGCAAGATCGCTCGTCAGCATTGTCGGCTTGCGCTTCTTGCTGGGGTCGAAGGGGTCGGGGATGTTGGCCTCGGCACCCTTGGCCACCCATTGCCAGGCACCGCCAGGGCTCTTCTCCTTCTCCCACTCGTTGTTGAAGAGAGAGGTGAGGTAGCCATTGCCCCACTTGGTCGGGGTGGTGGTCCATACAACCTCGAGGCCAGAGGTGATGGCATCGCCGGCGCTGCCCTGGCCGTGCTTGCTCTGCCAGCCAAAGCCCTGCTCGTTGATCTCGGCACCGGCGGGGGCGGGGCCGCAGTTGCTGTCAGGGGCAGCACCGTGGGTCTTGCCGAAGGCGTGGCCGCCAGCAATGAGGGCGACAGTCTCGTAGTCGTTCATGGCCATGCGGCCGAAGGTGGTGCGGATGTCCCTCGCGGAGGCGAGGGGGTCAGGGATGCCGTCGGGACCGACAGGGTTGACATAGATAAGACCCATGTGGGTGGCGCCCATGGGCTCCTCGAGCTCACGGTGATGAATGTCGGTGTCCTTGGACCAGTCGCCTTGCATGGTCCCGGTGGCCTTGAGCTCCTTGAGGATCTTGGAATGGCGGGTGTCATTGCCCTCGGGGAACATGGTGGTCTCGCTGCCCCAGTAGACGGACTCGTCGGCCTGCCAGGTGTCGGGGCGGCCGCCGGCAAAGCCGAATGGCTTGAAGCCCATGGACTCGAGGGCGACGTTGCCGGCGAGCAGCATGAGGTCGGCCCAGGAGATCTTGTTGCCATACTTCTGCTTGATGGGCCAGAGCAGGCGGCGAGACTTGTCGAGGTTGCCGTTGTCGGGCCAGCTGTTGAGGGGCTCGAAGCGCTGCTGGCCGTCGCCGCCGCCGCCGCGGCCGTCGAAGACACGGTAGGTGCCGGCGGAGTGCCAGGCCATGCGGATCATCAGGCCGCCGTAGTGGCCGTAGTCGGCGGGCCACCAGTCCTGGGAGTCTGTCATGAGGGTGTGGAGGTCCTTCTTGAGGGCGGCATAGTCGAGCTGCTTGAAGGCCTCGGCGTAGTCAAAGTCCTTGTCGTTGGGGTTGGACGAGGCCGAGTGCATGCGCAGGACATCGAGGCGCAGCTTGTTGGGCCACCAGTCCTTGTTCTTGGTGCCGCCGCCAGCGACGTTGGAGTGCAGTGGACACTGCTCGACGCTGCCCATGTTGACGGTTGTTGGAGCAAGCGGGAGGTGGGCTGAAGGGCTAAAGGCACGACGATGGCGGAATGTGAAGGCGGGGTTGTTTGCGGCAGACAGGCGGTTGTGTGTGGGTGTGAGTGTGAGAGTGAGACTTGGGGTCAGACCTAAGTTGAGGCTAATAGTTCTCCTCGCCGAGAGATATGGAGATCTTGCTATGTGCGACAGCATGGCGGAGGAAGAGGGGGTGGGAAACGGGCGGGGGGCCGGCCTGGGGGTATATAAACGGGCGAGGCGAGGCAGAGGCGAGAGCGAGAGAGAGACGAGAGGGAGGGGCTAGTTTGGGAACGACGAGGAGGAGGCCAGAGGTGGCGAATCAGCAAGCAGAGGGCAGGAGGAGGGAGGTCCGACCCCGCAGCAGCAGCGACGGCGGGTGTCGTCTTCGTGCTCGTCACAGACGTGATGGCATTGCCTGGCAGGGAAAGAAGCTCGGCATCGAAACACTCGCCAATGTCAGAGAGCTGGTGCTGGTGCTGCTGGTGCTGCTGGTGCTGCTGGTGCTGCTGGTGCTGGGCGGCGGGCCCCGGGGGGGGGGGGCCAGGAGGAGCTTGGAGGAGCTTGGGTGTGTGGCGGGCGAGTATGGTACAGCTAAGTCGAGTCGAGTCGAGTCTGCTGGCCCCTGGCAGTTGGCAGTTGGCAATTGGAAATCAACGTGCCCCAAGTGGTTGGTGGGCCACCTGAGACGACGGACGGTCGCGGCTGTTGCAACACAGTTGACCGTCTGCCCTCCCGTACGTGGTGGGATGGGCAGAGAACATGCGGGAACAAGGGTTGCCCCCTCATGCCCTTGTGCCGCCCCTCTCCTCTGCTGCCCATCCCATCCGTGCCCATCTTTCCATGCCATGCCATGCCATGCCATGCCATGCCATGCCACGCCATCCTGTGGCCACGCCGCTACTGTGTAGTCTACTGTAGTGCATACATTACCAACCTAGGTAGTTTGGTAGGTACACTGCACACGCGGAGATAGCTCGGCCTGGGCCTCGACCATGATGCCACAATGTTCGGGGTTCCGAGGCATGATTCACACACACACACACACACACACACACACACACACACAAAATACTGTAGACATTGCGTGGCCTCCTCCCCTCTCGAAACACCCACCAGACTGACTGACTGCCCGCCTGCCTGCACCTGCAGCTGTAATTGTCACTGCCACTCCCACTCCAGGACAACGGCACGAGCAAGTATAATACTGTATGTACTGTTTCTGTGCGTGTGTACGTATGGAGATGGAGATGGAGATGGACATGGAGATGATCGCATGCTAGCGGCAAGCAAGGTTCGTTGTTGCCGAGTCAGCTTTTGCATCTGGCGGGGCTCAACCCACCCCACCTGCCCGCCCCGCCTACAGTAGGATACCTACCCGGCTCCTTCCAGGCCTTCCTCTACCCCACCTGCCGCCCACTCGATCGATCCTCGTTCCCCAAAAACCCCGTCCACTCGGCACTCTCCTCCTCATTGCAATATACTAGCCTGCTGTGTATATGCGAGGTACTTGCTGTGCAACGTGAGTTTGGAGATGGCGATACTCCGTGCCCTCAAACATGCGAAGGGGTGCACCGCCAATGCCTGCTGTATCAGCCTGCCTGGCGGCAGTGAGATCTCAGCCCAGGCGTCTGCTACCTGCCTGGGTAGCCCCCAAAGCAACTAATGCGTATCTAGGTACTGATATGACATCTATATCCGGATGGCGAGGAAAAGTCCATGACGCTGATACCTGGGTACATGGGTACCTGCACACCAAAACCCCCGAGGTCGGTACCGGTCACGCACTGCCTGCATGGCTGCCACGGCTGCTTGGCTGCAGGCCACCCAGGCCACCCAGGCCGCCCTGCTGTGCTGTCAAATAAGGTTTGGGTGAGTGGGCAATGCGGGGGAGGGTCCCCCCCCAGGACCGATGTGTCAATGTGTCTGTCTCTGCTGTTCTGAACCCCTTTCTGTTTGTCTCGAGCTCACCCCGGTCCCCTCCACCTGCCACCCCGCCCCACCGAGCTGTATGTAGCGACTCCAGATCTTCCCACGCAGCACCCCTCACCAGCATCCTGCCAGACTCTACCGCGTAAACATCTGTCCGTGGACAATACACTGGATTGTCGCATAAACCTCAAATTTCTACCTCCCACTGCCCAACACATCGCTAGCCAGGGGCACAGGCACCGCACGCGAGGGTACCATACGATACCATACGATACGATACGACACGATAAGAGACGACGCGACGCGACGCGACGCCACGGCCCGCCCAATATTGAATTGCAGCGCCGACTACTCTTGACCGACACATTGCTGTCTCTCCTCCTTGATTGCTACGTGTCATTTGTCAATGGAATACAGTCTGTCATCTTTATTGATTCACTGCTGCCTGTGATCATGCCTCCCGGGCGCCCGCCAAAGCGCAGCCGCCCCTCTCGCCCACAGAGCCCTCCTCCATCGCCCACTCCCAAAACACACACCACCACAAACGCAGACACAGCTACCCACCCTAACGTCCAGGCCTCCTCGCCCTCCCATCCCTCCACCTCCTTCATCTCTGCCGACGATGACGCCCGCCGATTATCCCCTTTCCTCAACACCACCTTTTCCACCCATCGCCTGTCGCCCCTCTACATCGGCTCCCAGCCTCTCACACAAGATCGAATACACACCCTGTCCCGCCGACTCCGCGACTTCCTGGTGGGCGACGTTGTTAGAGGTGTTGAGGTTGGACTGGATCGCTCTGGCGATGATGGCGCTATGGCGAGGGCCGGCGCTTTAGAGGCTGTCGCCATTGCCTGGGTCACCCTCGACAGCCTGGTCGGGTCGTATGCAGGCCAAACAAGGTCGCTAAACGAACGGGACGCCGACCCCGAGCCGGCCATGGGGAGTTCGGCCCACGACGAAGCCGGAGACATGTCTGGGCTGAGCACGAGCACCGCTGTGCCGGCTTCGCCTGGCAAGAGGAGAGCATTGCAGATCTCACTGCAGTACGAGCATGCCGAGTGCGCAGCGCTGCTGCTGCCCTCACCCAAGGGCATCGCAAACTCCGAAGACGCGGCGACCCCCGGCTCTCTGTCCAACTTCGCTAACGGCAGGCCGGACGAGAACGACCCTGAATTCCTCCACCTGCCCCTCCTGCTACTGCGCATGCCCGCACCTCTGAAAGCCGCCATCACCGGCTTCCTCAGCCGCACCTTCGACTGTCGCATCAGTGCCCTCAGTCTCGGCAGTCGAAGCCTGGTGCGCGCCCTGGAGACGTGGGCGGGCGAGTTGGGAGTCCATGCCAATGCCTACTCTCCCAAAGATGTAGTGATCACGCTGGGTTTCTACAGCCCGACGGTCATGCGATCTCACACTTGGCTGCGGCCGAGGCAGCAGCAGCAGCAGCAGCAGCAAGGCGTGACTCTGGACAAGCATACCGAGAGGGAGGAGGATGATGCTTCCGGAGCATCAGAAACCGTGTTGGGAGTCAAGTCAATCGACGTCATCATCCCGAGTGCCGACCTTCGGCGCTTCATCTGCGCAGGCAAGGCAGGCATAGCAGGGCAAGACAATCCCTCAAGCCGGGCTGGGGACAGGCGGAAGGGGTCCGGCGAGGGGGATCAAGACTGTTATGGGGAGGCCAAGCGCAGGAAACTGGGAGGTGACAAGGATGAGGAGGGCTGGGCCTGGCGACAGCGGCCTGCAGTCTCGAAGCACTCGGGTAGCAGGCTGGGGTCTGGTTCATCGCAGCCATTCACCGAGGCGCTGGCCCAGTACATTCAGCACCAACTCTCCCTGGATATGTTCCACCCAGCAGTGCGGATATCCAAGATCGCCTGTGGAGGCTTTGTGTTGTCTGAGGGCCGTGTCAAGCTATTCGGCGTGGCTCCAAGCATGGAGGGTGACAATGTGATTCCAGATACCATACAGAGGGCTGTATGGGGGGTCTTGGATGTGCTGTTGAACAGGGCCCTTGTGAAGTTACCATACGAGACGCTACCGGGGATGCCCTTGTGGACTCGGGAGTAAAATAATGTACCCAATGCAAGAACAAGACTGCGTATGTGGTAACCGTTCTCTGCTGGCACCCGCCTCCACCCCACCCTGACAATGCGCAAAAAATGAAGGAGAGGATGATACTTGATGTGAACACCCAAAATCTATGCAAGACCCCAAACGCCTTCAAATCCATCCAGTGCTTCGCCACATTTCACCATGGGTATCACGTTCCGAGAGCAAGGAAAATGCTGTGAGCGATGTTGCGCGACATGCACATGGCAGCTGGCACAGCTCAGCACCCAACAGAGAACCCAAACGACCCGTCAAAAACGTATTCGCCTGTAGGATCTTTTCTCATGCTCTTCAAAAGGTCCAATGGCGGCACCTCGCCGTTGGAGTAGAAAGCCAGCAGGTTTTCCATGTCCTCCTCGGTCAGGTCACAGAAAGCCTCCCAGCTGTAGGCATCGGACACCTTGATCATCCAGCCCATCCTGCTGCTGACAGCCTCAGGGCCGGGCTCGATCTTCCGCAGCATCCCCCTCAGCTTCCCCACCTTGTCGATGGCGGCGCCGGCATTGTTGGGAAGGGTGGCGGCGATCTGCTTGCGAATGGAGGCAGCCAGCCGGGGGCCCTTGCCGTTGGTAGACACCATGATCTGCAAGGGTCCGTCGCGGTGGACGCTGCCAAAGTAAAAGTCGCACTCGGGTGGGACGTCAGCAATGTTGGCGGGTATGCGGCGCTCCTTGCAGAGCTTCCAGATCTGGGTGGAGGCTTCTGGGTCATCGATGGCCGTCAGCACCATGTTTACGTTCTTGTCCGGGTCCAGGTCGCTCGGCTGGAACTTCCTGTCAATGTGGGTGACCTGGGCCGTCGAGACGCGGTGTGCGACTTCTGGGTTGAGGCCGGACGAGGGGCATATGACGGTGACGGCGGCGTCGGCGTCGAGGCAGTTGAGGATGCGTCCGGCTGCGACCTGAGCAAGGAGAAGTCAGGCATGCTGGAGGGGACAAGCGGCCCGGTGGTAGTGGTAGGGTTCATTTACCTCGCCGCCCCCGATGACAAGCACATTCTTGGCCTTGATTTGCCAGGCGAGAATCAGGCTGCCTCCGCCTTGGACCTTGGGGAAATGATCATTCCTTGAGCCCATAGTGCCAGTCACCTGTCAAGACTTCTGCAGAGGTGCAGGGCTGTGGAGAGGTATGGCCTGGACCGCTGTTGCTTGCGTAGGTGCTGGAAGCTTGTCAGTTGGGAGGGGGCGGGGCATCAAAAATGTCATGAATAACCTCAAAAGGCCGCCACCTGGTGAGGAGCAGAAGTCAGGTGGCGAGAGTGGATGATATGGTTGAGACAAGAAGGTCGTCCTTTTCTTCCTTTTCTTTTTTCTGCGGCGGATCTTTTCGAAAAGATCGTGTTGCGCCTCGGATTGATTGGATGCAACATCATAGTTGCACTGTCAAAAAGGTGACTAGGTGACTACTGTTACGTAGACTAGATACAGTACTGTACATAGGCAGTGGTAGGCTGGGCAGGCTGGGCAGGCTGGGTACTCTCCGAATTGAGAGAGGCGATCCCGGCACTGGGCCGTCGAGACCCACCATACACCATACGCACCAATCTCGGTACTCGGTACCCCGATACCCAGGAGCAGGAGCAGACTGCTCACGTAGGTAGGTACCCGATACTAGCCTGGCACGCCTGGGCACAAGCAGGCAATGCACGGAGGCGCCACCAAGGTTCATGGTTCCAACACCTCAGACTGCTGAGCCTCGCATCCCGGATCCTCCCACCCACTACGACAACGAGGCCGACGACGAGGACGAGGACGCCGCCGCCGCCGACAACGTAATAAACAGCCCAGGCGCGCTTTTGTCCACGCATTTGTTCTGCTCTGGCCGGTGAAGAGCAGAGCCACCATGTGACCTTGTCGCGAACCTCTCGCAACATCACGCACCCCCCTGCAGCCCCCCCGTCGATTGACGAATCCGGTCCCTTGAGCCCGCCGACGGTGCATCGTCACCACCGACACGACGCCCATCATGTCGGCCCGGAAGCTCGGGGGAGGGAGGATCATAGGAAACGGAAAAGGTCTTGCACCGCCCCAGCCTCAAACTCGACCATCAAAGCCGCGGGCTCGAGAGACCAGCCCCTATGCGCCCTCGGACGCCTCCTCTACCGACCACTATTCCACCTCCCAAAACTCCATCTCCCCGCCCTCATCATCCACCCCCATCGCCGACTTTGGGCCCCAGGACCTTGCCTCCAGAATCAGTATCGGCGGCCCTTCCGATGCCGGCGCCTCCAGCGCGAGGCTGGTGTGTCCCATATGTGACGAGGAGATGGTAGGCATACCGGCCCCTGCCCCCAAACCAAACCAGAATGGCTTGCTGCGGAAATGAATGCTGAACCGCCCCTGTGTACAGCTGACGCTGCTCCAACTCAACCGCCACATCGATGATAATCACCAGGAGCTTCCTGAAGTGCAACAGGATGAGGTCAAGACGTGGTTCGACAAGCAGGTCCTCAAGGCCAAGCGCTTCCAGCCGCTGTCGCTGATCAATTCCAAACTACGAGGCCTCGAAGTGTTCGAGCCAAACGAGATGCAACCCATCGCACCGCCCCCGAGCATCTCTGGGCCCAGGCCACCGCTCGATACCGTTGTCGACCCAGACGAGATGGTGACACGAAAACACTGGCAACGGTCGACTGGAAATGACAGGTGTACTGAGCCTTCGTGCGGCAAAAGTTTGGGGGCCCTCGACGGCAATGTCAATTGTCGCAAATGTGGCAGGCTGTTCTGCGAGATACATACCCTGTATCAAATGAAACTCTCGAGGTCCGCGAATCACGAACCCACTAGGGGCTACTGGTGCCGAGTGTGCGAGACTTGCTACAAGTCTAGAGAGGGTTACAACGATCACAGCGGTGTCATGGTGGATCATACCGATGCTTTTGTCGCAACAAGGAGGAGGAAGGTGGAGAGACAGAACCTCGAAATCCAGAGGCTGGAGAAGCGGTTGACCAAGTTGACCCAGCTGCTGGCCTACCCTCCTGACGAGGCAGTTGGAGGTGGAGGGGGGTTGTTGTCGCCAGTCACGACGTTAGCCGGACAGAAGAATGCTCGGAAACAGCTCGAGCAGTCTGTTGTGACATGGGAGGAAGATGTCAACGTGCCCCGGTGCCCATTCTGCCAGCAGGAGTTCTCCTGGTCCTTCAGGAGGCATCATTGCCGGATGTGTGGCAGAGTTGTCTGTGCAGATTTGCAGACGGGCTGCTCTAGTGAGGTTGGCTTGAACGTCAACAAGCCACTATCCAACGGGACCGGTAACGAGAAGCCCAACACACCCAAGGGTCACCACATCAGTGTCGATGTGCGGATGTGCCGCGACTGCAAACACACGATATTCTCCAAGCGCGACTTTCAAGACGCAGTCTTGTGTAAGCCGCCGGATCAAAGGGCCTATGAGACACTTCGCCAGTTTGAGCGCGGCATCCGACTTCTAATGCCGTCGTTCCAGAGGGCGCTCGTGGCACTCCAGCCGCCAGAGGATGACTTATCGCTGGACCGACCACCGCCATCGCACGCACAGATCCAAGAAGCGAACAAACTGCGCAAAAGACTGACAGATAGCTTTGCAAAATATCATGTCGCGGCAAAGCGGATCCGCGACATGAAGACCGCAAGCCCCACACAGCTCAGGCTTCAGAAGAACGTGTACACAGCCGCAAGCTCCTTTCTGCACACGTACATGCTACCCATGAAGAGCTTACCCAGCATGCTGAAGAGGAACCTGGGTAATCCGGGCGGCTCTGGTAACCACCGGCGGCTCCTGGGCGCCACTGATCGGCACGGCAGCTCTGGTTCGGTGCCTGGGGCGTTCTCTCCCTTGCGCAAAGGCGAGTCTGCCGAGCCTGGCTCGGAGACGGCCAGCCTTGGCGGGGCGAGTGAAACGAGCACAGCAGTGTCTGCGCTCGAGACGGAGGAGAAGGAACTACGGGAGAGACTGGTTGTGCTGGAGGAGCAGAGGTTCCTTGTGCAGGAGATGGTGAATAATGCACGCGCATCGAGACGATTTGAGGAGGTCAGTGCGCTGAACAAGAACGTGGAGGAATTGGACCGCGAAATAAATGCTCTGAGCAACGCCGTGGACGGCGTGGAACACCGGTGGGAGGGGTTTTATTCCCAGGGGGCAACTGCGTGAAGCCTGTCGGCAGCCACAGTGTCGCAGATCGAAGTGCTGCTTGACCACCACTTGTGAGTCGGCGAGCACAAAGATTCGGACTTGTGCTGAGGAAGTTCAATGCAACATCTTCAGCTAACCAGAAGAGGGACTTGGGGCATAGCGTGGGCGTTCAGGGCAGATCATCTTTAAGCACTTACTTGGCCGGGATTACCATCTACATTCCATCATCACACACCTATATCCATCCTAGTTCAATGCTCTAGGTAGGCAACCTTGCTTCCACAATGCAAGCACTTTCCATCTGGACTCGAGTATTGGACAAGTTCTGCATCTAGCAGGTCCATTGAGGTCCTTGCCCCCGGTTGAAACCGGCTGGCCTGCTCGATACCGGCTTCCATTCAAGTGCCTGGCTACCTACCTATCTACATACCCCAGGTACCTAGGAGGCTATGTATGCTACCAGCGCTCTGTTCTTTCCTTCCGTCCATCTGGGTGGGAAGATCCAAGAGGCAGGCGCTGCCCCAATGACAGACAGTCCGAGAGATAAATACCGAGCTCGACTGCTCCAATCTCCTGTTCTCCCAAAAGAAAATCACCACATCCTCCGCAAGCTGAGCCACCACATTCACGCCAGCGATGGTTTTCTTCTCCAGAATACTTGAAAACGTATAATTTGAAACTCACTTGTCGCCCTCAGTATCCTAGGATTTGTTGACGCCCCTGCCGACCAGGCGACTACCTATCTCTTTCATCCTCGAGACTCCAAAATCCGGTTCCCAGCACATCACCTAAGCCATCGCAAATATGAAGAGTTTTAAGTCTTTTGGCACTAGCCTCGCCCTTCTTCTGGTTCAAGCGGCTGATTCCCAAGCTGGCCCTGGCATTCTCGATGCCTGTGACGAATTGTCAATCGACCTCAACGATGGCGTGCTACACGGAGAATGTCAGGCCGCCGGGAAATCTATGCTGACATCGGTGGACCTTGGCCAATGTTTGGGACGGAGCTCTCAAGCGAACAATCTGAGCCTTCATGGAGACACGACGGGACTGGCCCGTGTGAAGGAGTAAGTATATGACCCTAGCATGACGTGTACACACGAAGCTGATGGTTTGCGTCAACCCAGGAGGTTGAACTTCATGAGCGACTACTGCGGTCCTTGCCGCATTGTCGGGAAGGATGAGCACAGTCAGAATGTTGCCTACCTCCTCTGTGACTGTGGCCCTGGTGGCTCAAAAGTCCCAACGGAGCATCCGTTTGACCTGGGTGCGTAGGGAAGCCTCTGTCATTGTAGGCTTGATCAAACACATCTCTTCCAGGGCTGACCTCCGTCCACAGGCGATTTGGTCACTGTTACTGAAGAAGGATGCCTTGAATGCATCGGCGCCAGTGGTCGTTGCATCCGCGTTCCTCATCCCCGAGCCGTCCGTGAGATTTCTATCGAGTCGGAGATTAGCCAAGAGCCGATCGACTGGTTTGGGCTTGAGGCAAAGAGTGTTCCCTGTGAAGAGAGCATCAGATCCCCGGAACTCGCGACCATGCTCCCGAAAACTTATGAGAACACAACACATCACAGATGCAAACAAGAGCACTCTCTATGCTGTTACCAGACCGCAGCCAAGGGCACCAGAACAAACACAAAGTTTGATGCCTTCAGCCTAATCGAGGGCAACAATCACATTTGGAGAATCCACTTCGTTTTTCACATGCACGCCCTCAAGATCACAGGTCAGATGAGCCATATCGTCCAATTCTGCTCCCCATACGGAGATCTTGACGAATGCGAGGGTGAGACACAGCTCGATGATGTTCCTGGTTTGCCCGATGATGACCGGGAAAATCCTCTCAAAGGGTTGGAAGACGTTGTATACGACGACGACGATGCAGAGGGTAATTTTGCGTGAGTATTTCTCTTGATGGCAAGGCCACACGCTATCTTTTGTGCCCTCCAACACTAACCTCTGCCATCTCAAGTCCATCCTACGAGGCCGGCACCAAGACAGAGGTTGAGACAAAGTCAAAGGCGGGGATAGGGAAGTCAGATTGGGCAGGTTCCTTGTCCAATAATTTCACCAAACCTAGCAGCCCCGCGTCTGCTAAAGCCTTTGCTCACGTAGCGGCCACGATGCTGCGTCGTTAGCTTCTCGGACGAACAGATAGAGGGACAACGGTCATCTGCGGCAACGGATACAGAAGATGTGCGCCACGTGGGCACGGGGCCAGCTGAACCCTTCGAAAACCGTACTGCGCACGACTGAAACTGTGTGTCTATTACCATGCGTGGGATTGCGGACTCGGGCATTCTGTACCTAGAAATCCATCATAATCTATTTGAAAGCATCGTCCTCTCGTAGGACAATTTCCCACATGACATGGTATTGCAAAAGCGAGCCGTTTACTCTTGATATTTTCCTGTTCAAAGCTTGGTTGGCAATGTCTTGAAGAGCACAGACAGTTTGCAAAGGTGAAGGAATGGGATGGGGCTCGGCTTGAAGAATTGACCATACACAAGTATTGTATACAGATGCAAGATGCTAAGCAATTAAGCCTACGACCATGTAAAAAGCAGCGTTGTTCATGTTAATGGATTTGTCGTGTAGGTCCCTAGATGTGTGGACATGATGATGCGAAGGGTGACAGCACAGTGTGTCAACAACCGGGCTATCTAGGCAGTGATTGTTTGATTATTCGTGCTCTTTCAAACTCAGCTACTTGATCAGCCCCATGCGGCTAGGCACCTGAATGGAATCTCCATGATGCCAACAAACGGCAAAATTGGATGACAACGACAAAAGTGGTAATAATGGTATCAATGCAAAAGGGTGACCCGCCTGCCCCCAACCCCCCTTTTCCCGGGGCCGAATATCAAAAGCAGGGGGGTAACAATCGTGCTCTGGCAACTGCTATACCCAAGCCAGGCACATGTCACTCATGGGAGCCGCACATAAAAAATCCCACATTATTAGCAAGTGTGACGAAAGTCACCGCTTGACAGCGCATCGTAAGGCATGAGATTGTTGCCCACTTAGGTCTCGGCCTGTGGAGGAGAGGCATCCTATGAACCGTCGACACCACCGAGAAATTTCCGCACTCGACCTATCTCGAGCTCTCCCTTCTCGCTTTCCACGGCCCGAACCAAGCCCTCGAGTAAGTCGTCGACTTGGCTCTCGGGACAGTTGGCCGCTAGGGCAACCAGGCGCCTGTACTTGTACTCAATGTCTCGGCTCGTGCCTTTCAGGTTGGACACCTTGTCTTTCATTGTGTTGAGAATATCGGTCGTTGCTTTCAGGCGCGCACGGAGGATGTTGGCATCTGGTAAGGCGGCCTTGTGGCCGGTTGTGCCCAACGCCCTCTCGAGCTCGTCTTCCCAAGCTGCGGCAGAGTTGCTCTGTGACGCAGCCTGTTCGCTGTCCATGTGGCCCATGCGGTATTGGAGGCTTTCCAACTCGCGCGAGAGGTTCGCAACTTGTTGTCGGTTGACTTGCTGCTGTTTTGCTTTTTCCTTGACGATGTCGAGGCTGCGCCGCGTCTCCGCGAGCCTTGACGAGTTCGCTCTCAGCGCCGTCTGGAGCTCGTCAAGGGTCTCTTGCTTCGCCTTCAACTCTTCTTGCGCGATTGCGGCTGTTTCTCCCAGCAAGTCTTTCATAGCTGTGAATTGATTAGAAATGGTCTGATAGGGTAACAAGGCACGCGACTCACACGTCACAATGTCATCGCTACTCTCCTTGCTCCTTTGGGTGCTCGCCGCTAAGTCATTCTTTGCCACGTCCTCGACATCTCCACCTGCTTCGGGCAGCTCGCCGATGCCAAAATCTACCGGCCTTAGACCGACTCGGTTTGGTATTGAAGGGTCCGCATGGACTTCTAGAAGCTGTGAAATGATGCTGCGATTCGATATTCGAGCAGCCAGGTTCAGTGCCGTGTCGCCGGCCTTGTCCTGGGCGTTGACCACCTCGATCATGAATCGACCTAGCCCTATTTTGTGGGCGTTGGTTGACGGGGGCCCGGTACAGTTCGCAGCGAGGTCCTGACTGCTCGAGGCGCTGCCCTGGCGGACGACCCATTCGAGCAGACAGTCGAGGTAGTACTTGCTCGTTGCATGCCGACGCTCGATGGCGCTTGTGACGACGACATGATGCAGTACTGTGCGACCTTTATTGTCTGCCACCTCAAGGGTGTGGCCAAGCAGATCCAGCAGTTCGGGAAAGGAGAAGTTGTCGTGAGAATTTGTGACGATGACGGCGCGCATCAGGGCGGTCTGGCCTTCAGAATTCACTCGGAAGGGGTTGGCTCCGTGCTTGATCAAGGCTTGGACGATGCTCATGCGCGAGAGAGTGGCGGCCCAGTGCAGGGCGGTATGCTGCTGGCTGTCGATGGGCATGTCCAGCTCCAATGGGGTCAAGGACCGTAGCTCCTCAAACGCATCAGGTTCCATAGGCTCTGCAAAGAGGGTGAGGAGGGTTTTTCGGGTGGCCTCAGTGTCCACAGACTCATCGTAGGGTAGAGGTGGAAGAGGAGATACGCCGTCATGGTCCTCGGCTTGGTGTACGTTCAGGCCATGTTGAGAGTAGATGAATGACTCGTTGGGCTCGGTGGGTGAGCCAGGGAAGTTGTCGACACTCATGTACATGCTCTGCGATTGTGATTGTGATTGCGACTGGGGTTGCGACTGAGATTGCGATTGGGTTTGCGACTGGCCGAAGCTGTCTGCCGGCGTGACCGCGACCCTCGGTCTCTTCCTAGGAGGCTCGGCGCCGTCGATACCCAATGACTGCGCGTTGTTGCGCTGTGTCGAGTATGCAGAGTCGCCATTCCTGGTGTGATCAGAAGTGAAGCTCTGCTGCGAGTTGCCAGGGAAGTCGTCCGCGCCCTGCATCGAGACGGAGGGCTGGCGGTTGAAGCTGGGGGCTCTCGAGAGGCCACCACGGCTTCTGGGCCCCGGTGAGTCGAGCCTTGCTTTGCTGATGGCAGCGACGGCATTGGAGGCGGTAGAGGATATGTTCTTGAAGAATGTCCCAGACATGCTGTTGGATCTATTGTTGATGGGCTGGCTGTAGAGCCTCTTCCTCTGGGCGGCCATGGCCTGCTCCTTGGTCGGGGTGTTGAGGTCGCCACGGCCCGCAGCCGTGCCGTCCTGGCCCATGTCGTAGGTGAGCAATGGCCGGAGGAGGTCCTCGACGCCGTATTGGCGGCAGACCTGGACGCCTCGGTCATAGGATATCCAGGTGCCCTGGTATTTGCCGTAGCCACCCTGGACTTTCTCGTGGTCGCCAGTTTGGATCTCCTTCTCGAGGATCTTTGTGCGTTTTCCTTTGTCCAGGCCGGCAACCTTGAGGATCTGGGTAGCGTTGAGGCAGCTGTCGTGACGACGGCGCATGACTGCGACAGCGTTGACTTCCATCTCGTAGACTTCGACGCCGGAGTAGACGGACTGCAGGAACACGGTTAGTGGGGTCGGCCACGCAGTGCGCGGTGGGTACAGTGGAATTTGGGGTAGGAGTTTCACGGACAGAATAGATCTGTGGGAGGTGGTCGTCATCCATGGCGGAGGATAGGGAGTTTGCGACCTGGTGGATGGCGGTGGTGGCTGCGGGCTAGGAGGAAGGCCGGCTGATGCTGAAGCTGGCAGATTGTTGGGAAGCGGAGAGGTGTTGCTGTTGGAGGAATGGCTGGGACATTGATCCGCGGGCGGGAGCGACGGGGCGGTGGCAGAATGCTGTCGGGTTGCTGGCCGAGGAGGTGGAAGAGGCGGAGTGCAAGGGATGGCTATTGCGACAGCGCGGCGCGTGGTCTCTCGAGTCGGATCGGATCAGCTGTGCGAGGGCGCCCTAAGAGGGTAGTGAGAAGGGAGAACCACGATTGACCGGTCAGAGGTGAGAGTTGATGGATGCCATACCTAGGTACTTGAGAAATTTGAACGAGGTATCTAGCGCCGAGGCCCATTGATGCTGCGACAATGAATTGTTCTCGCTTGTCGACTTGTCGGGTGGCAGCCGGTCTCCCGAGGGCAGGCAGGACGGTTAACAACGGCCTTGACCATGCAATGCAAATTGCAAGTCTGAAAGGCGCGCCGGGCTGGTATTCGTGATCGGATAGGAGGTCTGTTTGGTGAAAAGTGGTCGAAGAGTCGAAAAGTCGAAAAGTCGTGGTCGAAGTCGAAGTCGGGGCGGGTGGGGGTGAGGGGGAGGATTCGAGTCGGGTCGAGAGTCAGAAGGCGCGGCGCTTGCGAAGGTAGAGTATCCTTGGGCAGACGGGGCTGACCAGACCAATTACCAGGGCTCGCGAACGGGCGAGACGAGACAAGACGAGACGAGACGAGACGCTGTTAAAGCTGGACAGGTACGAGTGGAAGAAGTCTCATGCCGTGGCACCAGCAGCGAGAGGGAGGAGGGAAGGGGAGGAGAGGAGGCGGAGAGGGAGAGGGAGGTGAGAATGTTCTGCTGGCGCGAGGTCAGGTGAGTGAGCGAGTGAGTGAGTGAGTGACTGAGTGTGCATGGAAAGTTGAGTGAAATGTACTGCACACCTACTGGTAGTCTACCACTGGTCTACCTAGGTAGACTATCCAGTCTAAGTCTGAGTGCGTGCATGGGCTGCAGGTCGAGGTCGGGGGCCCTGGGACGTGTCGGTTTCGTGCGGAGTTCGTGTGGCCGGTGAGGCACGGGCCACTCTCCGCCCCCACCACACGCGTCGGTTGGTCAATCCCTGCATTGTGCCATGTGCCATGTACCATGTACATAGTCTACTGTAGACACCATGCACCCTGTAGACTCCTGTAGACTACCTTAGGAACAGTATCTATGTACAGAAAAACACCGTCTAAAAGGTAACATCCAAAACCTCCCGTCACCAAATCCTCTCCACCCGTTCACCCATCCACCCTCCTCAATTCCTCTCGTGAAATACAGATATACAGAAAGAAATATAGGCAGGCAGGCAGGCAGGCAGGCAGGCCGACTATGCGACGCTCCCTCACCCTGGCCCCAGCTGCCCAGACCCTCCACATCTACCGCGACCTCCTCCGCCAGGCATCCTACCTGCCCCCCATCTGTCAGCCATATGTCCGACAACAGATCGTCTCCCGCTTCCGCAGGCACGCCGCCGATGAGCCCGCCTCCCCACAGACAAGACGCCGTGTCCGCCAAGCCCGACATCACGCCCGCTTCCTGTTCGGCGCCAACAGCGGCCTTGTTGACAACCTGCACCGCATCCTGCTCCTCGTCTTCGGCAGGACTGGCTGCAGGAGGAGGCTGCTTGTCCACGCCCTGCTGCGACGCGATCCGCCTGCTGATTCCGCCCAACTAGAAGCCGCCATCGTGCAGGATGCACACGCCAGGACATACATCGCAAAGGACGGCTCTCTCGCCCAGCGGCCCGCGGACTGGCTGGACAAATGGGACACTCAAAAGCTGCGCGCCCTCGCCTCCTCCCAGGCCCAGCGCGGTCCTGCCCATAGCCCTAGGCCCGACATCAAGACAAGCCAGACCAACCCGGCTGCCAGGCTGCCCCACTCAAACATCTGGGAGAGGCCACTGCCTGCCACCCTGGCCCGGAGCAAGCTGCGCAAGGAGTACGTGCGCCTCATCAACCGTGTCCTGCCCCCCCTGCCCGCCACTGATTGGCATACCCTGCGTGCCCTGGCTCTGGGCCACGCCGACAGCATCGCGCTCTGCCACATGCCAGCAAGGCGCCTGCCAGCCACACCACTGCACGATGACCACGCCGCAAGCACGCACGCCGCAGGCACACGGTGGCATTGGCACGCCTACGCCACCGAGCCCGTGCGGTCTGTCGACCGGCCTAGCTCCAGAGCACATCGTGGTCGCACTGGTCACCAGGCGCCAGGCCCGCATGGGCAGGGCGCCGCCATCGGCCTCCACAGGTACACACCTAGGCTCCTGAGGCGGCTGTTCGCCAAGATATGGGAGATGACCCCAACCATGGAGGCGAGGCTCGGCGTCGAGGGCAAGTGGGACATCGTCTGGGGCAAGGTGGCCAAGGATGTCCCTGTCGCGGCAGCAACACATGCCGTTTTCTTTGAAGGGGCCCCCGATACTATCAGGACGGGGAAGAAAAGGGCCAGGCGTCTCTAGGGAAGCTATATTGTGCGCCTGGTCTTCTGCCTATCCTCTTATGTATCTGTATGTGTATCTGTATGCGTGTATGTGTGCACATATATGTGTGTGTCTGTGTGTGTGTGTGTGTGTCTGTGTGTGTGGTGGCTGTCTCAGTCCAGCATCTTGCTCAGTCTTACGAGCGCCTCCCTGTCGACCCTCATGCCCACCCACTCCTCCTGGCGTGTTGCGCCGATGACGTCTTCGTAGAACCGAATGCTGGGCTCATTCCATTTCAACACGCTCCAGTCCAGCCTACCCCCGTCCATTGCCACAACCTCTTTGGCCAGGGTTACTAGGAGCAGCTTCCCGTAGCCCTTGTTCCTCTCGCGCGGGGTGACATAGAGGTCTTCGAGGTAAATCCCAGCCTTGGCGCGCCAGGTCGAGTAGTTGTAAAAATACAAGGCCATACCTACAGCGGTCTTGTTATCGCCGGGGGCAAAGAGTAGGAGGCACCTGGCGGGCCTCAGGGGGCTGGTTGGCTCTGTGATGGGCAGCCCCCGGGCGTCTGCGGTTGGCTCGCCTTGGGAGAGCTCCGAGGGCGCGAATGCGATGGTAGAGGCAAGCTTTTCCACGGTAGCCTCGACCGAGCTGAGCTCCTTCTCGTAGTCTGCGAGCTCCTTGATAAGACCAAGGATAGCGGGTATATCTGAGGAGACATGAGCATCCGCAAGCCCAACCGTCCCAGATGGTTCGAGCCGTGTGTTGAGGAGGGGGGGACCGGCAGGGTGAAACTCACCTTCACGTCTGGCGTGTCGAACAAGAGCTTTCTCCGAAGCAGTCATGATGAAGATGAAGGCTGGTGGTTGGTCAGGGGTTTGCACAGCAAGGTGAGTTTGAAAGTTGGGCAGGTGTTGTCTGCAACGGGGTCGGGCAAGAGGTATTAGCCACGGTGCTGCGTATGATATGATGCTGTATTTGAACTACCTGGGTACCTACTGTGGGTAGTCTACTGTCACGGGCTGCGAGGATGGGGGACGATCTACTTGGGCGGATTAGATGCGCGTTATCCACCTGGCGGCGCGCATTCGCGCAGCTGATTAGACTCACTTTGAAGTTTTTGTATCTCTTCCGAGTGCTCTGTTAATTGCGGTGTGTGGGCCCGGGGGAGAGGGGGGTGATGGATGGGTGGGTATGTGTGTGTACACAGTATGTGCGTGTATAGGATGAGAGCTTGTTATGCGCCCCTCCTTTTCTTTTTTGTACCCCTCCTTAACCCAGCAGCCAGCCCGGTGTGCCTGGGTACCTGTGCTGGGGCAGATAGGTGGCCTGGGATGCTGCGTCCTTCCTTACAATCGGGCGGCTGCCGATTGGTGCCTGTGGGCTGCGCTGGCCCCTTCCGCCTCTCCCCAAACCGCGAAGACGGACAGGGGCGGTAGAAAAGGCTATACTAGATGCTATACGGTACCGGACGGTGACGTGACGTGTCGCACGGGACAGTAACGTATCGTGTCGTTGTCGTATCGTATCGTATCGTACCGTACCGTACCGTGCCGCGCCGCACCGCACCACACCGCACCAAGACGGGCTGCTCAAAGTGGCCCAATTCCTCGGTGGTCGACTAGATATTCTCCAGCTCCGGTCCTCAGCTCCGACCTCTGTGTCGTCAGCCGGTGGCCCTTTCTTTGTACTCTCTGGCGGCGGTTCATCGCGCCTTGGCGGCTGCAGGGAACGGGCGGCTGCAGGTTCAGGGGCGTCAACGTCTACGACACCAGACCACGACCACAACCAGGCCACGTCCACGTTCACCTCCACGTTCCACGCCCACCTCAAAGTCCTTCTCACCGCCGTGCATTTCTGGGCCCATCCCCGTCCCTGTCCCCGTCCCCGTCCCCGTTCCCGTCCTGTCTATTTCCCCATTCCTATCTCCTACATCCTTGCTGCGTTGGCAGGTCTGAAATCCGCGGTACCGTCGCTTGACCACGCCATTCCCTTCCGGAGCTTCGTTAGACTCCTATAGTCTCTCCCTTCCACAGCCAGTCCTCTTTCCTGCCTTGCCAGCACTAGGACATAATACATTGCGCCTGTTCTGTGTGCATACGCTCTTTGCTCAAGCCCCCGTGCCTTCGGTCCGTGCTGCTCGAGATGCCTCCCCTCGAGGCGAAGCCCACGGCCGATGAGGTCGTCACGTATGGAAGCACTCCGCCAACCGCTCCGCCCGACCTGAGGCTGCTCCACTACAATGATGTCTATCATCTGGACGCGTCTTCAGCTGAGCCCGTCGGTGGCATCGCCCGCTTTATGACCGTCTGCCACGAGTATCAGAAGGGAGACCGTTTCAAAGACCAGCCCGCCTGTGTCACCCTCTTCTCTGGTGACGCCTTTAACCCCAGCCTAGAGAGCTCTATAACTAAGGGCAGCCATATGGTGCCTATCCTAAACGCACTCGGCACCGACTGTGCCAGCCTGGGCAACCACGATCTCGACTTTGGTGTCAGCCAGTTCCGCAACCTGGCCGGGAAGTGTAGCTTTCCCTGGCTGATTGCAAACGTCCTCGACCCTGCTCTTGGCTGCAATGTCCCCATCGGCAACGCTAAGCGGACACACATCATCACTGCCAGTAATGGCTTAAAGATCGGTATTATTGGGCTCGGGGAGCGGGAGTGGCTCGAGACCATCAACTCTCTCCCGCCAGACCTCATCTACAAGTCCGCCAGTGAGACCGCCAAGGAACTCATCCCCCAGCTGCGCGCTGACGGTGCCGACCTGATCGTGGCGCTCACCCACATGCGCGAGCCAAATGACAACAAGCTGGCTGAGAACGTTGGTGACCAGATCGACATCATCTTGGGTGGCCACGACCACTACTACTCCCACAGCTTCATCAACGGCTGTCACGTGCTGAGGTCCGGCACCGACTTCAAACAGCTCAGCTACATCGAGGCCCGCAAAGCCCCTCCGGGCTCTCCTAGGCCGTGGCAATTTGTCATTTACCGCCGCGATATCGTCTCGTCCGTCGCCCAACACAGGCCCACCCTCGAGCTGGCAGAGAAGCTCACAGCGAAGCTCAAGCAGTCCCTCGAGAAGCCAGTGGGCTGGACTGCCGCACCCCTGGATGCCCGTTTCACCACGGTGCGTCTGCGCGAATCAAACATAGGCAACTTCGTATGTGACATCATGCGCCATCACTGTAGGTGTCTCTCTGCCCTGCTCCCCTGGCCTGCCGAGCCGCCGTCTGCTTCCCGATGCAATCCTCCAGAGTGCACTCACTACCTAGGTGCTCTGGGCTCCGTAGCAGGTTGCTGACTGATGCGTATTATGAACAGACTCTGCTGACTGCTCCCTGATGGCCGCCGGCACGATACGCGGCGACCAAGTCTACCCTCCCGGTCCGATCCGCGTCAAGGACATCACAGACTGTTTCCCCTTTGAGGACCCTGTAGTTGTCATCAAAGTTACTGGACAGGCCATACGTGAGGCGCTCGAGAACTCTGTGAGTCTGTATCCGGCACTGGAGGGGCGGTTCCCACAGGTCTCGAACATCCGCTTCACGTTTGACCCCAAGAGGCCAGTGAGCGACAGAGTCACCGAGGTGGACATTGCAGGCGATGGGTACCTCCCAGAGAAGGTCTATGTACTTGCTACGAGAGGCTATATGGGCCGTGGTAAAGGTGGGTCAAGTATGAAGTCTGCCCGGTGGTGAGGCCAAAGTACTAACTACGACTGACAGACGGCTACAAATCCCTTCTCATCGAGGAAGAGGGTGGCCAAGCTGTCGAACTTGTCTCGGAGGAGAATGGCATTCTAATCTCCATGATGTTGAGGCAATATTTCATGTCCCTCAAGGTTCTTGATCAATGGGCTCATATGGGACCGTCCATGAAACGCCATTGGGGCAAGGTCGTTTCTAATGTCACCAAGTCACACCCATGCCTGGAGCCGAAACACACACCTGTTCATGCCCATATAGCCGAGCACCCCGTCACGCCCGTCTCGAGTAAGGGAGGCAAGCGGGGTTGGGAACATTACTCGCCGGAAAAGATGCGCCAGAGGAGAAGCAGTGTGGGGCCACTGACGGAGAGGGAAACGGATGTTGAGCGTGACAGCTCCAGTCCTTCTCCGGAGCCCAAACCATTGGGTGGCATCACAGAGGAAGATGATGAAGAAATGGAACTTAGAATCATGAGGAAGACTTTCAGGAAATGGTGCAAAAAGGCAGGGGTCAACGCAAAGGCCGGAGAGGGACTTGAGGAGAACGAAGTCGACTGTGACTGGACCAAGGCGATTGCACCACAGGTCGAGGGGAGGATTTCAATGGTCGGAGAGTAAGCCTCATCCTCACGTAGATTAAGGTTCGTTGTGATAGATGAAAAAGAATGGCAAATAAACATAAAGATCGATCAAAATCGATGGTATGTACGGCTTCCCAGTGATGGGTCTCCGTCCACACACAGAAGCACATGTATCAAGGAGAGCCTGCTGGTTTGGTGGGCAAGCCCCAGTACTTAGACTACTCGAGTGACTTGCGCGCGTAACACGCACACGCACACGCACACAAAGTCAAGGAAAATCACAAGAAATAGACCTCCCCCTTTGCTTTCCTGGCAAACTCCCCTTCTTTATGCTTCTCGCAGATTACTTCGCCCCTGGCCCTAGTTGTTCCAAAATCACAAAGGTTCAGATATGCGAGCGAAAAGAAGGATGCCTCGCCCGGGCATAATCTGTCTTCTTGGGCTTTGGTTGCACGAACTTGAACATCCTGCGCTAGTCACTACGCCTAGAATCGTGTCGATATTCTGTAAGGAGTCTCACGGGCTGATAAAAAGCATATATCCTAGGTCATAACCATGGACTGCATAGGCACTTGAGATCCATTTGGCTTGCCTTGACTTTCCAATCAGTGGGTGACAACTCATTTAATGCAGCGCCTAAAGTGCTTATGTAATTCACAAAGACTCGTCGCCACTCAATTTCAAATATTGGGGTGGCGGCTCTCGCATACTTTCTGATTAGATCATTGGATGTTCTTCTTGAGTCAGCTCAGGCCAATGTCTAAAGATTCAAGTTCGAATGTTAGCATAAAGTGGTGAACTAACTAGGTAATAACAGTGAATCTGCAGTGTCCTTGAAATATGGGATTAGAAAACATGGCTTTAAAGCATCTCATACTGGTATTGGATTTCCATTGGCACATCTGACCGAAGGTCTCTGGAGTCTCCAATACGGTGCCGACTAATTGAAGCTGTCCGGGAAGATAGAGGCATGACACGAGGGGTGAGTAAGTAACCTGCTTTCAGTAGGTGTTTTGGCGGGTCTTCTACTGCTAAATGTATGTGACAATATTTCCCAGGCTCGATCGTATATCAAAGACTTCACATACAAGGTATATTCACCCATTAAAGCTTTCTGGGCGCAGTCCCTCAAAGTGTGTCGCGGATGGACGCCTTTGAGAGTATTAAATTGAAGTCGCGAAGCTCTGTGCCACCACAACGAGTGACATAATCTTTCAGGATATGATACAACGTTTCATGTGGTGGAGTGGATAGAGATAGACAAACAAATTAACAACACGTGGACGTACTCAGTGCTGCGGCCCACGACCTGCATTACACGGTGTCTTTGTCATGCTGCTAGTCGTATGTGCATTTACAGATACGCACATTTGTCTGCGTATGCGCAAAGACGCAACCTGAAATCGTGTTACAGATATGAAATTGCTTAGCGCCTCTAACATGGTCCGAAACAATCAAGATAACCAACACTGCGAGGCTGTAATTTGACGATTTCTAGAACTCAGCACAACCACAAACATCCACTAGTGGGTCAGGACCCAGTGCTGCCAACGTGCTGTAATAGGCTTGTTTCTTCTGCAAGGCGGTATCCCACAGGTCCGGCAATTCGGCAGTCCTGTAAGTGTATCTGTCCGTGAAGCCCCAAGTAGTGATCCCAACGCAACGAGAAACTTGCTTGCAGGCTCTTACGACAGTGGCGAAGTCCAATGCCTGCTGAGCATAGTCTGGACTGCTGGTAGGCGTACCGAGGTCGAGCTCAGTGTAGGCGACATCGACGCCCAGAGCAGCGAAGGACGTCAGCGTCGAGACTAGCCTTGCAGAGGACGGGAGTTCACCCGTGTTGAAGTGGCCCTGCAGACCGACACCATCAATCTTGGCGCCATACTCTTGAATACTCTTGACAAGGTTGATGACTGCGGTTGTCTTTATCGAGGGATACTCGATATTATAATCGTTGTAATAAAGTCTTGCAGACGGGTCCGCGGCAGCCGCGGCGGCGAATGCTATGGGAATGAAAGCTGGGCCGACTTTTGAGTACCAGACGGAATCAGAAGAGGACTTCTGTCCGCGAAACGTTCCGTCCGCGTCGATAGCCTCATTGACGACATCCCAGGCGTAGCATTTGCCTTTGAAATGCGTGACAACGTTTGCGATATGATTCTGGATAATTGCAATAATCGTAGAGTTGTCAAAGTTGCCATTGGTGACCCAGCTCGGAACATTCTTGTGCCAGATTAGGTTATGGCACCGCATGACTATACCGTTTCTAAGAGCTTGATTTACAATGCGGTCAGATAGCGTATAACTGAATGAGTCCCGACTCGGCTCAGTGTTGGCGAACTTTTGCTCATATTCGCACGTGTACGTGCCGAAGTCCTGGTTGCGTATGGCAATGGCATTTGCCGCCGCGTCATTGAGGACAGCTGTGGAAACTTGGCTTCCAAAGTACTTCAGTCCATTCTATAGCATTCAGAATTAGCGACCAAGGCATTGAGAGTGAAGTTTTGCTCGAAGATAGGTCGAAGCATCAATGATGCTACCATGTACACATTGCCTGTCTCAAATACTGCAACCTGACGGAGGGCTTCAAACCAAGCAGTGGAACAGACCACCAATATAACGGATGTTTATCATTAGAGAAGTTCAAATCATATCTGAAAGGCTTACACGCTGGGCGCGGACGTTCAAACCGTCAGCGGAAACAGGCCAGGTTCCGCCGAAAAGGACAGCGAAAGCAGCGAAAAGCAGCCTCATTTTGACATTGAACGGGAATGAGAAGATGCATGATCAGATCTGAAGAGGAACTCCAGGGCTTAGAGCGAAGGTGAACCGGGTATTTCAAGCAGAACGTGCTAGACTTTGATACTGACTGGAACGTAAAGTGCACCATGTGACAATGGTGAGAAAAGAGGACACACAGATATCCAGGATGGAAGAGTTCCGCAGGGTTGGAATGCTTGGCTTGGCTCATTTTGACATTAATCGAGTTTCCGATTATCTCGGCAGAGGACTTCAGCTATCGAGACCCATTTAGCGTGAAAACATGCAAACAGAAAGCCTCGTTGGGTTCTATTACTTTTGAAACATTTTCCAGAATGCGGACAGATTATATTTCACATATGCCTGTGGGAAATGTGGGTCTGATCGGGCTTGGTCACTACGATGGCACGGATGGTCACTGCTCCTCCCACACTGCGATCTCACGCGATCAAGTGGCTTGCAAGGGAATTGTATCCTGGATGAAATGAATTGATTCGCCCGGAGCGAAAACGAGAGCAATGCAGTTGCGTTTCTGAAACCATTCATAATCAACTGGCATGGAAATTCATAGCTGGCACAACAACAGACTGCGTTCGTCACTTTTCTGAGGTACCACCGCCTCTCGTGGCCCGAAACCATGGATACCTTGCACAAACCAACAAGATTAAGCACGGCTTGAACGGCATGAGCTTCGGTTGCAGGGTACAAAAGCACAAAATGCAAAGAGCGAGACAAATGTGTAATGTTCCATGTGTTCAGTATTCAAGATGCTTCATAGTAGCAAGCAAACTTTCAGAATTACTATCGATTGACTTAATATAAACTTGTGATATTCTAACTTTGCCCTACCTGTTCTCTATACTGTTACAATCTCTCCCTAAGCATACAATCATGACCGTGGTATAAGTTCAACCCATAGGCGACTCTAACACCGGAAAGAGCACCGGTTGATCCCTTCACGCACACTTAGGCATCGTCGGTAGGGTAGTGGTAAAATGAAGGGGAGAGGGGGATAGTTGGAAATGATCTCCGTTGTGTCGATGAATTCAACTGTTGCTTTTTTACTGCAAGACAGGTTAACGAGTGTTTTCCAAGAGAGGAACAGTTGGATAAAATTAAGAATGTGCTCTCATCAGGACGAGATTCCATTACGCGATTTATGCGAATCATCATTGTTGTTGATGCAGAAACCGTAGTGATAAATCTTGTCATCATTTTCAAATATCGCAGGAGGAAAAAGTATCCAAACGTACCTTAATTAGTATGGTCATTCAAATCTACTGGCAAAACCTCAATCCACTCGTTGCACAGTACAAGACTTTCGAGGTGCCTCAAAAACATCACCGCATTGGGACCAAGCAAGGGACGCGATGCTGAGCATTGTTGCAAAGACGGCAGGAAGACGAGGATGAGAGAAGAGGCCTGAGGAAACAGCTGCTATATATCTACCCATAAGTCAATTCTGGGTCCAAAGGAAGAGCTTTCACCCACGTCATGGTTCCACCTCGTGGAGTCTAAATGTGGTCGTGACCAAGGAAGCTGTTCAGCTTCGAGTCAGTCTGGAGCGCAGCGCCTTACGATCAGCCCCACACTGTAAACACTGTAAGTCGGAGCGGCTCCGTTGTCAAGATAACACCAGGTAACCGTTCACAGCAAGTTGCCATTATAATAACTGGCCATTGAGATGTTTCAGGTTGGCGATGCTTCACACAGGGTGTCTTGAGTGAGCTGCTCAATGTTCGAGGGCAACTATACGGCCGCAAAAGGAGGAACAGGGCCGACTCCGTCTGCTGTTTCTGAACTTTGTAGCGTTTTGAATATGTACGCACGAATCTGTTGTCCTCACATGCACCTAGCTCGTGGCACATTCGATGAAACTGGGGTCAAAGAACAGTTTGTCCTCTGCGTAATCTGTAGTCATGAGCAGACTCCAGATCATGCCGCCCGCCCCTCAAAGCAACCAGTCTTGTAGTCAGTGACGCTCGCTCCCATCAAGTGATCGGAAGGGCCGCTAAAAGTGGCTAGCAGCGTAAGGCGGAAAGGCCTTGCTGGTGGGGTTTTGAACGTGCTGTCTTTATAATGACTTCCTCATGTAGATGAAGAGCAGGAACTGCCAAACCAAACATATCGCAGAACCCGAAAAAAGCCCACTATAAGTTGGCTGTAGTAGATTCTAGAATGGGCGATTCTAGCAGTTCAGCCATCCAAAATTATGGCAACTTCTTAATGAGACACCCTGGTAGCAAGATCTCAATTGAGAACAAGCTACGCCAGCCGATCTGGATGCATCATCTACGTCCTGGAAGTGGTCAAATATAGAATATTTGAGAGAGCTAACTACACATGGAATTGGTAGGTGCTCGTGAATAGTACTGCCACAAACGCAGTTGGCTTAATGGAGTATGTCTGTCCTGATAATTGTACTGAATTGCCGGGGCTCCAGTGAGATCTGTCCACCTAGCTCGATGATTGATTGGCCAAGTAACCAGCTGGTGATCATTATAAACATTAAACTTCTTTACCTCTTTCCAAGTCGCAGACTCGGTTGTGCTTTATACTACGTCAGCAGGCCAGGACGGATTCATCGGAGCAAGAAACGTGAATAGTTGAGGTCTCAGACTCAGCCCTCCAAATCCGCTTTCGGTTCTTTTTCTACGTCATTTGCCCTTAGACTCGTGCAGGAATGGCCCTCGCTGCCATTCACTTTTGGCATACCACCCAGGAGCTAGAGATCCCTCACTGAGAGCGTGGAGCCTGTCTCTACGGCCACAGAGTCACGACTGTGGCCCTGAGGAAGAGGTACTGGAAGAGTCACGAGAGAAAAGTTGCTCGAGAATTATTGAACGAAGGTGAATTGTTTGCAACACTGATTCTCAGAGGAGCTGGCCTGGGCAAAGATATTAGCCCTTCGAGTCTCGGTAGAGAAGCAGCATTTAGACCAGAGGTCGTTTGTCTCACTATCACAATAGAGTAGACCCTTATTTGATCGGCTGTCATATTGCCTAGGGTTGCTCTGCCCGACAATTAGGCGAAAAGTTAGCTTCTGACTCCTGGGTATGGGTTGAGCCCTATGTCTGTCCGTACGCGACTCAGCATCCATGGCATGTCTTCTTCGCGTCGTCTTGCCCCCGCTTCTCTGCAAATCCGGGGTAAAAAATCTGTGCGCAGCCTCAAATTCCCACGCAGATTCATAAGGCGACGCGCTGAATCGCCAGGGAAACCCGCCCGAGGCCATGCGCAGCGAGTTGAAAGCATAGGAGCATGGCTGCTTAATATTGCGTTTCCTGGACAGCAAGGGCCCTCGTATCCATTGGCAAGAAGCCCTGATCAAGCACGGGCCTCGCTGGCAGGTACCGACTTTACATTTCAAGAAGCTGGTCCAGATACTGCTTTCATAGCCAACCTTGAAGCATGCATACTGTATCCTTGGGTGACACCTGTCGAAAGCGATTTTAGGGATAATTATCGCCGGATTTCGATCGCACCCCGCAGGAATGCCCTGGGTTTTGTCAAGACCGTCGGGGACGGCTTGCATGAGGCTGATTTCGGGTTTGTCCCAACTGTCTTGATATATTCAGCCACCTTGGAGCGCAGGAGACTTGGGGTCTGAAAGTTTTGTCTCGCCCAAGGTTGCCATTGCGATACGGCTCAAAGTCTGGCCTGGCAGACTAGCCTCTCTGGTTAATGAAGATCGGAGGTCTGTTACCCGCCCCTGTCACCGTTTCCCCTTCTGGTTATCGACCATCCTAACAACGACATGGTAGCCCCCACGTCGCAGTGGGACTCATTTGACCACAGTGCCTCGGTACGTTCACTCAGTTCCAACGGCAGACGGCCGCGGCAGCTCGGAAGATCTTTTGCCATGGAAAAGCATTCTGACCTGCTGCTCCGTATCTCGACGGTCAAGTCACCAAAGCGTCCGTACGTTGAGAACTCACAGAGAGGCAAAGCGTTCGACGACAATAATGCTCTAAGATCTCTGCCATTCGTCCATTCCTCCAACGGGCCCAGGGTGCCATGCTGAAGCTCAGGTGATATTGGAAAGGTTCGAGAACCGCAATGCGGATGTGCACCCATAAGCTTTACTAGGGTCCCGAGACGATAGCTTAGTGATCGGCAATAAGACGGTCGCTAGCCACCAACGATGAGGCTCCATCGCTGCGGGCCACATCCACTGCCATCTTCCAGAGGTGTATCAGGAATGGGTCTTCAGGGGGCCTGGGTGCACAACAGCTGTGATCCCGGGCGGCGTAGATCTCCCTTGCCCGCCGATCATGCCCGCGTCTTTTCGGACCGCCGAGTCTCCCGAGGTCTTGTTTTGCACCCCTGACGCTCATCAGTCGGAACAACCGAAGACGAGGTTTCAAGGCTGCTCTGGGGACGGCAGTTGTCCTGCCTGTAATACATGAGTTGCTGAGCCGTTCAGCAGCTTCATACCTGGGTAATTGTTTGCTAGGCCATGAAAGAGAGCCGAGTGTCAGAAACCCGTCAGTGTACATTGACGACTCGGGCCTCATCTTGCCGCTCTGCCCGCCGCTGGCCCGCAATGAAGTTATCGTCGTGAAATTTCTGCAACCTGTGTAATCAGAGCTTGTGGTACCGCATGAGCGAGCCGGCCCCGAGAGTGCCTCTTTATGGGCCTCACCCCCTGCGTCTTGCTCAAGCATCATCGCAGTGGGTCAATTGTCTTGACGCCTTGAAATCGCCGGCTACCACTAGTGTTGTCTCGACGATCGGTCCCACTCGTTCTTGCGCATTGCACCCACGCGTGCCATTTCACTAGGCAGTTCTGGTAGCCCAGATTTGCCGCTCACCCAGGATACTTCCAGACATGGCGATCCATTATCATAATTATCCGCGGAAGTGTCTATGACAGCCGCCAGGTGGGCTAGGTGGGTTCATACTACAGTAATGCTGGCAATTTGCTTGAAGACAAGGAGAGACCTTGCCACTAGGCAATCTTAGATCAGGAGAAAACTCCTGGAGTCCCTCTTTTCCCCAGCGTCAGTATCTGTTCTCACCATCTCTGCACGATCGTAGCATCATCGTTCGCTTTTCACCTTCGCCTCACAAGAGCGGTTGAGTTCGACCGTCGTACCGGTCTCGTACATCTCTCGGAACAACAAATGTAGACAGTCACAACAATCGACGTTATAACATCGAGTCGTGTTCGCTATCAGGGGAAAATGGCCATCTACAAAGACGATGCTCCTAGTAAGTACCTTTCTCATGCCAGAACCCCCTTTTCCTCCCCCTTGAAGGGTCTTGAATGCCGTGTCAGATGTCTTGCGGGATACGGCCTGTGTGACAACTCTAGAGACCTCTTCGTAGACCTTCTGGGACTATCGAGATCGAAGTTGCTAACTAGAAATGGTTGGATAAGACGTCTTAGGAGGCGTTGTGACCTTGATGATTTTCGCCTACGTAACTTTCGCTCTCCGAGTATGGGTTCGACATGGAAAGACGTGGGGAAGCGAAGATTGGGTCATGACCTTCGCAACTGTGAGTTACGTGGAAGATGAGAGAAAGCCATCAATCTTTTCTAATTGACGCTCTGGTCATCTAGATCCCATTCTCCGTCCTGACAATAAGTTGCATTCTTGCTGCACTTAACGGCGTTGGTGTCCATGCCACGCACCTCAAGGAACCCGGAAATGAGCAATACCAAACACTGGGCTTGATGTACTTCTTTCTCTTCGAGGTCTTCTACTGCGCAGCCATTCTACCCATCAAGCTTTCGATCTCCCTAATGCTGATACGAATCGCACAAAATCGAAAAGGATACATTTATTCTCAGTGGGCTATGATGGTCCTCTTCTTTCTAGCGGATGGCGGTGCGCTGTTTTACATCATCTTTCAGTGTACGCCTGTATCTTACGCCTGGAACACCGATCAAGATGGGTCTTGTCTCCCGGCCGCATATCTCGCCGACGTTTACTACGCTTGCACAGCGGTGAACATACTCACGGACTGGGTGTAAGTAGCATTTGGGAAGGATTCATTTTCTTTCTTGGGGGCTCATCGAAGGCGGCTGCATGAACATATAAGCTGTCAAAGACTAAGGCAGCTCTTTGACAACTCTGAAGTCCCAACCTTTTCTTTCTTTTCGCAACGGAGGATATCGTACTGACCCCGCGGAATAGTACCGCCCTGCTGCCTATTCCATTATTATGGCATGTTCGGCTTGAGCGAAGTGAGAAGCTTTCAGTTGCAGCAATTCTCGGACTGGGCATTTTGTAAGTCGTCCAGCCAGTCCGTCCTTGTCACAGGCAGGCCATCCTTGCTCCATACTTACAACTCCCTAGTGCAAGCTTGGCAGCGTGCATCAGATTGAACTACACAATCAATCTTACCGATTCCGCGGACTATTTGTGTGAGTCCATTACCAACCCCAGATGTGGGCCTGAGGAACTAAACATTCTAGACTCGGTCTCCAATATTGTGATATGGGGTTATGGAGAGATCGCCGTAGGAATGTTTTGTGGGTGCCTCGCGACCCTCAGGCCGCTTTTCCGAAAAATGTTCCGTCTAGGCTCCCTTGGCACATCCGGACAAAAGCCCACAGGTGGCGCGTCGAACCTACCATTTCCCCAGAACTCGAGAAAGACCTACGAGCAATTCTCAAATGGGCGAGATGTCGAGATGGGAAATATGGGGACTGTCAGTAATGCTTATAAAGGGCCCGCCCAGGATTCCGATGAGAACTTCCGTGCTAGCAGTATGTCGAGTGAACCCGATAGCATGGACCAGATTCTGTGTGAGGCCAAGAAGCATGGGATGGGTAATAAGAGCATTGTTGTGAGTCGACAAGTTAATGTCGACCGTTCTGCGGCTTAGTGGGCACTATTTTGGACTGCGTTCGGCGTTGAAGTGAGGCAGGTGATATCTGGTGTCTTGTGTAATACCTGCGATGGATGTAATTAATCAAAACTTAATGTCAGACATCTTGATTACAGTTGTGCGATGCGGTGCGATTGCTGTCCTGCCAATCTGACACCTAAGCACATGATCTCGGGCCCACTGCCGTGGCCAGCGCTGTTCTTTGTCCCCATTAAATGCCGGCGACAAAATCCTGTACATAAATAGTGTTGCATCTTATCAGAAGGTTCCCGTAGCAGCAGATGACCGTTATTAAAGGTTAGGAAGGACATTCAATTGTATGATTATTTAATGAGAATTCGACAAACACCGGGAATTATTTCTTTTCCAGGGGTATTCTTCGCATAGGCGCACCGCTCACTCAGCCTTCGGCGTTAAAAAGTAGATGAAGGGGCTTTGGCGACACTGAGCTGACAAGAAAGCTTTCAAGTCGGATGAATGCGACCCTTTGACTAAAGAAAGGAGCACCTCGTGTTCCCGTACGGATAATACACCGGCCATGGTTCAGGCAAACCAAAAAAGACCCGTTCAATAGCACGGAACTATAGGTAATTCGAGCCGCCTCAAGGGTATACCGAGCTTTTCGTTGTGATACGATTTGAAAACTGGCTGTGCGACAGAGATTTCATGACGCTGATAAACGTTCATTGGAATAACGTTGATCATGCGTCTCGATTTAGAAAGTGCTGTATATAATGTATACAGGCTTGTGGTGCTCCATTTGTATCTTCTTTGCCCGTAGAGCCTCTGGATCTTGTACTTAGTTCCAAATATTGGAATGCGATGCCTGATAATTCTAATCGAGTGATGAGAAAGCTCGCATGAAGCTTTCTCTTCAGAAGCTCTCCGCCAAGTGTGCTCCGGCTTCACCATGCGGGTGAATTACCTAATTGATTGGACACCTGTTTGTACGAGAGACGAGAGAGATTTTACGCAAGAGGCGGAAAAGAATGCTGAACTTAGACGCCCATCTGGCATAGAAAAGTTGATCAGATCTCCAAGAAGCTATAACATAAACGCTATGTTGTAATGTCTCGTGTGTGTGCATTGCCCTGCATGTTGCTATTCCCACATGCCACCACCCATACTCTACTCAAAAACGAAGCCCGGATAACCATCCGCGGCTACTTCATTAAGTGTGGCGTAGTAGTTAGAAACGCCGCCTAGATAAAGTAGAGGCTCTCGCGGCTTGCCGGGAACGTTGTCTCCCATGTACCACTAGATTTTAAGGCAGTAAGCATTCCTTTTTCGATAATACGGATTCTGCAAGATAGCAAGAGAAGAGCATACCGATTTTGTGTTAGGTACTAAGGTCATGCTGGCTAAGGTTAGGATGGTTTGCCGCCATCTCTCCTCAAACTCCTTCTCCGCCACCACTTTTCTCTCACCGGCCTCTCTCATCCGGGTTATCAATCCCACTATCCAGCCCCCCTGCATCTGTGCGCACTGCAAAGACCGGAGAATTAGCTATAACATATCAAAGACTAAGGTTCACATAAGCTCCCAGCAGAAATATAACACCTCTTGAGAATATATATCGAGAGCGCCGAGGCACGTCTCTAAGATTCAGCTCGAATCATTTTCTTCATGCTCAGGGTGGTCTGCTGCCAGTTCAAAAAAGCACTTGGGGCTACTCACAGTTGGTCCATTGCAGAGCGCCGTGGGTCCCTGAGGCCCATACGTAAAAAACATATTTGGGAATCCGGAGACTGTCATGCCGAGATAAGTCCGAGTCCCTTTCTTCCAATAGTCGGCCAGGCTCTCGCCACAAATGCTCTTGATATCGATTTGCTTAAGCCCACCTGTAATGCTGTCGAAGCCAGTAGCACATATGATGTGATCGAACTCCCACTCTTTCTCGGAAGTTCTGATTCCTTTCCCGGTGATAGTCTGAACTGGGGTTGCGTTCACGTCGACAAGGTATATATGGGGCTTGTTGAAAATCTCGAAGTAACCTTGCTCGAGAGAGATTCGCTTACAGCCGAAACTGTATGGTGCTGTTATCGGTGCGAGGAGGTCCTGCTTGCGGGGATCATGAATCTTGGCGCGGGTCTTGTCACGCCAGAATGAGTATGCCTCATTGTTGGCAGCCTTGCTCGAAAGAAGGTCCTGGTAGTTGGCAAGCCAAAATTTGAAGTCACCCTCTTTCCAAAGGGCCTCGTAGATCGCCAGCCGTTTTTCAGGGGGATCATCGAATGTGTTGCGACCAATAGGACTGAATGAGAAGCCGCTAAAGGACAATGGGCGAGCCTTGAAAAGCTCTGGGTACGCTTCCCGTCTGAGTGCCTGCTCCCCATTCTTGTAATTGACCTGCTTCATGGGCAAAGCCGTATTGGGTGTGCGTTGAAAGATCACAAGTTCGCTAACCGCTGAACTGAGTTCTGTTGCCAGTTGCACCCCAGTTGAGCCAGTACCAATTATAGCCACCCTCTTGCCCTTCAGGTCTAAATCCTCGTGAGGCCAATACGATGGGTGAATGAAAGTCCCCTTGAATGTTTCAATGCCGGGCCAGTCTGGGATGTATCGCTTGGCGGCAAAGCCTGTGTTCAACAAGAAGTACTTGGCCTCGAAAACAATGCCTTCCCGAGTCTCGATAGTCCAGAGAGTCTCAGAGTCGTCCCAGCTGGCAGACTTCACAAAGGTATTGAAATAGGTATCCTTCCGCAAATCCCATCTTCGCGCAGGATCAGGGACTGAATCTTTGATAGGACGAAAACAATACACAGGGACTTACACTTCTGCGACATGAGAAAAGTAATCCCGGATCTCGAGAGAGTCTGGGAACCTCTGTTTCCAAGCCCATGTGCTCCACAAAGCCGGGTCATCGAACTCGTAGTGAGGGGTAGTGCTGTCGACGCGCGCGCCAGGATACCTATTCCAGTACCATACACCACCGTAATCGCCGCCGCTATCAACAAGCTTAGTCCTATAGCCCAATTCTCTCAGGCGCTTGAGCTGGTATACACCTCCGAACCCAGCACCGACAACCAGTGCATCGAGTTTCTCGACATGATTCGATTCGGACCCCATCGTAAGGCAATGTGAAGCAGAGGTATGCACCAAAGATAGTTTGATGTAATATGTGGAGGTGACAAGGAGAATTTAGATGACCTGGATTCAGAATTGGACGGCCAAAGTCCGTGAGGAAGTGGGTTCAGCAACCGCAATGACTTATACGTCCAATAAAGCCGGGAGATCTCGCCGAGAATCCTAAGAGATCAATAGCAAGATTTGAATCCAACCTTATCAAAATTCCGTGGACAAAAAATTTGGAGTGATGTGGCGTGTTGGACCGTGAGAGAAGAGCAGGCACTGGACGAAGTACCATGCTTTTGCCACTACACGCATGCATGAAGGGGGGTGAGATTTTTCGCGCGTGACCTTGCAGAAAAAGGAAACAATGAGAAGAAAGAAGAAGAAGAGTAGAGGAAGGAGCGGGGCATCCTTTTGCCCGTTGGTCCAGGCCGTCAGGTGAGAATGTTCTTCTCTCTCGTGCAAGGGTATTCAGGAAGGACGAAGCATCTCCGCCAAGGTCCAGATAGGGAGGCTAAGACATCGGACTTCCATTGGCGGTCATGCTGGACTTATACTGGACAAAAACACAAGCAGAAGCGCTCTTCCGGTAAAAAGTTCAATGAACAGCGTGGAGTTGTTGTCCTTGGCTAAATAGCTCAGTCCGTACTTCAGAGGGTGTGGATGAATACATTCATTTGCTTCTGTAGTTTAATAGAAAGTACGTAAGACCGGAAATGAGTGCTGAGCTCTATATCCGACGGTCGCAGTAAGTGCATCACATTGTGGACTCGCTGTGCCTAGCTCGGCATATTTGACGCGAGGGGTAGTTGAACTACAGAGGAAATGGATGCACCCACACTTCTGCAGTATGGATTGGCCCTCGCATAGTGTTGCCTGGATTCAACTGGGGTGGGTGGAACCCGGATGCAATAGGTTCGACAGGACGTAATCATGGATTTGGGCACGATGAAAACACAGATGGCCTTTTCGATATCACACACCGTCTCTGGCTACCACCATCACCTGCCCTTAATCTGATGGCTGTCTTTGGTTGCAAATTTATGCCTATACACGGTTAGTGTTCATGGATAGGCTCGCCTCTTTTCTCGTTGACGTTCATAAGAAGGCCCTGCTACATCAACGATGCAGAGGGCCCGACGGACTTACCAGCGTAGAGTCCAACACGCTTGAGTTGGTGCTCGTTGCATATAAGGCACTTCTTAACTGACCCAGTAATATGGATTCTGCTGCTAGAGACAGTTCGTCTGGCCTCAAGACACGCACACATACTAAGCGATTCTTGCCTCGGCCTTGTTCTGTTCCAGTCCATCAATATCACCCTTGTGAGGGATTGCGGGGTTTTAAGACTAGCAAATTGAGTAAACAGGCCGCGAGGAATGGGATGTGACAAGGAAGTATGTATTGTATCATGTAGAATTCAAGCTCGTGTCCAGACTAGATAGCGGCTTCAACGGTGTGTTCGATTTATCTCATGCCACGTACTACGGCGGCTCAAAGACATAGAACAACAGCGTGTCTATCTCGTAGTACGTCCTTGAACAGGCAGAGCTTGCAACAGCCACTTCCAGACACCATCGCGATGACCGCCAGCCGGCCGACGTTTGATGAATGCTGATTTAATAGGCACATCGTGACTCCTCCTTGCCTTGAGCCACGGACTCGAATTATCACCGGTTTACCGCGCTATGTTTGACTCTTGGGGGACTCTGTTATTGTCTCTGGCCGTATGACTCAACAGCATACTCAGAGGGTGTGTGAGTCCGTTTTCCTCTGTATTTGAAAAGTTTCCCTCAATCTATCGTCCCATTGAATAACTTCCCATTATCGCAGGTCGGTAAGTTGGCCGCATTTTCTTGGCGACAGCCCCCGTCGCAAGTGAAGAGTGTCTGCTGGCCGTTCACACAGGTGAAGAAGATGGGCGAGCTGAACGACGCGGATTGGATGCAGCCGTTTTGGGTTTGGACGGTCTGGCAGATGTTGACGGTTTGGCGCTCGCTAACCTGAGCTGCTATAGCCAGGCTATTGAGGACGAGGACGACAGCAATGGCCGGGATTTGCATGGCAGGAGAAGAGAGCTGAACAGCAACGAGGGTGGGCGACGAGGGCAAAGCTGGGCAGAGCGGGACTGGTGCTGGCGGCAGGGCCGGTTCTTTCAGTAGGCTCTTGATACTGTGAAGAGCCTCATGAGATGATGAAGTGTTGAGAGGTTGGCGTGCAACACATCATTACGGCACGATCTTGGGGAGAGAGCAGAAACACCTGGACCGGGGGGGGGGGCAGCATTTGCCGACTTGGCCGTTTGAGATATCCTGCCTTGCAAGGGGTTCAGGGGGTGTTTCGAATTGCCACCACGTCGGCGCACGGGCAATTTGACCCTAACTGCTCAACTAAGCCATAGCTGCAAAGAATTTCGAGGAATTGGAGGGCAATTGAAGCTGGTCAGATTGTCTCCAACTTCGCATCACTCCCCGTCAGATCACGATGGCTCGGCGCCAGGTTCTTGGCACGCCGAAACATTTGGTAATGTAGCATATCTATAAAGATGAGCATGCTGTGGATGCCAACATAAAGAGTCTCTTTCTAGTCTACATCCCAGCTCTGCCGTATCAACCTATGTCCTGTTCCACACCGCATATGTTGAGGCAACTCCAGTCAGCCAGCTTCTCGAACACAATCCCTGCAGTGGCGCCCCCCAACAGTCTGACACGGCCCTGTAAGACCCGGTCACCAATACAAGAATACCCAAATGTCAGGAAGCATTACTGCGTGACATACAGCCATACCATCCCCGGTCGCCATCACACATATGATCTACTGATCTATACAAAACTCACGACGTGACGCACAAGATCCAGTGTGAGGGGTGGCCGTGCCGAAGGAAATATCCATAGCTTCGGGTCATAGGCATCTTGTGTAGGACCAAAAAAGAGTAAGACACTTAGGGAAAATGTCTGTATTGGCCTATCAATAAACATGAATGCGGCCCAGGCTCCTCCAGGCTACAAGACAGATCATCCTATGGCCAGTATCTCCAACCCAGTAGTCACTGAGTTGACACGACTCTGGATTATGCAAAACTTAGACCTGTTTGAAAGTGCTGATCTAATACACACCGAAAACACTTGCACCTGCTCATTTTAAAGTTAACAATATGACCTTCATGCAAGGCTTCCATATATTGGAACAATAACTAAAGATAGAGTTTCAAAAGGACCATTTTTATTACTTACTATACTCTCGGAATCAACATTGAAAAAGGTCATTATCTAATACGGCCCTGCAATACTGCGAATGATCTCCAAAAAATCAGTATAGATAGGAGGCTTTTTTGAAAAGACCATTTAGCAGGGTTGTAAATTACGCATGCAAAGAGTTGTCATTTATAGTAGCTCACTGGGGGCGAGGCACATTGGAAGGGTACAGCTGGCACTGGCGCGTTGGGCGAGGACATACATAGATGCGCCTTCTCACGGACAAGCACAAGGGAGGCCGACGAAATCGGTCATCACGAAGCCGAATTGCCATACACGGCGCGTTGTATGACATTCATGGCCTTGACGCAGTCATGTATGCTCGAAAAAGACAGCATGATTACTTGAATGCAAACATGCCTGAAGTTCACAACGATTCAATGTGTTCTTTGAATTGGGTTGTAAAAAAAAAAAAAGGACAAAGGCTGATGCTGCCGCCGCGACCAGCGGGCGGCGTACCTAGGTCAAACCCGGTTGACGTGAACTCCCAGCCGCCAACTGCCAAACAGCTTCCCAACAGAGACCAGCTACTGGGGATGAAAATGTACAAGAAGATGCAGAAGACGTACCACGCCCAAACATCCTAATTAACGCCCTTTTAGTGTGCTCCTGTATGGCGTTGACCGATTGTATGCGCACCTGTGATGAATGCACCTGGCACTATCACACACGTACCCAGGATGGATGGCAAGAGCGACATGGCATAGAGTGGGGTATCACGACATCTTCTGAACGAAATATCTACCGCGCGTCTGCGTTACGCATGAGACGCGATACGGCAGGACGGCCATTCCCATGCGAGTGGATCACGCCGCCCCGGAATTGCCCCAGACAGATCGCACACGCAATGTTGATGCAACCTTGTCGCCGTCGCCAGAGACCCTGGACACTGCAACTGTCACGGATTAGGCATGGGCATGTCCGTGTAGAAGAGAGCCTGCCCGGTCATATCCATGTACACCTGCCTCGCAGTAGGATCGAGGTCCATAATGCTGAAGCTAAGTGATGACGGATCCAGATGGCCATGCCCCAACTGGGCTTGTTCGTACAGGGCCGGATCAAAAGGCGCAACCCGCGGTGTGGCCTGCTCAACAGGCGAAATTTGCGGGGGTGTTGGTAAGGGCCCATTCATGCGGGTGAGATTGTGCCGAGGGAGTGCCTGGGGCTGTGATTGCGGCGGCATCTCTGCGGCGCTCATCTCTTCCAACGAATAGTACAGTGATTTGCTACTGCTTGCAACTGGCGAGTGAGCCATGTCAGGGTCATTCAGAGAGTCTTCCACCTCACGGATGGCGGCAGTCACGAAGCCGACCCCCCTGGACCGCACCTTCAAGCTCCACTGGAAGTCTATGAGCTTTTGCCGGTAAAAGCCGGCCTCCATCTCGGTGCTGCTGGTTGCCCATAGAAGACCGCCGAATGACCTGATGAGGGCTAGTGACTTTGGCGCTGCGGACCACCAGAAGGCTTGCAGATGCTCGGGACGTAGGCACTCGACGAAGCTCATGGCCTTCTCAAGGCAGGCCTTACCTGCCTCACGAGCGATGTCTCGGACGGCAGGCAGGGTGTCGGGAGTGACTCGGCGCATGATGAAGCGGTATATCATGATTTCGGTAATGAAATAAGACAGATGGAGGTTGCCGTTGGAGCAGAGTCGTCTCGGCTTCGTAGAGTCCATTTCTAGGCCCGGAGGTATCTCCTCGGCCCACGCCTCGAGCCTCCTGACCATGGGCTTCACCATGTTCATGAGACCCTGCACACCGTGCTGGGCATAGACGCTCTCTGTGCGCACCTGGTTTGGCCCGTACAGAGCCTCGAGGGTTTCTGCCATAATTTCGGTCAGATGTGTCAGGTGGATGAAGACCTGCCGCCCTGTCTCGACTTCTGTGCTCCCGTCCTTGCCGTCATCATCTGCGGCTGATTCTGGGAAGTCGTCGAGCGCTAGGTGAGGGATGCGCCAGGAGCCTGGGGTGATGTGTGACGGTCGACCGTGGGTGAAGGCGCTCCACTTGTCTTGCATGAAGACGGCCCAGGCCAGCCTCCTCCTCAGCCCCTTCTCCCAGTCCGGAATATTCCACAAGGAGCAGTCCATGTGTAGCCCAAGCTCCTCCGCAAGCGCCACTACCTGGCTCGTCAACACCCACGAGTCCCCTCCTGACCTCTGCAGCAGCAGCAAGCCTGCCTGGACCGTAGAGAGCTTTGGGCGGTGGATGACGGCGGACAAGGAGGTCATGGCCACCTTGAGCAGCGCCATCGCGTCCGGCTTGTCCTTGGATGACAGATCGGGATCGTACTCCCACCAGTCCATGGCAATGAGGTAGAAGGCGGCAAGCTGAGGCGGAGAGAATTCCTTGAAGGAGCGCGCGTACTTCTCGAGCCATACGGCCTTGTGGATCACAGGAAAGCTCGGGTGCACTGTCCTGAAGTACAGGTTGACGAGTGCTGGCCCGTGTGGACGGACGAGCGACTCGACGTAGTCAAGGTCGTCGTCGTCGTCGGCGCTGAACAGGGTCTTGGAATCTGGCCGCGACAAGAACGTGATGGCGTTGTCGGCGCGGCGAAACTTGGAAGTTGTCTCGTCGGCGCCATGATCCACCAGGCCGTACAAGACGTCGAGGAGCTGTCCCTCGTACACAGAACTGGGGCCGATGTACCTGAAATGCGTGCTGCCGTGGAGGCCCAGGGTGCAGTCAAGAAGCGACCTTGCACTTGAGGGGCTCGTGGCATGGGAGTCATCTCGAGAAGTAGCAGATTTCGGCTTTTTCCTGGACGAACTAGGGGACGAATTGTGAGGGTCAGCATCCGTGAGGCACACTGGGAGGGAGCGGCACCGGCCGCTAGGGGAGGAGTGAGCGAGGAAAGACGGGGGCGTACGGATCGGAGCTCTGCCTGCGGTGCTCTGGGGTCGAGGAGATGCTTGCCAAGCTGTCAGCCTTGGGCCTCTTCCTCCGCTGAGGCTCATCGAGGTAGGTGCATGCGCGACGGTGGAAGGAGCACAAGACACACTTGTCCTGGCCGGGCTCCTTGACGCATCTCGACTTCCTCTTGCGGCAGGTGTCGCAGGGGCGGTCGGCGCGGGTGCGGGTGGCTTGCGATGAGTGCGCGGCGTGTGGCTGGCCCGCGGCGGCGCCCGTGCCAGCGCCAGCGTCAGGGCTGGAGCAGGTGCTTGCTTCTGAGGCGTGACATTTGTCTCGAAGAAGGTCCATGGGGAGGATCGGGGGAGGTTGTCAGGCTGGAGGCTGGCTGACTGGCTGGCTGGCTGGCTGGCTTGTCTCCTCTTGCCCTTGGCTCGGCGGACAGAAGCATCGCGGAGCACAACGCAGGAGGCGAGGCTGGGAAAAGGGGTGTGGGGGTGGGGGTATGTATCTATCTGTATGTGTACGGGCGAGAGGCGAGACACGACCAGATCTGGCCTGACCAGACCAGACCAGACCCAGGCCTGACCAGAAGGGTGAGGCGAAGCATGGCGAATGTTCCGCTCCCGGATCCTCCACAGGGATCAGAGCACCTGTGTCAGGAACAAGGGGCGGGCGGGTGCTGGGTTACTGCGCCGTGCTGTACTATACCAGTAGTATCGCAGGACTAGTAGTATGTAGGCAAGTCGTCTTGTGTCTGCTATTTGCTAGTGTACCAGGCTGGGAGCCTGTTGACGTCGACGTCAAAGTCAAGGCCGTCGCCGGTTTGGCCATGGGGATTCCGATTCCCGATCAGATCTGTATATAGCACGATTCCCAAGTCCATGTCCAGGTCCAGGTCAAGGTCCGGGCGCATGCAGGGTGGACGTGTGGTGGACTGGTGGGCGTGTGGACGTGGGGACTTTGGGGGGGGGGGGGGACTTGGGGGACTTGAACTGCCAGGACTGCGAAATGCAAGACGTGGAGAAATGAGTCTCGTGGTGTTTGGCTCTCATGGGTCGACTGCCTCGGGGTGTTTCGCTGTGATGGTGCAACATGGAGGCTCAAAACCTTATCGCCCCTGCCGCGGCCCAGGGTCAGGGCCGGGTCCGGGGCCCCGGTCCAAAACGGTCGATGGCTACCTACTGTGGTAGGCGTGCTAGGTAAGCACGGTAAGGTACCTAGGTACCCAGGTAGTCTAGGCAGTCTAGTGTACGGACGTATATATATATAAATATGAAAAGACAGTGTGTATTCTGGCCCACTGGTCAACGTGTCACACCGCAGCTATCACCAAAAGAAGGCGTATGGCTGCAATTTGACTGTGTTGACTATTTGGGTGTGTGTTGGCTAAAAGATCTACGTACGTACGTACGGCGTAGCCGATTTGGTGTTTGGCTGCAGCTGGGCTGCTTACGTAATCCCTACTGGATCCACAACAGTGCAAGCTTGACGGTTGTCAGACGGTCGGGTGCACTGGGCAGCTTGTGTAGGAAATACCTACCCAGGTAGAGTTACCCAGGTAGAGTTACCCAGGTAGAGTTACCCAGGTAGAGTTACCCAGGTAGAGTTACCTAGGTAGATAGGTAGATAGTTTGAACCGGCGCCAGTGTGCCCGCCCTTTTGTGTGTCCAGAGATGGGTTCAAGCTGAGGTGCCCTCTGTGCCTGTGCCTACGCTACCATGCAGGTTTCCCTACAGTAGACAGCACGGCAGGTAAACCCGCGGCCCCACAGCTGTCAAGCGCAGGTGCAACATTGAGGTGCAAGGGCGTTGGAGGTCGAGGTACACAGTAGGAGTGGAGGTGGGGTGCTTCCCGCCTCTGCTCATCCCGCAAGCAACAGCCCACAGCAGCATGCTAACGCTATGTATGCACCTTGCACTTGCCGACTGACTGCCAGCTCGCCGGCGGTGGCCTGCCTGTACTGTAGACTGATCTGGGGACCCAGGCACCTAGGTTATTTGATTTATTACTTATGGTTTGGCACGGCAGCAACCTCGCCTGCTACTGCCCACTGCCCACTGCTTATTGCTCGCCTGCAAAGTGCAAACTGCCCGCCAACTGCCAACTGCCAACTGCCAACTGCCAACTGCCAACTGCCAACTGCCAACTGTCACTGCCAATGCAACTGCAACTTCAACTCCAACTGCAACTGCAACTGCAACTGCAACTGCAACTGCCACCGCAAGCAAGCGCGCACAGCACTGTGTAGAGTTTCTCCCCTTGACCTTCAAACGGATGTGAGACTGTCCGAATCGAGTCGACCTGCCTGCCACAACCTTGGAAAGTGTCCACCCCGTACCGCCCATCAACCCTCAACCATCACCCCTCCAATGCCCAATGCCCATTGCCCATCGCCCATCGCCCATCGCCCATCGTTCACCGCCCACCGTCAGTCGCACAACCCCCACAACCCCACAGCCCGTCTCTTCGCTCGTCCTGGCTTTTGATCTGATCTCATCATCTTGCTTTGCTGGGAAGTCGCCGCCACAATGGGCAGAACACTGCCTTGGAAACCCGACGGCCGCCCATCCGCGACGAAACCACCGACCTGTCTACATCCGACAAGAACCGCCTCACCACCGCCTGGGAGCTCTCCCTCCCGCCCGAAACCTGCCGCGCCTTCGGCTCGCTCAACGCTTGTGTCAGGCCCTGTCCCACCACAACCACACATGCGCAGACCCAAAGAAAGCCGCACAGACGACTCAGCCGGCTCGCCGCCCTCAAGCCCCCCACAATCGTCTGAAGGTCCGCTTCCTGAAAGGTCAGTAACTGATTGATTGACTGACTGACTGACTGACTGACTGACTGATTGACTGGCTGTGACTTGAAGAAGAGAAGGGGGGGGGGCTGGTCAGATTCCCGCGTCCCATGTCCATTCCACGTCCCACGTCCCACGTCCCACGTCCAACATCCCATTTACTATCGTGCCCCGCCCAGCATTCTATTCCATTCCCTCGACTCTCCCCTCGTCTGGTCTCTTCGGCAGACAGAACCATGCACGTCATCCGTTGATGCTGACTCCCCTACAGTTTCATGGTCGAGGGCTTTGACAACGATGACCGGTGGCGAATGGTCGAGGATGAATTCTACTCTGTTGCTGCCCGCTTTACCGCACATCTCCATGCCGCCCAGTACCGCCGTCTGAAGGACGAGGCCAAGAGGCTGAGTCCCAACACCATCCGCACTCTCGCGCGGCCCGTCACTCGCCCCCCGACTGTTGATGTAATGCGGCGCCAAGCAGCATCTACCTTGGCCGTCTCGCAGCGCCGAGCCATTACAACAGCCAGGTTGCATGCCAAGGCCTCAAACCCAGCCGCTGCCGCTGCCGTTGCCGCACAGTCTGAAGATGAGGATAACGATCGATTCCAAATCCAGCTCTCCAGGAAACGAACTCATTTGGCCAGTCTCATGAACAGTCCCCGGAAGAAGGCACAACCTCTGACGAGCATTGCCTCCATCGGCAAGGCGCGTGCGACTGCTTTGAGTACCTATAGCCAAGCAAGTAGCCTTGGCACTGGCACTTCTCGGGCCAGGGAAGAGAGCCCCGCCAAGCACCGCCAAACCCCAGCTTCTGCCAAGACCGCGCATGCTAGTGATGAGTTGCGCGGTATTCCTCAACAGGCATCCTCACGAAATTGCTTGACTTCACAACGAGCCTCTTCTCAAGTTGACTTTGATTACGATGCCGATAATCTTGAGCAACACTCGGCCAGAACTTTCGGGGCGCGGCTTGGCACCCAAAAGCCAGCGACAACAACAGACAGCCAGTCGCGAGCACCGGCTGCACCAAAGCCAGTCCCAGCCGAACATGCTTCACTGACTCCAGCACTGCCGCCCTTCGAGGGCGACTGTGATTCAGACAGCGGTCTAGAAACATATTTTCAACGACGCTTGAGGGAGCGCCGTAAAAAGCCCCACCGCCGCAGATCCCCTGCTGCAGACGAACCGGCTGGGCAGGGAGAAAATCAGGCCAAGCTGGCGAGCAAAGATGCACAGAACGCGGCGCTCACAGTCCCATCAATCTGAAGATGGGTGGCTGACAAGGCCTCGAGCACGAGCAGACACGAGCAGACACGAGCACAGTTCGGGCCAGTAGTTATGATGGACTTATCGTTGGGCGACGTGATTTAATTTGTCTACGTGAATTGCAAACGAGTTCATGCCTTGAAGGGCGTCTCGAAGGGACGTTCTGCCTGGGGGGTGATCCTGGCCAAATGTCTCCGCTGCCCGTTCTTCCAGTCCACCAACGCCGAGTGTTGAGTCACCCTGTTGTCCCAGACAACGACCGTGCCTTCCTCCCACTTGACTCTGGCTTGAAAGTCAGCCCCGTATGCCAAGTGGTCATACAGGAACTTCAGAAGCGCGTCCGACTCTTCCTTCTTCAACCCGACAATCTCCCGCGTGACTGCTCTCCGCGTCAGCATTGGTCCATTACGTCAGGCTTTCAAGGAACACTCACATTGTGGGTTGACATAAATGGCCTTTTCACCTGTTGCTGGATGCGTTCTCACAATGGGATGAGCATGATACACCGGCTCCCTTCTCACTATACTCCCTCTCGCGACGGCGGCATTGACCTGCTCAATACCAGAATGCACGGCTTGCAGCCCATGCAGTCGCTCCTGGAACAGCGGGCTAAGCCGCTTGTATGCCTCTGCGGCATCAACGAACAACGTGTCACCTCCCGTCTCGGGCTTGTCCAAGATGTACAGAAATGTCGTCCCCGGCGGTTGAGCCTCATAAGAGACATCTGAGTGCCAGGCGACAGAGCTCGTCCGCGTCTCGAAGAATGTCTCGTGGCTCTTGTCACCCTCAGCTCTGTGGACGAGATGGACCTCGGGATATCCAGCGGGGGACCCGGATGTTGGATGAATGTGATGCCTTCCGAAATACCCGCCCCACTCCAAGGCATCCTTAATGGGCAGGCCAGCAAAGTCCTGCCCACGGAAGGCAACGACCTTGCGCTCGGCTACAAATCGGGCTAGTTGGTCCTTTCCCGCGCTCGAGAGTTGGGAAAGCTGGACACCGCGGACTTCTGTGCCGATGGTTGGCGTCAAGTCGACAACCTTGGAATCTGCGGGGAGGAGGTCCTTGAAGGAGGTGTCGGCATCCTTGCCGTGCTCGTAGTGTTCGAATGGTGTTAGGGGAGGATACTTTTGGCTAGGATCCCACGTGGGAAGGTAATTGGCATACTTTTTGGGTTGAGGGAAAGTGTCAGTAAAGCAGATGAGTGCTACGAGTTGCCTACGCCTGTCTGGTCGTGCTGATGATGTGCAAGATGTCGTGCAGAGGAAGTACGAAAAGACAACAGGAATTCAGACGGAGTCGGGGCTTGTCTCACCTTGGCGGCCTTGATGCCCTCTTTTCTGCCTTCCTCAGCGTCCCTGTCGACACTATGTGCTTGTAGTTGCTTATAGTCACCAGTGCCGGACCGGGTCGAGTGTAGCTTTAGTTGGGGCTGAGGGACGGTAATGGTCTCGGTAGCGGATGGTGCCATTTTTGCGAGGATTCGTGCACTTGATGTACAAAATTGGTGTTTCCCGAGGGCGAAAGGGGGTTGGGAAATTCTTGCTTGATGTGCACTATGAAGGTTTCTAGAGGAGCAAGAGTTCTTTATATACCTACCGAGTAGTGTTCCGAGGGCAGCTTGATGACCCCATGCGGGGTATGGGCCATCACCACCATCGAAGTGGCAGATTGCGCGAGGTGCCCTCTTCTCCCCAGTGGCCCGCCGCAGGTCTCCGACATCGTTTGAGCATCCAGTCTAATGCAGCAGAGCCCACGCTCCTTCCATGCGGAATTTTTAGGTCCTCGGCTAGAGGTCTTGTACCGCGTGATATAGCAATCGATAGGTATATTTCATTTGGGGATAAGACGGGGCTATGCGTTGATTTGACCATTCATCCATGCTATCTTGGTCCCAATTCCCACCTTGCACACGGATGTCGATGCTCGTGAATATCCATCCGGCTCTCGCAAACAACGACGACTCATGTAATGTGAGTGGGTGCTCCCATGTTGCTATCGCAGGACGATATCACGCAATCCCGCCACTGTTCTCGGCACCAATAGGACCGGCTCCAACGACATCGACCAACTCGAAAGCCCCGGGCGGTCGTCATTGAGGATCACGCAATGCCGTTTATCACAAAAGATATACCTCTGCTGCTTCTCCGGGTGAATGGCCTCGAGTACCTGAGTACCTGGCCTTGGCACCCTTGGAAATGTCAGGCGTCTATCCCCTCGCGAAACAGCCATGGGATAAAATTGGAGCAGGGACCCCTAATTGCCGGCACCTGTACAAAATTCGTCCTCCATATAGACTATGTACTTAGATATGTCTTAGGGACGAATTCCCTGCCTTCCATGCATACAAGATCCAATAGAGCAAGGATCAAGTCTCGACAAGTTCGATGCAAAGGGAATTGCAATTATAAATGTAGGCTCGCCCCAGCAGTCTAGTAAGCGCAGGTCCTTGAGGGTTTCGATTTCTAGACAAAGTCCAGCGTCTACGCTCACACTAGCTACCCTGAAATCACACAGATTTCCTGACAGTTTGGCTCAAAAGGACGCATCGCATAACTGCTAGGCTAGATGGCCACAGTATCGATCTCATCGTTTGGTGGCAACGCAGCCAGGCCAATGGCGAGAGTCAATAATGTCATTCCTCAGAAGTGTTAGTGTAAACATCTGACAGTGTGATCGAAGTATGAGTAATTGTCGGAGAGGCATCCATAACTTATTGGACAACAGTAGAATAGGAAAGTACTTGAGCTTAGCGCGGGTAATCCTCGCCTGGGATTTTTCGTTGTCAGCCAATCGTACACTCGATCTATCACAGACTCATCAATAACCCGGAAGAAAGATATAGCAGCAATTACGCGTTTGATCCTCTCTCACAGCAAACTTCGCACAAGGGCTTGCGAAAACGAGTTGTATAGTTTTGTAATTAGTGCACAAAATTGGAAGTATCTGAGTCAAAGCAGCATTTTGACGTGGCATCAGAAGGCGGACGGTTTAAGTCTCCTCAAGCTTTAGATATATCGCGCAAGGCTTCCTTGCGCGCCCGAGTTCTACACCTGGATACACCAATATGCTTAAAATCCATACCCCATAGAGCAAAACAGAAGTCCTGGATTACTCAGAGGTGATAATGTATATACCTGAAAATGTTCTATTTCATCTGTTGCGTTTGAAAGAAAATTAAAAGCGCAGTTCCTGTAGTTCTCGGAGCAAATAAATTCAGGCTGCGTTACTTTGAGCGGCTCCTGATAGTCTAGCGAAGCATTAAGGGGCGGAAACAGTCCGGCGCAACGTATAAGTTCATAATTATAAGGTTACCACAAAATGATCTTCAAAAAGAGGTTATCTCACAGAAGGTTATCTTACAGGAGGTGATCAATTAAAAGGGGCGGGGGGTTATCTTACAGGAAGTCACCCCATAGAAGGCTATCCAGTACGAGAATCTTGAAGGGACGAGTCTGTAAGATTGCTCTACAGCGACTGGTAATGCGATGAGGCGTGTTGCCTTGACAGACATACAAAGATCCAGCAAGAGACGGTTTGGTCTTTTCCGATAGTGGATGTTCCACCATCGAGGGACAGCTTGCTGCTACCAACATCATACAAGATGATTGGGACCTTCGGCTATAAGCATCAAATCTATATTCAGAGGAAACAAGTGTATATAGTTTCCTCCATAATCAAGTAATTACAAACCTAGATTCTTATTCTCTGAATATATTTATAATCATTTAACTAAAAAAAGGGTTACAATATTTTATAATGCAAAAACAAATTAAGGTAAAAAATGCAAATACAAAGTTATTGTAACAGAGAAAGAACAAGAACAAGAGGAATCAGAACGAACCTTAGAAGGAGCAAGAATCCAGAAGACCTAGCCAGAGCGACCTATGTCCAGCTCGCATTTTATAACGTATCAAGAGGGAAAGTTGGAATCTCTAGCTATAAGCATGAAATCAATGTTCAGAGGGTGTGGGTCTATCCATTTTCCTCTGTGGCTAAGTAGGATCCATTAAACAATTACAATATTAACACATACATTACAAGCAGTCGGTAGTCCCCCAATGCCTGTGGACTAGGTATAAACACTTTCCGTGATTTGATTGACCTGCAGCCCGGTCTCTGCCATGTTGGCATCCCTCAAAAACTCGAGCGGCATCCATACCAGATGACCCTTCACTTTGTCCAACTTCTTACGTATCTCGATGGGGTCCTGCATACGGTCGAAGATGTGGCCTGCCTTGACACCTTTAGGCGGCAAAAACGTATCGTAATCTTCAAACGTTTTTACTGCCTCTGTATATCAGTGTTGCCATCCTTTACATTCGTAATACGTGCAAGCATAAGGGAATAATCTTACCGTGGTCATCAGGATCAGCATGAAACAGCTGCTGGAATACTTTTGTGTTCACAGTGGCCCGTTCCGTCCATGTCTCCCACAACTTGTCACTCAACGGATCCTCGACGAACTTGTAGCTCTCCGCTGCTTCGCCCTGGTCCCAGATGTCGTTCATCGTGGTCTCTCCCGGTGGCCGTGCGTTCAGATCGTCGGTTGCGTCATTCACCTGCGGCGGCAAAAGCCCCAGGTGCTCCCGCCAAAGATACCTCCGCAGAGTTGCGGCATGGTACCCAGCCTCGAACTCTTTGCCGTCCATGACGGATGGAATCCTGTGCGTGTCCTCCATGACGATACTGAGTTCGCTGTCATGGTATCCAAGCTGGCTGCGGTCGTTGAGATTGCTCGACCCACACACCACGATGCGGTCATCTACAATGAGAAGCTTGGCATGGATGTATAGCTCTTCCTGGATCCAGTTGTTGACTTCATCTTCCTCGTCGCCTTCCCAGATCTCGCCGAGTAGCTTGCCCGTGCTCGCCATGGCACAATGAGCCACACTGGCAGACGATTTGGACTCGTCTTGGCCTTCCTGCATGGCCTCTGCGAACCGCCTCTTGATATCTTCTGTATGCTCTTGATCTACAGGTTTTTGCGCCTCATCCTTGCTCTGAGTGCTTTCCTGGTCGTGGGTCTTCAGGGCCTGCCATTTACTCTTCTGACCCATGTGGGTATCTTTCTCCCCATGCACATCTGTCGTGCCGTGAATGCCGGATCCCATGATCTCTTCTGCCTCGGCACGCTGGACATCTTGATACTTGACGCCTGACTCGGCCTCCTGCTTCTTCACCGCGGGAGTCACGTTGAGGCGGTCGTAGCTGCGGAGGTTGAAGATGAAGATGTGCTGCGTGGGATCCACACCCTCCTTACGGACCTGCTCGAATATGGAGTGCTCACCGCGGCAAATGGATTTGTACTGATAGTCCATGATAGCTCGAGTGCCGATAGCAGCGTCGTCCCGGAGATCGCCTGCAAACCCCGGGATGGCAGGGATCATGATGATGACACGGAACTTGCGGTTTTCCTTCCCAGCACGGACCACAGCATCCACAATAGCTCGGCCGACGGTATTGTGGATCGGGGCTTGCTGGTCACCAGTGGCGGTGATGAAGAACTGGTTCTCAATATAGACATAATGCTCTGCCTGACGTATGATCTCAGAATATGCGTTCTGGATGGAGTGGTCCGTCAGGATGCCGCTTGACCAATCAGCGCTGGACCGAACGATCTGAGCGTGGATCGAGCCTCGGTTCTCTAGATTTTTGGACTCCATTGGTGTGGGTGGGTGGACAACGTAGTCGCCGACAGGATGCTTGGGCCGCTGGACGCCAACGAGGTCCTCGTCCTCACCCTGACGGCCCCGCAGCTCAAGCCAGTCAAAACGGTCATCGCGCTTGTACTTGTCGCGCTTCACAAAGTTCCAGCGCAGGACGAAGTGCTCTGCAATGTCGTAGACACAGGGCCCGATGAGGCCCATGGCGACGTCATGCCACGGCATCCGGCCATATTCTGCCTTGCTGACCTCGTTCTGCTTCCAGTCATCGACGTTCTTGAAGTCCATGACGCGGTTGTTGTTGAAATCCTGCCCGGGCCACATCTCGTTCTGGATGCCTTCGGGGTGCAGGTCGGACAGCTGGTGCTGGTGGTTGTCCCAGCGGCCAAAGCAGAGATCGAGACCGCCGATAAAAGCCATCTCGTAGTCAATGACAATGAATTTCTCGTGATGTGCCCAGTAAAAGGTCATGTCGGCGGCGTTCTCGAAGACGTTGTGGTCCGGGTGTCGCATGATCCTGATGTTGCCGTAGCCGGGAGAGCCCTCGGGACAGAGGGCCTGGAGGGCATGCTTGGTGTGAGCTGAGTTGCAGGTTATGGCGGCCTCGACCTCTCGATAAACCACGACATAGATCTGGACACCAGCCTCAGCGCGGCGCTTGAGGATCTGGTCCAGCCGGAACTCCTGGTTGTAGTAGGGGGGCCTGCGCATGAAAAGCTCTGGGGAGAGCCACCAATCCTCGATGTAGATGACCTCCTTGGCCCTGTCCAGGGCCTCGGACACAGCCCAGAAGTAGTCACGGCCGTCCACGTACCATTTGATCAGGTTGCCGTCCCGCTCGGGGAAATAGGACTTGAAGCGGTGAGACTCGCAGATGTTTGTGCGCTTCTCATCACAGGCCTTCTCATGTTCCTCGTCATGGCGATGCTGGGGGTTAAACTAGCACCAGGGCGGGTGGTCAATGGCAGTGCTTTTTGAGATGGCGATTCTCTTTAATCATGAAAGGGGGGGGGGGCACGGGGATGGGGAGTGCGATGTGTACCAAGTTTGCAAATTTTCCAATCTGATGCCTGCAGAGAATGGGCGTGTCAGTATGGGCCAGGCAGCGCGACGATGAGGCGCGAGGGAAGAGGTAGGTGGTTCACTAGGTTGGGAGAAGAGGGAGCGGACGCACTTCTTGTGAGTTAAGCCAACCTTGAGGTTGTGGAGATGGGTGCCCTCGAGCTTCTCCTTGAGCTCGTGGAAGGGGTGCTTGATCTTTTCCTTGAGGCTGTGGTCATCATCGTGGTCGCCGTGCTTGGCCCCGTTGCCTTGTGCGTGATGAGAATTAGACATGACGAGGGGCTGGCGACAGAGACTCGGATGGTCAGGGCGGGGGCGGGGCTGATTGATCGGCTGAGGAAGGGAGGGGACCCGAGGGGAAGGTAAAGGGGAAGCGTGGACGGGGTGCCCGCGCAATATGTAGTCTAGACAGAGTGAGTGTTCTGTGAGTGTGTGTGTGTGTGTGTCTCTGTCTGTCTGTCTGTCTGTCTGTCTGTCTGTCTGCCTGTCTGTCTGTCTCCCCGTGTCCGTGACGGCGGCTGCGGCTGGGAGTGCAATGCAGGTGCAGTCGTAGAGCATGGGTCAAAGCAGGTGTACATCCAAGTTCGAATCAGGATATGCGTGGAGGGGTAGGTGGTGGGGGGATGGTGGATGATGGATGATGGGTGGATGGGTCGCTCACAGTACCGGGGAATTGGCAGGGGTGACTGCGACGGTGGCACATAGCACATCCATGCACGTATGTAACGGTATGCACGAGCTGTGCCTGAAACAGGGTTTGGCTGGGCTGTGGACTTTGGGGGATACGGTGGGCAGTGCCAGCTTGGTGACCCAAGCCTGTTCGGGTGTCTCTCTCTCTCTCTCGCTCCGTCGTTGCAGCACGTAGTCTAGCAATTGATTATATGAGTATCGAGAATATTCATTTCTTTACAGACCTACGTGGGCTGGGTGAGACATGCTGCCTACAAGCCATCGAATAGATACTGTAACCTTCCAAGGTTGCCCAGGTGGGCTGATTGAGTATCTTGGTCCTTGGGCATACTGTATCATGTACCCAGGTTCCCAGGCAGTCAGTCTAGCCATGCAAGCAAGCGATGACGTCGAGCTCGCACTGCCCTGCAGCAACACCAAGTGCCACCTTACGTCGCAGTGCATATAGATACCTAAGTGCCTAGCTAGGTAAGGCACAGTGGGTAGGTGCCTAGGTAGACATAGACCTGGCACTGTACTAGGTAGTGTAAAGGCACGTAGATGCACCTCACAGAGACCACAGCTCTTTGCCAGAAAGGGCCGAGAAGGAATGCCACTGCACTACCTACTGCATAGTAGTATGATGACCGACGTAGGGACATAATACAGGAGGCATTGATCCAACAGGTTGTCCCACAAGAGATTATGCCCCATGGGAGATTATCCCAACGGAAGGAAGACAATCATCCTCTACACGCGGTTGTTTGGGATTCAGGGAAGCTCGATAGACTTCCCAGCCTTGGGTACTGTACAGTACCCAGTCACCCAGTCTCTGCTGTACCTGGCTGGCCTTGCCTGTCCTGTCCTGTCCTTGGCACTCGTCATCGCGACCACGGCACCAATGGCACACGGCACTACGGCACTGTACTTTAGGGTCCTAACGTTGTGTTCTACGGCTCTCAGAAGCAGGACATGGCGTATTTAACACCATCATCAGAGCAGGCCAGGACATAGGACAGGGCAGGCTGAAGTCCGGGCATGCTGGCATGGTGGGCCAGGGCAGGGCAGAGCAGCGCAGAGCAGCGCAGATCAGATCAGATCAGATAATGCATTCTAGGATCCATTCAGGGGACACCTGCAGTATGAACGGCAAGCTCACCGTCTGTCCACCTCGACTAACATCGTTGCACTCTTCTCACTGCGGTGCGCTGTTAGCCACCCGACCTTCCAGGGATGCAGGTAGGTATTTACAGCATGTACCGTTCCTCTGAGGCCAATTGATGAGGGGCGGTCAAGCTCGGGGGTGGGCCAGGGGAGGAGGGGAGGAGGGGAGGAGAGCTCCATCCGTGTCGAGTCGCGCCTCGACTGCGGTGCATTGTGCGTCCAATGCATTGATGAGCTGGTTTGGTGAACTGCCATGTGTCTCTAACTCCCGCTCCAGAACATCCACACCACACCACACCATACCGTACCACACCCACACCACAATTCCCATAGACCTTCGACCTCTTCCAACTCTTGTCTCCTCTGCCTCGCCGACACCAACACCACAAGCAAGCACATACAGACCAACACCACAAACACCGTCAACACCACCGCCGTCATGTCCGCCCCCGTCATCCCCCCTGGTGGCACCTTCTTCGACGCCAACACCTTCAAGCGCTCCTTCGTTGACGTCCCAATCGACGCCGACAAGAACAATGCCATTGCTACCAAGGAGTTCATCGAGGCCGCCGAGTCTCTGACCCCCATCTTCGGCACGCCACCCCATCCCGTCGGGCAGATGCACCTCGCACCTGGAAGCTAACAGCCCGGCTGCCAGACCTCCTTGGCCCCACCACCTTCTCTCTCGTCAAGAACGACATGAACGGCAACATCACCGTACGGACAAGCCTCCGTCTCCTCCCCTTCCTGCAACGGACCCCTACCCAGACAGCCAGCACACGCGCCGATGCTGACTCTTGCTCTCCCCCAGAAAATCAACCAACGCTACACAGAGGCTACTGCAGAATCCGCCACCTTGCAGGAGCTTGTCGTCAACGAGCTCAAGTCCAAGAAGCACGTTGCAACAGAGGGTCTGTTGTGGCTGACCCGGTGCGTCTCCTGTCCCCTCAAGACCACCTCTCCGCCCGCTGACAAACGCCCGCCTTGATGGAAAACAGTGGCCTCGAGTTCATGTGCCTCGCTCTCAATGCCAACGTCAACAACAAGTCCGAAGAGCTTGCCACTTCCTTCCGCAACGCCTACGGCACCACCCTCAAGCCCCACCACAGCTTCGTGGTTAAGCCCCTTTTCAGTGCCGCCATGAGCGCCTGCCCGGCGCGCAACGACTTCTACAAGAAGCTGGGTGACGACGAGGCCAAGGTAAACGAGCTCATGCAGCAGTACCTGGCCGCTCTGGACAAGATCATCGGCATCCTGAAGGCATTTGTCAACAGTAAGGAGGCCAAATGGTAGATATGCCGCGCCGGCGCCCCTCTATCATCTGCTGGTCGAAGGAGGATGGTCGCTCACTGGCCGGTCGATTGGGTGAGGGGCCATGTATAGCCAGCCACACAGTCTCTATAGAACCCGGAGAATGACCCCGGCTGAATCTACAGCAAGCACAGTCCAGTTTCCAATTCGCCTACCCCCACACAGCCGACATGTAGTATGGCTGGAGAGACACCGTCGAAGCCTCATCCTTTATGCGGCATCTTGAGCTAGCTTTCGGCCAGGCGCCGTCACGACCCATATTCCCGTCTCGCCACCCTTTCACACAGCACCTTAAGTGTTTTCCCTGCCCACAAAAAGTCATCCATGTCCAAATACACCTGAGCGCTCAAACGGGCCCAGAACCTCCTATTGTGGTAGAATAGTGGGATAAAGGTCTGATAATCGTCCACCAGCGCCTTCGTCATCCAATTCCAGATCCTCTCAGCGTCCTCGTGCGGAAGAAGGATATCCCGCACTCTCGCCTGCACTTGAGAACCATGGCAGTGAAGTTCTGCTGCACACACAGGGGCAGCGCCCCGGGCGCTGACCTGCCACGTTTCTGTTTTGACTTGCTCGTCCACCACTGACGCGGAGGTATCCGAAATAGTATCTTGCAAGACCACCAATGGCATTGCAATATTAACCATGGCACAATTCGTGAAGCGTTCTGTTTTCCCGTGCTCGTATCCCATCACCCACGTCCCGAGCATCTGCGAAATCTTTTCGCCGCCATGTTTCGCCAGCGACCGCATGTATTGCTGGATTCTACCCTCCCCACCCAACACTCTCTCTCGAAATTCAATAGAATCCTTTACACATAAATACGGCGAATTATCAAGGGTGCCGACATACTCAAAGGCGTTCACAAACGCGCTCTTCGCGCTCGGCGGCAGCGGATTTGCCCTTGACGTGGCGCCGGGCAGCGGTATGTAACCATGAGAAGTCGGCACTGTTGAGCGGATGAGGTGCTGGTTCCGAAAGGGGACATAGAATACGGCGCACCCACGCGGCGCTAGCAGCCACTTGTGACAATTCGACACGAAGAAATCTGGGTCCAGGGCCGTCATATCTAGGTTCATCATACCGATTCCCTGAGCGCCGTCTACTATGGACAGAATACCGAGCTCGCGGCACGCCCTGATCATTTCCTCATAAGGGAAGCACACGCCTGGTACGGAGGAGACAACGTCGAAGACCGCAGCGCGGGGTCTCTTGAGCTGCCGACTTTGGTGCACTGCTTGCCTGAACTTGGCCATGATGGCGTCGTCAGAAATGGGATATGTCAGTTCGATGGACCTGCTAGAAACCCTCCCATAGGCTGAGTCCACGACATAGTCGACTGTTTTGCCGATGGCACCGTAGATTGTGCTGAAGTGGATGATCTCGTCCTTTCCATCCTCGGACCAGGGCAGGCTGCGCAGGACTTGTTCACCGCAAAGCGACCATCAGTTATAAGAACTACACGAAAGGGAGATGAGGTCCATTAGTGGAGTGCTGAATTACCGACCTGTGTTCAGGCCGACTGTAGCATTGGCCACAAAGACAACCTCGTCCACAGAGGGCGCGTTGATAAGCCTCGCAGCAGCCTCGCGGTTCTCGTCGAGCATTGCAGGGAAATCATAACGGATGAACTGGTCAGGCCGGCGCTCGTGGAGGGCCTGGTAGTGCTGCAGCCTCTTCTGGATGTGCACGGGGATGGTGCCAAAGGAGCCGTGGTTCAGGTTGTGATAGTCCTTGTCGAAGAGGAACTCGCTGTCCCGGAGGCCCTTGCCAAAGTCCAAGGGTAGCTCTCTTTGAGTATCTGGCTTGTCCGCGTCTCCGCCCACGGCCGGCTGCAAGCTGCGCGTTGAGGATGTTCGTGTCATCCTAGGTGCGTGCAGGAATGTCTTGGGTCGAGCTCGTCGTGAGGGGGACCTGGAGCGTGGCACTTTGTTGCCGAGGGGTGGTAGGATTATCTGGTTGAGAGCACCCAGCGATACTATGTGCTGGACGCTCCGGGTACTAAGTGGTAATCTGTAGCATTGATGGTTGATAGCTCACGATCCGTGGGGTGAAGGAGGAAGTGCAAGATGTTGAGCTGGCCGCAGCGGCCCGGGACCGGATCGGAGGTGTACCGGGGAGGGGCGTGCGTGGGCTATGTAAATTTTGAGTTGCCGGCATCCAACAACGCCTTTCCAAAAGTGTCTGTTTCGATGTCTCCCTTCTGCTCATGGCAAATACACATCATACGATCTTGCACTGAAAGCTGACTCATTCAACTCATAGCACATGTAACTGTCCCTTTAAAGTATTCGCTGCTCCATGTATCTTCAATGTCGCTATTACAATATAAGCTTGCCGGACCCTAGCCAGCTAGCTCGGCCAGAAAGAAGGGAAGGGGGGGAAAAAAACTAAACTTGTCCGCCATTATGTCACATTGATACGATACGCAGCACCTTGACCTTGGTCGATGACAGACTCCTCACGGGGCGCTCCGAAGATCTGCCATGCTTGCAAGGTTCGGAAGCAAGATATATTCGCCAAGTAATTAATCAAGGGCTGTGCGGGCCGAAGGGTGTTTGCTAGTATTAGCGTGCCCAGCTTTGCGTTTCCCCAGCTTCAGGCCGGCACGCCTTGCAGTGCATACCCATCTATTGGAGCCGGATGTGGTCGTCTCTAAACCTAATGGGGCCTTGACCACCGCCTTCTTTCCTCTCCATCTACTGCGGGCCCCTGGGCTCACCCAATAAACGGGGTGACAGGGACAAACGGGATGAACGTGACCTGACACTTAGCACCGGACCATCCCTACCAAGGTTACTTTTTGCCAGGGACAAGACGTGATCACCCTCATGGCTTGATTACGGTTGAATGCCTCCAAGTTGGGGTGGATTAGGAACTGACGTCTGTGACTTTTGCGGTCTAACCGGCCAATATAAATCTCAAAGCATCCCATTTTGTGTCCTCTTCAAAACTCCCAGCGAACTGGGGCTCAACTGTCTGCATAACTCTGTGCTGCGATTAAACAGTCTTGGCACACCTTTCTTCCTGGTCCGCAAACAGCATCTGCGCCATGCTTTTGGATCTCCGCCTCGCCGCGACCTTCGGGTTGTCATTGACAGTGCCCGCTCTTGCCCAGACTTTCGACTGGTCTGCGGCTTACGCAAAAGCTAATGCTTCCCTTGCTAAGCTGTCGCTCCAGGAGAAAGTGAACATTGTCACTGGCGTGGGTTGGGACAAGGGGCCTTGCGTCGGAAACACACTGGCTATATCCTCTATCAACTACCCTCAGCTCTGTCTACAAGACAGTCCCCTAGGCATTCGCTTTGGCAAGGCCTCGACAGCCTTCACACCCGGCATTCAGGCCGCTTCAACATGGGACATTGATCTGATTCGCCAGCGGGGTCAGTTCATGGGGGCCGAAGCAAAGGGTGCCGGCGTTCACGTCCAATTGGGTCCCGTAGCTGGGCCACTCGGGAAAATTGCACAGGGTGGCCGAAATTGGGAGGGCTTTGGCCCCGATCCATACTTGACTGGCATTGCCATGGCGGAGACCATCCAAGGAATGCAGGGTTCGGGTGTCCAGGCTACCGCAAAGGTAAGCGGCTTTTGGGGACTCCTTTAACTTTCAAAGGGACAGGACTATTGTATCAGCTTGCACCCTTGTATCGTCAAGCTGCCTTAACAGCCCTCGCAGCTTGTAGCGGTCTGGTGAAATCGGCTTAATGGTGTTAAACAGGATATACCCTTGTGTTCCTGCTTCACACATTGGCACTCTTGTCCGGTACGCTGAGAGCTGACTTCGAATACAATAGCACTACATCCTGAACGAGCAAGAGAAGAATCGCGAGACCATGTCTAGCCACGTCGACGACAGGAGCATGCACGAACTTTATCTTTGGCCGTTCGCCGACTCGGTCAAAGCTGGAGTGGCTAGTGTGATGTGCAGTTACAACAAGATCAACGGCACATGGGCTTGTGAAAATGACAACGCGTTGAACAAGTTGTTGAAGCAGGAGCTTGGGTTCCAGGGTTATATCATGACAGATTGGAATGCCCAGCACTCGACCGTCCAAGCGGCTAATACAGGTCTTGATATGACCATGCCTGGCTCCGACTTCAACGGCGGTACAATTCTCTGGGGACCGCAGCTTACAAGTGCGGTGAATAGCGGACAGGTAGCTCAAAGCCGCGTAGATGATATGGTGCGACGAGTTCTGGCGGCATGGTATCTTGTTGGACAAGATGCGGGATATCCTTCCATCAACATCCAGGCCAACGTCCAGGGAGACCACAAGACCAACGTGCGAGCGGTCGCAAGGGATGGGATCGTTCTGTTGAAAAACACAGGCTCGATCCTGCCGCTCAAGAAGCCCACGAAACTCGCTCTCGTCGGCTCTGCAGCTGTTGTTAACCCAGCCGGGGCTAATGCTTGCACAGATAGAGGATGTAATGTCGGATCTCTTGGTCAGGGATGGGGAAGCGGGACTTCGGAGTATCCCTATCTCTCAGCTCCCTACGATGCATTAAAAACCCGGACCTCGGCCGACGGCACGACCTTGAGTGTGAGCAGTAGCGACAGCACGGGAAGTGTGGCCGGCACAGTGTCGGGTGCTGATGCTGCTATTGTCGTTGTTACATCAGATTCAGGCGAGGGATACATCACCGTTGAAGGGAATGCTGGAGACAGGAGTAACCTCGATCCTTGGGTAATCTCCCATTTCTTTGCACCCTTTGACTTCCCTTCCAATACGGCCCGCTTCCCCAGGTGCCAATATTTGATCTTTCATGCTGGTCCTTGCACAGTCACGGTGTTCGATGCTTTAGAATTCATTCGAGCACACGCACTTCTTATTCCTGACTTTTCAATCCCCCAATCTCCGAGTTTCTCGAGCATCTTGGTGCCTGCCATGGTCGTAAAAGTGGATATTTCGCTAACAACGTAAAAGCATAATGGCAATGCCCTAGTCCAAGCAGTGGCAGCGGCGAACAAGAATACCATCGTTGTGGTCCAGAGTGTTGGCCCGGTTATCCTTGAGAACATCCTGGCGCTTGATGGTGTTAAGGCTGTTGTATGGGCAGGCCTAGGCAGTCAGGAAAGCGGCAATGCGTTGGTAGATATCTTGTATGGCTCAACAAGCCCTAGCGGAAAGCTTCCTTGTAAGTATATAACTACACTCGCTCTGCCGTCTGCCTTGAGGGAAAGCCTTACAGGATCCGCCACTTTGGGCGCCGCAGCATAGAACTATATGACTGACGCACAGTAGACACTATCGCAAAGTCCGCTACGGACTACGGCACGACCGTAGCTGCCGGAGATGACAGCTTTCCTGAGGGATTATATATTGATTACCGACACTTTGATCAAGCTAATATTGTCCCGAGATACGAATTCGGGTTCGGACTGTGTAAGTGACTTCCGAGCCCAGGGATTGATTACCTGTCAGTAAATTAACGCAGAGCTCCATATAACAGCATACACCAACTTTACTTATTCCAAACTGTCCGTCACATCGACAGCGGCGTCAGGTCCCGCAACTGGACCCGTTGCCTCGGGCGGACGAACTGACCTTTTTCAACAAGTGGCTACCGTGACAGCAACAATCACTAACAGTGGCTCCGTGGGCGGCGCCGAAGTCCCTCAGCTTTATCTTACACTGCCGTCCAGTGCTCCGGCAGCGCCTCCCAAGCAACTCCGTGGATTCACCAAACTATTACTTCAGCCCGGCGCGAGTAGTATCGCGACCTTTAACCTCCGAAGAAGAGACCTCAGCTATTGGGATGTAGCCAGTCAGAATTGGGTTGTGCCCAAGGGAACCTTTGGTGTCAGTGTTGGGGCTTCGAGTCGGGATGTGAGACTGACTGGGAGCATCACCGTCTCTTGAAGAGAACTCAAATAGAGAACTAATCACAAACACAAATGCATGCAAGCTGCCGTATCACTTATGGCGCGTTTCATAGAGGGTTAATATGCATCCCGTATGGTTTAGATACGCAGCAAGAACAAACAAGCTTCAGCTAGAGACCCTATCGACATGACACCCTTCCCAAAATGTCCCTAAAAGCTTCCTGCATCCAATTAGGCCAACCCCTGATTCCTGTAACAATATCTAATTTCCCGGGCAACACGAGCTGCCCACCCCTCCCGCTAAAAATTTGTGCCAATACAGGGTTGGAAATATCTTCAATTGTCATCATCTTCTGTGTTCTCTCGATCCGCGTGGCGTGCGGTATAGTCACTGCATCATTTTGGGTTAGCCATAAAAGCACTGAGGAAGGAGTTTTGTTCGAAAATAGGTCGAATGTGGCTACCATATGCCCAGTTCTTGTCTCGAGAACTGCAGCTCAACAAAGAGCTTTGGTTCAAGCAGTGAAACAGAACACGCATAAGGCAGTTCCTTCTCCCTGAAGAAGCTAAAATTGTATCCGGAGGCTGCTTACTGGCTGTGCGCACGAAGTTTGGGTGCACTACACTCGTTTTGATACCGCGAGCTTTGTACAGATGTTTGATCTCACACGCCAGGCCCTCATGGAAAGCCAGCGCCCCAGCCTTGGTGGCGCTGTACTCAATACTCATCGGCAACGCTACGAAGCTCGCCAGACTTGCAACGGTTATAATGTGCCCCTTGTTGTTCTTGATCATTGCCGGCAAGAACTGTTTTGTAGTAAACCACAATGCCATCAGGTTGACTCCAACAACTTGCCGTAAAGAATGCTCTGGAATGTCGAGCACCGAGTTGAATCGCGCAATGCCAGCGTTGTTGATTAAGATCGTTGGATCGCCGTCCATGATCTTGCGTATAGCGTTGGCCGTCTCGGCGACTTGTTGCAGAGAGGTAACATCGCAGTTAAAATAAGTGACCTTCGGGTTGGATGCCACGGCTGGTGGAGGCTCATTAACATCTAATACGGCGACTCTGACCCCTCTGGCCGCAAGACCCTCGACCAAAGCCAGACCGATCCCACTGCACCCTCCTGTCACGACGGCGATTTCCTTGGGCCAGTCCCATATTCCCGCGAGCGGGGAGGAAAATATACGCCAGTTGTTTGTGGCGAGTGCGTTGAGAGCACGGTTCAGCGTCCTGGCTATGCCCAGCCCAACAAGAGCTTTCAGGATGGGTTGGACGAGGCGAGGGAAAGTGTTTTGCGCGAAGTCGGCGCCCAAGTGTTGTTCGACTAGATCTGCAGGAACGTATAGTAGGGCCGCTATAAGGGCTACTGGAGCGATTGTTCTCGCTACACTGGCCATTCTCGCAGAAGACTCCGGATTGGCGTATTCAACGCACAGATAGGCAGGTCTTTGGCTGAATCGGCAATGGTGATGGGACGCACTCTCGTGTAAGTCATCAATGTAACGTAATTGGGAATGCGCGGACAGCGTACATGGCAAATACTGATCTTTTAATTTCGTGATCTACCGCCACTTACTAGGCACAGACAGGTTCGCCTTCCACTCTTAAAGAGATGATCAATATCACAAGCCTCGGCTGGGTCGCCCGAGAGCACATGCACGTTGGGGACGTTTCAAATCTTCGGGAGCCTTCCCCCAATTTACTCAATTGGGGAAGCCCGGGGTGTTGTCCACCTTTGTTATGGACAGGGTTACTCCTGGAAGCGGACTAGATGAAGGTCCACAAGCCCGGCCGAGGCATAATCAAACGGAATCGCAGCAACGACAAGCTGCCAGTGCCTGTGAAAAAATTGAAAAAATTCGTGTTTCTTGAAATCATCGCCCGCTGCCTGACGGGGACTTTCCCTTGCAAAGAACTTTGAATCCTCATCCCCAGACGTTCAATATGGATGCTTGACAATGGATCCGCGTTCACCGATGGGAATGACTTCATGACTTAACTCGAGGTGTCTTGGAGCTTTGTTTATTTCGTTGTGGCAACAAAAGTATGCAGTCAGAAGGCTTCCGTCGGCTTCAGTGCGCTTCAAAACCGTGAAGGAAAAGAAATGGCCGGTCGTATTGTCTGAATTTGAGTGCCCCAGGTCAGTGGCCCACAGCCAGGGTTGACCTAACTAATAGAGTACTCATAGCTCAAACTCCAGCTGCATTTGCTCGGTGTTGCCATTCATGGGAGGATGAACGACGAGGTACTTAGACTGCCTGCCAAATACCCATTCCCACGTCTGAGTCTCTTCGCTCCAGTAGACATCTTCTTCCAGAGGAAAGTTGACCGTCTTGTTTTTCTCCGGAATATAATGCTGCGCAAACAATTCAATACTGTAGTATGTGTTCTTCAGCAGGGGAAGATCTCCAAGGAATGGAACACTGTCTTGCAGGTTGGTCATCCCTGGCATTGGTCAGTCCCAGATCGGATCGAGCGGTAGATAATAGAGAGAACCGGGTAGAAGATCATTACCGATGACAGTCCCAGCGCTATGCCCCATTTCTCCTGTTGCGTGACAATAAATCTTGCCCTGAATATTTTCTTGGTCCATCTGATGACGAATTTTCTTCAGTATTTCGTTCCCCGTCATGCCGATTTTCATATTATCTCTCGTTATGTCCTGTAGTCGATTGCCCTTTCTCAAACCTTCAAGTACACTGGCGGGAATGTCGTCCTCCGTATCGCCTGGTTTCAGCACATACCCCACGTGCTGCGTATCAGTATTCAGACCCAAAGCAGATATACCGAAGTCAGTACTACTGTATATTAGTTACCTGCTAGAGAGCCTAAAGCGATGTGATTTTGAAGACTCTGCTGAAAGTGAAAGACGGATGGGCGACTGTAGCAGGGGAAGGCTTTTACATACTGAATAATGTCGTCATATTGTATAACGTGGTCTTTATCGCCGGGGAACCTGTGCGTCCTTGACTCGGAACACATACTACAGTCATCTTCCGTTAGAATATACACGCTTGGTTGAAACCAAGTAGTATAGTTCAGCGACTGAATCCGCTCCCTCATCCCTATTTTGCGTTAGTCACCTAGGGAATCCCGAAGCGATGAATGCTGGAAGATTCCGTAAAAACGGATGGGCAACCGTAGGGGGGAAGATTTATACTAACACCATTCTAGATCCAAGGTAGTTGTCTTGCCAGGAATGATATTGCTGGTGCTAAATGCCTCCTCGATGATCGCCCAGGCTGTTTCCATTAACTTTCGATACCAGCCGAGTCTGCTTTCTACCATGGTTGCGACGACCTCGACGGCAATCATAGGCTCAAGGACAAAACGGTCAGCCCAGTCTCCTAGCGCAGCCTCAATTGCGTCCCGTTCGCCAGCGTGTAGACCACCGCTAAAGGCCAGCTCGGCGTGTGTATTCAGTGCAATATTGCGTGGCTGCTGAGCGACCAGGACGGCCGTGAGCTCAGACCAGACGAGAGGGGTGTTGTCGACCCAAGTGTATGATAATGGTGAGTCGCCCGTGGCATTAGCGAGGATCAGTTGAGTTGTGCGGCGCCTAGCAGAGAATTGCTCGTAATCCTTGAGAGCCCAGAAGACGGTGTCCTCGGCATATTCACGTTGACTAATCTGTGCCAACATCAGCGACATATATCGTGCAGTAAGATAGGCCTGTTCTGCATAAGATAAGAGATGGAACGTACGAGCCATGCATCAACCCCATATTTTCGCAAAATTCCTGGGATCAGTGCTTTGCGTTCTTCAGTCCAGGCGTCGACAATCTGAGCCTGCTCTCGTAGGCGAGGCAGCATCTGAATTTGAGGTTTCTTGGTCGTGTCTGCCGAGGCATTGCAGGTTAAGCACGTACTCGCCGCAATGACGAGCTTGGCGAACAAACCCCGCATAATGCTGAAGGTGTCAGATTTGCTTTGCGACTCGCATACAATTAGAAGTGCTTTGAGGAATGAGTAACCTTGGGGGAACGCATTAGATGATACACGTGGTAAATGAATGCTAGACCAAAGCATTCAATTGATTGTACACAACACACGGGGTCCAAGGTGATGGATTGTTGATCGCAGTCTAGCTTCTTCCGCCAGACCCCACCAGGCGACGAGGAGCCGGGGTCCACTTGCTTTGAGGCGGGGATTTAATCCCGTCCACTCAACCACTTCCTATTGCTAACCTGCCTTTTTCGGACTCGGCCCTAGACATCAACCAGACTTGTCAGTATCTAACGTGAGGCCATGACGAGTGAACGATATGGCCTCAATCTTGACATAGAAGTCCTCAGCGTTGCTCTACTGTTCTTCAGTGCAGCTCTTCTATGTATGCACTATTCGGCCACTGATTAGCTTTTATATAGAATAGATCAGATTTTTTAAAGGTACATATTAGTGTATATAAAGTAGCTATATCGACCGTTGGTAAAGGTTTTTTACGCCCCTGCCATTTCTGCAACTGGTTCGAAGAGCAGGAGTTTAGCCCGCTGCTTTTACTCCACCTCTAAATTCAGACATCTAATAAATAAAAGTTGAAGACTCTATAGCATATCTTCCATGTATGCTTCGGAAGGCGCGGGGCTCGATGTTTTACAATAGTCAGTGCGTATTGTACCCTATGGGCAGCTCAAATTCTTTCGCAAACTCACAAAGGTTCCAGTCCTCGTAAGCAAGTGTCTTGTTCAAGGTCCTTCGGCCTTCCAAAAGAGCATCGTAGCAACTTCAGATGCATATCCACAACTTTGTTGACGCATGCTAGCAGCTATATGGAGTGTCCCTAAATCAATATCAATGCTAACAAACAAATACGGGCCGAAGGTCTTGACAACACACATATGCCAGCTTGCTTCTTCAAAACTATATTGACTCCAAAAGACAATTGCTGTAGCCGATCGTGATGTGATAAGTAGGTAGGTAGCCATATACAGATTCCATTTAGTTGGGCCCCTGGCATTGAATGGCTATAAGTTCAACATAAAAGCAGAGGCCACTGCGTCGGTCAAGTTGACATTACAGCACCACACGTGTATGTCAGTATAAACTACAGCCTCATGTTTCACAAATCGATGTGATTGATAGACTCATAAAATCTGCATCATTGCACCATGAAAGACTGAGACGATTGCCACCGCTGAAACATAAATCCGGATCATTCTATTGCTTTTGATTTTCGTTGCTTATTCAGTGTGGGAGAGAGGGGTGTAGTCGCTGGTGAAGATCATTTTGCGTTTCCCGAGTCCATTCTTGTTATCTGGGTGACCTCGATCCTGCGCAGGGCCTGATACCGGGTAACGAAATGTGCTAGTGGATGTGTGCTATTGGCCCAAGCTAGGAAGTCAAAACTGCATCAGCGACACATATCCCCCCCCTTCAAGATATCCCGCCAAAGCTTCCAGAACGCTATGACCCAGTGCAAGCTCCCAAAGCTCAGGGACCCCCATTCACAAATAAATCTGAACCCGGGCTAGAATCTCTCATTCTTCTCTGAGACGATTTTTGACGTGGTCGAGGGTGGCTTCTTGCAAATCGTGGATAATTGTGAGGCACTCTGGAGCTTGGGCCCGGAGCACCAAACGACTCAGCTGGCCTGCGGTCGAGGGGCGGGCTTGCGTGTCTATTGAAAGCTTGACGCGGCTGAGCGTGCTCCTCGGTCAGGCTTGACTGTAATCTCGCACGCCAAAGGCCTCCAACCTTGTTTGCTTGCTCCTCAATTGCAGCATCGTCAATATCGGGAAGCTTTCTTATCCTGGGATCGGTGGTTTGAGTTGGCATTGGCCTTCGCTTCCCATGGTACTCCTTTTGAAGACTATCACTTCTCGAAACAGTTGAAAGCGGTTCCTGTGGGAATTTGGTCATTTCTATGCTGTGTGGATCCGGCCGAGGAGGCCGCCAGGAGCCCCTGGTGGGCTTTGACGGATTTGTCTGGAAAGGCATATTGCCGGCCTCTATCTCCTGATCAAGGCTTCTGTTGCGTCTCCGGTGGATCGAAATGAGTTTCCAGATGATGAAGACCGGAATCCACGAGAACGAGAAGCAGATGACTGGAGAGATGTCAACAAACGATTCAAATCTGTGGCGAAAATGAAAGAGGCCTTTGCATTGTCCTTGAAACAAAGTTTGGATCCGCAGGGCCACACAAAAAAGTGAAGGACACGATCCGATTACTTACTGCCAACAACTGCAACACGTTCAGCAGTCGTACCGCCTTCGCCTTCATCGGAAGTAAATATTGCCATATTGGATCTTTGATCAGAAGAAGTTGTTGCTGCGTATCCGATGGTTCGAAAAGTTGCAAAGGATCTAATGGAAGGAATGTGAGCGTGTGCGAAAGTTTTGTGCACATCGAAAAGTAAAGTCTGGCTCACCGAGGACTTTTTAATTGTAGCGCAAGCGAACGGCTCCTGGGTCCCAAAATGTACCCAAGAGTCACCAAGACCTTCAGGGCCGATGATCATTCATTGAGCATGTGACCGGTGCGGCACCGGTCACCCTGATGGCGGTGTTCTTTGGAGCCAACATCACTCCAGAGGGCATAAACTCAACCCGTGACTTCTTAGTGCACTTTAGCAGGAAGAGCGACTGGGCTCGACACTGGCGTGCTCGCCACACAAAAAGTGATTTCTGCACGTAAATTCATTCATCTGAGATCAATACCGCCTCTCTTTCCGTTTGATACTGCGATTGCGGCCTTGGCTTTTACAGATACCGAGACAGACTGGAGCTTGAGGGCGCCGTCCACCGGAAAGCAAGAGCCAGTATTCGATCTTGTCGGTGCTAGCTACTGGTTTAAAGACCGAAGGTAGGCCTCCAATTCACCGTCGCCCAAGAACATCGTTGCTCTCATATGCCGCACGCGTTGCTATGTTCCGGCCTTGTTCCGCTGTACTTAAACAACGGCAACCCTACATCTGTGCAGGGTATAAACACATTGGGCAGCTTACCACACATTTATGCAGCTTATCCAACACTCATCCAGGCCGTCAAGGTGCTCCAGTATCACCTGACTTAAAAAGCTATCTTCTGAGAGCCCCTATCAATCCAGACAAATATAATACTATGTGAATAATATATTTGAGCATGAGCGTGTCAATTGTGTAGACAAAATACAGTGTCTTAATCAGGGGATATCAATACTTCAACTCTTGTCTGACTCATTGTTGCCACTTTAATTTTTTCTTTTTCTTTTTGGAAATGTAATGAAGGCACAAAAGCACACTGATTCCTAGCGGGAGATCGCAAACGCGTTCCAGACCCTTATATGTAGTTCAAAACATGCACACTTGTGGCCTGACGATATTATTTATTTATCGTGTCACCTTTTAACACTTGGGAAAGACCAACAAATTCTTATACGACTTACCTTGACTGAGCAAGGCCGACGGGCCCGATTCATCAGAGAGCGCTCATTCATTTAAAGCGCGTACAATGCGCCTTCGGGTCATGTTAAGTTGACTTTTTCATCGCTATATCTGTTACCCTCAGCAAAGTCGCCTCAGCTGGCCTGGCTCATTTAATTTAGGAGAAGCCCCTAATAGTAGAATAAGCGATTCTACTAGCGTCACCAATGTTTGATCTTTGAACGCTGCTTTCGCCATGTTGTGCCCTCCCCAAAACTCAAACTATTCTTAGATGAGATATGGATTGGAGCTAGGATATATACCAATATCACTGAATCCTTTTGTATTGCGCTCGCATGAGCTATATAAATGAGTGATATCACTGGGGCCCGGATTTTGCTACCTTTCGTGGGTCTCTGCTTTGTCTAAAATTTTGTCTCTGTCTCCCAACAGAAGAAGGGAGGCACAAAAAAAAAAGAAGAAAAGACATATCCTCACTTACAATTATCTCATGAGGGCTTCTTTCCGGCCACAAATCCTGATTTAGTTTACCGCAGATATGTTCAGGCATCTCGGTTTTGACCGAAGCTTTTGTCAAATCATATTTCCAACCACGTGTCTGCTAAACATTCAGAGCACATGCGGCCCGCCAAGGACTACAAGGGCTCAATGGACCGTTTATCTATCGGATCACTATGTGCTGGTTCTCTCAGGCTCTAATTAGACTCGATAGCCGTCAACTATGTTACCGAAATACACGTCCAATCTCCTATAGCCCATGTTCTAGAGCCTAGACGGCCCGCAAGCCGCTTGGGAAGAGATGTGATATTCGTTCCACGAAGGACTAGAGGACGGAATAGTGTCACTTTGACTGGGCTAACGGCCCAATAGCACTTAGCAAGGCACGAAACTGTTTACCTTGTCAGAAATCTCTAAGAAATTGACATATTCTAGCAGAGGATTCGGGGCTGTCCAGTACTCTGTGAGAGGCTGTTACCCCTCCAGTTGTGCCCCTGTGACGACAAGTGGAGGACTTAAAAACACATAGTTTGCCATCGCTAAGGACTGCCCTGGTAGTCACGAAAGCTTTCTGTATTTCTATTCCAGTCACAATTTTCCAGTCAGTACAATTTTCAATTCTGCTATCTTGCTCAACTTAGCACGATAAGCAAGACTAGAGGTTCCAACATGGAGGGCAAGCTCGCTACCTTCATTATACCTGTAGCAGCCGCAAAGCACAGCAAGTCTGCACATTGCAGACCGAGACTCTCCTTCGCTAGCATGTTCAACCTGATCATCAGATACTTCATGGACTTAAAGAATGGCTCCATTGTCATAGTTTCAAATTGGCATCACCTCAGGATACACGACCTGTTATACCGGTAACGAATAGGACAAGTCTTCTGCACCCACTTATTGACACTGGGAACCAATACTCAATTCGTTTTGACAACCCACTACAGCTTTCATACACATAAACTCCCAGCATTCTAGCTGGTGAAAAAGAAACAGCTTTGAGGCAGCCGTTTGTCTCAGTATGTTCCAAACGATACTGCTGAGATGCTTTTAATATAGGACGATGTTGCACTGACCGGGCCAACTATGAGTCTACTTATGGGATCACGATATCCTGTAACGCTCTCAACCTCAAGTTCATCCCGCAGGCAAGCTCTGGGTCCAAGATCGGTTCGCGCACTTACTTGGTGCTGTCGGATACCAAGTACCAGATGTTTGGCTTGCTGAGCGATGAGTTCACTTTGCGATGTTGGTATTTCCAATTTGCCGGTAAATGCCTCTGTGTGCCCATAATAGTAGTTCTAGTGAATGCGCTAAACTCGTATAATGTGGGCCAGAATGGTGCTCTCTACTTCGTATCTATGGTCACAGGCGGGGGGACTATCAAGATTCCCTGGTAATGAGGCCGGAGCCAAGTACGGACCCGGCTACTGTAATAGCCAACGTCCACGTGACATCAAATTTATCGACGGCTTTGCAAGCGCCATCTGAAGCTTTGTCTCTCAATATTTTGATTGTGTTGGGTGAGGGAACTTGCCTAGTATTCCTAACATAAAAACGTTCATGCCGTCCCGAAATGGGTAGTATTGTCGCCTTCTTCATCAGCCGTGATTAATATACTGGCATTCTGACTAGGATGTTTGGGAGGTTGAGTCGATCTCGGCTGCTTTTACTCCTCAATCTTTCCAGACTAAGGGCCAGGCCAGCTGCAAGGCGGATGCGTGCGACGGTACCTGCTCCAGCAACCACTACACAGGCCAGCGTGACCCTGATAGACTAGCCAGGTGGGCGCGTACACAGTAGCTGCAGCTGACAGCATCCCAGCACGAACTCAGATTATCTCCGCGAAGTATCCACAAAGATCATCTGCTTATAGGTTGCATCGTTCCAGACAGCAAGCATTCCCACCTGCCTGGGGTGGTAAGATGTACTGGGCCTCATTTAATGGTTCCATGCAAGGCACAAGGACAGCTCGCATTCATGTGTGCAGCGAGCTCGGATGACTGCAGTCCACCTGTACAGAAGAGGCGAGGGTTACATGGGCTGCAAACCTTTTGAGTGTATCGATTGGGCTACGCTACGTAATTTTGCAAGCTCGAAGCTCCGGCCTGCTCATTCTCATTCTCGTTGGCCGACCTTCGATTTGGCAACCATGTCCATCTCCAACCTTGCCAACCGGCTCACCCGGGAATTTGATTGTCGATGAGTTCGTCCCTTCTCGCGCGACAAAGCCACTTGTGCAGTGCTACCCCCCCTCATGCATCACATACATAGTCTACATGCCACCATGCTTTCCTATGTCGCAACACATAGAGACATCCGGTTCAACCCTGCCAGAGAAGAAGCAGCGCACAGCTTGCTGGTTACATTTAATTATTTCATGACATGATGCAGGTTGCTCCGGATCGACGCGTGCTGCAAGCCGTACCCATGCGCCTCGCAACCACCTCCCGCTTGAGTTTGATTACAGTATGCGCCTGCCCCTGCCCTGCCCTGCCCAAATGCCCTGCCCAAGACCTACATCAAGTACGGATGTTTAATTGAACGCGGGCAGAAGATGCACTTGAACCCTGTCCCTCCCGCACTGTGGATCAGGAGGCCCCGGATGTCTACAAGTACGTCTAATGTTGATCGCACCGGCACCGCAGGATCAAACTTGCCTCAGTTGTACTTATCTAGACGTTGTACCTACACATGTGACCAAGCTCACCATCAGCTCAAACACCTACATTTTCTTTCCACCTCAGGCTACTGGACGCCAGGCGCCGAGGTGGCCGTGAGTGCCTCGCTTCAGCTTCGTCGTTTCATTCGCACCGCTCGTTATACCCCACTCCACTGCAATGTTTCCCGTCATATTCCGATGGTTTGCGGTGGTTGCGGCCGCCAAAGTGGTCACCGCGCAAGTTGTCGACAATCTACAGTTTGTCGATCCTCTTATCGGTGCCAGCAATGGTGGTAATGTCTTCCCAGGCGCCTCGTTGCCCTATGGCATGGCGAAAGCCGTGGCAGACACGAATAGTGGGAGCAATCAGGGCGGCTTCACCCTCGATGACAGCAACATCTCGGGATTCAGTTTAATGCATGATTCCGGAACAGGGGGAAGCCCATCTCTTGGCAACTTTGCACTGTTTCCCTTCGCCAGCTGCCCCGGCGGAGACGTCAATAACTGCGTGTTCCCCAAGAGGTCGCGCGCGGGGTTCGGCGCCTTTAACAACGATTCCGTTATCTCGGAGCCTGGTTATTTCAGCATCACCCTTGACTCGGCGATTCAAGCAGAGATGACCACAACCCACCACACGTCGATCTTCAAGTTCACCTTTCCAGCTTCTGCGGGCAACGATAGCCAACCTCTGATTCTCCAGGACCTGACGGACCTACAAGATAGCCGGCAGGATAATGGAACCGTAGCTGTCGACGCGACGACAGGACGCATCACTGGAAATGCGAGGTTTTCTCCTAGCTTTGGCGTAGGCAACTACGTGCTTTACTTCTGTACTGACTTCTCGGGGGCTGACATCCTGGACAATGGAATTTACTCAAACAGCCGGGCCAGCACGGACGTCAAGGAATTTACGATTTCGCGATCCATCAATGGGTATCCTCTTCCTGGTGGCGCTTTCGTACGATTTGCTGATGGAGGTCGTCCCATTTATGCGCGAACTTCAACAAGCTTTGTCAGTGTCGATCAGGCGTGTGCACATGCTGAATCTGAGATCCCGGACTTCGATTTTGACGGTGTGCGGGACGCAGCAAGAACTGCATGGAGGGAGAAATTGAGCTACATTTCTGTTGACACAGAGGGAGTGGATGTCCCGTTCCTGAGAAACTTCTATAGCGGGTACTACCGCACAATGATCAATCCGCAGAATTATACGGGCGAGAATCCGCTCTGGTCGAGTAGCGAGCCGTATTTTGACTCTTTCTACTGGTGAGTTGACAAAATAGGGCTGACTGCCCGCGTTTGAAGGCTCAGTACTGACTTGGGATTCACTGTACCAGCTTATGGGATTCTTTCAGGTCACAGATCCCCTTTTTGACTATTGTTGACCCCAGAGCTGTGGAAGAAATGATTAGATCTTTGATCGATACTTACGCTCATCTTGGCTGGCTGCCAGATTGCCGCAGTAAGCAACTCTCAGATATAGTTTTAGCCTTTTCTGGAGGATGTATCTGCTGCCCGTTGTCTGTTTCATTAATTGCTTTCTTCGAGCCTTTTTGTTAGGCAGCACATTGGGAGACAAGCTGCACCCACATGGCTTCCTATCCCAACCCATTCTCGTATCAGACATGCTCCTCAGTGCTTTGAGAGCTGACTCAAAATGCTGCAGTGAGTCTCAGTAAGGGCTATACCCAGGCAAGTCTTAGTTAAATCAGCATCCAGCGGTTGCATTTTCTAACAGTAAGTGTAGGGTGGGTCCAATGCGGATGTTGTGCTCGTCGACGCGTACCTCAAGAGTATTTCTAGTGGCATTGATGTGAGCAATCAACCGAAGACCGCCTCCATTGAGGGCCTCCGAGAAGCTGATATTCGCAGTGGAACCTTGGATACCAAGCAGTAGTCAAGGACGCTGAAGTCGAACCTTATGATTGGTGTTGTAATGGACGCGGTGGGCTTGACAGTTGGAAAGCTCTAGGCTACATTCCGGTACAGGACTTCGACTACAAGGGCTTTGGGACAATGACTCGTAGTGTCTCCAGGACACTCGAGTATAGTTACAACGACTTTTGCATCTCCGAGCTAGCTGCTGCACTGAACAACACAGCTGATCAAGAGAAATACATCGCGTCGAGCGGGAACTGGCAGAACCTTTACAGAGCCGACCAGACGTCTTTCCTCAACACGTCCACTGGGCAAGTGGACACCGGCTTCTTAGGCTTTTTCCAGCCCAAGTTTCTGAATCGAACCTGGGAATTCCAGGATCCATTAACTTGTAGCAATATCGACAGTTCAGGAATTGCTTGCTCTCTGCAGAATTCCGGCAGAGAGACATTTGAGAGTAGCCTCTGGGAATATGGCTTGTATGTTATTCCCTTCTGTCAGCTCTCGCTACAAGGTACTCACCCGACTAGTTTTGTTCCCCATGATCAAGCAACACTCATCGCGCTCTACGGCGGCCCCGAAAGCTTTGTTCGCCGACTCGACTACCTCCACGACCAAAATATCACTTACATCGGAAACGAGCCTGCTTTCCTCACTGTATTTCAATATCACTACGCTGGCCGTCCTGCGCTCTCTGCAAAGCGCTCACACTTCTACATACCAGCTTTCTTTAGTCCGACACCCGCTGGCCTCCCAGGAAACGACGATTCTGGTGCTATGGGAAGTTTTCTAGCATTTAGCATGATTGGAATGTTTCCTAACCCTGGACAAGACGTCTATCTAATTACCCCACCCTACTTTGCCAGTGTAAATATTACGCACCCGGTCACAGGCAACATTGCTACCATCCGCAACATCAATTTCGATCCGACATACGAGGCAATTTTTATCCAATCTGCGACACTCAATGGTGTTCCGTATACAAAAAGCTGGGTGGATCACAGCTTCTTCACCGAGGGAAAAACTTTGGTGCTTACCCTTGGGCGGAACGAAAGTAGATGGGGCACGGGATTGGAGGATTTGCCACCAAGTCTTGGGACGTACATGGGTTTCAATGGTTCATACGCCGGAAGTAGTAGAAATGTGAGGAGGATGACGAATTACCGGTCTGATTTTGCGAGATTTGAATGATTAGCTTAGATGTATTTTTAATGTGCCTCTGTAAAGTCACTTGGCTGATTGATTCTATCAAATTTTCTCTTGGTAAACCGATAGGCCCTTTTAAAAAGAATACACACTCGCTCTAAGACATTTATGAATGATAATCGCATGAAAAATAATTTTTAAAATATATATTCCATGCTGAACGTACGAGTCAAAAGCTCCCGTGTACCCCCACGTCACTCAATTTCCCCTAGCTCTAGATCGATGCAACTACCCCAAGGTGTTCGCCTTAAGTACAAAACAAGTCGCGTTATATCTACAGCAGTCCCCAGAGTGAACGGACAGCTTAACTTCAAGCCCTTGCACAGCCTTCCAGTTGTGCTATATAAAGCGAGAAAGGCAGGTGTACTACAGCAGACTGGCCGCGTAGATCGACCTATTAGCGAACCTACCACCGAATGAGAACGACCGCAGACGCAGATCCAGCTAATTGGAATTGCGAATTGCTTTTTCCACATACGTCCTGCTTCATCAAAGATAACGCAAGAGCTGAGGCAGCGTTGGTGCCCGCACTTTGCGTCGAAGCACCTCCCGAGTTTTTTGTCCAGTGTTGCTTCGCCGCACTTGCAACATATGAAGCCCATGAGTCCGAGCCCCGGGAGCCTTTCCGGGGGTGCAGAGACAATGCTCACAGCGTTGGTCAACATCGCCGAGGTTGATTGATGCCAAGGCAGTAACCGAGAAGGAAAGTGAGTTGTAAGCAGACCCCCAACTACTCAATGATTAGGACTTGCTCGCTTGCTCGGGTGTGTTTTCGAACCAGCAGTGGGTTATAAATGCTGCCTATGATTAGTAGCTAGAACAAAGGACCAATCAAAATTTTGTACATTGTGTCCTGCCCTTTGAGCGACGTCTTTCAAGAAAGCCGTGTACTATTTTGTTCAAAGTTATTGTCAAGAATAATGACTTAAAGAAATAAGTTGAAGTCTCAAATGCTTTACGGACGGGTGCATAGATTTCCGGGCCGCGGCTCACGGAACAAAAGACTGAACACGGCCTGGAAATCTGTGGAAAGATGCCTCTAAAGCATAGACTCATAATTTCCAGTAGCAATACAAGCCCTCCAAAACGATGAAACCTTGTACAACTCCTCACTCATCGTAAATTGGGTCAGATTTCTGTTGAGTACGAGTTTCACACCCTTGCACTCATATTGCCCGTGGTAAAGACAGTTGGTGTTTTCCTGTTTTCAGTGCTACAGCAACGAAATGAACGACTTTGAAAGAAGGAAATTCCCGGGGAAACAACAAGAACATTCGGTACGGTCACATCGATAAGCCAAAGCCTGCTCAGCTTCTTACATGTCATCCCGCCATGCCATCAATTCGGCTCCATCTAGGCGGAGAAACCTTTCAGGCATCTTCCAAGTAAGAAGCAGTCGGTTTCAGCGTGTTGACCGTGTCTGACTTTTCCAGAAATTGCTCTTCGAAGTACGAGTCCCTCATTCTGGGCGTCATGACCGCCTCGGCGACAGAGTTGAATAGCCTAGTCTGTTTGGCTTCATCTGCCTCTGAAAGAGCAAGCGGTACGCTGCCGTCCACAATCTTCCACCCGGCCCTCTCAAACCTCTCCCGCACATAAGGGCTCATGTCCACGAAGCGGAACTCAACACCTTTGCCGCCGTACTTGTAGACTTCGGCAGTTAGGGTTTTGAGATGCGTTACGGCAGTGGTATCAATGTGGTTGACCCTTCCAAAGTCGAGCACGACCAAGCCGATAGGGGGCAGGGCCGAGGGGTCAGTGACACCGGCTGCCAACCGGAGACGCTTTATCCGCTTCTCGGCCACCACGGACCAGTTACGCTCTCTTTCAGCGCCCCGCGAACCGTTGTAGATGGGACCATGATGAGTTTGAACCGAATCTAGGATGCGTGCCGTCAGGCGGTGCGAGTTGGGGAAGAAGAACGACTCGTTGAAGCGGAAGACGTGGACATCTTGCATCATCTGATCGGCGGCGTGAGAAGGTGGCAAGCCGCGCGCGGCGTCGAGGGAAGAGGCTAGTTCTGAGCGTGGCGGTACAGCAGACGCCGTGATGGATGCAAATGTTTGACGAAGGATGAGGTAGACAACTGAGAACAGTGTCAGTAATCAGATGGTTTATAATCACAGGCATTCGAAGAGGCTTCAACACGAAGGGACACGATTTGACCTCACGAGAGAAACAAACTCTGTCGGCTGTCGTCCATGGCCCTCGCCAAAAAAAAAAAGCATGAAAGCTCAAAAACAGATAACGAGGACTGTGCCTTGGGCTACGGGACATAGAGACCAAAACAACACTTACTATTGAAGGCAACGGGAATAAAAATACCGAATTCGGTAGAGTAGAACAACGTGATCCAGAAAGCCAGCATTGATGTGATGAAGTCGGCGAGGGAGGTCTTCCAGAAGCGGTAGAAGGTCGAGGGCGGATAGATCAAAGGCCACACCGCACAGATGATGATAGCCGCAAGTGCCGCCTTAGGAATCCAGTAAAGAAGACCAACTAGCTTGTATATAGATACCAGTATGATAGCAGTCGTAACAAATCCGGACAATGGCGACTTGACTTTGCAGGACGAGTTGACAGATGTCCTGGACATGGCACCGCCGACACCCATTGAGTGGAAAAAACTGTTGAAAAACTAGGAACCCCCCGAGTCAGTGACTGAACATGAGCATACACCAGAATAATATGCATCAGCACGGCCAAAGGCCTAGGAGGATGGGAACAGCCACCTACGTTGCAAACCCCGAAGTAGCAGAGCTCCTGGCTCTGGTCAGGAATATAATCATTTCTCACACCGAACGCCCGCGCGATTGCTGTATGCTCGATAGCCGCGCCAACGAACACGGTGATACTCTTGCCAGCAACCTGGCTAATAAGGTCCATGGAAGGCATTGTAGGCGTCTCCAATCCATTAGATTTCACCTTCACCACCTTGAAGAGGTAATCGTCTGCGTCAAGGTTATGATTAACGGCGTAGCTGATGCCTGTGTAGAGGACCAAGGCGAGGAAAGCGCGGAGGATGGACAGAAGCCAAATGATCTTGTTCTTGTCACCCCATCGCTTCCCAGACTTGTCGAGGATGGTCAAGAACGCGATGCATGAGAAGCCGATGGCGCATGTTAGACCACTCGCTCCGCCCAGATTAGCGAAGACGTCATGTATTTGACTGGCAGCACCGTCGGATGAAACGTCGGAGCCAAGCAGAGAGCCCATCTGGTTGAGAAGGATGGTAATGGCCACAGCCGAGATAAATCCGGTTATGATAGGGATGGAGATGAATTCCAACAAGAAGCCGAGCTTCAAGAACCCCATGATAATACCAAAAATACCCATGGACAGGGCAACCGCAGACGCAATTTGCTGAGGCGAGTATGGTGATTCTTCGCCGAACGACGCAACGATATCCGACGTCAGGAGCCCGATGAGGGAGGTCGGACCGGTAGATAAATCTGGGTTGTATCTCGTAAGCAACACGCATCATGACGGCGTATGTGGCTTTATGGAATCCTCACCTTTGGTAGTTCCCATGAAGGCGTAAAGCGCAGATGGAAACCAGCTCGACATCAGGCCATATTGAATGGGAATTGTCGCAAGTGAGGCATAGGAGAGGCCTTGAGGAATGAGCATCAAGCCCAATGTCAAGCCCGCGATGGTGTCGTTGATGAGCCACCGGGGGTTGTATCGAGGCAGCCAGCCCACGATAGGCACCTTGTCGATCAGATATTGCGCGGTGGCAGAAGGGAGAGCCCTCGCGGCCTTGGTCGTGAGCCGACCGACCTTATTCCAGGTCACATCCGTGCGGACGTCATTCTTCACAGCGTCGACCACTTTCATGATGACAGCTGCCTGAGTCTTGGGAGGAAGAATTTAAAGAGGCTGAAGGGGATCAGATGCGAAAGGAGCGCCTATGAGGTGACAAAGTCGGATGCTCTGATTTTCACTCGCATCTACCAAGACGACGAAGAGGGCGGAGGTTATGTATTTGAACCTTGTGAGGGCCTGGGACGGAAGTCATGCGCAGATCTAAGATCCCTACCATGTATGAGCCTCTGAGCCGACGTGACTGATGCTCGCGCGGTGCAGTGCAGGGGCCCGCCTGTGCTGTAGTATCGCAATAGTCACCCAGAGCCTGCCGCACACGACATGACAAGTAGCCACCATCACGGAGCTGTCTTTCCCTCCCCCCCCCTTCCCCCATAAATGCTGTCGGTGTTCGGGATGTTGTCAGTCACAGGAGAAAGGGCAGGTAGCTTGGGCCAGATAAGAGGGACTACCACTAAAATTAGACGAAACCCATCACCAGTGTCCTTGTGTCTTCGGCAGCTACCTATTCTGGTCGAGTGGCCCCGAGAGAGAGAGAGAGATGCAGCTCCAGGGCCGACTCAGTTGTCCAATGGCAGCGGCCTATGACGGCGAGAGGGTGTGGTGTGGTGAACGGGCGACCAGTTGGTTGCGATACAAGCAACGGAGCGGGCTAAGGAAACACATCAAGTACATTGTATAGCGTGCATAGTATAGCTTGTGCGGGGTACCCTTCAAAAGGCAAGGTTCAGGGAAATGTTGCTGATGTGTTTCCTGTCGCCCCTGACAGCTGGGGAGAAAGGGGCGGCCGGGAGGCGAAGCATTACTATCCGTCTGAGTCGGGGCCCATGGATGCGGGGGAGACCCCATCATGACCTCCTCATCCGAGAACTTAGTTTGGAGCCGCGCCGTGCAATCAGAGCTGAGAAGTGCGCTGGGGCCGGCACGATCTGACGGCAGCTTGTGTTTCTTGGATTACAAGTAGATGAGCACCCTGCTATGGTAGGGACCGAGTGCATCAGGGATTCGGGATTCACACACATGTGATGAGATCAGAGTACGGACATGGCTCTATTTACTCACCGACATGTGGACCGACAGCTTGCGAGCAGACGGCCGACATCATGGAACGATCGAAGCATCGGTATGGCTGGCATCCGTCTTGACTGCCGCTCAGCCTTGAGGGCGACCCATGTCTCTGCCCAAGGACAAGAACTTGGGCTTGGGCGGATGAGGAGGATGGATGGTAGTCATTGGTAGACGACGGACGACGAATGGACGGGTGCGTGATGGCGTAGCGTGCTCTGCTATGCCTTGACCCATGAGATTGGTAGAAGCAAGGGGTCCCCTACCCTCCATCAGTGGCTTGCTTGCATGCGACTATTATTACTATGTACGGTATGTACATTGCGACCCCCCTACCAAAGTACATCGAATTCGGCAACCAGCGTCCACGAGTCCAGTCCAGTCCAGTCCAGTCCACCTCGCTGGGTGGTCTACAGTATGTAGGTCACCCGCCGCGACACCCGCGACCACCCATGCTTGGTGTTGAGAATTTGTTCGCAGTTCTGCAGGTCCAGTGGCAGCGTAGCACCATGGGCTGGCGACCATTGTACCGTAAGCACGCGCGAGCGTGCGTCCTCGGGGTGTTCAATGTTAAGCAAGAGCTGCCTTGTCAACCTGCAGAGGCGGTCCGTCGCGCATGAGATAATGTTAGTCTGCACCAGAAAGGGTAGGTCATGTGCACAGTCGCAATATTGCTGCCCCTTTGTATGTGCCTGGGAAAAGAGTATCAATAGAGAAACCTGCAACCTGCGGCACTCTTCTGCACCACTCCCGCGTCCTCCAATCAATCCAATCAATAACCTGAGCGGCCAGACAGATTGTCCTGAACGATCGATTCGACCCTTCCTTCCTGTGGTGACATGGCAGTTGGCCCGTGTCGATCCTGGGCTTCGGTCTTGGACTCATCATAGACGTATGTACGTGCCTAGGTCACATCCATCCAACCATGTTGAGTTCAAGACATGGATGCTGCGACTAGGAATTGCCGGGCCAGTTATCCGGGCGGCACGAAGCGGGTGTGAGATCTGCTCTCAAAGCCTAAAATTAACCACGGCACCTACCAGGCCCTTCAAGTTGCCTCACCAAGCTCTCTTGCAACGTCGCGAAGATAAGTCTGCGAGTATGTCCTCATCAAGGTGGTGTCCTGCTCACCTGCAGGCCTCATTGGCGAGACAATCATTCCCCACTGTAGTCTCAGCACGACCTGGAGTGTGCTATGTTGGCTTTGGAAATGCATGTTGTCAACATGATGTCTTACCATGCAGTCTTGATAATGAACAGACCGATTATAGTCACCGACACAGTCAAAGGGCCCGTTCTCGATTAGGGGCAGGCCCTGTCGCTTCTGCTGGGGGCACGTTATCTCGCACCGGCCGTTTCGCCTGATCAGCAATCATGAGCGAACTAAGATTGGATGAGGCGACTTGACCACTCGTCAAGGGCCAAATTTGCCAGCAATCTCACAGGGGCCTATGATGCCACCCTGGCCAATGGCAAGTCTTCCGGGGACTTCCATGTGAGAGCGGGTAAGTCTTCACGCCTATAATGGCAGCCCTGTGGAGCATCCTGAAGTGTTTACTGTGGTGGAGAACGCCTATCATGGCAATCAACTCAAATACTGCGAGGGCACGACCTCACGAATGTTTCACAGCTGCATCCCGTGCCCGATATTTTGGAACGGGTCCGAAGTGAGCCCCGGTTGTAACCACCGCACAAGATGATTCCGGGATGTTCTGAGATCTAGAGCCGTACGCCCCGGCTCATTCAACGGCCAGACACTAGATTTCTAAAGATAGGCGAGAGATCAGATGCACTGTTTTAAATGATCCCAAGATGAGACGTTCGAACAAGGCGAGTTGTGGCACTATGTTTGTGGCACTATGGTTGTGGCAAGCATTCGGATCATTGTTGCTTGTGCGCAGGCTAGGGCACCTCGGATGATTTTAAGCTCAATTTTGGCTTGGCTCTTGGTACGTGAGGAACTGAACTGTCAAACCCGTCTCGGCGATGACAAGACGTTGAAACCTCCTACCCTGTGTAAAGTGGTGATCAGGGCCAAGCTTGCCAAGTTGATGCAAGACCTACTTGGCGCAGGACGTTTCCGTCACGGCTTCTCCGACCTGGATGGGTCGTTACAAGGTTTCCCCAGACGCCACGGGCCTGGGCGATTGGCTGTGCCATTCATTGTTTGCTCAGCCGCTCCATGCCCAGCTGAACATCCAAATTTGGTTCACGTAAGCGGCGTTCATTCGGTATAGCAAAGAGGAGCTCTGGGTGCTTCAATTAGAGCACCCTCTAGACTACTTTCACTGGGTCATCCCAAGTCCTGCGACGAAGAAAATGCAGTGACACGTCCAGCTAAAGAAGAGTCACCGACAAAGCTTGTTCTGATTGAATCTTGTCCTCTCATCAGATAAGATGATACCCTCGCTCCGGCCTTCCGGATCCAAGACCGGGGGAACAAATATTTATCCGTGCACTACAATATTTTGTAAACCTACTCTTCGGGAGACTTAGGAGGCAGGGCACACGTTCAGGAGCAACTTAGTGTGAAACTGAGATAAACATAGCATTTTGTGGAACACCGCTACGCTGTGATGATACGTTGAGCACTGAAAATGAATAGTAAATAACAGTCGTCAGCCTGCCCCTGAATAGGACCCACAGATACTCACGTCTTGAGAGCCGCTGGATAAGCTACTTTCAGCACTGCCCATAGTTTTGGCCTCGGTCTGCCGACCAGGATGGGTTGTATTTTGGAAAGTAAGTGCCGTGAAGAATTAGGGGCAGCGTCCTGTGCCCAGCCATATCGACAAAAAGTCCCGCGGTCAAATCAACCTGAGAAGACATGCGTACTTGACTGAAAAACCACAAGGCTGCGACTGGTTCTTGGGCTACTGGGATGGCAATCAACTGCTCAAAATTTACTCTAGCCAACCGTCTATCTGCCAATGCCCACAGTGTTGAGGCGGCGCACGCAAGGCTGTCTGGTGTTGAGCTACAAAACAGGACCTACGTGCATTCATATGATTACGCTGTTATGACTCTTGTCCCAGGCTCCAACAGGAAGGTGTGGATTGAGTCACAACAAAGTCAACCAATGACGGGTCGCACACTCGTCGCCAGAAGACGAGTCTGAGACCTGCCATGCAGGCTGTGTCCGCTGTCCAGTAGATTCAGACTTGTGACAGCATCATCGGCCCTTTAATGCCTTCTCAGCATGATGCGTTGCTGCCCTAGCTAGTCCTGTGGCTTACCTTATCCTCTTGCATACAATACAAATCTTCCCTGTCTTCGGTATACCAAAGCAGTCAAGTGTGAGCGAGTCCAACGCATCTGTTGCTACAACACCGAGAGATCACCGCCCCGCGGCAGCAATCCTCACTTACAATCTCTAGGAATGCTCACGGAGAATAATCGAAGATAAGCAACCAGGGGCTGGGTAGAAAACCCATAATGCGACACGTCGTCGATATACCAGAAACAACGAGATCCTTGGGTAGGGTGGGTCAAGCCAACCCGGTGGCATACACTACACCTAGATGATCTTCCGGCTTACGGGCTTGCCGTAATGGTGGCGATGCTGGTGGCATCGAGAGCCGAGGTCCTGATTCACCCTGTAGGTTGCTGGCGATGTATGGAACTACTGAAGAAAATGGGCTTCCCATACTCATACTCTCTCAGATGGGCGCCGAGACAAATAGCCAAGGAAAACAAAGATACAACTAGATATAAATACGCGGATGAGTGGGTTCTTGCGACCACGACACATGAAGTCTCTAGTCCCTCGAGCCGAAGACACACAGATTGCGAGCAAGTTCTGTGGTTTTCATTAGTGGCTACAACTGGACCGCAGGCCGCAATAGGTACCTAAGTAGGCAGGCATCTTCGTTCTACTTCACACACTCTACCGATTTATGGCCGAGAGGGTGGGGAGAACAGATTGGATTTTACCCTTCATGGCTAGTCAAGTTCCCTTCGATATGAAAGCCGCTGCCAGTGGAGTCCTGGATCAAACGGATTGCAATGCACGTCGTAAATTTCAAATTTCACATGCCCAACTGACAGTGCTGATCCATTCGCTATCCTGCAATCCTAGAACTGAATCTGCGACAACCACTGATCCCAATGCAGTCTGACTTATCGCAAGCAAATTCGTAGGGGAAGGAGTCTCTTAATGGATGGCACCCATGGAGCAGGTGATCTTGAGACCTAGCAGGCATTGCCACACCGCAATAGCCTGTCGTTGATGCTTTCGTTGGAAAGGATGTACAGAAGGGAATGTACCTGTTACGATCGAGCTCATATATGGTACCCCCTTTTCAGCACACCCTTCAAAATTTTGCTTGGTCGCTAGGTATTCTACTATGACCGGCTACCGAAAGCATTGCGTTTCTAGTTTAAGCTTCTAACAAATCAAGTCATAGTGCATCCGCAATGCTTCTCTTAGGAAAGTCTTCGATTGTTCAGTGACGGGCAATCGACCTTGGTGTATGGAGCCTACCGATCCATGAGGCTAATTGTTTGCGGCTCAGGATACTGTTGCCATTAATGGGGGCCATTCCCAGGGATGTTCTGACAAGTCTAGGCGACTTTCGCGCTTGAGGCCGGTTTTGTTTAAATCCCATAAATTCTCATCTTAGAAGTCGTTACCCACAAAAGCGTTTTCCCTGTCGAAGTCGAAAAGCCATGTTAGCGTGATAAATAACAGCAATAGCGGCAGCGGCAGCGGCAGCAAAAACTGAAGCAGCACATGTGGATCTTGTACCAGAGCCAGGTCTCACTTACCAGTATCGGCCATTGCTCACTGCTGAGACGCCTCCCAGAAATTAGTGGCCTTGACCTCGGCAGGGTATCTTCAAGATCCTTGCTACGGCTTCCGGCGATCTCCAAGCGAGTGCTTTGTACCATTTTTACACAGAATATTGCTTCTACTATCCAACAAGATCTCGTTACTGTCTACGAGTGTTCCTGGCATCTTTGAGAGGACGTCAGCTTCTTAAGGAGGCAGGGTCCTGAACTTCGATTTGGTTCTAGATCGTTTCGCCGTCCCCTGTGACTGTTAGAGCTTGACTAAAGGCAATTAACAGGCAAATACGGGCAATAAATGCGCCAGCGGTTGAGTGGATCTTTCACTGCCGAGGCCAAGGTTGTTGATGCCGTAATGTCAATCTTCACACGGTTTTACTCCCCGAGCTCTGCAACATGTGTATTGGTCGTGAGGGTGATGGCGCCATTGGTTGCCGCTCATTCTAGAACGCGCGGTTTTGTTTATACATTCGAGCAGAAAATAAGTCCATGGTGCTTACCTGAGCTAGGTTTATTGAGTCCTCCTTTGTTGTGCTAGATATACACTCATGTGCTGCCATTACTTGGAGGACCTTGGTTGTTTTACATTACATACATGCACCCAGAGGGCGGAAGGCGGTATCGGTACACATCTGTCTTACAATTTGTTAGAATCCAAGGAGGAAACTCATCACGATGTAGCCATATCAACATATGCAGGTCCTGTTCTATAATTAAACACATTTTGACCAAGTAACAGAGTCGTGGAAGACGGTAGAGTAAGCCTAATCTGCTGTGATTGTTGGAATTGACCAACTTCCACCAGTCTATAGCAGGCATTCACTAACATCATTCAGTGCTAGCAGGTTTGATGTGCAATCGAAACTAAGCAGTCTTCAGTAACATTCTCCAATTGCTCGGAAATTTCGTAGTACCAGCAACGTTCAAAATTCCAAAAATCAATTATTGATGTCACATTTTGTGACAACACACCTTGTGGTAAATCAGGCCCCTTATGTTTTTCCATTATTGAGCCACTCACCTTTCCAGCAGAAAGACTATGAGTTGTGTATGCCAGGAATGAGCTATGGGAGAAGACTCAACAATGACGACCCCTCCGGGATGTGTTCGCTAGTCTCTTGTCGTAGCGAGAACACATTAAGGGAACATATTGTCCTCTGCTATTTGTAGCTGTCATTCAGGTATCATGCGGCTTTGGGAAATTGTAGAGATGATTGAATCTTTTATAGATCAAACTCGGAACCTCTTCCTTCACAACTGGCTGTCCTTCTTGAATTTTGCATCACTTGAACCACACAGTGTCACGGCACATCCACTCCTTCAAGTACGGACACTTCTAGATGTCGACTGCCGGCAAGACAGCGTCCAGTCAGCGTCGCGTTGTACACAGAAGAGTGTCGAAAGCCAAGACTTTCGTGCACGCACATAAGATAGGCCTACATAATGACCAAATATAATGGTATCTTTGATCTTCTTGACCAGAACCACCACGTCAGACTTGTAACAGCCGCCTACGCCTATGCAGTGTATCTGATCAGTGCAACAATCCACCCTGCTGGAATTTTCTTCGTGGTGAAGGTGATTTACATAGGTGAGAAACACACTGATATGGAGTCAAGAGACTGAGAAGCTTAGTAGTTCTTCAAATCGATTACGTGATCATTTAGTATAATTCATCAGGTCACACTCGTATGCACCGTACACAACCACACACTTCTTGATTCCAGGCGCACCATGCTCTCTAGAACCAACAACGGAACCCCTTGCATCACAATTGAGCTATCTTTGTAATTCGATCTAGGCAAATGAAACATCCTTACAGTAGCTGGATTAGATGAAAACCCATTTCCCGAGAAGATTAACTACTCGCAAAGCCACATCCATATGTTGGCATGCAGAGGGGCAACATACAGAAGGCGCCGGTCCACACATTTTAAATGGACATGATGGACAATCAAGACAGCCGAGCCACTGGAAGGGGGCGGAGGGCGATTATTTGGTCCGACAGTAGCTTCAAGGTCTACGGGTGATCAAGCCCACACATGAGCAGCACCGACGCCGTAATCGATCAACTGCACCGCATACAACGTGAGCTATAGAGAACTGGCATATAGAGGCGTCGCTGTGTGAGTGTCTAGACGATGCCTGTGTAGCCAGCCCATCGGGTCGAGCCGTAGTATTCTATACTCCCGCCGTGCCTTTGTTCGGCTTCAAGCGAGCCTCGAGGCAGACAGCTTCAGGGCCCACAGCTGCCCTGCCAGTGATGCTGGCAGCGGTTTATGGGTGAACAGGTGCTGGGAAGGTCTTGAGTGCCCAGGCTCAAATATTAATATCTTGAGAGGGAGAGGAGAACATAGTTGATGTTTGGGTGATGCTTGGTTAGATGTAAAAGATGATCCCACCCTTCCAGTACGGAAAGCCAAGGGCTGGGTTCTACGTCCACAATCTAAATGATGAATCCATCACGCGGGCACTGGCGGCGATTTGATTTCTCATGCATACACAAAAACTCCAAAGCTGTCAAAGCGGCATTTTCGAGATCCCAGTCATGCCATGCCGAGAAATCCAAGCAACACTTATCGGTGGATGCTAGATTATCAATTTGGATTGAGTTCACTTGTGTTTTGGTTCGTGATTCTGGTCGCGGTACACGATACATTAAATGGTCAACGAAGAAATTCACAGGCCGATGAAAAATGCTAACCGAAATGTTCACGTTCAAGGCGCCGCGAAAACAAATGCCGCTGCTCAACGGTCTGCCGCCCGTACATCTGGTAACGCGCCACGCTCAGAGTGGCGTGCAAGGATGAGTGGAGAAGGAAAAACCGCAACAAATGCTGTCTCACGAATTTAATTTCCGTACGTCGATGCTCCTTTTTGACCCCCTTCCCTTCCATCACATTCCGCACCTGTCATGTTGGTTATTCTCATTCTTATCATGACGTCGACACAACCAATCCATTTGCGCTCGCTGCCCCGCCTCCCTTACTCTGTCGTTTCCTGAGATGGCCATCAGTTGTGGACATCTGCGGAAAAAAAAAATCTGGCCTTAGTTAGGTGGCCTAATTCTCATCGTCGCCGATGCGGATACGGCCCTCGTTAGAGAGGCCGTGAGCCCAATATCCACCGATCTCAACATTCGTCTCGGGAATGCTACGGTGACTAATGAGCAGCCAAAGACCGAATATAGGCTTGGCAAGGACGTCGAGCACGGCGTATGCAAGAATCTCAGAATCAACTGAGGCCTTGCGGGCACCGTCGGCGAAACCCCACACACTGATTTATAAGTCAATGATCAAGTCTTGTGGTCCCCGAGAAAGTGCGAGACAGTGACGGTACTCACATTGGGTAGGCAGTCCACAGAATGAAGGTGAACAGGGCCAAGGAGCCAAACAACTTGGTGACCTTGTTCCCGCGAGTCTTGACGGTGTTTGTCCCATGCAGGGCAACGTGCCAGACCACGAAAATGTAAGCAATGCAAGCAATGGCGTACCAGCCCCACTTCTGGGCAGTCTTCTCGTTGCCATAGGCAGCAAAGAGGCCGGTCAAAATCATAATCAAGTCGGCGACGATGGCCATGATGGTGTGAGCGCCGTCAATGCCAGCCAGCAGGCAGAGATCGGCCAGCAGAAGGGGTGTGGTGATGGCCCAATCGATGTAGCGAGCAAAGTAGACCTCGCGGCAGACGTCGTGGTAGGTGTCGGGAAGCTTGTTGTTGTGGTGAGACTTCACCTGGACACAGTGCAGGTTGGCGCCATGCCCAGTGGCCATGCTGAAGTAAGAGAGGGCAGCGGTGATTGTGATGAGAGTGGTGATGACGTGGTAGAGACGCTTGGATACGGGGATGTTCCAGGACAGCAGGGTGAAGAAGCCCGAGGCTACCAGCATGACGACGAAGACGACCCATAATGTGCTGAACCCGGTGTCACCGGCGACCTCATATTGAGTGGGGTCGGCTGTAGAGGAGAGGGAGACATGTCAGTAAATGTGAATTGGGTTGCGAGTTTCAGCCGACGCAAGTTTGCAGGCAAGAAGGCACGACGTATGTATTGAAGTCCAGTGTATGAGTGTATTTTTGATTTTTGTTCCTGAAAGAAAGGGGGGGGGGGTGTCAAACGAGAGGCATGGTGGGTGAGGAGGGTGGAAGGGTGTGTGTGAGAGAGAGAGATGCAGAAAGCTTGAGAGCTTCACGTACGCTTCACAGTGGGAATGGGATCGATCTCAAAAGTGTTCTGCATCTTGACTGCTGCAAGTAAGCGCCAGTGGCGGACTGTCTGGGAACTGTTGAGGCCGGGTCGTGTTGGTCGACAGATTGGATTGTGGCAGACACAGACGAGTAGCTCGAGGGTCACGATGTCAATCGGTGTGAGGGGAGGGAGAAACGTCAAGAAGAATGAAAAGAAAACAGCGAGGCGCAGAGGTTATCAAGTCTCAGGCATGGCCGTTGCGGGACCCCAAGCTCCAGCCACCAGCAGCTAGTAGCAAGTATCATGGTAGCAAAGCAGCAGAGTAGCAAGAGCTCAGCTCAGGGTTCCGTTCCAATGTCGATGGACCGACGTAATTGATGACGTTGATGATCGTGAGATGACAGTTTGGGCCTAGGAGCGAGAGCCTCTGGTGTACTGCGGTGCCGCTGCGGTGCTGTAGGGGAGCAGGCAGGCTACCTGCAGTAGGGACCTTGGCTAGGCAAATACCCAGGTAGTGGCTGCTGTTACTACTGTCGCTGCTACTGCACTTACGGTACGGTACGGTACGGTACGGTTCAGTACATACGTCCCAGCTCCCCAAGAGGCTCCTGAAACCTTCAAGGTCGCCCTGCATGTCGTGATGCCGTCGCATCTCGCCTCTCGCCCCTCGCCTGGCCCCCCTCATCCCAACAACGCAGAGCACAGCACAGCACAGCACAGCAGAGCAGAGCAGAGTAAAGCAGAGCATGGCAGAGCATGGCGGCATGGCAATTCTAATTCCTGTTTGACTTTACCCCTCACCAGCCAGCATCAGTATCGAACGTCCACTGTCAGTCCCAATCGCGCCCACCGTGCCAATCGTGTCAATCATGCCCTTTTGGGCACAGCCACAAACCCTGCGATCGAACATCATGTGAGTGCGGCCGTGGCCGTGGCCGTGGCCGTGTCTAGACATCGATCGCCAATATTCAATGTGCACTGTGCAGTAGACTACTACTGTACACAGGCACTGCCTAAGTACTACTGTGTAGTTAGTGTCCTGATGCTTGTCTTGTCCTGTTCTGCACCAGCTCACCGGCCTGCAGCTGCCAGCAACAGCACGAGCAACGAGGCGAACCTGAGGGCAAAAGCACCACCACCTAGCACCATGGCCTGTCCATCGGAGCTCCCAATCCTCCAGTGGGCAGGGAATCGTCGTCGTCCTCTTCATCGCGCCGGGGATCTCGAGGGCTGACTGCCGCTCCTGATTGATCAATGCATCACCTCCACATCCCGTCTCCTGACGCACTCTCCGCAAACTCAATCGACCAGCGCCTGGATCTTTTCCCCTTCTTGTTGTCTGTCTGTCTGTCTTGTCACAGATTTGCAACTCTCGATGGCCGATGACGTTGCATTCGTCCAGCAATCTCGCCGCCTCAGCACACCAACAAGGCCCCCATTAGGACGGTGATGGTGGCCCGGCCTGGCCTGCTGGCGTTCAACGCCGTCGCAGTTTCTGTCCGGGACGTTAGCTAGGAACGCTAGGTAGCTCTTCCCCGCATTTTTTCACCTGCATTCTTTAGACGGTGGTGCCACGGTAACCCAGCAAACAGCTGGCTCGGCCGAGTCTGTGTTTCACTGTTTCACCCCGCAAGCAAAGCACCGTTTGCTGTCTAAGTACAGTACCTGCAACCTCACAGCCATCCCGGAGCTTTGCGTCCTGTTTCTCTTGTGACCCTTGTAGCCCTTGTAGCCCTTGTGACCTTTGACGTCGCAGGACGCCCTCACCCATATGGGCCCCAACCAACACTAGGAAGCAAGAGGGTAGTAGCCCTCCCCGCACCTGAACTATGCCTCTCTGGACAACTCACAGCAGCAAATCACAGTCCTCATTTGTTGGCTCTCTCTGATGTCTGGCTAAACAGTCGGAAGCAGAGTATGGCAGACTTGAGAGGAGTCTGTGGTATTGTACCAGGTAAGTCCTGCGGTGCGGCGGACGACTCGTTGCCAAAGTGTCGCTATTGCGCAGGCGGCGTGCTCGCTCAAACCGGCCCTAGTGTCTTAGACATCTCTGGCATTGTATTGAATACTTTGGGAATGGAAACCTGGCAATGGACAGCATCCGTACTTCAAACAAACACTAACAGCCCCAGGGCAAGCCTGAATGCAAACATCCTGCCTGGCTTTGGCTTTAGCTTTAGCTTATGTCTTAAACCCTATCCCATCCCCTAGGTGACAAGATCGACTTAAACAGCTTGTCTACCTTTTGTAAATTCTCGTGCCCGGCAGACTGAGCTGCCTCGTACGCCACCCGATAAACATGGACGGCCTCCGAGAATAAAGGACGATGATCCCCCCAGCCGGTAATACTCCTGAGCTTCTCTGAGCTGGTCCACTGTGGGAAATCTACGAGTCCCGGCGGCCATGGACTCTGTTCCGGCTCCAGATCCTTCTTATCAATGTATTCAAGCCCCTTCGAGATCCCATACTCTGCGATCAACGCCCTGCCTACCTCATCTACCGTTTCATACCTCCGCGCAGATATGTTGAAAGCCTGTCCTGAGACTTCCTCCTGTCGTGGGTGTGCTGCTATAGCCACATACGCGTCACCACAGTCGTCAACGTGCATACAATGAACGATGCTGTCTGGCGGTGTCGGCACCACAAGGGTCTTATCGTCTGCGGCAGCCCGGCTTGCGACACGGAAAAAAATACTGTAGAAGCTTGACGATCTTCCGTGGACGTTGGTGGGCCTCACCAAGACTGGAGAAAAGAGGTCGCTGTGCTCGAATATCTTTTGCGAGTATTCCGCACGCAGAGCAGCAAACGCTGGAGGGTTGATAGGGCTTGCTTCAGTGTGAGGGCTGAGGGAGGGATCGTTGGCGAAGTGAGGACCCAGCCCATAATCCTTGCAGCCTGAGGTAAAAATGACGAGTGGCTGAACCCCATTGGCCACGCTGCCTGCTGCAATGGTGCGCAACAGACTCACGATGTCGGTGTAGTGTTGAACATAATCGTTGTGGTCTTCCGTAGTGGAGATAACGACGTCGATGGTTGGGGGCAGCTGGCTTTTGATCTTACCGTGCCCGCTAACATCGCCAATGCTGCCTACAACAGGCAGGATTTCCTCAGTCGCCAGTGAGTGAGTGCTCGAGGGGGATCTGACGAGGCCGTAAGTAATCCATCCGGCGCGAACAAATGCCCTTGCTACGGCATTGCCTACGTATCCGTTGGCGCCGGTAATGAGAGCAGTTCTAACTCTGGTATTTTCAGATTTCATTTTTAACAAAAGGCTGATTCAGGCTCGACTGGGTGATAGAAAGTCAGAGACTACATTTTCAGGAATCTCTAGGCGATGGCGAGCGCTATTTATTGTATCTCAGTTGATCCGCCCGTGAATGTTGTGGACCGATCGAAATCCTTGCGCCATCTCATTACAAATCAGGTACTCGGCCGACCGGACGCCGCCGTGGATCTTGGCTCGGTCCTAATGTAAGCGTGGGGCATACAGATGTGATAAGTGATGAATTCGTTAGAGAAAGTCGCTCGGGGCCCTTTGACCACTTGTAGTCTTGGCTGGCTTACTGTTGCGGTGTCCAATTCAGTTTCTGTCGTCTGACGCCGACCACAGGAAATGAGCAAGTTCTTCGCGTGCAGCATTGATAAATGGTCTAAAAGATGACGGCCGCGGCTATTCTCCATCTCCTCCCCTCGGGCAGGATTTGCCAGTTGTCCACGAACCCCCTCATCTGCACTTAATGCAACTCTCAAGTCTAAATTGTTAAAACGGTCCTGGTGCATCACATGCACTTACCTGAATTGCAAGCCCACCAAAAATCTAGATCTAGTACAATTTTGTGTCTTTGACAGAACAGCATTGGAACTGATCATGGCATCTCTCGTCAGGGCGGCGGCGTGCCACGCCTCACCCGTATTCCTGTCTGCAAGAGCAACAACAGACAAAGCACTCTCTTTGATTCACCAAGCAGCAAAGAACAAGGCCAATATTGTCGTCTTCCCGGAGACTTACATACCTGCCTTCCCCGTATGGAGCGCTCTGCGACCTCCGACCGAAAATCACGACCTATTCCGCCGCATGGCTCTCGAATCCGTTCTCGCAGACGGAGAGGAGGTCCAAGCCATCCGGGCTACTGCAAAGCAGACTGGAACCATCGTCAGCATGGGAATATCGGAAAGAGTCCACTCGAGCAGCGCTACGCTGTATAATTCTAACCTGCTCATCGGAAGCAACGGGGACATTCTCGTCCATCACCGGAAACTTGTGCCGACCTTTTTCGAGAAGCTGACCTGGAGCAACGGTGACGGTCACGGTTTGAGAGTTTCGGAGACAGCCTTCGGGAAGATAGGGAATCTCATCTGCGGCGAAAATACCAACTCGCTGGCTCGTTATGCCCTGATGGCACAAGGCGAACAGATTCATATTTCCACGTGGCCTGCAGTATGGCCTACTAGACCGTTGAAATCAGTCCCATCAAGCGTTTCAGGTGGGCCCGGAAGTCAAGATGACAAGAATTCGAATGGGACTTCGTCGACCTCAAGAAACTACGATAATGTTTCCGCTAACAAAACACGTGCTGCCGCGCATTGCTTCGAAGCAAAATGCTACGGTATAGTGTGCGCTGGCGTGCTTGAGAATGAAGCCATCAAGATTATCGCCGAAGGTGCCGAAGATCCAGATAGAGTTTCCCAAATCATGAGGGATTCACAGAGGGGTATCAGCATGTTTTTCGACCCTACAGGGGCGCCCATTCAAGGGTTCACGGTCAATAGCGCCAACGGTGAAATGGAAGCGAGGGAATTCTTACAAAAGGAAGAAGGAATCTTGTATGCGGACTTCCACCTGGAGGAATGCATCGAGGGGAAACAGTATCACGACGTAGCTGGGGGTTATCAGAGGCTGGACGTCTTCGAGCTTAGGGTGAACCGTCACCGGAAGAGCCCTGCAGTATTCTCGGATAGCAGCGTGCATGGGAAGACTTTAGACACTCGGCCTATAGCTCAGACAACAGAAGCGGGCGATTAAAAGCGGTTGGTCAAGGCGATGAATGGCATCTTCGGTGAGCCAGTACCATTTGGACTTGAGCTCCTCATCGGATTCAGTCAAGGCACTCCTCGAGGTGAAAAACGCGGCAGGCAACTCCATAAAGATGGCTAATTGGTCTGCACTTCGGTCTTGCAACGGCAGTATATCAATCTATAAGGCTATGTATACGGTTTTTTCAGCGTGACCTAGCCCGCAGACAGACACACACACACACACACACACACATATACATACATCACCTTCTTGGTGTCTCTTCTAGGGGGCAACTAATCCTCCACTATGGCCTCATGGCGGAGGCATGTGATTACCCTTCAGATTTGCTAGTGTGGAATTTGAATGTACGCAACAGGCAGTCGAGAGCCTACCTAGGTGACATCAGTGGGCAGAGGATTTCGAGAGGCACCCTGTAGACATCGCAACATGGTTTTCGCATCGCCCTACCCAGAGGCTCCATTGAAGGCAGTCATGTTCGGACCAGGGCAGCGACGATTGTACTTGAGCGAACTGGATTGGCTTTGATCATGGAATCTTCAAGCCGAGTTGAACATGTCCTGATAAGAGATCGTGTATTATGTATTAGTGGTAGTACATGAATAAAGCATTTGACAGAATGCTCCCATAGCAGCATTTCCATGAGAAGAAAGCATTAAGCGCATAATAACAAACAATAGTTCGAATACAGGATGCTTGACTCCGCTACAGTTGCGCGATTGTTGACTTCTTGGTTAAAGTCCGGAGTCCACCTGCGGCCATGGAGCGTTGTGGGGGAAGTAATCATTCCAAGCCTTGCATTGTTCATTGAGAACATCGACATCGCTCTGTTTCAGCCCAGCTCGGTAGTCACTCACACGCTCGAGGAATGTCATCCCCAGCCCACCGGAGACATGCCACGCAATATGGCAATGCATCCTAAGAATCAAAGGTCAGCTACAACTTTTCATGATACAAACGGCTTGTTGGGGGAACGTACAACCATGCACCAGGGTTGTCCGTCTTGAAAGCAAGGAGCAGCCAGCCTGCTGCTGGAAGCATGGCTACATCACGTCGAACAGGGTTGTTGCCGTTCAGTCTGGATGCGTCAAACGCGAACTTGGTCTGCGTTGCGGGGGCTGCCTCGGGCGAACGACCAACGACGAGGAAGTCGTGTCCCTAGAGAACGCCTCTTAGCAAAGGGGATTTCAGAAGACCATTTTGGACTTGACTTACGTGGAGGTGGATTGGATGCGGAAGGCTAAAGGCTCCTTCCGGATCATTCTCGATGAGCCAGTAGACCCACTTATCGAAACATTAGCCTTAGCTCGTCATCGAAAGAATGTGAAAAGAGGCAGCTTACTTGGTCTACAGCATTCACAGACCAGATGCTGTTTGTTTCCGGGTAGTCCGTGCGATTAGCGGCAACGTATTGTGCAACTGGATTCTGCCAAACTGTCCTGATGGACTTGTTGTTGATTTTCCATACAAATTTTGGGCCTGCAGGAAGTTGGATCTCCATAGTATTGTCAGCAGAGGGCGTGAATTCGGTTGAAACTTTGCGCTCGACAACAGGAGTGAGGTCGAGCAGGTCTAGGCAGTTGTGATCTCTTGGGCGTGTGCCCTTCTTGGTTGGCAGACCATCAGGAGCGCCATCATAGTGGAGAATTGCGGCTGGGTAGGGGTTGTTTGACATTCCGCAGAGATTTCCTCCACCGAAGGTCACATTCAGCCAATAGTTTCCAATGTCTTGGTTTGCTTCGATTGTGACGTCGTATCTCTGGCCTACACCAATAAAGAGACTGTCCGTAGTAAATGCGTTCACAGGAACAAAATCGGAAGCAATCACGGTCATATCGTGATTGACAATCGAGACTTGGAAATGGTTGTCGACACCTAACGTATAAATTAATTTCCTTCGCTCTTGTGTGCTGAATAGCGGATGTGACTTACTAGTATTGATAAGGCGAAGGCGATGTCTCTTGCCGGGAGTGAGGGTCAGCTTCCCATACTCCCCATCTCCTGTCGACGGATTTACTGCATGGCCGTTGAACAGCACGTTGTCGCTTGGAGGAGGGCCGTTGGTTTCCGTGTATAAAACAAGATTGTCTGCGGATTCATGATAATAATCCGTCAAGAGCACTATCGTGCGTTAGTCACTTGCTACAGGGCCCGAAACGACAAATCCCGTAAGATTGTAATCAAGGATGGATAGGCAATGGTAGCGGAAATAAGTTATACTGACTCGGGCCAAGATCAACATCGTAAGGCAGACTTGCTGGCCCATCAATTTGAACTGCAGCATTTAGAGTTAGTGATCAAAGTCTCCAGTGAGCAGGCTGGTCTGAAAATGGGACGAAGTACAGCACCATACACTCATCGCCTGTGTCAGAGCTGCAGTTTAACAATAGTCTCCAAGGCAAGCATTGAAACAGGCCACGGATATGAAGGAGACGTCTCCCTAGAGAGGCTAAAAGTGTTCTGCTTACTGGGACCAATGATTCCGTTACCGTACTGAGCGCTGAAATGGCTGTGGTACCATGCGCTCCCATATTGGCGCGCCTATTTGACATTGAGAATTAGCGACGAAAGTACCAAGAAAGAAGGTTTAACGGAGAGGAGGTGGCCAACAGGATACTGTATGCTTCTAGCTCGTCTCAGGCTTGTAGCCTGATCAAAAGCTTTGACGCAAGTGGTGAAATAGACTGGGGGTATGACAGATGTTTCTGCTTGGAAGGGTTAGGATTGTATCCGGATGCTACTCACTATGAAGGTATACACCCGCTCCCCACCTTTGGGTGGGATAGGACATTCAGTGACTGAGATTCTGTTAGCGATGCACATTTCCAATTTCCCTCACAGAGCTTGAGGTTCTGATAATTATTGTAGAAGGTTTGAAGATCCATGAAGTCTTCCAAAATCCAACTGATAAATTACCAGGCTAAGGCGAAGAAAAAGAAAGAAGTAAAAAGGAAGAAAGCCACTCTGAAGCAACTTACTGCCATTCACGCCGTCATGGAGCTGCATTTGTTGTCGAAGTCAGAAACTGCTCAAAGCAAATCATTTTGTTTTTTTTTGGGGGGGGGGGGGACTCTCTCTCTCTCTCTCTCTCTGTGTGTGTGTGTGTGTGAGGTATCTCATTTTTCGCAAGTACTAGAGGATGTAGGCTATGGGGCGGGTTACTAACATTGCTGCCAACTTGTCGTACTCCGTGCCAGTGGATACTCGTGCCTTGAGAGGTATGAGTGTTAGTTCGTTTCCATGGCATTGAGCTCGCGCATGTGTGCTTACCATTACTCTCTAAGTTGTTGATCACTTTAACAGAGATGGTGTCTCCCCAATGGGCATAAATTGTTGGGCCTTACCATCATGTTAGTGGACTTGTATTCTTAGAAACTCAGAGTAGAGCCTTTTGAGAGCATACCAATGATGTCGCCTATCACCAATATCAGTCAGTCTATGCAGTCTGGTAGAGTGTTATCAGAGAAAATACTGACCATTGACTAACATCACGATATCTTTCGTCACTCCGTCTGGCCCTTTCCAATTGGTCTCTTCGGTTAGAGTCAGTGTGTAGGGCCTGACAACACCTGTAAGCGGTGTCTTGGCCTCAAAATCAGTATTGATGTCGAAGCCATCGGTCCAGCAAGCGCGGTCTGACACGGTGTTGCAACTTGCGTCCTGACGGACTTCAATTGCTTGAAGTAGTGAGGAAGGGGCTGCCCTGGCTGGCTGCAAGGACAGTAGCCCGGTGAAAAACAAGGAAGTGAAAAGATGCATCCCAATCGAGTTGGAAATGAATGAAGCAAAGATCCCAAGGCAGTTCAATGAGTGAGAATGAAGGGATACAAGAGAGCGTGGACCGTACTGTAGAGGGACTAGAACAGCTTTCAGGCGTGTGAAGATAGCAGGCGAAGGTATCTTTATACTCCAAGCTCACGATGCCATTGCCTCAATCTGAAATGGATCCTCGCACCAGTGGGACGCGCAGGGGATGCGAATGATCCAAGCAATCATCCAAACTCTTTTGCATTGGGTCTCAATGGTCAAGAGGCTAAAATCACAAGAAAGGAAGTGGGTGTGATCAGTTCGTGGTCTAGATGGACTAAAAAGGTCCTCAAAATGCGGCCAACTCATGAAATGAGAGACATTGTGCTTCGCCGTGGTCAGCAAGCTCCACCACGACGCGAGACTGCAACAAGGGCACATCTGTCAATAGTCTTCGTTGACAGTGAATCCCTGAACGCATGACTACTGCAGTCCGCCATGAAGGAAGACTATAAAGTCTACCCCTGGTTGCCATGACCGAATAGAGACCACACCTTCACCTGAGGTATGCCGAAGAGTGGGAGTATTATCGAAAGACTAATTTCCGAATGCAATGAGAAAGGACAAGCAGCGACAAGAGCAGACATCTATGTTCGAGCCTTGATTTAACCAGTACAGGTCGTTTGTGCTGAAAGTGACATTAGAGGTCCCCATACTTGCCTTGTGAACAGATGTCTAGGCGCTTGACCGGCCGCCGGGTCTTCAAAGTCTGCCCTGTTCGACGATTGCCGAACACGAGACTCATAGGATGTGGGAGCGAGCTCAGTGTTATTCGGCCGCATAAATTTTCCATAGAGCTTAGTAGTAGCGGGTTCAGGCAGCATAAGATTCGGGGCGCAGGTATGAGTCCTCAATCCTCAAACTATCTTAGGTCTGTTCAGCTTCTCCCGTGGGATTCATTGCCAAGCTTTTAGAGGCAACAAGTAGTGAAGCGCTCTTCACACTGATGGGGCAATTGATGAAATACGAGTAGGACAGTCCCAAGGTGCAACGCCTAAACATCCTGACTGTGATTGACTAGCTTGATACAGACCCAACCTGATGTGAGTCCCGTTTGTCGGGCAGCTCGGAAAACTTGCGTGAGGGCGGGAAGTATGGAGGCTCACATTAAGCCAAATAGAGTTTGGTCTGCTTCCAGTGGTTAGCCGCTGGCAGTCGTACACACCACTAGAAGCTAACGCACAACGCCTATGAGAGATAGAGAGACGCCTGTAAGCCACAGACAATTTACAGTGGACATTATGAGACTGTCAAGTATCCTTGAACCGATGGCTCACGACACACGAGCGGTTGAGACACAAGCATGTGTTGCCCGTGATATCCACGACTGGCCATCAGTCGGTCGGTCCCAAGCTGGCAAAGCATGAGTGACTTATGATGCACAGTCTAGCCGATGTCACTGTTTCATCCCATCGCCGGGAGCTTGTTAGTTGGCCGGAAGAGACGGTAGATAAACGCCAAGAAGACGATATCGAAGAGATTGGAACTAGGAACCAGCTGTCCTGGGTGGAGTTCTGCGATCAGCAAACTGCTTGCATGTGCGTAGTCAAATCTGGCGTAGCCAGGTCGCCTGCACCTGGTGTTGCTTTTTCAACTGGTGCCTGGCCTGATCGGAAAACAGCTGGTTGGCAAGTACAGTCAGCTGATGTCCGTGCCTCACTGGGAGATTGTAAGCCTGCTTACAACCCGACTTGCAGAGGCGCTCGCGAGATTGTGGACAGATAATTACACAATGAACTCTCCTAGCCTTGGATGTGGCCCACGTCTCGACGCATCTAGAAACTTGATCACACACCTTACAGCACGTGCATGAGATTGATTGCCCGCGTACATCTGACCAAAGGCCCAGGGTCACGTCCCCACATGCTAGGACGTTCTGTTGGGCCGTAGCTTGAGGCCTCTGCATGAGGAGACCTTTTAGTCGGCCAATCACTGATCTTTAGACACGGATTATCGATGGCAATGGTGTGAAACCCAATGACTCTGCAGCTTTAGTGAATCAAGAGGTGGGATCCAAATGCTGGCGAACAACAGGTCGTCAAAGCCGCTGAATCCCGCACTGCAGTCGGTGAGTCTACAATATTGCTGCTCATTTACATAAGGCTTAGCATGAGCCCTTCCACCCGGGCTGGAAGACTGGGATTGGAGTCTTGGCCTCGTGTTTCGCCGGAATGATGCCCTTCTGAGCAGCGATCCCCCGTTGATATGCTCGATGAGGCTGAGGCCCCAGTGGCCTGCACAAGACTTGATAGGCCACGGAACATCCCTCATCCATCGAAGAAAAATGCGGTGTAAGCAAGCACACCTGCCACAGTAGACTTGACAGCTGAGTACAAGCCACACATCCTCTAGGTTCCTTCCAGATCCGCACTTTACCTTCTTGCGGATAGCCTTCATTGCCGTCTCATGACTTTACACCATTCATTTTCACATACACACAGTCTCGACTTCTCTCATGGCTGCATCGTTGTGCTGCAAATGGGCTCGAGCCTGCGGGATGGTCATCGTCCTGTTGGTCATCACCCCGCACCCTTGCATAGCGGGCCTGATGGAGCCGGAACTATCGATCGTATTGTAGACGCAAAACACTTGGTCCTGTGGTGGGATGCATATCCATGCCTGTTTGTGCATACTGTACACATGCGCGCCGGCCGGGCAGCTCCACTGGCTGGCTGATCACCCGTGCGGAAAAGACATGCAATCGAGTGCTGATGTATACCTTGGCCGCTGGCGCTGAGACCGAATTTGGAAGATGAGAAATGACGCTGATCGGATTGTTCTTGTGCTCTATGGGACCCGATGAACAAGCGAGGTAGCATCCCGCGCATCCCGTCGTCTCCATTTTGGAGATCCACCCGTACCATTGCATACCCGCGGATGCCTCCTTGCTGTACAAAAGACTTCCAGAGAAATCCAGGGATGAATTCTGTATATACATCTATCTTCTTGTTTGTCTCCGGCTGCATCTTAAAATAGAAAACCTTGAGTGCTGCACTTGGCAAGAGGATAACAATTACAGGCATGCTTGAACCTTGATTTGCCTTGGGCTGAATTCCTTGGCAGGAGGGCCGGCTCATGGTACCCGAAAAAAGACCACGCGCTCAATTTCACAGTCAGCGCTGCTCCTGGAGAAATTCGAGGTATTATGATAGGCTGCCTTTAGGTCGGAGGCGCTGTATATGGTGCAAGGGGGATGGGCATGTGGGATCATCAAACCCATGAATCCTTCGTCCTGGTAACAATGCGACGATTTAAAGCGAGCATCAGGTCACGGGTTCTTCTACCCTTCCCTTCGCCCATTGCCCGTTCAGATGCCCTGCTGGATCACAGTCACGGCTAGGTTGCTGCGCGGTTGTTGTCAGCATCTTACTACGCGATTATAAGTTACCATTAATAGACTGAGGACAATTTTGCAAAGTGTCCATAGCATTAGCCGCTATGATCCATCTGGTCGTAAGCACGACCTAGAGACCTGGATTGTGCTGCTGATCAAAGCATCCATACATTGGTCAGGGGTATAGAAGGTGAGGTCCAATTTCTGAGCTTTGAAGTCACAAAGCCAATGCCACAGCAGTACCAAGTGGTTTGCTCTACAATGACGTCCGGCACTCGGTTCATTTTCCGTGGACGCATTTCGCTGTGGCATTATCGCAACAATGTATCGTGCAGCAAACCCATAGCGACAACTTCGAATGACATGGGCCAGGTGTGTATCAATCTTTGTCTTCCTCAAGACTATACTGGTACGTATGGCAGTTAACTTCTGCAATCGCGCGATCATTTCCGATAACAAAACATGAGAAACTGGGGCACTAGTATAATTGAACCTTTTCTTCCCTGCCGTGATCATAGTTCAGCATTGTAGCATTTCTCATGTATCTTTTCACATCGACTGTCACATGCAGATGCGAACATGTTGCTGATTCACGCATGCAGGTTCCATGCAAATCACCTAGATTAGCTGCACGTGGCACCAGACCGGGTCAGCATGTCGCACGAAACACAGTTGAGAGTGTGGCTATGACTTATCTGACTTCAAAGTGTGGGAGAAACGACCCTGAAATTAGCTATGATATTCTCTTAACTTCAAGCCCAGGGATAACATCAGACACATTCTCTCCCTTGTTTCGGTCCCAATCCGGTGCTGGCCCACACCAGCGAAATTGCGATTCCACACCGGCAAGCAAGCACGAAAACACCACCCTTGACCGATTTCAGACGGTTTTCGTGCATGGGTCTAAACAACAACGATTGGAGAGACTCTATCTATGTAGGTCGGTCCAGCAACTAAAACTGATCAAGGTACGTAACGGAACACGGGCCGGATGCCTAAAACTTGCATTGTCGATTAAAAGAACGCTGAAAGCTGAGAATCAAGGGGCGCGTTGATCCCTGTTCTACATGCAGTGCTTACTGCATATTACAGCGCAGCGCCACAGACAATAGAGAGCAATAAACGATGTTTTGGTCCCTCTTGGTTCGTGCTGTCCATTTTTGCAAGATAAGGAAAGTCAGCAGTCTTCGACCCTGAGGGTCCGTTTATTAAAGCCAACACACATCGCTAGACTTTATACGGCCACAGTGAGGAGGCTGTTGGGTGCACTAGAGTGTAATATACTCGTTGCAAGCGCACTGCCACTTCAAGGACAACGTAAACTAGCCCAAAAAGGCAGGCTTAAGAGAATCTCAAGTCCATTTACGGTTTGGGGGTGGGGGATAGTATAACCGTTGCTTGGGTTAAGAAGGCCTGTTCCACGCCCCAACCAGACCAACTCAGCCAACTGCAGTTTGGAAAACTTCAATCAACGAAGACTGTGCACACAAGTTCTGCTTTTGATGTGTGCTTGTGGTTGCGTGTGCTCGATTAGACTGTGATACTCCGTAATTCCTATGTCCGCGTCAGCGGAAAAGCAACCAATCCCACGACATATTTCGAATCCCTTGAACAAGATTCAGGACTTCACTTGCGACGTCATCGGATATACAAGACAGATAATTCAGGCTTACTTGTCACAATACAATACAATGCGGTGAGTAGTGCCTGTCCGGGACTCACGTTAAAGAACAGCAAGAGCTCATCGATAATATTTCCATGAGGTTTCCTGCACGAGAGCGCTGTGGCTTCTGCTTGTGCGCATGATGTTGCCTCCTCAATACATATGGGAATGGTGTGCTCATGTCCCACCTCAAGCCTCGAATGTGATTTGAACTTTCCACTGCTCGGTTGCTTGGGAATCGAAATGATTTCATCCACACAACTCACCAAGCCCTTTCAAGCTTTTTCACTGAAGAACTTGTTTCGATCAAGGGCTCAACTCGACACAGTATACACCTCCAAATTCGAAGGAGTCTGCTGCCAATTGAGAAAGCCAACAGCATATTCCTTAAGTGTAGCGAAGAGTGTCCCGAGCTTGCAGGGGGCGCTCTGAGCGCAGCACTCTCTAATACGACAAGATTGCGTATAACTTTTCTGTGGGGATTGGTGAATTGATATATTCTGGCACGTTATTGCTCTTTGCGAGTAATTATTGCCAAAAGTGCTGCCTTTCTCATGAATATCATAGTAATCGAAGACCACTTTGCTTAGTGCCGGCTACCGGAAGTCTCCTCACGTTGTTCTCCGCTTTGCTGATTTCTGGTTTACTGTACTGGAGTAGTCTTACCTGACAATATTGTGACCACCCTCTTCCCCAGAGCCTGTGAAGGGCCGTAGAGCCCCAATCTGTACGTAGTGACCACGGCAATTTTAGGAGGGATACGTCAAGATCTGAACGTTAGCATGTAAAGCAAGAAAGGGCTTATCTACCAGGACCTAGTATGCAGAAAGACTGCGAGCAAGGTCATGGTGACCATCAAAGGTGTCAAAGGTCCTCAATGCGAAGGCGTACGAGAGTGCGCGCTTCGGCAGTACGGGCTTTTTGAGAATATATTTATTTGAGTCTCCATTTTGGCCAGTCTGAGGGGCCGAGCGGCCTCAGATTTGGTCACAGGGGCTGTCGAAAAGTCTTTGTTGACTCTTTCGGTAGGGTACGTATGGAGCTTGCGCAGACGAAAGCTTGGTAAGGGGGGTTCGGAAAGGGCTGTTATTAAGCACGGGGGAAAAGACGAAAAGGAACGTGTTACATGACAGAATGTATTTACTTTCTAAGAAGTCTCTATCCGGCTTGTATCTGCGAGAATTCTACGCATTGAACAAGAGGCCTGTGTGAATACTCAACTGCAGCACAGGCATTCCTCAACTTTCACATTCGCTCTTGTTCCGCCTCAGCTGATCCGCACGCGAAACTCCTGACCACGACCCCATTCTGGCTCTAAACCTACACCTCTTGCCAAAATAAACGATACTTCGCGACCATCTCAGCAATGCAATTCGAATCCATGGATCACTGCCTCAGCAAGGCAACTCCTTCTTTGGCATTCAAGACCTGTACCGGAAGATGCTAATGATTCCAATCTTGTGTGAGTAGACCTTATCAAACCTTTGCAAGCAACCTCTTCTCTGTAATTAGACGGGAAGCGAAGAAAAATGCGGAACCAGCTACGAGAGACGCGCCACCGAAATACCCGGGACCACTGTAGCTTCCAGGGCCATCGAAGCCGCTCAGAATAGCCCCGGCGATTGGAGGCCCAGTCAATCCACCACAAGCCCAGATAGCCATCGTAAACCCAATCATTGAACCGAGGTTTTTAGGATCAGGGGTGACAACTGTGATGACAGCCGCCTGCAAGGACACAATACTGCCGATGAAGAGGCCTTCAAAAACAGTCACCGCAAGAACGCCAGCGGCTGTTTGTGTGCCAGCCCAGACGAACAAGGTAATGGCGCAAAGAAGTCCATTAATGACCACGACGTTGAACTGCGTCATCACAATTAGCTTTGATTGTTTCAAAATAAGAGTGAGGCACAAAACATGGATGTTAAGTCCCATTTTTCAGAAACCAAACATGGAACCAAGCATGGAAGCCAAAATGAAGGCCCCCCCCGTCTTTAGAATAGCAGACATGCACAAGAGAGAAGAAAAAAGAAAGAAAAGAAGGCAGCGCTTGGCGGAGAAGACAGAAGAGATCAGATAGTCTTCCGGGTATTACTTACACAGCCCATCCTGTCGGCCAGTGCTCCCGCGATTACTCTCCCGAAGATTGACACCGCATTGAATATGGCCACAGTGTGCGGCGCAAGCTTTGCACTGAGGCCAGCCGTGGTCGCAAAGCTAGGCAGATAGAACAAAGGAATGTACAATCCCCAATTGAACAACCAACCACCTATAGCAACGAGGATGTAAATCGGCCGTTTCATCAAGGAGAGGTCCATATTTTGCTTGGTGGGAGGAAGGCGCGGCTTCATGGTGAGGTTTGCGTCTGCTGAACCTTAGCTTCATGGCGCACGAAAAAGAGGGAAGGAGAAGAAGAAGACGCAAAAGGAATTCTTTCCTCTGCTTCTTTCTGAGGGACGCGGAAGGGGTTCCGGACAGTGTATAGCCTTAGGCATACGTACAGGTCAAAAGTACGAGAACTACTAGAGCACATATTCGAACGGACCATCCGAAACTGAGGCCGACGTCGTTGAGCAACCTGTTGAGCGCGACAGGAAATACTACTCCGCCAAGGGCAGCCCCGGCCATAACAATACCAGAAGCAAGACCGTAGCGTTTATCAAAGTAGTGTCCGATGATTGTCAAGGCGTTGCTGAAGAGGAAACCAAGGCAGATGCCCCCTAGCACAGCTTGGGCTAGGAAGAATTGATAGTATTCCTTGCAAAAGCTCGTTAAGACGAGGGAGACGACGTAGATTATGGAGACTGGAAGCAAAGCCTGGCGAGTGGGCAAGTATCAGCATGTGGTCTTTCCAAACAAACCTTTCCTCAGCAATAGTTGATTTGAGCTTACGACGCTGCCGTAGCGGTCCAGTATTGGCCCTCCTACCAGGCCTCCTGAGAATGTTAGGAAGATTTGGACCGACCCAATCCACGAGATATCTGACTGGGTGTAAGATTTGAGTTGGTTTTCGCCATACCACTGCTGGTAAATTCTGCCTTTGCTTTCAGTACATCGAGTCAAGCTTGCACCTAGTCATTTCTGTACGCTTACCCGAATCCGGTGAGATATCCAAACGTAGAGAACATGGTGGCAGCTGACCCCGAGACTACTAGCCAGGCCCGGAACCCGCCTTCGGGGAATTGATGAGCTTCAAGGGATGCTCTTTCGCTGTGAATATGGTTGTCACTGTCTGTTTTGCTTCCGCCCTGGTCAACAAATCCGTTGACATCCTTGTTTCTGCACTCCTCATTCATCGTTGCTGGAGTGGTATATAAAAGGCTGTGCAATGACTGGCGCATTGTGTTTGGGCTCTGTTGAAACTTTTGAGAATATGGGGAGAAATGAGGGCGGCAGAGCACTGTTCGAAATCGAAGATATACGACAGTCCGGCATACTCAAATACCTCGCTATGTGTCCCCAAGTCCGAAAAGTACATCGCCTTCCAATGTGGATTAATTGCACAGGTGCTGTCTTTAGGCGAGCCTGCCTGAAGGCCTACTCAAGCGAAAATTGACCCAATTGGCCAAACAATCTTTCTCTCCGCACCCCGACCACCAGGGAGATCACCCGGTTATGAACCGAGTTCAGGCATCACATGCATGTTTCAAGCCAGAGCTCAAGAAACCAGCACCGTATTATTGAGGCCAAAAAATGCAACGAGAGAAAGCTAGCATTTTGCAGACATACATGAAAGCATTGAGCAGTGGTCGACAAGCATGGTGCAGCTCAGTATCTCAAATCAAATGTTACTGACACGCTCCTCTTACTGTGACCAGTGGACTCAAGTGATATCTTTTCTCCAACGAGGCAAGATCCAGCACCACTTCCGAACTTCTCGTCAGTAATTCGTGTCAACAGCTTGATAAAGACTAGCCGCGGCTCGCTGGCAAGTAGGGCTAGACGGCGAAGAGCGCAGGATCTCATACAACTACCGATGTATGAAGTGGTCTCATTTGACACGCAAAGCTTTGCGGCAAGTGATCTGGGGACCGAGAATAGAGTGAGGAGCATAGAAGTAATATCAGCCCACACTAATATGCAAGTGGGCCAGCCCAACACGACGTTCTCCCGTGCCGATCAGCCTGCTTTAGTGTGTGGTCCACAGATCACAAAGGCACATCTGTATATCCCTTCACTACCCATCAACAGCTGACAGCCAACGAGGACATTGGTGACTTGACCATGTAACATGTCTAGAAAGAGGGATATGCCATCGGAACGGGCGGAGACCTATTCAATACGACTTCGTAGCATTGTCATCCGTCTACGATGCATTCCTCAAGAGAAGGAGGGTGGGGCCTTGGTGTTGTCCACGAGGCGACTTACTTTGATTGCTCGAGAGCACCTGACCATGCACTTGTATGGAATCACTTTGCGCTATCCTTCACGTTCATGCAAACATAAAATCAATTATGTAAAGTGCTTTCGCGCCGCGAATGAACATCGCTCCGCATCTGATTTAGAGAAGAGCATGAGCAAGCGCGAGCACAGCTCAGTGTTGTACGACGCCAGCTGACTATTCGAACGTGAGACGAGGGCGACTTCTGATCCAATCCAAGGCCTCTAAACAATAGATTATAGCCGGTCAGATGCACTGCGTGAGTCTCGATTCTGACTGGAATGCGTGTTCATTGTCCGAAGTAAACATTTTAATCATCGTCGTCTATTTCTAAGCGGTGCTGTTCAAACATTTCATGGCGGAAAGAATTACAAGCCATGACCGAAAGAATGTCTGGAGTATATTCGTCTTCGTTGCGAGAGTACAATGGCCTGGGCCGTCGTCTTTCGGGCTCCCCGAGCCCAGCGAGCCGATCATGGCCGCCCCTTGTGAGGCCCCTGGATGGTACCTGATTCAGCTGTTCAGCTCCGAAATCCAGAACGCACAGTGCTCAGGGAACCAAATAAACGGATCGTGCAGTACGAGGTACAGTGTGAAACCGGCCGGCGAGTCAGAGCCTCTTCTCTCCGAACGTAGTCTTCTCATGCAGCTTCAATCTGGGAGCTCACCGGATGCACTCCTCTAGAAGTTTGACCCCCGCGGGCGACAACATGGCCACTTGCACCTTGTCTGCACCTGGAAGAAGACAAACGGTCTTTTTTTCAGGGTTCGTGCTGCTACTCTTCCTCAGCTTGCGTTCTCTTCCGGGAAGGAATCAGGCACCAGTGCAGGGCTTAGAGGAACAGCAAGCATCTCCTGGTGAGGAGGACCCAGAGAGAAATGGCTACCAGAGCGCCGTGGCGGCCCTTCCGCTCCCACCCGAGTACAATGTCACTAGTTCATCACGAGAATCAGAGACACAGTCCCAATTTTGTAAGGACAGATTCGGAACGAAATTCCTCGAAGACTTCCGAGACCGCCGAGCAGACTATTGTTCCGAGGGCTCGTCGAGCCTCACATGTTTCCACACCGTCAATTCCGGCTCCTTTGCCAGTGGATCACTAGACTCTTTCTGCGTGGCTCGAGACGGCACTTTCTTCGACATCCACGGGCACAAGTTCGCACTCGGCTGCCAGATCCGAGGACTGTCGGACCAAGAAAAGGTATTGGGCGCGGCTTCGTTCCAGGAGCTACAATCGTACCAGTACTTAACCGGCCCGAAATACCTTCTGAGCGAATGGGTAAACTTGGACTTGAGAATGTCGCCTAAGCCATTATATGGAACCTCCGGCGGATCTCCAAAGAGCAAAGGAAAGGGCTCTGTAATATTGTTGAAACGGGAGGTGGACGGAAATCTCTGGTCAGCATTTCCAAAAAGAACCTAGTCCTTCCTGGTTGTTTCTGAGGGTGACTCTGTGAGGATCAGAGGAAGCGAAGGCATTTTTTGACCTGATCGGTGGCCTTTTTGTTTCTGAGCGCTAGAGGGTTCATCTACTAACATAGTACTAGGCACTGCCTTAATGAAGTCATGGCAATCTTGTCCAGTTTGGACGTCTTGCGCACCGCACCTGACCGAGTTTCTGGGCAGGAAGCTATGTTTAGCCCCGACGACTTTCCGAGAACAGACATAATCATTTTAGATGAATACCCTGACGGCCCATACTTCGAACTCTTCAGCATGGTTTCGGGCAGGAAACCCTTACGCCTGACTGAGTGGGTTGAAAGTAGGAGGAGTAGAGACAATGGAGACATTGGAGCCATGATCCCCATCGACAAGATAATCATCCCCCTTGCAGGCGCCGCCAACCCCCTCTGGAGTGACTGGGTCTCTATCGAATGCAGGGACAATTCGATTTTGCGGGTCTTTGTCCAGAGGGTCTTCGACTTCTACGGCATCCCTCGCATACGACACCGGGATACACCGAGCCCACATACTTCCAGCTTCTTCTTGTTGCCATCGCCGCCCAGACTCAACGTCAGCATTGTCGTCCGCAAGAACTCGCGCAAGTTGATTGGGATTGATGAGCTCCTTTTTGAGGCGGCCAAGGTCAAGTTCTCACACGTGGCTGATATCCGTCTTGTAGACTTTGAAGGCAAGCCGTTCCAGGAGCAGATCCAAATTGCACGCGACACCGATGTTCTGGTGGGGATGCACGGGGCAGGCTTTACACATGTTATGTTCATGGAAGAGGGACGAGGAGCTCTAGTTGAAATCCAACCGGATAGGTTGTGCCACAGTATGTATAAGCCTTCCCCTGCTACGGTTGCCCATCCGTCTTTTATAAGAATGTTCCACATTGCATCACTCCAGGATCCAGATCAGGTAACTGACGCAGGGTAGAGGGCTTCCGTAACTTGGCCAAGATGACCAGACAACTGTATTTCGTGGCCGGGGCAAACAAAATCTTGGGCAATTGTTATCCTGGCCCCGGAGGCAATTTGGAGCCGATGCCAGATGACGGCACCGCTTTCCTTCCTTACGACACCTCGAGGTGCTGGAGTTTTACTACAAACCCGAGGACTGGTCATTTGCCTGCTCCGACCCCAAGGTGACGGGTGGGGAGAAGTCGTATATGATGTGCAAGAATCGTGCAGCAAGCGACGACTGGTATCAGACCTGCAATAAGAAAGAGGCCTCCGATAGTGAGTATAATCTTGTTCCCAGCTACGGTTGCCTATCCGTGTTTCATTAGAATCTTTCATAGTGCATCGTTTCGGGTTCCGTCGCAGGTGACTAACGCATAGCAGTATGGTGGATGACAAGGTACATAATGGAGAAGGACAGATTTTTGAACTTGATAGGGGATGCGATCGAAGCCGTGCAAAAACGGGAAATGGACCGAAAAGGATAAGACAGTCCAAAATTTTGAAGACTGGCACTGCAATCTTATCATGATGACACCTTGGATTTGAAGAAAAGAGGTTTCCGCGTCATCGTACTAATTCGTTCTGTGAGAGGGATAGTATGCACCAGACTGAGGCTCTGCGTTGTGGTACCAAGAAGGGATAAAGAAGGTGGTCGTTATTGGGTACCTTCATTGGTAGAAGTTGAGCGTCTGGTCCTCGTGATGGTACTACACTTTTTGTATAAGAAACGAATTTTCCCTTCCTGTTAAGTCTTTGAGAAGCCGCCCCGGTGCACAGCAACGAAGAAAGCGTATCTGAGGATGGGTCCGAGCCTCCCATTCAAACTATTTGTGGACTGTCTCTTTCAGGAAGCGCGCAGGGAGCTGTTCCCCATCTGAGGACAATGTGATTGCGTGGCGAAAGGCCTGGGCTGAAGATCCTGGCATGTACGCCTTATGATCAACCCCAATGAGAGGTTTCTGAAGTCTTGCCTGACCGAGCCATCATTCCTCAAGGGGGTTCTGGGCGGAGGAAGTCGTCTGTGCCTGAAGGTATGTGTATATCGCAGGGCCAGGTCAAGTTTTTGACGATGTTTCTCCTGCTCCCCCTTTTCCATGCTATGGCCAGGCCCTGTAACGTGTCGCAGCTGCAGCTTCAAGGGCCATTCTCCCCGTCGACCACAGTGCTTAGCTGGACCAGGACACTTTAACTTCCTCCGCCCCTACATTCGAATGCAGAGATCTAAAATCTTGTTGTTGCGTGTATTTCGATACGTGTCCTAACATTGCTGCTCAATTAAAGCTTGTGACCTCCAAAGGAGCCTTCGACAAACACCATTCCATAGCACCGCATCATTACGCCAGAATCGACCGCAGGCAACTCGCTGAGAGTTGCTGCTAGGCAAGTTGACATTTTTGGTGATTCAAAGTTGGTGACGAGGCCTGACCGGTGGCGGGTGTGTTCGAATCTCCCGCGATGGCTCCATAGCCATTTCGCATTTCTGCAAACATTTCTCTGCAATGAATGATATCTTCCTTTTCCCTGCAGGATCTCCATGCAGGGTGACAATACGGGGTCTTCTATCTGGCTTGCGAGAAGCTCGTTCCACTAAGAAACGCTGATGTTAGCCATACGTGATTCTAGGAACTTGAGCCGCACTTCACGATGGCCGCGTCGGTAGTCCCTCGGTTGCTGTCATTGAAAGTAACGGGGTTGCACGGTTCAAACTCAGATCCCCCAAATCTTGGCGACGGGGCTCGAACTCGAGGTCGGCCAGCGACCACAGGAGCGGAGGTGCTGGTAGAGGAGAGCGTGCCGAGCTTGTGCAGGGTTGTGTAAATGGTAAGCGAAACAAAGGGTAGCTTTAGTGGGCAGATCAAGCAAACATACGGACAGATAGATGAGAACCAGAGTTAAAAAGACACGCGTCGGCACGCGACGCCAAACAGAAGTGGCAGGGATGTGGGCACCTTGATAAAGCCCTCTTCATCGCATTTCGAGAGAAGCTTACGGGTGCAATGACAAGAGAGGGAAGAAGAATCATGAGATACCTCAGTCCTGTTTAGGTCCTCCGAGTCTGGAGCTCAGGAAAGGACGAGCTGCAGCCCACAGCTAATGGCAGATAGATTTTGCGCAGGCGGTCACTTCGCTGTTGACGTTCAGACTGAACGATCTATGGCTGTCTACTGTCTACGAAAAACATGATCAGGGTGCTGAGGAAAGGTGATGGATTGCCAGGAAGGGCCAAGACGTACGTGGTTGGAAAGGGCAGCAAGACAAAGTTTGGGCCAACAGTAGTCAAACGGACTTCGAGTATTGTAGGATGCGAGAGTGAAATAAATGGACCAAGTCCAAAAAAATTCCGAAAACGGTATAGTTCGAAAACGTCGAACCCGTTGACGTTGGAAGCCAGGGCTATCTAGACACGGAGGGGGCGGACGGCGAGTGGAGTACACAAGTCACTGATCTTGTCACGACAGCATGTCTAATACGAAAAGTAAGATATTCAACGGATTCCTATTGCTCTGAATATCGATTTTGTACTTTTTAAATGTCCAGAATTCGTAATTGTGGCTTAGGATCACGAGAAGCGTCGGCCGTCACGCTTTGCGTTGCCTCCGAAGGTGCGTACGTGCAGGCCTACAGACTCTGTCAAAAGCACACTAGCGCCAAACTCCCTGCTGTTTTCCCCGGAATTTACTCACCAGAGCCGCACACTAACCTGATCTAGAGCCCAGGGACCCACCCGGTTTGTGATTCGAAATCAGCCAGCAGCTCCCCCTTCAAATATTTAAACCCGCAAAGAGAGCTGTCTCTCTTCCTTCCCTCCCCTCCTCCACCACAACACAACACACCCCTTCTGGCACATCTCAGTAGCCTCTGGCCCCTCCGCTCACCTCATCTCGACCACCCGTTTACATATGTCGACATCTATGATTGGTTTGCCCCTGTTGCTGCTCGCGCTTCATCCAGCGTAGGACTTGTGTCTACTGCATATGGCTCTGCACAGTGTGGCCTTCGTGTTGGCGAAATATTGATTGGACCTTCTCCCCCAACTCTTTTCATTGCACTCGCGGGCTTGCCTCGCGATGCGAAGAAGAGAATTGACGGCCTGCGTGTAGCGCCCTAGGCAACATGGCTTTCACCATCCTGCCTTCTGACGTAGCTGCTTTGCCTGCCACTGCCTGTCCTTGCCTTCACTCGTGCCGTGCTCCGTCGCTCTCTGCCATGGTGCTCATCTGTTGCGTCCGTCCTCACTGCCCGTCCAAGGTTGTCCAAGATTGTCCAAGGATGTGAACAATGTGAGCCCCAGCACGGAGAGCAAGGTTCCACTACTTTGTCATCATCTACGAGATGATACTCTCTCCAAGAGCTCAAGAACAATACAAACGCGTCCCTTACTTGTAGGCTTACGGGGACGCGGGTGCGACACGTCACATAACGCAACTAGGAGCTTCTCTTACCCATCGCCAGTAACCTACCTGGCCCGAGGAAGACCAGCCTGGGTTGGACAGGAATTCTTGTTGAAACCTTGACAATGGCAGCATCCCAAACAAGTGACAACTCGCCAAGGGCGTCAGCTGAAGGTTAAGGGCATAGGCCAGCGTCGTTTGACCGGACTTCCAATCAGCCATCCCTTTCAACCACAAACGCGACGGTGGCGAGTTGAGTTGACGCCTGCGAAAACTTTTTGGTAACTGCGCCACAAGTCCATGGTGATGTTTGAACCTTTGCTCCAGCACCATTCTGTGTTTCGTCCTTTGCTCCAGTCAACTTCTCCTTCATCTTGTCCCCACCATCAAGCACCAATCAAGGACAGAGAACTCCTGGTTGGGAGATCTTGGACTTGATAGAAGGACTTGATATAAAAAGTGCTTACATTCCCCTTTCTGACTAGCTTTTCCAGAGGGGCATGAGATGTGATCTCACTTCCTTAATGTTACTACGTATAAAGAGATCCCGTCTCATGAAGGGAGGGGATGAGGCTGATGCCTTGATTCTCCATGTTCCAACACAAAATGGTACATACTGCCACCTACTTGTGGCAGCCGATTTCTTAAGCAGATTTTGCAAAACGTTTTGAACCATGGCGCGGCCTGCAGGGACTGCCTCCTCTACAGTAAAGCCTTCCATCGAGCAGGCAAACACAATTGATTCGTTTGATTGACCAATTACCCCTTCCTGGCAGCTTACCAAAGTGGTCAATCACAACATTGCCAACGGTTGGTGCGTCATCCACTGATTGAGGTAAATAGAAAGCGCAAAAAGATTTCCGATCGTTACGGCTCTTAACTGAATTTAAACATGCGCACATAACGACACCTAGAAAAGTAACCACACAACCTAGTGATCCAGACATATATTCCCAGCGTGACCGTTGCCCGAGCAGTACCTGACAAAATCCATACCAAGCTCTCTTTCCGCATGGATCCTGCAGTCCCTGAGATTCCATCCGTCCGTTGTAGTACCTTGCACAACGCCATGAATCGTTCTGGTTCGGCGCGCTACGGCGGATGGAAGTGTCAACATATTGGCTCATACATTGTTTAGGAAGCGCTCACAGGAAAAGATGGCCTCATGCAGAAAAGGACGAGCTCGATTAACAACATCCTATCATCACCGAGGCTTTACTCAAAAACTCCTGTCTAATGTCGACCAGAAACCAAGCCCGCAACGCTGGTAGCGCCCGGGCATGCGTATTGATGTACAAGGGGCAAGGTGCCCAATATACCCAAGCCGATTTTTGACGGAGGACTATTTATAAGAATTCAAATGAACGGGATGCATGTAGGAGTCTGATTTGAGGACTGAGAGTCTATGTGACATTGAGCTCCTAACCCTTTCTTTGAGAATCTTTCACGCAGTAATTACAGATGTCGGTGGCCTTGCCCAAACCTCATCCTCCTATGTACTGGGATTGCCGTCAGGTGCATTGAAAAATGTATAATTAATTGCCTAGAGACGGGTCGATGAAATTCTGAACCAGTTGAAAGATGCCACATAGACTTAGAACTTCCTCACAGAGATGTCCTCGAACAGGTTCTACCGGTGGGTTCTACCAGAGGCAAAGCCGAAAGGACACGTTTGGCCCCAAGTACCGAAAGAGTTCACTGTTGAGCAGCTCTCCTTATCAATGAGCCAAGAGCGAAATTTTACATGATAGGAAACCAGAAAAGCTTTTGCGTCAAAGGAGTGGGATTGAAATTCGATTATGCTACCGATGATCAGATCTGGTGAGCTGAAACGACATATCTTAGTTGTTATCACTGGCTACTAAATCAAAACAATACTCATAGGAGCGTAGGTGCATCCATTTTCCTCTGTAGTACATCAGTGTTCATATTCCTTTCAATACTCCAGTGACTTGTTCAATGTTCCTGGCATACGAAGCAACCCCAACTAACATCAACGGCTGTGGGTTTTTCAGAATTGGTGACTCTTTTGATACCACGAGTATGAGAAAAGCCTCATCAGTCTCCGAAAAAAAATGATTTGCCAAACCACAGGTGTTGTGCCGCCAGCATGCCGTAGAAAAAGTAACACCCACGGCCTCTTTGCATAAGATTACGACTAGTCAACGAGTCTGGCAAGCCACAGTGAACAGTGTAGTTCACACAACTCTAGGTACAGCAGAGTGCCTTGCTCTAAACTACCACGGTACATCGAGCCCTCCTATTCAAGTCCCTTTACTTCGCGCTGGCCACCTTGGACAGTGCGTTATCGGTTTGGATTTGGCAATGTTCTGACCAAATATTCCTCTTCGCAAATCCTGAATTTCGACAGCCGCTGGAATGGTATTCCTCGCAAAATTTACATGTCTCTTAGATCTCCTCACTTTGAGCTTGAGATGGCCCTATTCTCATCCTACGCTGCCAAGCCAGTCGGCAAACATACCCAGTTGTATTCCGTTGTTGGATCAGGAGCTGTGACCGTTTTAGTGTACTTGACTGGTTCGAACGTAATCACTGAGCGAGTGATAACGCTCAGTTTGCAGCCGTGGCACTCCGTTGCCGCCGTAGTTGTGATTGTGTAGGGGTACTTGGTCAGAGTCAGGTCCCCCTGGACGGGGCTGCCCACCACCTTAGTGACAGTGCATTTGACGCCGAGTGTTGTCGTAATGGCGAGGTCACGAAGCTCAAAACCCATCTTGGGAGTCGGAGCAAGTGTCCGCTGAGGCAAAACCTCCGGGGGAATTGTAGTTGCAGTGAGCTCACTGGAACTGAGAGGACTTGCAATAGCTTTCATGGCAAAAGCCAGAACAATAAGGCTTGAGCAAACCATTTTTTTGGAGGCAGCTTGCACAAGTGGCAGAAGACTAGGGGATTGCAAGAGTGGACGTTCTAAAACTTGAAGAGATTTCAGGGAGCAAGAGCAGCTATTTAGAAGTGTTTTATAATTCATTTACTCAAGGTAGCGCAAGAACAACTGCTAGACTCTCCGGGTATGGTCAAAGTAGTATCGGGCGACTTCTTGGAAGACCTTGACGTAGGACCACTGTGGGGGTGTGTGCGACGGCGTGACATACCAACCAAATTTTGCTTTCTCCTTCACTTGGTAATGTACGGGTTCAACCAAATTCAAAACAATCTTCCTGCTTCAGTTGCGGTGTTTCTTGGGTTTCTGGCCTCTAATTTCCGGCATAGTGGATATGCCAGGGTATTTGAGAGAAGAAAGACAATGAGAATGAGATCACGAATTACAGCACACAAGTGGAAAGAAGCAGGATGGTGCGGAAACCCAAAACTATGGTCTCGATATGAATTTATCCGGGACCAAATGAGCCTTTGTTTACTAATCCAGCCATAGCATTGACGCAGCTTTAATTAGCTGTACGGAGCTATTCATTCCGGATTTCCCACTCTAGTCAGTTAAGGGCTGATTCAAGAGAGCCTTGACAATATTACGTCAGTGGTTGTGCCACCATTGTGTGTTTTGTTTTGCCTTCCTTGTCCCTAGACCTAGACTCTTGAGCCAAAGATCTATGGCAAGTCCGCACAGCCTCACATCTATCTCGTTAGCTCGTAGCAGTAGTCCCAAAACATCACCAAATTAATTATGCTAAATGATTGATGTCTGCGGCTCCAGCTGCGAAATTCCTCCTCATGTAAGAATGTGACGATATCGTTGCGTCTATGCAGGCGTTTGTTTGTCTCCAATGTTGAACCCACGCAGGTACCGTACGATGCGTCCCACGCGGCTCCCATAGGATTCTGGCTGTGTTTGGACGGACACTGGAACGCAATGAATCTCGGAATCGAAAATTCTGGATACATGTGGTCTGAAGGGATTGCCATCATTCATTCGAAGTCTCAATGGAGCTACAATTTCCTATCTTCGACGGTATAGGTCTCTCATAACACGATCTTCTTGTACCACGGACGCAAATGGCTGCGTCCATATTTGCTAAATCATGGGCCTGAATTATAGCCAAAGGCAAGAATAAAGCCGATCCTCACGTATTTTTCCTACCTTTTCTCGGTCCCCTTCACTTAACCTATGTGCTGAAACAGCTTTCAAGGGTATCCGGGCATAAATTACGGAACCTGTATTTCCCCCATGTTCACCCCCGCTTCCGTTAGCACTTTGTCGAGGAGTGTCATAAGCAGTACAAGGTGTGGCTGCTCACGCGAGTCTGACTACCGATTGTAATAACGTCGAAATAGTCTATTGTGTTGTGAAATGCTCGGGTATCCTGCATATTCCACCCCATTGAAGCACCTTGCTTTGGCTGATGAAGCCAAGCGCGGATTGTGAGTTGACACCGGGTTTCCCGCAGACGTTGCTGACATGAACAACTATGCACAGATCCATCGTTCGAGATTTGTGGGTTAAATGGGGCGGCCGTTCGAGCGGGCTAGTTTGTTGTATAAGACGGTCTTTTCGTTCTTCTCGGCCCGACGGTTGTGTCTGACGAATCAGATGATAGTACGGTCGGTCTTTTGGAATTCCCCGCGGAAACAGGCCGACGACTTGTTCTAAACTAAGGCAGTCCGAGAATCAGATGTCGCCCTCCGTACATCTTCTCGAGCTTCTCCTGCATCCTGCCTCTCCCCAAAGCGATATGCTCCTGCTTCTAGAATTTTCAAGGGGAATTCTCGGATATAATCGCCAAATTTCACGGATTGACTCCTATTCCATTCCGCGAATCGGCCCATGCCATTAGGATGGAGAATACGCCGCCGGAGAAGCGTCGACGACGCCCGCCCTTGGCCTGCATCGCCTGCCGGCGTCGCAAAGTAAGGTGCGATCGCAAATTGCCGTGTCAAAACTGCGTCCGCGCTCGGAGAGCCGCCTCATGTTCCTATGTCTCGGACGACCGTGTCGAGCCGAGAGAGGGCACAGAAGGGTTTGAAGATGGAATCAATGGTCGACATCCCCAGCGTGACGCCTTGTCGAGCGTCCCTTTCTTCACTTCCACAGCCTGCAATTCTAACAGCTCCCCGGAGCAGCTTGCCGAAAGAGTCAAGCTGCTCGAGCAGCAGCTTGGCCAAGTCATCAACACACATAATGGCAGAGGGACTGCCCGACTTGAGCTGCCTAGTGCACACTTCAATAATGCGAATTTCAACCCTCCTACCGCCTCACAATTCCTCGGACAGGAGCACTGGCAAGTCAAAGGCTTAGGCAGGGCAGAAATTGGCGTGGCAAAAGCAAGATACTCGCGAGGTATCCAAGGACCAAATCAAGAAGAAGAGGTCTCAAATACGGAAGAGGACCCTTCTACAGCTGGCAACGTCAATGCCATCCTCGCGAAGTCTAGGTACCTGGGAAATAGTCACTGGATCCATGGAGTAACGCTTGTGAGTCCTCAAGTTCTACCGCAGTCCTCCTTGATTTGTATGCCCTCACCAGACCCACTCTCTTGCTTGCCTACGTTTCTATAACACGTCACGCAACACATAACAAATTCTCGCCTTTTCATCCAACGGTCCATCCCGTTATAGCTATGCCAACTCCTACTCAGAAGTACTCTTCATGTCAGACATATCTGGCAATGCGCAGAGCCAGTCATCTGACCATCCAACAGTTCCCAAGACTTATGTTATTCCTTGAATCCTTGAAGTCGGACAAGGACTCGGAAGGCTACAAGGCAGTCGCCCAAAGCAAGATCTTAGGGCGCCAGATCAAAGCCATGAGAGTACCACAAATCCTGTCTTTGGAATTCGGAAACTATATACCGTCCAGAAAGCTCGCCGACGAGTTGGTAGAGACATACCTCAGGACCTACGAAACTATTTTTCGGGTCTTGCACATTCCATCTTTCAGGCTCGAGTATGGGCGGTATTGGCAAAATCCAAAAGGGGCGAGACAAGCATTCGTGATCCAGCTTCAGCTCTGCATGGCCATAGGTGCAGTTCTGCAGGATGACCAATTTTCACTTCGGAAGCTAGCAGTGCGGTGGGTCTATGAAGCTCGCTTCTGGTTGCTACAGCCCTCGGAGAAGTCACGAATGAATCTGTCAGGGCTGCAAGTATATTGCCTAGTTCACCTTGCCCGCGACGTAGTGGGAGTTGGATCGGACCTAGTCTGGGCGTCAGCCGGTTCAATGATGAGAATGGCCATTTATATTGGCCTCCACCGTGATCCAAGCCATCTCCCTAAAATGTCACTTCTCGCAGCCGAGACGCGCCGTCGAGTATGGAACACAGTGCTTGAAATTCTTCTACAGTCAAGTATGGACTCGGGAGGGCCCCCGCTGATAGCTATGTCTGACTACGATACCAAACCCCCGCGCAATTACAATGATGAGGACCTCCTCCGAGACACTACAGACGCCGAGATACCACAGCCTAAGCCCCTAAACACATTCACCGACACTTCAGTGCAGATTGGGCTGGCGAGAACATTCAAGGTACGCGTCGAAATCGCATCATATCTCAACGATTTCCGATCTGTGACGAGCTACGACAAGTCGCTAGCCATCAACTCCGAGCTTACGGCGGCGTCTCGATCTCTCGACGCACTTCTGCGTGCCTACAAAACCCAAGACCCTGGTCCCTCTCAATTCCAGCTCCGGGCGGTCGAGCACCTAATCCAGAGGTATTTTCTGGCTATCCACCTACCTTGGCTCGGACTCGCGAAAGATGATCCTCGTTACTTTTTCAGCAGAAGACTTTGTGTCGAGGCTGGTCTGAGGCACCACCGGGTGGCCAAGACGTATAAGCCGGATGACCCGTCAGAAAGGCATTCTCAGCCAGACGACTTTGGGCGGCTGCTTATTTGTGGGTCAGGGTCGGTACGGTTTATTGGTACACAATGCCTCCTCGCAGCAACACTCGAATTTGTATGGGAACTTGATGAGCGGCTAGAGGGGGCCCGAAGTCTAGATTTCAATACCACGGGAAGCAACTCAACGCCATCCATAACTAGTAATTCCGGAGTAGGGATGGGTTATATGGGCCCTATGGTTGACGAGAGTGAGATGCTTGATGTGCTTCGATATACGGTGACGTGGATGAGAGCACGCATCAAGGCTGGCGAGGTCAATGTCAAGGGATTCCTGTTCGCAACAGCTGTGCTGGCTGAAGCCGAAGGACTCACCAATGATTCAAGCGAGGAAGAACTCAAAGATGTTGTTCGGCAGGCTTGTTTGAAGTCAGCGAGGGAGGCGCTCGATCTTCTCAAAGAAATGCACACCGCGCTGAGCACTGACAACTCTACCTTCGGTGTGGCTGAGGCGAACATGAGCGCATCAATGAATACGGAGGCGTTTGGACCGCAAGTCTCGGGCAATGAGGATGCCTTCAATGGTATGGAAGATGTTGAACTGAGCAGCGACTGGGACTGGGATATTGTAAGCTTTTCCCTTCGTTGACAGGATGGCATGCTGGCAGGCAGAAAATCATCCGCAACTTCCATTGTTCGAGCACCACACCATTTGCTAACTTAAATGTACTACTGCAGCTCAACCCAAGTTATGACCTCAACTTCAACATCAATCTAGGGGGGATGGATCTTATCTTTAATAACCTCTACTAAGCCCACACACCGCGCAAGAACCAGTTGACACACATACCGGAATCTGCATGTCATGTGTCTATATATTCTAATTTGTCATCCCACTCGCTGATTCTATTTCGCTGTCCTTGTTCTATATGTGTCACCTCCTGTAGTTCATGACCATAGCTAAGTAAGCATTTATGTGGGGGAAGAAAAAGGGGGGTGAGCTGGGAAAGACATACTTCGTGGTCTCAATACGTTGGCACTCGTGGTTCAACGACACTAGACCGGCGAGAGGCACGCAGAGCAGGTTCGAAATGGTCATTACGGCCACTAAAAGCAACCTTGCCAGGATACAAAACGCTATGCATCGCCCCATAAACATCCCACAATCGGCTACTACACGAACATGTTGCCGCTGCGTGGTTGACCCACCAAAATAAAACCATTGCCGACCACGCAATGCCAAGTTAGCAACACGAACATGTAAGCATTACTGCCTGTCGTGCTTTAAGGATGACCAAATATTGTGCAGAGTAGTCATAATCACTGCGTAACCCATCCATACACGCAACCTATCAAAGCGCCGCGAAGTTGCGGCTGGCTTTGATGGTGTCAAAACTGTATTCCGTTAACTTAAGTATATGCCCTCTTTTGATTGGTTTCGTCCAAACATTATCTCTCACAGTCCATGAGAACAAGCCGTTTTGGGCTTTTTAGTAGACTGCTGACATCTTAAAGCGGATACATCGGGGACTTTGACGACTTGACAATTGAGGAATTATGAGCGCACCTGGATGCGATACCATCATTATGGAACCTAGGAAGACCTGTAAGTGATCAGTATGAACGCAAATAAGTCCTCTTCCATCATTTAATAGATTATAAAGTCATGTTTGTTCAATCTTTTAAGCCTCTGTTTATTTGATCAACTGAGACTGCTACGATTCGGACTCGGACTATATTATCGAACGGACTTTCGAACAGAATTATCAGGGGAAGAATCAGAACAAGTTTGAGGGCATGTGTATGTTTTCCTGACGTTTCCTGTCTAGTGTGACATCATGGTATCCAGAGTGACGAGTTAGGGGGAGTATGAAACCCAGGAAGACTCACACACGGCGCAACCATATGAACGCAGGCAGGTACTGTTTTGTAGTTCAACAGTGGTGCGTCACTTGTAGCAAATGTTCAAGAAGATGCTTAAAAGTATGAGAGCAGGGTGATGGCAATTGACTGCGCCGCACGACAGATACACATCGTCTTCGACGCAGACATGGCAGGTTATCATGGCTGCCTGGCAAAGTCAGGTTAACGTCTTTCGGGCCTCGGAGGCGGATGGATGATGGAGGGCAACGCATGAAACCGCTGCTGTCTAGATCGTGGGGCTTGTGGTGACAAAGCATCATGATATTGACGCATCCAACGCCTCTGCAAACGCCTCCATGGGAATGGGATACCCCTGCATTCCCCGTACCTTTTTGTACAACTATAAACACAAGAAGGTGAATATCTCTAAGTCCAGTGTCGCCCGGTCCCTGTTTCGTTCCTCACGCCCTCCCAAACATTCTAGCACTAGCATCGATACCCTCACGGTCCACAATCGCGCTTGTCGCGTCGCTCCTCGTGGACACCACACTAGCCCTCCTCAGATCATCGTCACCAGCGGCGGCGTTGACCATTCCCTTGATGCCCAGTTCAACCTCTCCCACCCGCCTCAGCACGCCCAGGATAGCGCCCCTCAATTCCCCAGTCAATTCCTTGCTCGCCATAAGCTCGACCACCAGACCATAGAAAGACTGCACGTGGCTCTTGAAGGACTGTTCTGGGAACGCCGCGTAGCCTTCTAGCACGTCGACCACGACAGGCCTCCAGGCCACGATGTTTCGATGCTGGCTCTCCTCCTCGAGCGTGACATAGCTGCGAATGATACTTTTGCACAGAGGGACCAACGCGTTTTCAACATCCGCCTTGGACTCACTCCTACGTGGGTCCGTGTCGGCAAACATTCGGAACAGGATAGCAACGTAAGTCGCAGCGGATCCAGACTCCTGCTTCAGCAGGTTGGGAGGCTGCTTCATGAAGCCTTCCCTCCAGAGGCGCATCCGCAACTCCTTGTCGTTGTTGAAACGCTGCGCGAACAGAAATGACTTCTTGAGCACTGCCATCAACCGCAGGAGCTCGTTGGAGGGTATCTGCGCGTAGACGTTGTCGTTGCTGAAAAGCTCGTTGACCGTCTCGATCATGAGAAGCTGCAAAACGCATCGGCTGATGATGCGGTTGAAAAAGCGGCGCCGGGCAGCGGAAATTTGTGGCGGAGGCATCTGGAGATTACTCGAGGGCTTGAATTCTTCGAGTGGCTTGGCTGTTGTCGGTGTCCTCTGAGGGTCTTCCTCCGCAAATGTACTGGCTGCTGTTGAAGGCCGGTCATCATCCGAGTGGCCATTTGTCTCTACGCCATTGATCTTCAGAGACTTCGAGTCATCGTCCGCCCCTTCTAAGCCAGGGCTCAACGGCTCCCCAAAATCAACACCGTTGGACACCGGTGCCAATGAGGCGGTATTGTTGATTGTCGTGGCCGAGAAAAGCTGGTAAGCAGTCGTTCGCTCGAACAATTCGCAGAACGCGCCGACAATTTTGGACCAGTGCTCCACAGTGAATTTTCTGACATTCTGCAAGATGAGTTGCTGAAGGCAGTTGCTCCCTATTCTTGCAATTGTGTCATTCTCCTGGCAGATGCAGAGAGCTAGAAGCTCTAGAAAGCGGTCGAGCATATACTCCAATGCCTCAAAGTAATGAGTGAAGAGCGTGATCATGTGACGGAGGGCCTGGATCATGGTCGTCGACAGCCACACGGATAGTTCCTCGTGGTTCAGAGCGTTGCTCATCTCGGGCTTGGACCGCAACACAATGAATATAGGGTACAGCTGTTGCCGCCAGAGGATGTCCCAGAATTCTGGAGGAAAGTCACCACCATACCTAAGGAGGGCCTCGAAGAAATAGTTCAAGGCGTTTGATCGGACCTCGAGATCTTCTCCCGTCATTAGCACATCGTGGAAAGCGAACAAGACGGGGAACCAGAAACCCTCTTCCACCGACGTGCGGGTTTGTTGGCCGGGTGACTTGAGGTGGATATCTGCCATGCTTGACTGAGCAGCATTGAGGTCGGACTTCCGGGATAGAGGGCACTCGGGTGTTTTGAGCATCTGTGGGATAATTGACTTGAGTGTCTCCATGGCTTGAAGACTTTTCTTCTGGTATTTGATGTTCTTTGAGAACTCTGTCAGACAGACGATGAGATCCGTGAAAGCGCCCTGGTTGATGACGACGCCAAAGCGGGTCTTGTACACTTTGAGGACGTTCTCGTAGGCCATATTGACTATCGTCTCGTTTGGATCCCGGGCGGCGACGGTGAAGATTCCAAACATGGTCCTCCAACCAGACTTGATGTTTTCGCCCCTTGCCTGGATCATCTGGATCAGACAACTGAGGACCAGCTCTTTTACCCTGAGGTTGCTGGAATTTGACATGACGTGTTCGAAAGGCTTCAAAAAGTCCTTTTGGAATTTGAAACCTGGGAGCTCGTCAATCTCCATGAATCTCATTGACAATTGCCGCAGCGAGTCGATGGAGAAGATGACGACGGTCTCATTGACGTGGCACCCGGCCTTGTTGAAGTGCTCGCCAAGAACGTCCCAAATGTGAGTCCATTCGAACCTCACACGTGTCATGTTGTAGTAGCTGATCTCGACGATTTTCTGCAAGCTGTACATGCGAGGCCTGTCATGTGCGCCAGACACCTTGATCTCGTCCCAGCTCACTTCAGTCAGAGCCCGTGCGAATTGTACAATCGCGTCGCCATCGAGATTCGCGGTGTTGGTGAAGATCCTATCCACTGTTTTGATTATTTCGTCTGACCTAGCTTCCAGAGCAAGCACTGTAGAGAAGCCTTGTGGACCGGTGTTGTTGCGTGGACGGTGCTTTCTGGATGATGATGACCGCTTTGAATCATTCGTGTTCTCCCGCTGCAGTGGCACGAACCGGGCCTTGGACACGTCTGGCACTGAGCTCTCATCAACGCCGCCAGTGATGAGCTGCAGCCGGTCTAGCTGACTGATGCACATCAGAATGTCTTTCCAAGATTCTTTCAAGTAGTTCCCCTCAGTCTGGCCAAGATCCAGCAACACCTTGAGAGCCTCGACATTCTTTGCCAGCACCTCTTGCGGGTTATTGAGGTTTGCCGTGTTCTTCAAGACCGAGACGAAAGCCTCACGAGGGGTTGCCCATTCGAAGAAGCATGCGATCTTTGCTGCGAGCTTCATGCCTTCTAGGCAAAGCTTGACTACCTCTAGGTTGTGGGCATTTTGCATTTGGTTGGATAATGCTGAAAAGTACGACATCCAGGTGACATCGAACATGGGACCGACGTGCTTGAATGATGTTGCTGGAATGAATTTAACTCCGGCGTTGGCGGCGTTCCTCCGCTGGTTACGGAAAAGATCTTTGAAAAGCTGCTCTGATCTGAGAGCGATTTCTTCGGACTGCTGCACATATGCTTCTCTTCGTAAGTCCCGACCCACGTTTGAGAATACCGACCCGAGGCCAAGACCTAGGCCACTGGTCTGAGGGGCAACTGGCCCAGCAGCAGCAGCAGCATCCCTCTCGCTCTTCAACACTATCTCGTTGCTTGCGATCTCATCGTAGATGCTGGTGAGGTATTCTGCAGGCAAATCGGCGTTGTCGTTGATGCCTCTGTTGTTCTTGATGAAGTCTTCCTTGGTCATGCGTCTCGCGATCTTGCTGCTGTGCAGGTCGGTGTTCAGCATGATGACCGAGTACGCAAGCACATATGCTGTGTCCGAGCTAGCGAATGCGTTGGGGTTGCCAGAGAGGTAGCGCGATGCGAATTGTAGCATGAATCGATCGATCTTCTGAGCCTCGCCAGGCAATCGAAAGGCTTGCAGGAAGTGGCGCAGTGCATCTACGAACCGCCTCTTATTGAAGTCCATCGAGTCGACAAAGGCGTGCATGACTTCGATGTTCTTCGCCTCACCTTCTCCCAGGTACTCGCCTATCTGGGCCTTGTCCAGCCGTTCCTCGGTCAGTAGAAAACGCGCCAGGTCCTGCGGGCTATCGCTGGGGATGAAGCCTCCCTCAAGCAGCATTTTGATACCCCTTTTCGGTTTGAAGTTGAACGCTCGGATGGCGCGGTCAAGCGCAGTCTTGCGCGCCTTCTCCTTTTCCAGCTGCTCAGGGTCATCTTCTATTGTAGGTGTTGAAGGCATGATAGGGGTCTCCATCCTCGACGTGCCGTCCGCAACAGAAGGATCAATTGACTCCCTCACACCATCGAGGGATTGCCTCTTCTCGATATCGGACGACTCGCTCGTCCCATTTGACTGGTCGGGCTGTGACCAGTTGACCATGGACCGCAGGGATTCGACCAGCGCGTCGAGAGCGGCACGCTTCATCAGATATTCCTTTGGAATCCCATTCTCCGGCTCTTCTGGCGGGACGATATTTGCTACTGACAGCGAAGGCGGGAGCATGCCCTTCATCTGCCAGTCGCCGGGGTTTGTCTTGGCAACCTTGTCCTCGTATTGCTGCTCGTGTTCCGGCTTCACTGGGACGTTGGACGTTGAGTACTTTGCCAGGTCCTCGACAATGGTCTGGAAGATGTTGTTCATCTGGCTGTCACAATCGTAGTTCAAGTAAGACTCGACCAGGGCGCGAGGGTCACCGCAGAACCTCTGAAGGATTGTAATGACCTGCAGCTTCTGGGTTGGGGACGCATTTTTCCTGGACAGCAGCGCGAGATAGATCTCGTTGAGGAAGACCTCTATTTCTTTCTGCAAGGCATATGAGAAGATTGTTCAATTGCACTAGAGGCGGGCAGCTGACCTTGAATGGTGCTCGCATGAATTTCAACATGAGCCAGAAAATATCGCAGCAGACCTCAAATACTCGGTCGACGGAACTGGCCCCGTTGCGGGAGATACTAAGACACAGGTAGAATTTTATCGCTTGCAAGAAACTCGTGGGCTCATTACTTTTGGTGCTCGTGATGGTACATAATGGCGAGGTGAAGACTGAAATGTGGTTATTCAGAAGTGTGTGTATGAGGTGGAGAGAGATAAGTTTGGAGCGCATGGGCTGGCCACGCAAGTCATATAGCATCTCGGGTGGCAGGTTCTTGGTGGACAGGTTGCAGAAGGAGCGGAAGACAAGGTAGGCGTCTCTGACGTAGATCTCGTCCTCGGTGTCAAGAGACTCCTGCGCGTCGTCCTGGTCGCGGTCGGTCGCGGTCGTCTCGGCGTTGCTCTGTTCCGACACGGACCTCGAAGCTTTCCGTGGGCCTTTCAGCTTGGTCACCATGGTGGGGCCGTCGCCCATGTTGGAGTCGTCGAAGCTCTTCCGGTGCTCCAGGTCCCTCAGGGTGAGCTTTGGCCCGTCCTCGGCCGCCTTCTCGGCCGTGGGCGGCTCCGCGGCCGCGGGTTCGGCAGGCTCGCCGCCGTCGCCATCGGCCTCGTCACCATCCACCGAGTCCCGCCGGTCGAAGGTGGCATTGCTCTCGCCGTTCTTGAGCTTGGCCAGGTTCAGACGGGCCTCCTTCATGTGTAGCCGTGTCTTGACCCTCTCAAAGACGGTACCAACCATCTGCGCAAGGGTTCCCTGTGCTATCTGCTGGTTGTTGGTGTTCCTGGACAGCAAGAAGACGTTGTAGACCTGGCGCACAGCCTTGAGCAAGCCAGCGCCGTGGACCACGATCTTATCGTTCAGGACGGCGGCGAGCAGGGACTTGATGATCTGCAGCTGGACCTCGACAGGAGTGGCCTCGCCTTGGAAGCAGTCGCATATTGTGTCGATGGCCCGCTCGATGAGCGGCGCGTGTGGTTGGGCAGAGGCATCTTGTGCGGCTGGTGGCTCGGCAGGAGGCTCGGAAGTGACGGAGAAGTAGGAGGAGGAGATGAGTTTGCCGATGCAGTCGAGGGCGGTGGTTGTCAGCTGGACGTTGCCGGAGCGTGAGGCCAGCTGCAGCGGCGCAAAGATGATCTCGGGGTCTGGCAGGTGAGGGTCGGCTTCCTTGAGAGCGGCCTGGGCCTTTTCAACGCCGTCGGTCAGGGGCTTGTTGCGAGTGCCAGCATGTTTCTGGATGGCATCCAGAGAGGACACGACAAAGCGGATAGAGCTCATGGTCGCCGTCGCCGTGCTGGGCGGGGACCAGGAGGCATCCGCGTTGGGTGGATCCGCGAGGTTGGATGCGATCGATGAGGGAGGGCTCTGGGTCTAGGGCTGGGTCTTGGTGCTGGTAGTGGTCGTATTTGTGGTCTTGTTCTCGGTCCTGGTCCTGGTCTTGTTCTTTGGGACCGCTGCGCCAAGTGTGAGGGAGGCAGGGAGGGAGGCAGGCAGGCAGAGCGCTGGGTTCCTTGTGGTCAAAGGAAAAGACAACGCGGGTCAGCCCATGGGAAAGACAGCAATTGGGCTCGGCTAACGGGTCAGTAGTCAGACTCGGTGCTGGAGCTGGTGCAGTGGCGCTCCATGGAAAGGGCGGATGCTGTGTCGATGTGAGATGTCCAAGTCGAAGTCGAAGTCGGGGTCGGCATCGGTGTCGATTCGATGGGATAGGATGGGATGGGATGCGTGTCTTTCTTTAGCTAGCTGTGCTTTAGACTACTTACTGACTGTACACTCGGCTTGGCTTGACAGGCAGGGCTGCTGCTGCTGCTGCTGCTGCTGCTGCGGTACGCTACCTAGGTACTCCAGCGGGTACCTAGACTATCTACCTACCTACCTAGACTACATAGGTACTCCACGTGTACGGTGTGCTGCCCTGGCGTCGCAGGCTCGAAGCTGCCCCCCCCCCTCGACCGGAGAAGGGACCAGGTTGCAGCTTGCAGGCACGGGCCGTGCTGGGTGACTGGCTGTAGACTGGCCGACTGGGTGACTGGTTGACTGAGTGGGTGAGCAAAGTGCTGCTGGTCCTCGACGCTTTTCCACCCCAATCGATGACCGAGACCCACCTTTTCCCAGACAAGACTCATTTCACTTGTGCTGCCGGCCAATGGGTTACCGAGACATCGTCGACATGGTCAACATGAGGGCGGATTCAGGCATGGCCTAGATACTATAGCTACTGACTGGCAGAGAAGAGCGGGTCTGCATCTCTCCGTGCATGCATGCATGGGCAGTGGACTGTATCTATCTGATATCTCATTTCGCTCACGACCCAATCTTTACTTGGTGAGTCCACGCCGTCTGGGGCTCTGATACTGCGTCTTGGGTTGAGCACAGAAACCCTGACGAAGGTGTACTAGATTCTGTATTTATATCGCGCACGGGCACGGCATCGAATTGGCCGTCAGTGGGCTGCAGTCACACCTAGGAAGAAGACAGACCACTAGTAGTATGAGTCTGCCAGTTGGGGGTGGGGGTGGGGGGTCGTCCCGGACACAAGCAGACACAAACACGCACATATATATAAAATAAAAAATGTATAATATATATACATAGTATCGGTAGACTACATCTCCGTACGTGTGTACATCCATCTGTCATCTGTATCTGCCCAGCAGCTCGTCCAGAACTTGCAGAACCCATCAATCGATAAGCCCGGCTTCGCTTTCAGTTTTTGTCGGGTCAGACCATCGCCCAACACGGCATAGCCCCAGTCTTGGCCATGGCCAGCCCGCGCTCAACGCCTGCGGTACGGGGGTACATCGGGCTTGCTGGCTCGCTGTAATGGTCGTGAATGGCTGAAATGGGGCGGCGCATCTGTCGAGGTGGCAGGGGGGGCAGGGGGGGCAGGGGGACGGAGCTCCTAATCCTGGTCCGCAGCCCCCAGTCCGTGGCCCTAGCAGCAGCAGCAGCAGCAGCACCAGCAAGCAGCAGGCCAGCAACAGCTCTAACGGGGCCGGGCCCCCAACGAGAAACGGGGAGCGAGAAAAGAAAAAAGATCGCACGCCGAAAACTCCCTAACATCGGACCTCTCCTCCATCATCACCAACCCTTGTCGAGGCGACCCGCGCTCACTCACCTACCCACTTCCTCCGTCCTCTTCCCACCCGTTCAGCTCCTCCTCCTCTCAATTCCTCTCTCCCGGGGCCTATTGAGCAGAGTCGACCCTGACAAGAAGAAGAAAAAAAGCAAAACAAAAGACGCCCTCGCGGTCCCCAATTCCCGTCCTTTGCGTCTGTCTGTCTGGTGTGACTTGCTGTGCGCAGGTCCGGACACTTGCCCTTCTTCGATCCCCGAGAGCCATTTTTTCCCCTTCTCTTTCCCGCGCAACCACAACAGCCCACCATGCTTGGCCCAATACTCCGGAGGCAAGTCCTTCACTCGCGACCCGCGCTGCGACAAGCCCTGCCCACCACCTCCAGCTTAGCAAGATGGTACGCCTCCTACCCGCCTCACACCATCGTCAAGATGCCCGCCCTCTCGCCAACCATGACCGCCGGCAACATTGGCGCCTGGCAGAAGAAGCCCGGCGACTCCATTGCCCCCGGTGACGTGCTGGTCGAGATCGAGACGGATAAGGCCCAGATGGACTTTGAGTTCCAGGAGGAGGGTGTGCTGGCCAAGGTCCTCAAGGACCAGGGCGAGAAGGATGTCGCCGTCGGTAACGTATGTTGTCGCCCGCACGCTCTGATAAGACCCATTCGTGGTGGGCCTTGTCCACAGCCTTGCTGACACTTCTCTCACACCAGCCAATCGCTGTCCTGGTCGAGGAGGGTGCCGACATCTCTGCCTTCGAAGGCTTCTCCATCGCCGACGCCGGTGGTGATGCCGCCGCCCCGGCCGAGAACAAGGAGGAGCCCAAGAAGGACGAGTCTTCCGCCCCGGAGCCCACCCCCGAGCCCGCTCCCGAGCCCCAGGACACCGCCTCCTCGGGCAGGCTCGAGACTGCTCTGCAGCGAGAGCCCAACGCTGCCCCCGCCGCCAAGCGGTTGGCCATCGAACAGGGCATCAAGCTGTCCGCCGTCAAGGGCAGTGGGCCCGGGGGCAAGATCACCGAGGACGACGTCAAGAAGGCTTCCGCCGCGCCTGCTGCTGGTGCCGCCGCCTCCTCCGGCGCCGCATACGAGGACATCCCTCTGAGCGGGATGCGCAAGACGATTGCCAACCGCCTGCAACAGTCCGTCCGCGAGAACCCCCACTTCTTCGTCTCTTCCTCCATCTCCGTCAGCAAGCTCTTGAAGCTCCGCCAGGCCCTCAACAGCTCGGCTGAGGGCAAATACAAGCTCAGCGTCAACGACTTTCTCATCAAGGCCATCGCCTCCGCCGCCAAGAAGGTCCCCGCCGCCAACTCCTCCTGGCAAAACGACACCATCCGCCAGTACAACACCGTCGATGTCTCCGTGGCTGTTGCGACCCCCACCGGCCTTATCACGCCCATTGTCAGGGCTGCCGAGGGCAAGGGTCTCGAGGCCATCTCTGCCTCCGTCAAGGATCTCGCCAAGCGTGCGCGTGACAACAAGCTGAAGCCTGAGGAGTACCAGGGCGGCTCCATCTCCATCTCCAACATGGGCATGAACCCCGCTGTCGACAGCTTCACCGCCATCATCAACCCCCCGCAGTCCACGATACTGGCAATCGGCAGCCCCAAGAAGGTCGCCATCCCATCCGAGAACGAGAGCGGTGTCGCATGGGACGACCAGATCACCATCACCGGCAGCTTCGACCACAAGGTCGTCGACGGTGCGGTCGGTGCCGAGTTCATGAAGGAGCTGAAGAAGGTCGTCGAGAACCCCCTTGAGCTGCTGCTGTGAGGAAGTTGAGGATTCCCGACGTTTTCGCTAGCGATGTGATGAGCAACTACTAGGGAGATTTCCCCATCGTGGAATAGACACACGCGTGGCGTATCTCAGGGTGTATGTACTAATACCAATTCAGTTCCTCGCGGACGTTGCATATTGAACTCAAATGGAACTCCCGATAAAGAATCGCGTAAAAGCCAGCTCACGGATTATATCGAGAGAACAAAGGGTGGCACACGGACATCGCCAGGGGTTTTCTTTTGTGTGGATGCCTACAGTTTTAGCCTTCATCGGCGGACCGCTTACTATAAAGGCTCTGATCGACATCAGAAAAGTATTGCTAAGAGTCTATACATGCTCCCGAAATTCCCAGTGCCTCGCTTCAACCCACCTGCTGAAGCTTACCGTATATTAGTGACTCGCCCTTTGCAGGCTACGGTCGCGACGTAGTCTGTCGCGTACTGAGCTTTCGTGGTTTTCTGAGACGGGGGAATGCTTTTTTCCAGGATTCGGGATCGTTTCAAGAAAGAAGTTCCGCATTTGCACCAATCCTTGATCAAGTAAGCTTGACATTTTTTTTATTATCCCACGTAAACATGAACGCCCAATTGTAGGATATGATGGCAGTTCTTCCTCTTCGGCCCACGTGTCCAGAACACCTAAGACCAGGGCCTATCAACTTAGGAAATTTGATGGCTACGAGACCGGATACAGAAGAAAATGCACCCGGGTGTACCCCAATGTACCACGGTTTGGATTTGATTCTGCCAAGGGCAACAACAGTAGACGAATCCAGGCGCCTTCGGGACACTCGGCTCGACGTTCTTGTCCCGGGGCCTCCTACCTTCCTGCAGCCTCGTGAAGGAGACTTCAATAGTCCAAGCCCCAGCAATCAGGTGAGCTGGATGCCTTAGACCACAATTACATAGTAGCACGATCAAAGACCGCCTTTGGGCAGGAGACATGACAAGACGGAGAGCGGTAAAAGCTCACAGATGTCAACAGCAGACTTCTGTGAAAATGCAATGTCAGTCCTCGTGGTAGATTCGACCATCTACGGGCAGGTAGCCAGCACTTCTAGTAGCCGTTGATCCCATCTATCCTTAAGGCCCGCCTCGGCGCGACCTCCCGGAGCCAAGCCTGCATCGCATCAGCTTCTCCCATGGGCGTCCAGACCAGGTTCTCCGGCATGCCCCAAAGCGCATCGAACAGCTGCGTATCATCTGCGTCCCTCACCAGCGTGCGCAATGAGTCGACGCTTAGCTTGGCTGTGTCAGCGACCCTCAGCGCGCCCACAAGCTTCTGCATGAAGTCGATCCATGTCAAGTGCATCAATTCGTCGCCGCGGCGGTCGACCATGAACAGCGTCGCAAAGGCAAGCAGAGATACTGATGGCCCGCTGGGTGACAGTTGCGTGGTTGACCTATTGAGACTCGCGAAATCCAACACGGCCAGCCGCGGGAGCAAGCGCAGTAACCGGTCCTGCGCAAAGGATCGCTGGGCCAGGACTTTCTGGTCTGTAGACGAGGATGGGAAATGCAGGTCCATTCTCTGCAGAACCTGCCAACACAGTGCCTCGTCGCCAAACAGCCTGCGCCATATCGCACCGTGGCCCTGGGCAGCGCGGCGGACAAGACGAATGTCGTATACCTGTTTTTGGTCTTCTGTGAAGACGGGCTGTGAGAGAGGGCAGTCGATGTCCAGCAGATCGCCAAGGATGAGGACGCCTTGGTGGCCAACGCCCACGGCAGGAGACAGCAGCCACCGGTCAAGGAAGGCCTCCAGGAGGCCCGACGTCGAGGCGAGAATAGAGGCGTCGGACGGAGAGCGTGACGCTTTCTCCAGGATGGCAAGGGCGAGCTCGTTGATGTATGGCTCCGAGGAGGCGAGTGCTGTAATCAGGTACTCTGGCTGGCAGAGCTCCAGGGCCTGCGTGAAGGGCAAGGGCCGCAGGAGCTTTACCGTGAGGGTGATGAGCGGTGGGGGGTAGCCTTTCCAGTCGGGGGATGACTCTGCGGCGGCGGCGCATTTCTTGATGATGGCAGCGACCTTTGGGAGCAGACGGGCCGTCAGCTCGGGATACTCGACCGGACCCAGTTGATAGTTGATGCGATCGAAGAGTGAGGAGTTGAAGTGAGCAGATGGGTCGTCTTGCTGCTGCAGCTCGTCGAGGTGAGCGTCGAGCTCGTCCAGCTGTGAGGCGAGGGCAAGGCGGTTATCGTGGCCATGATCTGCCATGTTTACAGCCTGCTAGACCGACCGATCTTGGCGGCCAACACCAACAATAGCTGTGCTTTGATGGTGTGGGGGGGGGGGGGGCGGGTTGGGATATGGTCAGAGTTGAACGTTGTATGTAGGACGCTGTCAGAAATTCGATAATTCAGTCCACCCCACCTCTTCTTCTTCTGCCGGGCTGCAGTCAGTCGTACTCGAGATGGAGGATCATTGAGGTGCCAGACTTTCTATCTGGCAGGCATCCAAGGGAAGACATCAAGAAAACATCTCCCTGGATTACCTTAGATAGGCACGACGGTTGCGTGTGCAATGGCAAACCCAAGCTCTTGAGGGACTCCTTGCAAGGGACCCTGGATCATCTTACCAGGCAGGTACCTACGTATGCGCGAACGTGCTTGTAGTGTCCTGTGCTTACCCACCGTGCCCACCTATCTACCTAGGCGTGGGCAGGCTCAGGTACCCAGGCAGATACGTACCTGCCTGCCCGAGACCAGGTAGTACCCGCGCTTGCAGGGGCTAAGGATCATCGGTAGCTCCTCTTATCGATAAGAAAGCATGACGACCCGCTGAAATTTGGCAGCTCTTGGACAGGTACTGTCGATGATTTTTAGGCTGCTCGGCGTGTGACTGGGCGTAGGCGTGAGATTATCTCCCTCAACAAGAACGACATTACTCGGCATCGCCCCTCCTAACACATCTAGCTCTCCTCCAACCTCCCACATTGTCTCGCCACATCCATTCTGAGTAACCGTTGCGACACTCGCAGTGACCATCATCGCCATGTCCCGAGGTGGAGGAAGGGGAGGTCGCGGCGGCCGACGAGGAGGCGGGCCCCAGCTGCCCTGGCAAGAAGATCCCACGCTCAGGGTGGATGGACGACCAGCCGAGGCCTTTCCTGTGCGTACAAATCAATGGCCACGCCTGTCACAGCCCCCCCCCCCCCCCAGCCTATTTGTGCAGTTGATTGACTGACACACTCGTGCCTGTCTGTAGCCGTACGACGTCCCAATCCCAGCACCCCTCATCGTCCGCGAAAAGTCCCAGGTCAAATCTTATCTCCTGTTCCGTGAGCAAGTCCACGACGGGCCTTTCTACACAGCAACGCGCTCGCGGGACCCATCGGCCGCCACGCGCGCTTACGGCCAGGAGCAGGTCAACCAGCGCTACGGCCTCAAGACCAAGGCGACCCTAGACCCCTTCACCGCCGTCGAAATGCCCTCGTCGCGCATGCGAAAGCCCGAGCGCGCCCTGCCCGACTTCAGCGAACGGCCCTTCAACAAATCGCTTTTCCCACCCGAGTTGCACGCCACCCTCGACGGCGACGACGAGCCCAACAGCGCCGCTGGCAGGAGGCCAGGCAAGAAGAAGAAGACCATGACGCTGTCCAAAGTCACAAGCCTGCGCACGGCCGAGGAGATCTTCAATGTGCCCGCCGAGGCCGCCGCCGCCGACAGCACCGGCGCTGCGGACCACCAGAAGGCGCTCGAGGCGCTGGACCAGCTGGGCGAGGGCGGCGGGGAAGGCGAGGACGACATTGACCTGGGGCTCGACGACGAAGACGGCTATGGCGAGGAGATGGATGACGCCTACGACGACGACGACGGTGGTGACTACGATGCAGAGGGGTACTTTGACAATGGTGATGATGACGACATGGACGATGGTGGCGGGGATGAGGGAGAGTACTAATCTGACGCAAACGCAGTCGTAGACGGGAGGACTGGCGTGCCTGAGAAGAAACCGACGCCGGCGTGAGGACGTCGGGTGAAATGATACCCAACCGAGATCAGACAGGCCAGAGCCACAGTTTGAGATAGATCTTGAATTCTGTTTTGCAGCAGAGAGCCCATGAAGCCTTGAAACACACAACAAAGTTGGTCAGCTCCAGGGTGGTCATGGTAGATGGGTGCCGTTCGTTGGCACCTGGGTATTCATTTTATGCCCTCTCGCTCTATTCCCGCTGACCAGCGTTTGTGCAAAACGAAGTTCTCATACAAAAATTACAAGACGCGGCCTATCTTGTGCGTGGCTCAGTGCACGCCATTCAGCCCCCTGCCCCTGAAGTCACTGAGCTGTAACTCTGTAACCCCCTCCCTGCCCGCACCAACCACGCCTGCGACCTGTAGAATGCTCTCCTCGAAGTCCCTCAGCACGGAATAGAGCTCCATCTGCTTGTCCTCGGCCGATCCAGCACCAAAGACGCCGCTGCCGCCGCCATTCTGCAGCCGGCTGGCCTGGTCCATGACGTTCTGCTGCACGTTGCCGAGGTGCGCCTCGATCTCGCGGACATTCTTCTGGAAGCGCCTGATCTGGTCGTCCATCTCGTCGACCTGCTTGGAGAAGTAGCCCACCAGGTCGGATGCCGTCTTGTCGTCGTCGTTGCCGGCCTTGCCAGCGCTCCCCGAGCTGTCCCTGGTCGAGCTCCCGAAGAAGCCCGGCGTGTTGCTGACGTGGTATTGGCTGGGCAGCATGAGGTTGTCCACCGCCGAGAAGCTGAGCTTCGCCTCCTCAGCGTCCGACTTGACCAGGTCGCGCATCTGCTTGATGGCGTGCAGGTCGGCGCCCAGCGCCGAGTCGACGGCGGTATATTTGCGCCCGACGAAGCGCACGTCACCCGGGATGGCGGAGAGCTGCTCGCCGTGTGCGGGCATGAAGGCATCGAGCTGATCCTTTTGTGAGATGCAATTCTGGATGAACTTGTCAATGTTGGCAATCTCCTTTTGAAGATCTTCTTGAAGGTCGTTGAAGCGCGTGGTGGACTTGAGGTTTGAAAGATCGATGCGCACGCCTGGGACGACCTGAGAGTTCATGGTGGAGCCTAGAGTAGGATTTGCTTGCTGTTGTTGCTGCTGGTTCGTGGACTGGTTGAAACCACCGCTGTAGAACGAATTAGCTTGCGAGACAGGTCAGGATGGGTGTGCAATACAAGGGAGGGGGCGCACAAAAAGCCGCCTGATGAGGCCTGGGCAGGTTGGGTAGTTGGCTGGCCACCAAAGAGACCACCAGTCTGCGCCGGCCTCTGGCCAAACAAGCTCGACGTCCCCGTGTTGGCAGTGTTGGTGTTTCCGCCGCCGCCGCCGAACAAAGAAGCGCCAGGATTCTGTGCATTGCTGAACAACCCACCGCCAGCCGTCGACGCAGGCTGGGGTGCAGTGGTATTAAACAGTCCTCCCCCGCCGCCCTGTGACGGTTGAGCTGCGGCGGTGTTGCCCGAGCCGAAGAGACCGCCGCCAGTCTGTTGAGGTTGAGAAGTTGTCGTCGCGCCAAACAGGCCTCCTCCACCTGTGGCTGCTGTTGCGGTACTGGAGCCGAACAGGCTGGGCTGTGACGATGCTGCCGCCATGCTTGATCCAAACAGTCCGCCACCGCCAGGCTGCTGCTGCTGTTGGGGTTGTGGCTGTTGTTGTTGCTGCTGCTGGTTCAGGTTCCCGCCAAAGAGAGAGGGCGTCTGGGCTTGAGGCTGAGAAGTGGAGGTATTGCCGCCAAAAAGGCTGTTGGTTTGCGTCGACGGTTGTGCACTGGCTGGGAATGCGCCGCCAGGTGGAGGAGGCTGACTCGAAGCGCTGCCGCTGGGGACAAAGAGGTCATTAGCAAAATTCCACCACGACGGGATCCTTGTCTCTCGGCTGGGAGATGGGGACAGAGACGGGGACGGAGACTGTGTACGTACAGGGTAGGCTATGTGTCTAGTCCACTGTACCTTGATACGTAGACAGGCCGACTGTATGTACATAGTACAGTGCTGTGTGTATGCAAGGGAGAGGCAGCAAGGAAGGGGGAGACAGAGGATTGAGAGGGTACCCACAACAGGTTTGCGGCTCCAGTGTTGATACTAAGACCGGCCGGTCCACTGGCTGATCTGGCGAAGGCCATTGTTGACAGAGGAGGATTGCTTCTCTGTCTGCCTGTGTGTGCCTAGGCAGGTACAAGTACAGCACGCACGACTGATCTGATGCGATGCGATGCGATGCGATGCGGTCACATCTAAGGTACCAACACCGGAATAGCTGAGGCTTGGGGACGAGATGTCGCGCTTGCTCTCTTGTTGATTTTTGGAGTTGCAGCCCAGTTCCAGTCCCGAGCCACTTGCAGGCAGGGGGACCCCCTCCCATGCAAGGGTCTGTCCAGTGCTTTGCCTGCCATCTGCTCTGACAACGCTAGTAGTCGGCAACTTTGGGGCCAGGCGAGAGCTCGACAGCTTCCCTGCAGCTTCCCTTGCAGCTAAGCTAAGGTTGCGTGGGCTGTGGGGACAAATGCTTCTTTGACCTCACGCCTGCGCCAACAACGTCTCCCATCGCCTGCCACACAATTAGAACCCAATTCGACGGAAAGCGCCTTGCAATACCGTATCAGCAATCAAGATGGACATCGACGACAATGACGACGATTTCTATGCGCCAGAAGAGCCTGCAGACCCGGCAGCCCCGGCAGCCCAGCCAGAGGGCGCTGCGACAACAGCAACAGCATCCGCATCCGCAGCAGCGGGCGTCCCTGCCGAGCCCCAGTCCAAGCCCGACCCGGACGAGGACCTCGAGGAGGGCGAAGAGGAAGACGAGGGCGGCGCCATGGACGAGGACGACTCCTCCGATGACGTGAGTGCAAACAGCATAACCTCCTCCCGCAGCACCGTGTCATGTGGCTAATGCTCTCCCTCCCTCCAGAGTATGGTGATCATCACAGAGAGAAAGGACGGAACCTCGGCTGGGCCACCATCGTCAGTACCGCACCAAGCCAGCCCTGGATGCCCAACTGACCCACCGCGCCAGACAGTCACGATACAGCAACATCAAGGACATTCCTCAGCGCTCAATATCCAACGACACCACCACGAAAGCCCCGCCCAAGAAACCAGACTCCCCCGCCGCCCGAAAACAGCCCAGCGGCGCCGACCTGCCCGCCATCAGGACCTCCACCCTCGACATCAATGCCATTCCCACGCACAAGCCTACCGGCAAGCCCCTGACACAGGTCAACATCGACGAGGATCTGACTGAGCACGACAAGCCGTGGCGGAGACCCGGCACGGATCTGTCCGATTACTTCAACTACGGTCTCGACGAGTTCACCTGGGCGCTCTATGCCTCCAAGCAAGGGAGCATGAGGCAGGAGTTCAACTCCGATGCCATCGCTGCCAACAACAAGAAGATGATGGAGGACATGCAGAACATGATGATGATGGGCATGGGCGGCATGCCAGGGATGATGCCTGGTGCCGCCGGTGGTGGTCAGGGCGCTTCTGGCCAGGGCGGGCCCGCCGGCGGCATGCCAGGCATGGATGGAATGCCGCCTGAGATGCAGCAGATGATGCAGCAGATGATGGCTGGCGGCGCCATGGATCCTAGTCAGATGGACCCATCTACTATGGGCGCCATGTTTGCCGGCATGCAGAACGCCGGCGGCCAGCAGGGCCAAGGCGGTCAACCTCAAAACTTTGGCGGTGGCAATTTCGGCGGCAACCAAGGCCAAGGGTTTGGTTATGATCAAGGCAGCATGGGTGGAGGCAACCGCGGGGGCTTCAATCGAGGCCGCGGAGGTCGTCAGCGATACTAGGGCCTCGACTTCACATGCCGAGGGGGACATCTGGGAAAGAGGAAAATAGCACCCGGCGAGATCCCTGCATCTCTGTACGTGAATGTTAGGACTCCCAGAGATGGTACAGGCGCTAAGCGGTGCAGGCGCATCTACCGTAGCAACGCGCGTCGAGTCGAAGAGGTTGGCTCTGTCAACCTGGCTGGGTTCGGTGCAAGCTAGGACTTCCATAAGGTAAGAGGAGCGTATACCCACAGGGCAGGATCACGGCGTGGTCGTCGTGGATGGACACTTTGGGACGGAATGAGCATAACGAGTGCAAGTACTCGCCTGCTTGGCCCTCGTCTCACTTTTTTATCTTCTAGGCCCTATGTGATAGGTCACGAACTGGAGCCTTGCGGGTATCAGCCTTGCAAGTCAATTTTTCGGCATCAACTCTAGGGTCGGTAAATAAGGACCAAGGTGGCCTTGCATGCATCGAGCTGTGACTTCCACTGAGGTCCAGGAGGCTCGGTATATTTTCAAGCGCCTTCAGACATCATGTAGGAAAGGCGCTGTCTCAGGTCACCTACAACCAACCTTTCGTCAAAAGTTTTCGGTCGCTAAACAGTCACAAGAGCTATGGTGGCGGCTGCGTACATGAGAAACTTAAGGTTTTGATTGATGTTTTGACTGGTGCGTATTTATTTACCTAGGGCAGATGTGGGATGGCCGCACTGGCGATTGAAAGCTTCCTGAGATGGGTCTCACGTCTCGAGGAAACGGCGTGTTCTCAACACACCATCCCCTCAGCTTAGTCCCCACAACCATTGTTGACTGAGGCGCGAATCCAAGCCTCCAAAAATGTTGATGTTCAAAATTCCACCAAGACCAGGGCGGGCATTTTCGTTTCAGCCTTTCAAGACATATGTGCATTTAGTGTCGTAAGATGTTGAGGGCCTGGATCTGTGAGTGTATTTGGAGAAATATCTCGAATCTTGGCGTGTAGAGACGTTCGAACAATCTGCTCTCGGAAACACCATAGGAACTTCAAATACAGTGTGCGTCGGAGTCAATCTAGTCGGGAGCTGACGGAAATGAGCAGCCATGGAAAATCCGCTGGGATGAGTCTTCTGAAAAGATTGACTTTATTGTACAGCTTTGACAGTGAATTGAGTCATTTCAAGCCGATGACTATGGGCCGATGATTTCTTGGGCTTCGGGTGAATTGGATTGAGCCAAGGCTCCTCAGGTGAGCGACATCGAGCAATTCATATTGGTTCTTGATTATTGTGGCTCATTTCGTCTAGACAGATAGGGCCTGTCTAGTGAACAAAGAGGATGGTGCTCCACCCAGGCAAGGCAGAGTCTTGCTTGTCAATTGGTCGAATCACTTGGGCGTACTGTGCGTGAAGACCGACCTGAACGTCAACCTGTAGAAATGAACCAGCCTCAGTCAGCCCATACTAATATAGCATATGAATACTTATTGTATATTGAGTATAAACACAGCGCTGCTACATTATTTCTGCATGAAAATCAAGACTTTGACTTTCTGTCTCCTCACAAGATTTAAGGTGTCTATCTTTCTACAAAGAGCAGCATCCAGTAAAGACGCCGCCGTAAGACTTGAGTCGGGTTCACAGTTATAACACGGTTTTGGTGCGAAGTAAAGCTTCAATTCGTCACTGGACACATGTTAGTGGTCCTTTGGCCATCTATTGAGGAGTTCTTTGCCTCATGTTCTGAGACAGTTTGCCAACTTATATAGACACTTGAGTTTCATTTCCTTCACAATACAAAGACATCATATCGATCTAGCTCAGAAGCCATGAGATTGAATCTGTACAATCTTTGTTCTCAGAGCATTCTAGGCGAATTCCCAGATTGCGTTACTACGAGTACGGCAGGCTAGTGCTCTTGATTGCGTACTTCACGTGGCTCCCTCGAAGACTAAACAATGGGAATGAATGACCTTGCAACCATAACTTACAGAAAAGACGGGACGGGGGCCGAGAAGTTCTGCAAAATCTACGACACTATCCTGCACTGCTCCTTGTTGATACATGTTTGCCATAAGAATGGTTGTTTGAAGCCAAGGCGTTCCTATAAGGGGACAGCAGGCTTCGAAATCACTGGGTCGGCAACCTCTTTGAGGGTAAATACAGCCAATTCAATTGATTAGGGTGAAATCTTCGTGTGTGTGTTGCGGAGAGGAAACTGAGCCAAGGCTGCCGAAGGGCAGAAGTACGTATAGTGCAGATCTGCTTACGTAACAGTTCCTATCAACTTCAAACGGCGAATCCCATGGGGCTCACTTATCAATTTGGAGCCAGTTGTGACTTGTCAAGGGAAGACAACGCTGTTAGGTAATAAACAGGATTGCCCCGAAAACAGTGTCTCGCGCGGCCGCAACGCTGAAAGAGATTTGGAGGTTAGTTCCTAGAGCACGGGCAAACCTGCATGTGTTATACGAATCATCCCACAAAATGTGAGCATGCCTGTGTGTCGTCAGGCCGGACTCGAGGTAGATTGATCTCTTGTGGAGAATCAGCGGTGCTCATGAAATCAACTCGCAGAGATCCATTTCCCCTACTCATGATTGCTGCGGACCCCGGGGCTGAGGTATGCATGCAGTCTGAAACGGTCAATTTGGCGAATACCACATGGGTTTTGTAGAGCTAGTAAGAATTTGAGTAGCCAGCAATCCAATCCCATTCCGCAGCCGGCGGGTCGGCCATGATCGTCGTTTTCAAACTTTGCGCTGGACAGCTCTGTGTTATGTGAGAGTTCGGGCGGATCTGAAAATTGTTTCAATTGGATTGTGCGGATAGGTACGACCTGCCATGAAACAATTCAGAGGGAAATCTTAGCCGAGCGCTTTCGTTTGTTTCAAGACCAGATTTCAATTTTAGGCGGACCTGAGACATGCGAGGTGACCCTTGAAGGGGCGATTGAAACTCTGGCATTGCAGGCACACATTTGTCAATTGGTACCGAGCGCAATGGATATCTTGTTCGAGCTTCTCTCAAGACTGCGGCTTGCACCCGCAAGATTTGTGTGATACATTGTTCAGACTACCATCCGCCAACAAGTCAATAGGCCCATCTTCTGCATTTTCCGAGCCGAAGGACAGCCTCTTCTATTCTATCATAATCTAGTGTTACACAAATAAATTTGCAGCAAAAAGGGTCAACCCATCTCGACACGCAAGTTCACCTCCCAACCCATGTCGACCCCCTTTCCGATACATACCAAGCATTTCGGGATCGTCAGTCGTCTCCACGAGCCAAGATGGAAGACCCAAGCCTGCCAAGGGCAGCAATCGTCATTTGCCTCGGACTCAGCCCCGTTTCTCAAGACAGAACCATGAAGAGCCTGGCGATCTGTTCAGGAGTTCTTGACTACCTTCGCGACGTCCAAGGCCGCGGGTGTATAATGACTGTCAATTTCTCCGGCAGGCGCCTTCTGCAGTCAAACAGCCCGAAGATAGCGGAGCAGTGCATCCGTGAGGACTGCGAGGACTGGTGTGACGTCCTTGAAGCGGCCTCGAGGCTGGTCAAGCGAAACGCTGCCGAATGCACTGAGCTAGAAGTTGTACTTGTAGGGACAGACGAAGTCCCATGCAGAGGTGACTCTGCTTCCATGTGCCAAGCCTTCAAAGGAAATGGTATTCGCGTCAACTCAATCCTGACGGAATCGACGCAACCAACTGCTTCGCCCGCGCAAGGGGGCAGACAGAAGACCGAGAGGTTCGAGATCATATCTGTGGCGGACCCCTTTGCCGACCCCGAAGAAGACCGAATGTTCGGGCGACAAAGCTCTGGGGGTTGGGACATGACGAGGCTGGCACGAGAGACCGGAGGGCTCACCTTGTCTCCGAATACTGAGGGCAAACTTGCACTTCATTTGCTCTTTGGCGAAATGTTCCGGCGATGGGGCGAAGAGTATTGGAAAAGCCGCAAATAGAGTGCTTTCTAGACCTGCAGCACATTCAGGTGGCAATAATTCACTGTTTCATAAGAGCCTGGTTTCACGTAGCGTCTTGTGTAGAATTGATCCGAATTACCTAGGTAGAGCGTGCGATTACAAACACGGTACTTTTCATTTCGACAACGCCTTGTCCAAAACCTCCGGGAATATATAAATCAGCTCAGTTCACCCCCCCCCCCCTTCTTCGTACTTAGATGCGTCCCTATCCAGTGTCATTGTCAGGCCAGCTCAACCTCGATCAGCTTTTCTGGCGCGCCTCCACAAGGCCAGATCCTAGTCACCTTCAATCCGACACTCTCAATCAGCTCCCGCCATTGTTTCTCCCGCCTTTCCCACGAAGAATGGAATATCATCATAATCACTGCATTAGTCACGATTAGCTACCAAAGCACAATGAAAAAATCGTTTCCAGAAATGGGAAGAAATGAGCCACTGCAAGTCCATAGCCTTTCTTAGAAGCTCGCAGTCTGATTAAAGGTTTTGGGACAATTGATGAAATACCGTAGATGACAGGTATTTCTTCTTGCAACGTTTAGAGCTGTATCTAGAAGATACTTACTGTCGACACTTGTAGAGAACCAATCCGCACCATAATCAAGAACCACGATCTCGTTAATCAGTATCTTGCTGAATCCTGGAACCAAAGCTGGTTTCAAGTTGTTTAGAATCTCCCTACATTGACTATCCGGCCAGTCGTGCAAGACCATCTTGAGATAGTATGCTTTGGCGCCTTTCACAGGCTGTGGAGTGAAGAAGTCGTGGCACATTGGTTCGATTGGGCTGAGTTCCTGTTTGTCAAGCGGCTGAATCTGCCCCGGCAGATCTTGAAGGATCAAACGTCCAGGCTGCTTGGGGTGTGCTCGACTAAAGCCCAGAAGATCATGGCCCGCGTTGCCTCCAACATCGACTATCAAGACTTCTTTGGGATTGAAATCCTCAGGGAAGATTTCATTGAGAGTTACCGTATCATACCAATTTTGACGGATAGACTTGAACTTCATATGGTTTGCAAACGCGCGTTGTCGCTCGTCCTGTGTCTGCATCCATGTGAAGTAAGGTAGATCGCTCCCTGTTCCAAACTTCCAGATAGTATTGTCTTTGCTGATTGGGTTCTTGTAGTTTTCCGCCCTCATGAACTCAGTGATTCGGGAGCATGCAGGAGTCCACCCGTCGTAACTATTCAACTCCGAATTAGCCACGCATTTGATAATAGTCTCACAAAAAGTGACCGGCTGAAGTGATCTCCATAAGTTCCAAGGGGATGTTGTACGTACATGTCTGTGAATGTGCCAGTATTGACGTCATCTGCAAAGGTTTGCGTCCATCTATTAGGTGTATATTCGTCTGGTCCAGTCTCTTCAATTAGAGGTGGAGAGGTTGATGCAACTCGCTTCATCAATCTTTGAATTAAGACTGGGTCGGCTCCACTCGCCTGAGCAAGCTCACTCGCCTGCTGAGGGACACTTGTTTCGCCTCCGATCATGAGCTTGAATATGTTGAGGTCGATCAGCATCCGCAAAGCTGCAGAAGTGGTTGGCTCTTCCCAGCTCATTCGAGCAACCACATGTCCTGGAGTTTCCAAAGCGGTCACTAGCTTGCGAGCGGAATCGAGAAGTGCTTGCCGTTGAGTCTGATCACCCCCATCTGCTGCACGAGATAGATTCTGAATATTCGCCTGAACGGCTTGTATTTCGCGAGAGATGTCCTGGGTGCTGGCACCCGCCAAATAAGACATGTTTCGTAAGTATGGGGAGCACGTGGCCGATCACTACAGAGAAAGGCAGAAATGGCCAGGAAGAAAGATTTACATTGCGATGAGAAAGGGAGATGGGCTTATATACACAGTAACGTATCATGCGTGTCCGTGATAGAGAATTCAACCCATGCTTTTAGACTGCATTGCTAGGAAGTCTTTGGCGCGACTTGAATGCATGTCTTAAACTCACTTTCCACGTCAAAGCATGTCTGAATATGCGAGGCGTAATCGCTAAGGTGTGCCAAGCTGTCAATTCTGGGATGGCGCTTGCCTTGTGTAGCCTTCGTCATGTACAATTCTCAACTAGCTCGTCAGAATCAACTCAATATCTGACGTGAGATCATCATTCATTCCGCGGCAAATGGAGTCAGACCTCATCACTATCATCCGATAAGCAGAGCCCAACAGAGTTGCCGTTATTTTCTGCAGGTTTCAGAGAACCGGGAATTTTTTACTCTAACTTGGTTGATATGTAGCATGCTAGCGAGAATATTCTTCATGCTGGGAGCCGCTTCCTCAGCATTCGCATGCTCCTTGTGTAAAGAACTCCGTCCCACATCAATATCGGCTTCGATCCGTGACTACTGTATAAGATGAAGTAACAGAGACGAGACAACTGTTTCCGTAGCTTACTACGTAGGAGTAGACTCGTAACAAATCTCGTGGTGCGAAACGCGAGGTATCCATAATCCGCCGCTCTTCTCAGATTGATGGAATTGTACGGCTGAATATGCGGTACTAGACCGTGCTATGGCTTCATAACATTTATGATCCATTCTGTGCCTTCAACTGCAATGTTGCTTCCCGGAAATCCATGGCGTTGTGTATGTAAGTCCGTTTGCACTTGGGAAGACTCCAGGCAAACACTGATACTTTATGTGTAGTAATTTGCAGTAAATTCCCAACACTATTGTATACAAAGCACATTAGCGGCTTATGGTCCAGATATGAGTCATTGACGGGTCTGGGAAATTCAAGTATTAATTATAGGGGAGCATTCCGGCGTCAATGGATAGCTCACTAGCGACCCTTATACTTGTAGGTGATTGGGCTTGTGGGGCTTTCCCACACGGCAAATGCTAGAGACAGACAGAAAAGTTACTAGTTCTCTATGTGCTTCTTATATTTTAGAGCCATTTTGGCACAAATACTTCATAAAGTATCGGATACACACTGTAAAAGGACTCGGGGGATCTAGGCTATTCGAAAGCCGCAGACCATCGACCTGACACCAAGCGACCAACCGACTTGCAGCTGCCCAATGTCCAGTGGATGTAATATAAGTGGTTCTTGAACTTCCTGTAACTCGACCTCGTACTCATTGCACCTACCTCTGGTTATTGGGTGGATCATATGTGCGCATGTGTTCAAAGGACGCAATTCTGGACTCTGGGACGGCTCTCTTAAATTTTGCCATGAATCGCTACCATACTTCAACGCCAGTCAATTTTGACACTTGGTAGTACCGTGGCCAACTCCCAAAGCTGGCTCATGGGGTGACCAACTGTCTAGATGCCCCTTGCTATTTCGTGACAGTCCGAGGCTAATTCAACATCACTTGAACATCAAAGCCCGGTGAGGATGTCGAGAACCACGCATCCATTGAGGCTTCAAGTCATGCGATTGGTGTCACTCCAGGCCGTTTCATGGATCGGTTGCCTTTCCTGGCAAAAATATATCTCTCCCGCAGCAATGCCAAGGCCCTGTTCCCGGCCCGCATCAGACGCACCAATAGTTGTGGTCGCAGCAGCTACATTTCGTCCAAGCTTGTTTGTTTCATTTCATCTTAAACCCACCGTCATATGTGCGGACGTGTACGACAGAGCGGCCTGCGCATGGTGGCAGCCTACTCATGACGACGGTCTGACTATGAGCATATAAGTACTTAAGTAGAGCAAGAAGATCAAGGTCGTGCGTATGTTCGCTATACCCAACCTCTCTTTGACTGAAGTTGATTAATCACAATACATCATCTCCGATTCGTTTCTTTTTAAATATTTGACAGAATGAGGACCGGATTCCTCCTCGTTATTGCGCTCATTGCTGAGGCATTTTCTCAGTCACCAGATCAATTCGCACCGGCTGGGCCCGGTGATATACGCGGTCCTTGCCCTATGTTAAATGCTTTAGCAAACCATGCTTTTCTGCCGCACAATGGACAGAATATTGATGAAAATACTACGGCCAAGGCCCTGGATACGGCATTGAATATCCCACCGGAATTTGGAAAGTTGCTACACAAGGCGGCAGTTCGAACTAACCCGAATGGTAACCTAACGAATTCGTTCAATCTCGACCATCTTGCTCGCCATAATATCCTCGAACACGACGCGAGCCTCAGCCGACAGGACGCTGCGTTTGGCGACAATGTTTCGTTCAACAGCACTGTCTTCAACGAGACTCGCTCAAATTGGCAGGATACAATCGACGTCCAACAAGCCGCCCAGGCACGTTTAACTCGAGTAAAAACTTCAAATACAACGAATCCGACATTTGGCTTTACAAAGATTGGGGAACAATTCAGTGTGGGCGAGTCGGCAGCCTACCTTATTGTTCTTGGGAACAAAACAACACGCACAGCGAACAGGACGGTGGTAGAGTATCTTTTTGGTAAGTGAAGTACCTCCTGTTACTCGTCCCCAAACAATCTTTTACCTGTGGTGATGCGGGCCTTTTGCCAATCTGATCTTCCCTAACGCAAGCGCAGAGAAAGAACGTCTTCCAACCGAGGTGGGATGGACACGCCCAGCTGAGCCACTAGGTGGTGGAGATCTGTTGACGACCATGGACGAGATCAGGAATGCCACTGCAGCGGCATCAGGCGCTACTCCACAGCAGGCCAAGCGAATGTTCATTGAGGACATTCATGGATTCGCGGCGCGTCAAGCAATGTAGAACAGCTCCTGTACAACAGATCATCAAAATGGGGCGGACTTCAAGAGTTCGAATCAATCAAATATGTTGTAGATACTCTAAATAATGGCTTCAAATATCCGTCAATATTACTGAGTTGGCCAGCTTTCGAGCAGCAACCTGCACAAAGTATTTGACGACGAGGGAGGACAAGCATACAGCTTTACTACTGCCTGCACTGTTGTCACATTCGAAGATATTGATCATCGAGTTCTCAAGTCATCTCGTAGCCCGGTGCAGTAACTGGTCGGCCGGACCTCCGACGCCGAGGCTCGCGAGGGGATCGGTACGTAGTTGTCGATGAGGCGTTTTCCGTTCTACTCGAGAAATTTGAGAGGGCAGTCATGTGATTCGAGGCGGTGTCCTCGCTAAGGCATAAATGCAAAATCTCCGCATACATCATGTGAAGAGCTCATCAGAGAGGATTTATGCTCGTTTGCCTTAAAAGGCATGGCTGCCCACGTCCGGCTAATTCGCCCATTCTGCTATCAGTGATCAGCTATTGCACGCCAATGGGGTCATGTTCGCCTGAACTTGTCTGTCGCCCATCGACTCCCTGAAATCCTGGTCACCTTTACCAAGGGGCACAAAGCCGGTGTATGTAAGCCATGCTCATAAGCACCTCGAATCATGACTCGATTGAGGTCACTTCCTGCTTGTAATAAGCCCCTTTTGCCTGATTGAACACAGGCGATTGAATGCCAGAGGTCATCATATATCGTCCTCCATAGTAGGAGGGGTCAAGTTGGCCGACTTATCCTCAACTTGCGTTTGCCCAGCCAACAGATGAGTGAACACACTTAATTGCCCAGTATGGCGTTTGACTCGAGCACGATGAAAGCGGATTGCTGGCACGAGGTTTGAGCGACTTGGCCAAGGCAATGCTGGGAGATGCGATGGAGGCTCAAGGAGCGGCACTGCACGTATCAGCATCTCCCAGAGCACCCGCCACTTCCGGCCACTTGTCGCGAGTATCATCAAGATCCGAAACACCCCGAAGCCGGCCGAGAACTAGTGCAAGACATGCGTCGCGAAGCACTGCATAGTCTAGTCTACTAACTTCCGCATCGCAGAACAAAGAGCGTCTATGCCCTTTCACGGGTCAGGCAGTTCAACTGAGCAATAAGGGACCAATCACGTCGAACGACAAGACACATGCTCAAGCTCTGAAGAATATATGCAGGTGTCGAGTCGGGAGCGACGGTACAGCAGCTGCACGCTCCAAAAGAACAAGGCAGTCATGCTACCCAATCGAGGCAATCCATGCAGGAGAGACCAGCCAATAGCACAACACGGGAGGAGCACAAGGGTCTTGCGGCTCTTCTTCTTGGGTGGCCAGTGCCCAGTCAGCCCTACTTAAGTATCTACCAGCGAGTCTGATCAGTTGACACTGAGACAAAATGGAAAAGAGCGGGAGAGTAGTTTGTGGATCACCAAGCAATCTGGTCGTCCAGATACCGTGTAGACCGCGTCCATTATAGACATGAATTGGAGATGTTTGCCAGTGTCAGCTCGTGCACATGATGCACTGGTAGACTACCTGTTTACACCATCCGTCCGCCTGGACGCGAGTGGAATAGAGGCGACCATCCTTCGAGAATTATCCGGACGGTTGGTGGTAGCTTTAACCAGCCTTGCACCTGTAGACCCATTGTCTATTTGTAGAGATAGACGGAGGAACGACCAGAAGCGTCCAGCAGCGCTTTCAAGGAAACTCTTTCCCACGGTGTAGACGACACACTTGCTGGCTCGCATAGTGGGTAGGCCAGGTGAGCCAGGCCAGTCACGTGCCGGTCTATGCAGTAGAAAGGTGTAGATCTGTCGCCGATCTTGGGACTTGGGGATCAGGCGCTTCATATGTCAATCGGAGCGGCACCTGCGGCCCAGAGCCTACGGTTCCAGCCCCACGTGGGACCGACTGTTTGGCGAGATTTCTCGTGGGTTCGAGCTGGTGGGGTTGCGCCCAGCCCGGCCACGAATCGCTTCTGCGGCGGTGGGGCGCGCCCGTGCCTTTCCTTTTGGCGGGAGATGCAAGGATGGCGAAAGACGTTTCGATGGACTTCACTTGTCGTTTCGCAAGTCTTAAATAGCCATTGTCCTGCCCGCCTTCTTGACGCCGATAGAGACAGCCCCCGGAACCAGGTCTCGACTTGTTTATCTAGAACAACTCCAGCTGATATGCGCTCACCCGACTGCTTTCATCCAAGACATTTCATGGTCCCCTAGACAACGACCGGCCTACGAGATTGGGCAGCCCCCTAATATCCGAGATTGATATTACTGCTCATCCCCATCCCAAGCTCGATAGTTTCGAAGGCCCGAGTTTCCAGGACAACATCCCGCTGTTTTGGAAAATGTCTCTCCTCACAGCTACAACAACCCAGACCGCCTCGGACATGAGCTGCCAACAGAAATCTGAGCTTTTTGGCAAATACGCCCTTGAGATTAATCCCGCCTTGCAGCTGTCCGACACAGCTATCCGCTCTGCACTTCTCACCTTCGCAGATCAGTTCCTTCGCCTCAACCATGCCCTGTTAACACATCTCGTGTTCGGAGGCAGTGTTGCTGTGCTGCAGACCTACCTGATCGCCAAGGATCTGACAACAAAATCGGCTGCACTCCTGAGCGAGACTGCGTGGTCGGCGTGGAACTCGAGCCAAGGGAGGCGTTTGCGAAAGAAGCTGGAGTTCGAGTTCTTCGTGTTGATCCTTGGCTGTGGCAACAGCCTTTGCTTGGCTGTCTTTTGGCCGGGTTGGTTTATCATCGGGTTGATTTACCTGATGTGGATGATGGTCAGGTTCTTGGCTGGCTGAAATCCACAGGCGATGCCCTGAGATCCAAACTACATTCCAACATTATGTTGGTTTTTGGAAAGAGGGGGGGGGTTGCATTGGCTCAACCCCAACCACACAACACGCACCGCACCGCGCACGATACGAAGCAATCCCATACCACCGGGGGCGGTCACTTCGTGAAGAAGAATGTGTTGCCACCAGTATCCCTCCGAATCTCACTCGTATAGTCCTTCTCGGGGTCGAATTCCTGCCACACGCTCGCGGGGTATATGTGCTTGTTGCGCTCATACCATCGCCGATCGACGACCTTGGTGAACGCAGGATCCTCGTCCGCGCCCTCGAGAGTGTTGATGTCCACCAGATTGGTATTGATACCACCCTTTCCGGCAGGCGTGGAAAGGGGATTCGGCGGTGGTTCGGGTGATCCTGACGCGCGAGGGATCTTGGTTGGGGCTTCGGCGCTGTAGTCGAATAGGCGGACGTTGCCCGGGCCAACAGTCTTGTTCATTATGAAGAAATAGAATTCGTAGTGCTGGGGGTTTCATTTGTCGTTAGCTAGACTATACACAAATCTATTTTGTTAATTTCATGACTTGGGCTCGCAAGACTTACGTGTGGGATGATCATCGTGCCGCGAACCAGCATCAAATCATCAACGCCGACGCGCGCCCACTCCCTCCTGACGTTGGCATTCTTCTCGCCACCAACACCCAGCTCGGCGCCGACCTTGCGGGATTTGTCCAGGAACACCCAGACGAATTCCCCTTTCTTGACACGTACTGTACCACCGGGAATGTTGGTGCCGTCGTAGAACACAAAAGGCATCGCGATTTCGGTGGCTTTGACGGCTTCTTGGAGGGCAAGAAACTCCTTCCTGAGCGTGTCCCGCTCAGCCGCTTCGCGTCGTAGTGCCGACTTTGTCATGGCGCGAGGAACGAAGCCGACAGAGGCATTGGCCAAGATCTTCCCGCTTGGTTTCTTGCCATCCTTGGTGGCAACGTCGCCGTTGGTGCTCGGCTCTGGCTGGTCATCACCCGTGGTGCTTGAGTCGGTGGCCGTGATTCCTTTGGCCTTTGGTTTCAAGACAGGCCCCGCGTCGTTGTCTTCCTCATCATCACCGAACGACACGAGCGCCTTCTTGGGTTTCTTCTGCTTCTTGACGGGCCGTTCGCTACCCCCATCGCTCAGGTTACTCGGAGTCGCGCTCTGTGATCGGTCGATCAAAGGGGTAGTCGTACCTGAGCGCAGCGCTTCCCTGGCCTCGCGCTCTTGCTGCTCCAGCACTTCTGCTCTGCGTTTGCGGAAGTCGGACAGGTTCACTAGTCCGACAGTATTGGTCGAGATGCGCTCTTGCGTAGACATGTTGTTCGGCGCCTTGAAGCGCGATTGCGCCTGTGACGGTGTGGGAGAGTTCGACATTTTTGAACACACTGCTAAGGATTGGATAAGGTCAAGGCAATTGTCGCGAAGTGGTGCGTGTATGCTTGGGAAATCGATCGACTTGGCGACAAGCGCATGCTCCCAAGTTTCTGGGCTACCTGTGTAAATACGTAGTTGGCTATGCAGGGTTACAGACCCTGGTTAGTAGACATCTTTTGTTTTGGGTGGGGGGATGGGGACGGGGGTTGCAGGGGGGTCTGCAAGGGGCCACTGCGCCCACCAGAATCCAGGAGGTGCTTACCATTTGTGTCCCAATACCTTCTTCTCAACTCGTTGATTCGGATATTTTGACTGTTTTAGCTACTTGGAGTCGCGTCTTGACAAACCCACAGAAGCTCGTGAAGATAGACTCGTCATGGCCTTCTCGCCACCTGCATATTACAACAGCATCGGCCTTCCGGACGCTCATCGACAGAGAGAAACCCAACACGCACTGATCCTTTCCCCTGGTGTCATGAGCAGCCGCCGGTCCATCTTCCTCGCCGCGCTTCCTCTTCCTCCGCCATGCCCTGCTCCAGACATTCTCCCTCGCCCGCCCGATGCCGCTCAACTTCTCCCTGTCCCATTCCCACGACAAGAGTTGCAATGATCCCACGAGTCCAGACAGCTCATCGGCCTTTTTGGCCACCACTGAAATGTTGCCAATAGCCAAGACCTCCACCTCCACCACAGCCGGCAGTATCTTCCTCCAAGGCGTTGCCTTCATGCCCCTGCAAACAACCTGGCTCGGTCTCATTGGCCCAAAGCTCCACGCGACAGCCCATCGCCGTGTCTTCTTGCCCTGGACAAACTCAGTGACCGCATAGTTGTACACGCCGCGTTCCTTCAACTTCTGCACCATGACCTCGAGGCTTGAGACCATTCCAAACATGCAAGTGTACCATTGCACTCTCTGCTTGAGCTGCAGGGACTCATGTAGAATGCGGTCGACAAAGGCGACTTCCCCGCCTGGGCAGACCATCTCCACCGGTGTACCAGTGCAGGCGGAATGAGGCGGACGCGACTTGGCCGCAGCCGACTTGAGCATCTGCTCTTCGGACTCGTAGAAGGGAGGGTTGGTCATGACGAAGTCAATCCTATCCAGATCGAGCTCATCCAAAGGCACCATAAGGTCTGTGAGTTTGCGGGGCAGAACCTGTACGCGAGACTGTAGATCGTTCATACGCACATTCATCTCTGCGTGCTTCAAGTTCTCAGCATCGACATCTCGAGAAGACGTAGTGTCAGCAACGGACGAGCTCGTCATGACGAAGATGATATGCCATGCCTACTCACCAGTGGCGATGAAAGACCATGGTCTTTGGGCACAGCCGAGTAAGGGGTAGATGCAGGATGCGCCCGTCCCAATGTCGAGGCCGACGAGCTTCCCCCCAGGCTCATTGTACGAGCTTGAGTCGAGTAGGCCCTTGAGCCATAGTATGTAGTTGTGTCTATTTAGGACCTGTGTTGATGCCGACCAGGTTAGCCTGTGCGACTCAGCATGAGGGTCTGATGTAGCCACCGACGCCTCCGGCTGGGAGGGAGGAGAAAAGGGGAGGGGATCCTACAGGCGGACACAGCCTGTCGCCTGGCAGATTGATATTAATGTTGAAATGGATCTTCAGCAGGGATTTGGTAAGTTGCTTGACGGCAGCCGGGTCGGTGAAGTCCAGCTGGTGGCTCGGGCTGAGGCTGCACGGATGTTAGCATCGATGGCTGGTTGCAACAAGCACGGGTCCTCGTGATCCCACATGGCTCTGAAGTCGGCATCGTGCAACGCAAGGCGTTGGAAGTCGGGCTCCTTGGCGTAGAGACTCTGGAAGTAAGCGTCTCCCCTGCGCGAGGCTGTCATGGCCAAACCTGACAAGTCATTGAATCAATGTGAGAATGACAACAAATATCGATCGTACTTTGTACTGGATCGTAGGTAGACTAAGTGCCCAGAAAGATACTAGTCTAGTCTACAAGCTGCAGTGACAGCACCGTGCCAGAAACGGCACGGTTCGTATGGGTTGGCCCGTGCCACCATCTTTCGCTTACAGCACTGTCCGCTTAGAGCACCGTACTTAGCCCACCTAAGTACCTAGGCACTCTGCGTACCAAGACGGTGCGATCCAAGAGCTCCTATCATGCAGTAATACATCAACAAGCAAAAGCCAAAGCCCCGAGTCCAGACGACTGATGATTCGGGACTTGATCGACTTCCACGCGATTGTCCGGATGCCAATAGCCCATACCCATGCCCACTCAGGTGTCCCAGCCACTCCACCCAAGCCCTCAAGCAGCGGCCAATCGGCCGAGAAGGTCTCGAGGTGGATCCCCAATCGCAATCTCGCCACGATGGTGACCGTTCCCGAAGGAGCGCCTGGCGAGCTGCCCCTCCGGCTCTTGTTGCATCGCCTCCATCGCCTCCATCGCCTGTATCCACACTGTCGGCCCCGGTCCCTGTCCAAGAGGCCTTTTGGTCATCGTGTCCGCCCTCTCTATTGGTCCTCTGTCGCCGCATCTGTGCAGAGCACCGGCTCGACAAGATGAGCAGGCGAAATGGAGCATTACCGTCCTCCCTAGCCGCGGGTGTTGTAGAACCACGCGCGGAAAGGAGAGCTGAAATACTATGAGGACGCCTGCCTTCTCTCCCACATCATCGTGCATCTGCCTCACCCACCAAGCCTCGACATCCAAGTGTGCTTGCTCACCGTCATCATGGGCTCCTCGCAGTCAACGCCGGCGGCGTCCAATATGTATACGGCGTCAGCCGCATCAGATGTCGCTGCCGCCGCAGCAACCGCCCTCACGTTACATCCCACAAGCGACGTCAAAGGCCGTTCTTTTGACCGCTTTGTGCAGATCTTCTTCGAGAATCAAGACTTCACTATTGCCGAAGGTGACCCAAATTTCGCCTATCTTGCCACCTTAGGCATCAAGCTTGACAACTACTGGAGCATAACGCACCCATCCCAGCCAAACTATGTCGCGGCTCTGGGTGCCGATAGGAACGGCGTTTTGCTCGACACCTTTGTGCAAATTGACGACAGCGTTGAGACCGTCATCGATCTTTTAGAGGCCCGCGGCGTCAGCTGGAGTATCTACGGTGAGGGCCAGCCATACTCTGGGTTCGAGGGGGACTGGGTCAATCAAGAGACAGGTGCCAACAACTACGTGAGAAAACACAACGTGAGTTTCTCCATTCCCACACATCCCCGGCTCCCATGCCAGGTATGCTGAATCTCAGTGCAGCCCATGATGAGCTACAACTCGGCCACGGGAGATATCAACCGGCTAGCCAAGTCAAAGAACTTGACTATCTTCTACGAGGACCTTGCTAATGACAGCCTACCACAATGGATCTGGATTACACCGAACAGTAAGCAGCTTTCGGACTAAATTTGAACCTTTCCAGGCCGGAAAAACCCCGCCATGCCTATGGCCTGTCCCATTGCTTGCGTCCAATTCCTTTGTCAGGCCGTACCTTTCGAGACAGGCGGTAGGCATATAGTGGCCTACTACATCCCATATTAATACTGGATATCCCTCCGTTCTTTAATGGCTAATTCTCGATGCTGCAGTGACCTCGGATGGCCACGATAGTTCCATCACGGTTGCGGGAGCATGGGCGAAAAACTTTATCGAGCCGCTCCTATCAAATAAAAATTTCAATATCGATAAGACACTAATCATACTCACTTTCGACGAGTGCGAGAACTACTTGATAGAAAATCGAGTACTCGCTGTGTTGCTCGGAAGTGCAGTCTCGGATGACCTGGTCGGGACAACCGTCTCAACCCGTTTCGACCATTACAGCCTCTCCAAGACGGCTGAAGATAATTGGGACCTGGGCGATCTGGGAAAGAACGATGTCAGCGCAGTATCGCTTTCAGAGGCTCTGGGATAGACATTACCACATACCACATACAATTTCAAACTGCTGTGTTGGGTAGACTTTTATTACTATCACACTCTAATTTTATATCCTCCCCAATCTAGAGTGGCACTTCATTTGCTCTGCCGCAATGCTTTGACAGTTTCTGGGTATGTATTTCCCAAACACAGTCTGTCTCGCTCTGGCATCTGGGGGCGCATTGTAAAGCTTTTCCGAAGACGACATCTAAAGATCGTGCCCCCTCCCGTGCGGACAACCGAAGAATTGAATGGAAATCCTCAAAGAAGTTAAACATTATATACGCTATTGAAACAAAACCGGCCTATGAGACGAAAATGACAAAACCATCATTACGGAACCCCTAGTGGCTTGTTTGCTTACTTTTCCAAGTGGAAGGTTATCCACCCGGATGTTATCACAGGACATAATCTTTATCCTAAAGGAGGTTAACTTAAAAGAGATTCTCCTGTAGCTGGTGATACTATAAGGAACTACTTTATATCTTTTATAAAACCCCCTCCCTCCCCCCCTATTCTTTTATTCCACTTATTTATCACCTAGATCCTGTGGTATCGAAGTGGTTACTGGAACTTAAGCTTGTTAGATCGATTGTCGATTACCCACACTACCGCTGGCGAGACTAAAGTGCAATGATTCTGCATTATTAGCGTGCCTGTATGTCTCTAAACAAGTATATCAAGGCTGTTCAGAATCCTGCTTATTAAAGCGCTGTCTCCTAGGACCACATAAAAAATTCCCAATTATTATTTTCTACATTTGCAAGCGCCAACACGCAAGGCAAGAAGCCCCCATATCGCAGCGACTCTATTCACGGACAACTTCAACAATCACATTTCGATGGGTGCTATTCTTCTCCAGACAAAGCAAACCCTACACTTGCATTGAAATTATACACTGGCTGTTCCGGACCTTTGAAAGGGTCTGGTGCATCTTGAAGACTCCTAGTCTGTCACTTTTGAAAGTAGCTGGTATCCGTTGCTGCAGAGTGATGCTGTTGTGAGTTAGATACTGGCACGTTTGTACACAAGGGGATAGCAAGAGAGAGACGATAGAAAAAGAACAAAGAGAAGAGAATGCGGTCGTTGACTGCTTTTCAGCGAGATCAGTACTCAGGTAGTCTGGATGCCTCGTTTCCCAGTCTTTGAAGAGAATGGGATATATGATAGCAAAAGATAAAGATACAGATAAAGGCCCAATGCGAAAGCGAAATCAGCATTGGCTGGGCTTGTGTCTGTGCTGCTGCTACTGCTACTACTTGGGCCACCAAGGTATCCAGGTAGTCTAGGCCTTGCCACCCCACCCTGCCTTGGCGCCACATTTTGAGTTCGAGATGATTGGGAGTGAATGAAGTGTTTGGCTGGCTGGGTGGACACGAGCTGAGCTGAGGGGTGTGCTGCTGCATCTGTCTCGGGCCGCTGGCTGATGAGAGCAACTCCATCCGACTGGCTCAAGGGTCCAGGGGTGGTGTGTTCGCAGAGCAGAGGCCCAATGGCGTACAGTGCTAATACTGCTTGTATTTGTTCGTTCCCTTGCTACTGCTGTGTAGTCATTTCCGTGCCCTAGGTACTGTATGTAGGCAGAGCCCTGCGCCTGTGCACACATAGTAGAATGCAGAGTACAGAGGCATTTCATCTCGGGCCAAGGTTTGTGCAGCAATTGCCTCGTGAGAAACACCATCTTGAACTTGGCACTTAGCTACCTGCCTTAGCTGCCCAGGGCGTGACTGTGAATGTGAATGGCCCCCTCCCCTTTTCAGAGACCCCAAACTCCCCCTGACTGCCCCTGTCCAGACCAGAGATTCCAACACATCTGGATCGACCTTGACTAAAATTAGGACCAGAACCGCTGAAATTGAGTTCCTGCACCTCCCTCCCCATCCCGCAGGCCTCCCAGATATCTACTGGGAGATAGACTGGGGTGAAAGATGCTCCTACATTCGAAAATGGTCCAAGGGGAACCAATTATCATCTAGTCGGGCCCTTTCAGCTTTTTGCCCAAGGGTGCTGCTGTTAGCTCGTGCCTGTCCCTGCCACTACCCGTCCTGGGCCCAGCCCCAGCCCCAGCGCCAGGCCCCCCGGTCCCACGACCCGAACCCTACTGGGTACCCAATTTGGGTGCCACTTCTCTGCTTCTACAGCACCCAGGCGTGCTAGGCATTGCGTGCCTGCCCGGCCTGCCTGTGGACCTGGCCCGCCTAGCTGCGTAGGACTGCAGTGGCACCCAAACGGCTGGATTCAAGTGGCAACCCGCCTCTCAGTCAGTCAGTCTGGTCAGTCAGTCAGTCAGTCAGTCCGTCCGAGCCTCAGCCTGGCTCTTGCTCTAGAAGCAGGAGCCCCCCCAGTGGGACCATCCCCCCCAGTCTTGCTCCCCCCCAAACTGCGAAACGGCCGTCTTACCAATCCAGTGCTAAGTGCCAACCTTCGCACACCCGCACTGGGCACACCTCAGCATCAAGCATCCGCCCACCCATCCGCCCATCCCCCCGTTCAAGTCAACGACCAACAACCAACCCAATCCAGCCTGCCAACTTGCCACGGGAGCTTGGTCATCTACACCTTGACTAGCCATTGCCATTGCCATCACTCCTGTTCATTCTTGATTACCAGCCTGGCCCTACTCCTGTTCATCCTCAGTTTGCTCCAGCCTCCACCCCATATTCCCTCTCTTTGTGGCCCTGTGTCTCGTCTCTGTCTCTGTCTCTTACCTCCGGAGACGTGACCTTCCTCTCGGGTTGCAGTTGCAAGTGCTAGCACTATCAGCCGTCGCATCTCACTTCTCCCACCTCCTTGCAACTCCCACCACACTCGCCATGTCGTGGAAACTCACCAAGAGTAAGTATCGCCGCCCGTGTAGTTCTTCGAAGCCTCTCTCAGGAATTGCAGCCGAGCAACGAGTGGTCCCCCGCCCCCTTCCCCCCCCATTCTCCCCCAATCTGCACTGCCATCGTGGAGGACTGCGCGGCCCTGGGAGCTCTGTTTGCTAACCCCTCACCCCCGACTCCCAGAGTTGAAGGAGACGCACCTGAGCCCTCTGGGCGGCTTCGGGCGCTCCACCTCCACCTCGACCATCACCGACAAGGACGAGAAGCCACAGTCTAGCATTGCTGGCTCTGCATCCCCTACACCCTCAGACAACAACATTGGTACGAGTCCGGTCCCCCCAGAGCATCGCTGTGCCCCAGATGGTCGCAGTCCTGTGCCTTTGAACCCCAGCTGACCGGCCACTCTGTCCAGCATCTTCTGAAGCTCTCACCCAGGCTCCCGTCATAACACCGCCCAAGCCCGGTATCCTAGTCGTCACCATCCACGAAGGCAAAGACTTTGCCTTGCCCGACCAGCACAAGGGCATATTTAGCAGTCATTCCAGCTCACTCTCCCAGGGCGGAGGTGCCAGTGTTGCTGGGTCTGTACGGCCTGGGTCTTCGCAACGAACAGCTGGCTCCTATGTGAACGGGCACCGGCCAAACACTTCAGGAGGCTTTGGGAATGTGCCCACCAACCATGGCCGGGTGTCCGGAAAGTACATGCCCTACGCCCTGCTCGACTTCGACAAGGTCCAGGTCTTCGTCAACTCCGTCGAGGGCAATCCCGAGAACCCCCTATGGGCAGGCTCCAACACCCAGTACAAGTTTGATGTTTCCAGAGTAACTGAACTCACCGTTCATCTCTACATCCGGAACCCGACCGCCCCGCCCGGCGCCGGGCGCAGCCAAGACATTTTCCTGGGCGTTGTCCGCATCAACCCACGATTCGAGGAGAAGCACCAGTTTACAGAAGACCCCAAGGCGAGCAAGAAGGACCGCGAGAAGGCAGCCAACGAATTTGCTGAAAAGGAGAGGACGCTGGGCCACAGCGGTGTGCAGTGGGTGCCGGTGCAATACGGCCAGGGTCAGCTCAAGATAGGTGTCGAATACGTCGAGAACCGGGCAGGCAAGCTGAAGATCGAAGACTTTGAGCTGTTGAAGGTGGTGGGCAAGGGCAGTTTCGGCAAGGTCATGCAGGTGCGGAAGAAGGACACGAGCCGGATCTACGCCCTCAAGACGATCCGAAAGGCGCACATCATCTCGAGGTCCGAAGTCACCCACACTCTCGCCGAGCGGTCCGTACTCGCGCAGATCAACAACCCCTTCATTGTCCCCCTCAAATTCACCTTCCAGTCACCTGAGAAGCTCTACTTTGTCCTAGCCTTCGTCAACGGAGGAGAACTGTTCCATCACCTGCAGAAAGAGCAGCGTTTCGATGTCAACAGGTCGAGATTCTACACGGCCGAACTGCTCTGCGCTCTCGAGTGCCTGCACGGCTTCAATGTCATCTATCGAGACCTAAAACCCGAGAATATCCTGCTTGATTACCAAGGGCACATCGCGCTGTGCGACTTTGGTCTCTGCAAGCTGGACATGAAGGATGAGGACCGTACCAACACCTTCTGCGGCACTCCCGAGTATCTTGCCCCCGAGCTTCTGATGGGACAGGGCTACAACAAAACTGTGGACTGGTGGACTCTTGGTGTCTTACTTTACGAGATGTTGACAGGTCTCCCCCCGTTCTATGACGAGAACACCAACGAGATGTACAGGAAGATCCTGTCGGAGCCTCTGCATTTCCCGAGCCACGACGTTGTACCCCCTGCGGCCAAGGATCTGCTCACGAAGCTGCTGAACCGGAATCCAGCAGAGCGGCTGGGCGCGAACGGATCTGCCGAGATCAAGGCCCACCCCTTCTTCCACGCCATAGATTGGCGCAAGCTGCTACAGCGCAAATACGAGCCGACTTTCAAGCCCAATGTGGTATGTAACCGCCCCCCTCCTTCCCCACCCACCCCATGGTTCTGTGTGACCGCCTCGGAGCACATTCACTAACTATAACTGCCTTACAGGCCGACGCCTTGGATACGGCCAACTTCGATCCCGAATTTACGTCCGAGGCGCCGCAGGATTCGTACGTTGAGGGCCCTGTCCTGTCGCAGACGATGCAAAACCAATTCCAGGGCTTCTCATACAACCGGCCAATCGCCGGTTTGGCGGACGGAGGCGGCAGTGTCAAGGACCCCGGTTTTGCTGGTAGCTTGAATGAGAGGTAAACTCAAGCGAGTCTCTAGGTGCTTGGGAATCGGGCTTGTCTACGAACGAGGGCATCTACTGACCGCGGGGGAGGCCAATGTACAAGATGCTTTGGAGAGAGACACGTCGTCGGGCCTGAGATGGGCCTGAGATAGATCGAATCCGGGTCATATCAGGGCCACATTATGTTCTGGTGGAGCAGAACGAGCCAGGCTGCGAGTCTTGCTTACCTGGTTGCATCCACCGGCCCCAAAGCAATTCACATGTCGGAGTACGGTCTTGGTCATTTACACAGTTAAACCAACTGGCAATGGGGTTTGGGCGAGGTTCATTCTGCGAATTCCATGATCTGCACTCGTTGTATTGTTTGCCTCTGGGCCCAAGGAAAAGTGGGGTGGTAGATCTATCATAGCAGTTGTTAGAGTTGAGCCAAATGGGAAATGCACATTGGACATGGACAATATGGACCTGACGTAAGGCAGTGAGCGAGTGTTCCGGTGGTGAGATGGGGCCAGGACGGCAGAATTTGCGCTGGTTTCCAATTTTGACCCAAGACATGGTCCAAAACAGGGTCAGGATCAGGATCAGGATCAGGCCATGCGTGGTCGAAAACATGACTGCCGTCACGGGTTGACTGCCGCTATTCCCCGACCAGTATATGAGGACATTCAATTCTACCTGTGAGGACAAGCAGTCCCAGCCGTCCTTTCGCCCCGTCACCTGAGAAGGCGCCGAGATAAATGGGATGATGAATGGCAAAACGTTCTTGTGGCCGAGAGGGAGAGAGAGTTGTGTAGATAATTAGGACTATTGCAGGCTGCCCTTAATCAGCAGCCAGGGCCCCTCCAGCTGCAACGGGTGCTCCGTACGGCGTGCTGTATCGAATGAATGCAGTGTGACGCAGTCGCAGGCCGATGAAAGAGAATGTTGGGCTTGCCTCAGCGCACCATGCGAAGATTGGTGGGAGGCCATGTTACATAGGGTTGAGCTTCACCCTCAACTGCTTTTAACCATTGCATCTGTAGTTTTGTCCAGTCTACAGCCGTCTAATATGTGCCTCGTGCCTCTCCCAAGGCACTGTCAAATCGGATTGATGACCATCCAGGTGTTGTTGACGCGGTAGGTACTGGGTTCTAATGGCATTGAACGTCCTCTGGTGCGGTACCTGGGTATGGCACCCGTATTGTTTCGGCTCCTGGAAGCGAGCAAGCTGGCCCCTCTTTTTGGATGGGAGCTCCTCTCTGTACCTAAGTACCCCAAGTTCATGGCACACAGTAAGACCACTGCGGGGCAGCAGTTGCTATGATGTCTGTCGGTGGGCTCTTGCTTGTTGCTGTGTCGGAAGCTGTGGAAGCACAGGACCCCGCTCCCACCTGGGCAATTCCGCCTTCTTTTCCTCTTGGACTCGACGTCAACATTTCTCTCAAGATTTTGGGTTTGTCAATTTATTCTCCCTGGCAGTCTTGTGTAAAGCCTCATCCCTCCCAAGTGTTCAAATCCCACCTCTGTCACCCATTGAGCAACTGCTCTGTGCACAACGTCGGTCAGTCAGGAGCTCCAACCTGAAGCTGTGGCTCACCTCCCCCCTCCCACCCCCCCCCCCTCCGATGTCACCTCCCGCACCTTTCTGCCGATTCTGCAACACCCAGCCATCACCCCCCTCTACTACTCTGATCCGAGACTGACACCAGCACTTGGGGTCTCAGCAGGACTTATCATAGGAACCCCTACGCCTTTCAAAGACAAAATGCCCCAAGCAAGCAGCCTTCCCGCCTGGAGCGAGCTTCAGCAGCACCGTGACACGGTCGGCAAGTCCTTCGTGCTCAAGGAGGCCTTTGCCTCGGACCCCAAGCGCTTCGACAAGTTCACCCGCACCTTTACCCTGCCCGGCACGGTCTCCTCCTCCGGCAAGCCCACAGATATCATCTTCGATTTCTCCAAGAACTTCCTAACAGATGACACCTTGGACCTCCTGACGAAGCTGGCCTCCGAGGCCGGCGTCGAGAAGAAGCGCGAGGCCATGTTCAGCGGCGAGAAGATCAACTTCACCGAGGACCGCGCCGTCTACCATGCTGCCCTGCGCAATGTTGGCCTCGAGGGCCAGCCTTGGGACTTGAAGGTCGACGGTGTGGACGTCATGGCAACCAAGGGCGGCGTCAATGATGTCCTGGCCCACATGAAGGAGTTCTCTGAGCAGGTACGGAGCGGAGAGTGGAAGGGCTTCACAGGCAAGAAGCTGACGACCATTGTCAATGTCGGTATCGGCGGGTCCGACTTGTAAGTGGGACTCCCCGGTTCATCCGAGCTGCTCTCGCTCTGGCAGCAACTTCGGGGCCATATGCGGGCCATGGGCGTGGACATGAACATTGGACAGTCTTGGAGCTGACATGTTTTGGTAGGGGACCGGTCATGGTCACCGAGGCACTGAAGCACTACGGTGCCAAGGACCAGACCTTGCACTTTGTGTCCAACATTGACGGCACTCACGTCGCAGAGGCTCTCGCCAATGCCGACCCCGAGACAACCCTCTTCCTGATCGCCTCCAAGACATTCACCACCGCTGAGACCACCACCAACGCCAACACGGCGAAGACCTGGTTCCTCGAGAAGACAGGCGGCAAGGGTGATATCGCAAAGCACTTCGTGGCCCTGTCTACCAACGAGTCCGAGGTCACCAAGTTCGGCATTGACAGCAAGAACATGTTCGGCTTCGAGAGCTGGGTCGGTGGGCGATACTCTGTCTGGAGTGCAATCGGACTCTCCGTCGCTCTGTACATCGGCTACGACAACTTCGAGAAGTTCCTGGCTGGTGCGCACGAGATGGACAAGCACTTCCGCACTGCGTCTCTGAAGGACAACATCCCTGCCATCGGCGGTCTCCTGAGTGTCTGGTACAGCGATTTCTACAACGCTCAGACGCACCTCGTCGCCCCGTGAGTTGAAGCTTCCTGGATGACTTCGTTCTTGTGGCTGACAGCCGTTGTGACAGCTTTGACCAGTATCTACACCGGTTCCCCGCCTACCTTCAGCAGCTCTCTATGGAGTCCAACGGCAAGACCACCACCTCGGACGGCACATCGGCCAAGTATACTACCGGCCCCATCCTCTTCGGCGAGCCCTGCACCAATGCTCAGCACTCCTTCTTCCAGCTCGTTCACCAGGGCACCAAGCTGATTCCAACCGACTTCATCCTGGCTGCCAAGTCCCATAACCCCGTCTCCGATAATTTGCACCAGAAAATGCTGGCCTCTAACTACCTAGCGCAGGCCGAGGCTTTGATGGTCGGCAAGACGGTAGAGCAGGTCAAGGCTGAGGGCACGGCGGAGGACCTGGCACCTCACAAGGTCTTCCTTGGAAACAGGCCTACGACGAGCGTGCTCGTCGGTGGTCACATTGGCCCGGCGGAGCTGGGTGCGCTGATTGTCTACTACGAGCACCTCACATTCACCGAGGGTGCCGTCTGGGACATCAACAGCTTCGACCAGTGGGGAGTTGAGTTGGGCAAGGTCTTGGCCAAGAAGATTCTCAAGGAGCTGGATGAGGAGGGCACCGGGTCCGGCCATGATGCCAGCACCGGTGGCTTGATTGGAGCCTTCAAGAAGTACTCTAGCTTGTGAAAGGCCTTCTGAGTCGGGGAAATGGTGGAGTTTTCGGCCTTGACCACAGGCACCAAGCAACAGATGGGATAGCTTGAACGCTTGTAGCTGCCACCTCCCGGGACATCTGTGTGTTTTCTCTCATGAAATGAACAATCAGTCCTGGTGAACCTCTCTCGTCATAAATGTTTCGAACGTAATAGCATTGGTTTCCTGCTAGGACCGACCCAGCCATAGAACCGTTTTGAGTCGGGACCTACACGCCCCGCTTCTTTCGTTCTGGCGATAATGATGTGAGTTTGTGACATCTGTGGCTTGGCTTGAACAAATCTGACCTCGGGATCGCGGGAGTGCCAAAATGGGTGCTGTGCCCCTGCAGTGTAGATGTCAAAGTCTAGGTCCATTGGACCTGTGGAGCATTCGAAGCAGCAGGTGGATCGTAACCCAAAGCACATAAGTTAATAATGACCATTTATATCCGGTTCATCCAGTTTGGAGATATCTGCCCGACAAGCAATTCGCATCTCGTCATGGTCCATCGTACGTTGTCCTTCTCCAGCGCCCCTCTCAATTAAGAAGGGCCGTGAAGGGGTGGGAGATGCCAAAGGACTCAGTTTTGGGTCCCAAACGCCCTGAAACTGGTGGTGCTCTAGGAGTCAGATCTTCGCTGGAAGTGTAAATCGGGGGATTGGGGGTTCTTCCTAAGCAGGATATGTAAATACTCAATGTTCTAGTCGTCGATCGAGAAGAATGCTATCCTGTTATAATGACAAATGGGTAGTTATTCAATTGCATCTCTCTGGGTGTATTGATACTGTTACTGATCGTTGCCCCCGGCTTTGTTGGTCCCCTCCAGGACCGTATACAGAGCCATTCGCCTCCGCGGATTGACAATGTCTTTATGTACATCAACGATTGTTAAAGGAAGCCCAACAGGCATCTTCCTCATATCGTGCTACACTCTTGTACCTTATCCACAACATACTCAGCGGCATCTACGCCGTATACCTGAACGTAGCTCTCGTGGATAGTAAGCGCGTCAGCTGAAGTACCGTTATCGCAGAAGTAATCGCCACTATCGCAGTAAGAGATCATTTTCTCGGCCACAGGGAGGCAGGCTGCGTTGTCTAAACGTGGAAAAAACTGTTGCCGTGGGAGTTAGCATGGTTTGCATCGACATGCTTTTGTCGTGAAGGGAGGGTCTCAAGGCGACTCCATCACCTAAGAACCGTGCATTGGCGCTCTTGAAATGCCATTGCGCTATCCAGATTCGCAACTTTCCCCTGCAACCCTCTCTCTTTGTCGATCCGAAGCAAAATCAAGTACTTACGCTGACATTCGAGGCATTGCCACGATCCCAGGCGAGACCCTTTACAAATGATGGGTCTCCCATGAGGACGACAGCCGCGACTATGAATAGTTTTAGCTTCTGACTAACTCTCTCAAGGAATCCGACACCCTCAGCGGACAAGAGCTTACTATTCTCGGCCACGATCGCAGAATATGGGGACGTTGGTGGGAAACCTGCTGAGCTGCGGCCGCAAAGAAAGTCTGCTGTGACTTGGGCGCCCTATCGTAAGATAAACGAATCTGTCAGTATCAAAATCTTTGCCCATACGCCATGATGGCAAAGAACTCGGACTTATATTTCCAGGCTGGTGTGTTTCTTGGAGGCAATTGGGTCCCTACTCACCTGAGAGTAACCGAGAAGAACCATCTTGCTGTCCGGACAACAATCTTGATACTGCAGCGCGATCTCTGTCAAGTTGCCGACACCTGCTGTCTCAGACTCCACATATGGGTCCAGCAGAGCTGGATAAGGGTTGGCAACAATGTCCGAGCCGGGGCAGGACGCCACAATGGATTCGGCAACGCTGCCCAACACGCCCGTACCAGGCGCCTCAGTAGAAGCGCGGTTGACTATGATGTGCGCGGCACCAGTGGAGGGCGTACAGGTGATATTGCTGCAGTCAGCCCGAGGAGTCAAGTTGCTATGGGCCTGAGAATTGGGTGGCAGGTGAATAGATGCTGCTTGGATGGGGCCCACGAGGGCAACGAGGGCGGTTGCGATTGTCTTCATTTTGGTGCAGTCGATGAAGCCGTGGAAAGACGCAGGTGATGAATGTCCGAGAAAATAGAAGGGAAAAGAGTCGCAAAGTATTGGGAGCCTCTTCGTTCCTATTTGTACCCGTCCTGGGTATTGTCGATGTTTCCGTGCTTGGCCCAGCTGTCCTTCCTTCGCCAATAATTTTAAGTCGGGTTTCGTCTCCTTCCGCCCTCATTCGCCCAGCATTGACTGAAAATAATACCTGGCTTTAAGAACGACTTACTAGACTGTTGGCGGGTGACGTCTAGATCCGGTGAGCCTTCTATCTCTCTTCAACGGCCGAGGCAAGTCTCATGAGCTCCGCGATTAGTCCATCCGATTGGGTCTCTCAATGCTTTGGATGACGAGGAGATACGGCGAGAAGCGAGGATGGGATGGTATGTAGCGCGCCCGCCAGCATGGACTTATTATGCGCCCTGGCAAACTTCCCGCATCTTGCAAGGCCCCACTATATCTGCCCCAATTGCAATCCTCTATTTCTTTCAATACGGTCCGCCTGGTCTATCTCATGGCAATTGCCGGGGTAAAGGAGGGTCGTAAAGCCGCCAGCAAGCAAAGCGCACGGTGGTCGACCGCAGCTCGTGATGTTGACCACTTCTGGTTAGGTTCCTTTGCATTCTCCCGAGAAATGGGGTCGCCCTCCAGGATGATCGCACATCCAGCCATGCTTAAGACAGGGAGGTTGCACATTGAGGTCGCGGGGCAAAGTTTACGATTCATCTACGGCTGATGCGGCCAAGGTTACATTGAAACTTTCCTGATCACACACCAGTGGTTCGTCCCGCGTGCGACAGTCTACAATGCCGCGTTCCCGGAACCAGACTCTGTGATATCGGATGGGTTCCACTCATCCTGCAAGATTCTCGAGCGTGCTTCAGGGGTGCCCCTGAACGTCACATTGACGCCCTGGTTGCTGCACATGTGGCTTGCAGATCAAAGACCGTTGCCAACGGGCGATTTATACACAAACCATCTGATCCAGATCCCAAGTCTCTGGTACTGAAACATCCCACTTCGGATGTCTTTTGCTTTTGTTTCTTCTCTAGCAATCGACATCGGCCCCACTAGTACGCTGCACATAGTCCCCAAGTGCTGCTGCTGCCTCAACAGGAAGCCCTAGAACCAGCTTACTGCATGAGTCGCAGTCTGCACACTCACACTGGGGCGGTGAGCCTCATCGTTTGCGATTGGAATCGCAAGAAATGCTCCTTTTGGGATAACCCTGACGACTGCACAATAACAAGTACCCACCACTCTTCGATCACACATTCTTCAGGAATCTGTGGCTGGAATTGTGCGTTTCACAACACCGTCTTTATAAGAGCAATCACCAATTGCCTGATCACCGGTGTGGTGTGTACACCGAAATTTGTCTTGCTGATTATGTTGAGTGTTTGTTTTGTTGTGATGGGCCCGATCCCCTCTCTGGCTTGTTGGCAGATGGCGGAATACCCGCTCATCACACTAGATCTTCACGAACTCAAGCATATTCAACACCTCACTACTTTGCCTATTCCCTAGGAGCTAACACATTTCGGCCCAGTAACTCGGCACAATCGGCCTTGCATCTTTATACAGCTCTTTGTCCAGCAAGAACCTATTTAACTAATGGTCCTCTGGGTTTTACAGACCACCGGAATTTAGTGCGCCATCGTCAAACTGTACGTTTTCAATAGAACCATCTCATACGAGAGCAGTGCTTGATCCACATTCACCTTCCCATTAGTCTGTAATGAGCTCTCAGTCGTATACAGCCAGAGCTACCAGATATTTTCGATAGATAAGGAAGCATAGGGTATACACGGCATACTAGTGAATCTTACTAGTCGCTGGCTCAGTGGCGTTGCTGAAACATAATGCCGGCTTCCATATCTCGCCGGGAGATCTAGGCCCCTTTTGTTCCTAAGAAGTTGCTACCTTTTAACTCTTGACTGGGTATGCGCTGTTCAAAGGAATTTCGGCTGCCTGCTCTGTCTGTAATAAAATAATTAATATAGAAATAGAACTTGTGAACAACCATGGCAGCTTTGAACATGGCTCATCAAACGGAAGGGTGACCACGTAACCACCCTCATTCTTCTGGCTGGTATCTTGTATGAGATCTCACGAGACTTGAACCCTATTGATCTAGGTCATCACTGTCAAGAGTGGCCGTATGCAGATGTCAGCGTCAGAAGTTGTAACAGGTCAAAGAAGTTTGAGGTTTCTTTCTTAACGCTCGAGTGGAGTTCAGCTGCGTGGATAGAAATGATCACATCGATTGATTCTCTCCACCTGCAATTGGGTTGGAGTGGTGGGCGTCTGAGCGGGCGAGGTAGAGGTTGTCGACAAGGTCGACCAATCATGGTGTGTGTTTCTTTCAGCACGAACTCTGAAAGAGGGTCGAACACAGTTTGAACTCTCGAATCGCAAATAGTCTGATCCAGTTGATGAAAATGGTTGAAATACAGCTGCTGAAGACCTTGACCTCTGGAATGAGTGATTCAGTCATTGATTATGACGTGGCTTGCATATGAACACCTGGCAGCAACATATCTACGTAGATTACGTCAATCGAAACATCTTCGCATCGTCCCCTGGCCTCGCTTCTTCTGCCACCCGACGTCTGTCAATGATTTGAAGGTGTGCCAAGAGCACTGATGTCTTGGGTGTACTTGAAACCATAACGAAACGTAGGGCAAACCGCAACTTCTCCTCAATAGGTCACCTCCCACAATTCAACTTGGGTGTGACTTGATGGGAACCTCAGGGCCACCCACGCGAAAGCGCACCCCGTAGCCAGCTGGATGGATCACTCATCTTGATTGCGATTCTCTCTCGACTTTATTCTATACAAGAGTCAATAAAGTCTGTGCTGTCCATTTAAAACACGCCTGCGTCTCAATGTCCAATTTGTCTTCCCACAAAACTGTCCGCCCAGAACAGCAAATACATTTTCAAATTTGTCTTAGCTCTCTCAAGATGGGCATACACGCAAAATGCAATTCTGTGCTTTTCCATCATAGCTACATACAACATGTCTCGTTCACATGAGCATTCCACCATTAGCACAAACGACTTGCCCTGTGCACCACGCCGCATCTGGAAGACAAAGCATGGCAACGATCCCTGCAACCTCGTGCGCGTACGCAGGCCGACCCCCCGTCGTTTTGGCGTCTTGGACAACGTCCTCCGCGTCAATGCCACTCCTCACACGCATGAGTGGCGTATGCTCGATCCAACCCTTAGCCTCTCTCTTGAACTCATCCGTATTCGACGCGTATAGAGGTCCTTCTACTGGACCCGGGGTCACGCAATTCACTGTAGCGTTCTCGGAAAGCTCTCGAGCCCACACGCGAGTCATGCCCTCTATAGCTGACTTCGTTCCCCCATACACTGCCTGGCCGACGAAACCGCAATGCGCAGATATAGACGAGATACTAACGATACGCCCGGAGCGATCTTTTGGCAAGTAGGGCTGTACGGCCTGGATGAGCATTAGGGGAGCCAAGACGTTGATGCGGAAAGTAGTGTCGAATTCCGATGCCTTGATATCAGGCAGCTTATTGTTGAGAGCAATGCCGGCCACATTAAGAACAATGTCGATCTGGAACGTCTTGTTTGGCTCAAGCTCGGTGAAGTGCTTCTTGACTGCGTTCACAAGGTCTGTGGGGCCAGTGGGCTTAGCGAGGTCGCCACGGACATCGAAAGCCTTGATGCCATATTTGGACTGTAGAGCTATGGACAGGTCTTCCGTAGCAGGGGCTGCATCAGGAACAAAGTAACTCAGGACAAGGTTGCAGCCCTTGGAGGCAAGGTTAGCTGCGATGGCAGTTCCTATAGCTGTTTTTATGGGTTAGACATTTTGCTCAAGAGGCAGGATCTGTGGAAAAGCACTCACTACCAGATGCCCCTGTGAGAAGTGCTAGCTTGCCTTCGAGAGGTCGATAAGCCATTTCGATAATACCAGACCTATCTTCTTTATTCAAGAATCAAGGTTTCGATGTAGCTCAAGACAATATGGAATGATAGAGTTCAGACAACGCGAGGATGCTCAACAAGAGAAGAAGAAATCTGTAGGTCTACAGTTGGCCGAGGATGATAAAGTCGAGAGAATGAGGGCATAGGGTTTATATATTGTAGTCTATCTGGCTATGTATGTACGACTCTCGGTCGGCTATCAGCTGAAGACACCGAACCAATGTGGATGTGGCCTTTCTATGCGCCGCCTCACGCATGGACAAATCCAGACCCTCACAAAAGCTCGCCGAATACCTCTCGTATGTCTTGAAAGCTCACTGTGACCCACAAATCCCAAAATCTTGCGATATTTGCAGCCCAGTAACACACGTGCCCCAATGGAGTCGACCCTTCGAAGTTCCTGAAGGAACATGCGCGCCAATCAGATGTAGGCACGCCAATAAGCCCGGCTCGTCTTCATCCCTCAAAACCCGGCCGCGCCAAAATCGTGGCATGGTGCGTTCCTAGACTTTGACCGTGTAATCTAAGGGAATGGACAAATGTTCTTTTCCAATCACTTGGCCTGAGGAAAAGAGAATGTATCACCGCCGGCTAGATCGGGATTTCAGGTCCCTAGTTTCCTAGGGTTGCCCGCGCTAACACTGAAAAACAAAGGAAGTTTGCTAAGGTCCGTCTGCCTGGACCCGTAGCCACAACCCTACTGCGCAAAGGAAATCGGATGTTCATCTCTTAAATTTACAGCACAGAATACCGAGTAGACGCTTGACTTACGTTATAGAGACCTCTCAACACTTGGCAGGGTCGGCCGTCATAAAATCTTACCCTGACCCTGGGCCGGCCGTGGTATACCCAACTTGGAAGAACTGTACACTTGATAATTGATTTACACTACAAGCTGGCCCTATGTACACCGAAACCTATGTGACTGGCCTAGGTGGCGTCCTTCTTCGGGTCACTTGCTAACTGATTGCGAGTACAATCCGATGGACCCTTGCGAAGCTTCGGGTGCAGGTTCACTTTTGTATAGCCAATAGAGCATGGCCGAAACGGGAAAATAGAGAAGGAGCTTCGAAACCTCGGTAAGAGGTCGCATATTTCGCCTCATCCGACATCATTTTCGTCATGCTGTGGCGCAAAGAACTACAGTCTCTGAGCTCTATTCGAATTGCTTGCAAGTCGCAATAGCTAGGCTCGGATAATAATAGTTCTCCCACAAGGGCAATACTGTATAGATTAGGATAGGTCCGGGATTCAGACACTCGTAGTCAGGTTCAAGTGCGGATTGATCTTGACTTCTGATTATCTATGATCCCCTTTGATCAAGTATGACGCCGGAGGGATCTTTGGTGGTCTCGTCACCCCAGCTTCCCTTCCATCCGTTTTCGGCAAGATAGGCCTTCCAATCGTTATCGTCATCTTCCAGTTTCCTTGACACATCTGGAATTACGAACAGTGCCACCAGAGCGCCGATTACTGCAAACGCCGACCCGATAAGGAATGCGACTTGATCACCTTTTGAGGGATCGGTAGAGTATGCGTTGAGAATGGCAGTAAACACTTGAGTGCCTATCGCAGCGCCAGCTTTCGACCAAGCTGCTACAAAACCCATCATCTGTCCGCGAATTGAAGTTGGGAAGCACTCTGACGCCGTGAGAACCACAGTGCTGCCGGGACCAACTTCGCCGAGGGTGAGGAAGATTCCGTAGAGGACAACAAACAGCGGAAAGATGTTTTGGATCGGGTAGATCGCTCCACCAAGGATAAACCCCAAAATCGCCTGCATGCCAAATCCGAGAGCCATAGTCTTCCGCCGACCGATCTTGTCAGAGAGATATCCACCGAGGAATGGGCCTGGTATATAGAAGCAGTTGATAACTGTACCCCAGCCAAAGTTCTTGACCAGGCTGTCACCAACATTGACTCGCGATATGATTGTAGAGCTGAAGATTCCAAACGGAATCGAGATCCAATTATAAAGGAACCAAGTTGTTGCACAGCCGATAAGTGGCCGGTAGTATCTCTTGACCGCAAGAAGGTATGGGGTGCGCTGCTTGCGGAGGGCAGATTTGCGATAAGCAGTCGAGACGGCCATCTTTAAACGGAACCAGAAGATCACCAACGGTGGAACAAGGCCAAGCGCGAACGAGGTTCGCCAGACGATGTCATATTTTTCAACATCTTGGCCAACGCAGAGGAGCAGGAGGAGGGGAACAAGGCCTCCCCAGACATAGCCTAGCGAGCTAGATAGATCGGCTAGCATAGCGAACATGAAGCCACGGTGCTTACGGTATTGGTGACTCTCGTCTGTTGCTTCAGCAGCACCAGCACCGGAAACAGGATCTGGAACACGCAATGAGGCGTTAATGAGGACATTGTCGATGCCAATTGACTCTCGGAAATGAAAACGGATACTCACACTCGCCACCGGCGCCTACGCCCGCAATCCCACGCGCAATGATAAGCATCCAGAACATTCCCGTAGGCGAATTTCCACTTGCAGCAGCGGACAGCACGATCCCAAGCACTAGGAAGGTCGTCGTGGCAACGGCACCTGTCTTGCGACCGAGCTGATCGACGACCACACCAAACGAAATCATCCCAAGTATCACTACAACATCCAGAGTCAGCTATTAAAGCAGCAAAGAAGACGCATGTACGGATACTGGGAGGTATTATCAGGCCATCATATGCCAATGACCTGTCTCAGAATCTGCAGCCTGACAACAGGCTTTGAGGCAAGTAACAAAACAGAACAGAGATGGCAGATGTTTCTGCTTGAAAAGGTTGAAATGGTGTCCGGAAGCTGCTTACTACCAATGAGGAAGGCGTTGCTGAGGCGATCGTATATAGAATCGGTAAGGGCCTCTGGGTACAAAACAGCTAGTAGAAGCTCGACGTTGCCGATAACAGCGGCATTGCTGGACGAGTAGAATAGCCATCAGCATCACTGTCCTGCGAGCTGGGTCTGGAGTTGCCAACTCACTATCCGTCAGATCCAATTGCAAGGCCAGAAAAGAGCACCATGAGCCAGACAGACAGTTTGCTGTAGTAGGTCTTGTCTTGCCCATCTGCGGCCTGGATCTCCACGTCGCCATCGACGGTTGCTGACGTCGCGTCCACTTTTGACTCCTCGATTTCTAGTTTGTCGCCGGGGGCTGCTGGAGCTGCAGACTCGTGGCTGATGCTTGGGATGGCCATGATTTGTCAACTTGACACAGACTTTCTGTTGACATCGGCGTGTGGGAGACGGAACGAGAAGCACGAGTTCACGGCGCGAGATGGAGCCGTGAGATAATAATATGAACTCCCTCGACTTGTTACCGCCGCATTCGGGCACCCGGTTGATATGGTCTTATCATGGCGGATGTAACGTACGCGCGTGTTCTCATCAGACAGGGCGGACCGGCAGTTCGCCGGCATCCAGGGTGCGATGCGATATCCGGTGCTGGGGGGCGGGGAAAGACCCTGGTTTGCCGGCACGATCATTGCATGTAGGGCCGATGTAGCATGCCGGTATCGAGACCTGCATCTCTCACACCACCTTTCCCAAACACCTCTGGTCCAGCATCTCAGGAAGCGTAATCCGTAGCACACTTTGAGAACGACCAACCAAGTCGGGTACGAGATATCAAGACCATGGAGAAGCTACAACATGCAGCCGGAAGCGAGCTGCCGATGGCTCGGCCCGCTTTAGGATTTCCATCCCGAAAGCGTCGAATTGCTGTTACCTTGAGCAGCGCTGTTCTGGCGGCACTCTGGCTTGCTTCTTTTCTTGGTGGCGCAATCATATTTCCTTCCCCCCGGCGGATAGAACACTCAGCTTTCGATAAAGCCCAGCGATGCGCCATCGACAATCTTCACAACGACCTGTCATTTCTGGACCAGGCCAAGCCTATACAGGCCGAGGAATTCGTCAGCCGACGCGATCGTCTTGCCCAGGCTTTAGCAGTGTCTGAAGTCGACGCCTTTGTCCTTGAACCGGGCTACACGTTCCAGTATGTCCTTGTATGAATAGTGCACGAGGCCTGTCATGCATCAACTAATTCCTGGCTAGATACTATGGAAACATCTCGCAGACAGACTGGGAGCCTTGGGAGCCTGAAGAGAGACCTTTTCTTATGCTTGTCTTGCCTGAGACTTCCTTGGATGGCACTATCAAAGCCAAGACAGCGTTCCTGTCGCCACATTTTGAAGAGGGCCGCGTGCGGATGCTTGGCATACCCAGCCGGGATGCTGAGCTGGATATCGTCATTTGGGAAGAGCACTGGAACCCGTATACAACGTTGCTGAAGTCCCGGCTTTTTGCGGAGTTGAATCGCACTCCCAAGCTGATGATGGACGAGGAGATCCGAGACTACATTGTTCGAGGCTTAGACGCCGCAGGCTTCGAAACTGTAGGGCTGAACTCGGCTGTCGAGCTTGTCCGCCAGACAAAAAGTGCCGCCGAGGTCGAACTCCTGAGGGCTGTCAACACGGGAACTGTCGAGGCTGTCAGAGCCATGAGGCCGTGTCTGGTGCCTGGCCTGACTGAGAATGAAGTAACGGATATCCTCAACAACGCGATGCTGTCAATCGGGTTTCAGCTCTTCTTCAACATTGTGCTTTTCGAAGAACACGGAGCTCTACCCCACGGTGGATTTGTTACGGGCTGGCTCAAATTGTACGTATCAGGGCAAGATCAGTGATGTTTCTCGCATTGCCCCTTTCAACGCCACCTTGATGCAATTCGTCGAAGGTCGCTAACATGCAACAGAAAGCACGATAGCATGGTGGTAATCGACGTTGGAGCCCATTACCTGGGATACTCATCAGACATTTGCAGAAGCTTCTTCATAGATCCGCCAAAGCAGAAGCTCTTACTACATGGCGGCTTCCTGGCTAGTGTGAGGCGACTGCTGCGCCTCGAAAGAGAGCAAGGCGGGGAGTGGAGTCCACCGGATCCAAAGCTCCACGCCGAGAAGCTGCGAGTGTGGGATATCGTTCTGGAGGCACAGACAGCCGCAGCGGGTGCTTTCAGACCCAACGCGACAGCCGCAAGCATCGACATTGCAGCTCGGACCGTAATAGAAGACGCTGGTTACGGTTATGGATTCACACACCGGCTGGGGCATGGGATTGGAATCAAGGGTCAGCAGCCATGCCAATTTTGCTCTCTGTCTCTCTCTTTTTCTTCTCTCTCTGTCTATCCTTTTCTCTCTCACTTCATTCGAAGGTACACACCAGCTGACACCAGGCCAAACCGCAGCTCATGAGTCACCGTACTTGAACAAATGGAACACGGGAATCCGCCTCCAAGCGGGCATGACCTTCACCAATGAGCCAGGCATCTACCTCGAGAACCGCTTTGGCGTGCGCCACGAGGACATATACCTTGTCACAGAGAATGGAGAAGCGGAGCTACTCTCCGGGAGGCGCGCCCGAGGCCCCTATGACCCCTAAAGCCAGTGTCTGGTTTTCAGCCCCAGAGTCATAATCACAGCGACAGGGCCTTCAGCGCCGCCACCATAGCCCAACCGACGGAAAGCACATCCAAGAGGCCGATGACATCCATGCTCTGGGAGATAGCCGCATTGTATTGGTCTACTAGTGGTACCTTGGCTTTTGTCGCCCAAAAGTCGTGCATGTACCTGCTGGCACCGAAGCGGAGGGCCACCGCGAGCACAGCGGGAACAATGCTCTGCAACGGGGCGGCGAGGAGGCCGGGGCCAGAAGGGACGAAGAGCAGGTAGGCCACAGCCGTAATCAGAGACACTAGGCACTTGACCGGGGAACTCGAGTCAGTTTGTCCGGCATCTGGCATGTGAAGAGAGAAGATCAGGGCGTGGAAAGACTCACAGAGATAAAACCAGTTCCTATGGTGTAACGTGTGCCCCAGAGGCGGTCCCTGGCCGTGTTGCTCCACTCGGCTGCTTTCTCCGCTTTCGCCTCGTATTTTTTGATGTTGGCGATGGACGTGATAGACTGTGACGTTGCGTAAATGCTGATAAGGGTGATGATGAGGGCCACGAGGCCGGTTGGGAAGAACATAGTGGCTGACTGGGCAGGTAGATTTGCAGTTGAATGTTTCTAGGTGGGCCGAAGGAGATATTTGTGAACTGATGGTCGACTGGAGACCGCCCAAGCAGCCAGGAAGACTCTAGAAGGGTACTATGTACTCGCAGTGAACGGAAGAAGCTTTCATCAAGAGTAATCTAAGGTACGTAACTAGGTAGGCACTGCTGGGGTACAGAATGACGTCACTATACGCAGGCTTCGCTTGGAATAACCTCGTTCGATCTGGACCAAATTTGACAGCGAGCCTTTAAAGCAGCTCAAACGGGAAAATAGCTGCGAGAGAGCTGTAGACGCACACTGCACATTGAACAAGCTTCTCCTGTTCCATCGCCGTCACTGCTGTCGCAAATTCCCACGCGCGGCCGCGTTGGTTTTCACGCATCTACAGAACAGCCCATTCGACCGGCCACTCCCCTGAGGCTGGTCAAGGATAAAAAATGACATAGTCCATCTGGGGCTTCGCTCCGCCGGGGCTTCAGAATTTCTGCGTCCAAGATGCTGTGGTAATTATCCTGCTGGTGCAGTGGCTCTGTTCCTAGGCATAAGTGGGTATGAAGCCCACGACAGCGAGTCTCTCATGTCAGACACTTGCTGGATAAATACCGCAAGGAATGGCTGGCTTACCGGCAAGGCTTGCACGAGATGCTTGCGCAAAATTTGTCCGGTGTAGTGTTTTGTCTAATCTTCATTGCTGGGAGGCGGGAAAACCTCAAGTTTCGAAAGGCCATCGTATCGTGCGTACGGAGTGGAAACAAACAATTCAATATTGAGGCGGCTCAAGTGCTCTGGACTCGACAATGAGACGAGGCTGAAAGCTTGTTCCAAGAAATCCATACATTTGACTCCAATGTCAATAACTTTCAAAGGCCTTTCCAAGCAAGCCCCACCACGCTTCACAACGCTTCACAACGCTTCACAACGCTTCACCGTCCTGTCGTCGGATCCAGCCCTTCTTCGCCGACACCAGCTCACCTAAGGCTTGCAGTTACTCACGCTTCATTCAGTACCTGGGTACAAGATCAAACACCCTCTCTTCCAAAGCCGACTTTCCAACACAGCCGATCAGGCCTTGTACTTCTCTTTTCTCAGGCCTTCCCATCTCAACTTTGAGCAACCTCATTGACCAAACCCGACTTCCCGAAACCCCATTCTGTCAATCAAACCAAACGACGTTGAACGACTGCTTCCTTCTGAGAAAATAATGGCACCAACATCGCTCGACGCAAATGCGGACACCACGGTCCGCATAATCCAACGTGGGCCTGTCAAGCCCCTGCAGGTTGAGTACAAGGTACTCGCAGCTGCTATGTCCGCCAGTCCCTACTGGCAAACTTTTATCCGCCACATGAATGGCTCCATGGGCTTCGCGTCAAACAATACTCACATTGAGGACACGGGAATCACCATCGTCGCCGTCGAAATTGTGCTTCGTGGCTTGCATCAGACTTACCACCGACATACGAGTAGCGCCGATGGCTCCAATAACGACAAAAAAACAAAAGTCGAACAGCGAGTCAAAAGCAATGATTCTGTCAACACCAACAGAGCAAGCCGCGGAAACAAAGGAGCTGTGGAGCCCGGCGCATCACTAAACTCGGAACCATCGCCTGCGAACATCAGTGCCTCTAATCAGGCCACTGCTGTGTTGCCCGAGGGCGGTGAGGCACTGCCGCGGCTAGACCCAGTGGGCGTGGAGCTCTTTTTCCCCCAGGAGCTCTTGAGGGCAGCCGTGTATGATGTATGGGGTGTTTTGGCACTTATCAACTTCCGAACCTGTAAACAGTCACATCGAGGAAAATTCGACGTTGACCGCACTGTTGTTCGGTCATGGTTTCTGAAGTGGCGCGAGACCAACTTTCAGACCTTCAACACCCAAGCCGATTTCGAGAAAGCCCTCTTTCCAACTTTCGCTTTCGACGATGCAAACGGATTCGCTAGTGCAACAAAGTGGCTGTGTCAGAAGACGAGTGTTGGCAACATCGCTGAGTACAGCCCCTTCGTGCACAGCCAAGCGACCCAATGGTACCTACATCTCCATCTTCCCAAGGAAATTATCTGTAAGTCTCCCTTGAGCCTGGCTCGTCAGTAATGTCCCTTCAATATGCTTACAGGAAGATAGCTCAGACTCGCATCGCCCGGAGTCAGCTTCGTGTAAGGGTCAGCCAGGAAATCTGGTCCATCATTCGTAGCAGTCGTGGCTGGCTCTCGAACAGCAAGAGATGTGCATGCTGGGTGGTTGCACACTACAAATACCTCGAGGCGCTTAAAAATGCAGAAGTCCTTTGCCCCGAGCTTGATCGCAAGAAGTCGGTCGCGGAGCTGGTCAAATGCATGAGAGCGGTCGAATATGAGGAGCCGCTCAACGCCTGCCTCCAGTGCTCAAATGCTAACATAGGCCAGCATTTGTCGATGGCCATTCGTGCTGGACTTGATTTCGAGGGACTTTGTCTGGACTGCATGCTCGCATCGGTGACACCGAACACTAGCCCTCACCCGACTCCATACCAGCTATACGCCGACCGCTTCGATCGAAAGCATGAGCGCTGCCTTTCGTGTCGATTCCGCCACCAACATGCATCCTGGTACTTCTCATGGGTCAATGAGATTCCCAGACAGGTCATGTATCCTCCGAGGCAAAATGGCAACGGCTTGGACTCGTTCGCAGGAGACGAAGACTGAATGATCTGGCCAGGCCACGAACAGCAACGCCACAATCCGGAACATGATGAGCTGGCGCATAGTTGGCGTTGCCTTGATTTGCAGCACTGGGGGCTAGGCATACTTTTGAGATGTTGCCATTCTGCCAGCAAAGGACTCTTTGTCTGCTCGCCAAGACGGAGGCAGAGGACTGGGTTGAAAGGGCCCAGCGGATCTCATGCATTCACACCTCAACGCAGGTTGACCTGAGGTTATGGCCGGTGAGAAATCGAGTGAGTCACAAGGGTAAGAGAAGGTGGAACGTTGGCTGCAAAGGCGAGGCTAATTTGCCGAAGGGACAGTTCCGCTCGTCGTCGGCATGTACAATAGGCAATTCAAAGCAGGCGTGACTCTGTGATTTGGAGAGAGGGGGAACTAATATGAGGAGACAAGAGAAACATTCCATGCCGGAACAGCCAGGTCATTCCCTTTACAAATTTCTGATAGTGAACGCACAATTTGAAGGAATCGGAGAACAGAGTACAATAGAAAGTTGGAGTATCTACCGGCATTCGTAAAATACGCTCAATTCCCCACATGGCGCCGGTGTCAGCTCGGCCGACGATACTGTAAACCGTCGGCTGATTGGAATACGGAGTGATTGTCAACGTTGCATCATTTTGATGCCCCCGTTTCTGACATCACCACGACTCTGGCGGCCATCACCTAGGTAGCAAGGACCCCTCTCCAGCGCTTGCAGTGACACTCGGCAGACTCGGGTGCTCATCACCCATGGCCTTAGTTCCACAATCACCAAGAAAGGAATGGAGGGCTATAGGCTAGTGAAATCAAACCGGCCTTGCTGAGCTGTCGGGGTATCTGTATCTGTCAAACTTCATGGGCCTCGGCCAAGAACAATGTGCTATTCGTCACTTTTCGTGATACTCTTCATCCTGGCCAGCAGATGCGAAGCACTGCCTGCAATCATGTATGCTCTCAGTAACGGCCGAGAAGCTGTGATCTTCGGGTCCACGATATCAATGATCATAACGACGGCTTTTGGTAGCAACACAATCGACCTCTCATCACAAGAGTGGACTCTCTCCAACCGGGACTATAACATCTCCGTTGCGGGCAAAGTCCCATCGCACGTACACCTCGATCTTCTCGCCGCTCAGGTCATTGGCGACCCATACTGTAAGCATCTTTCGCGTTCAATTCTACACTCTTCAAAGGAAAAATCTTCCATATCCTTAATTGGTTTCCCTGCTTGTCTTTGAAACGCATTGTCAGGCTGCAGCTTTGAGACAAGCAATGGGTATATGGTGGCCTGCTCCACCCTGTCTTTCGAATGCATTACTTTGCCCGATGCTTTAATCACTAACTAACTCTAAATACGGCAAGTTGGTTTGAACGACTTCAATCTTCGCTGGGTGGCATGGGCGGATTGGAACTATACGACTACGATCCCGAGTCCCCAACTTGACGACCCCACGGAAAGCAACACCACCACATACTTGCTTTTCAACGGTCTAGACACCATCACCAATATCTGGCTATGTGGTCAAAAGGTTGCGAGCACAGATAATCAGTTTCGACAATATTATTTCGACGCATCCCCCATACTTCGATCCTGCCCGAATGGGAATGCTCCAGAGCTCTTGATCCAATTCCTTAGTGCCCCAGCAACTGCAGCCTACCTTTCCTCGCAACCAGGAGCTGAGACTTGGCCCTGGGGAGTCGAGGGCCTGTTCGAATTCCCCCATCGTCCATTTATCCGTAAGGAACAGTCTGACTTCGGATGGGACTGGGGTCCTGCATTCGCACCAGCGGGAATATGGCAGAAGGCCTGGATTATCCAACTACAGGGGGAGGACCTGAGCGTGAGAAATTCCATCTTTGATTTATATCGCGTGGGCCAGCTGCCCTATCTTCAGCCAGACCAAGGAGCAGACTGGATCCTAAATGCCAGTATTGACGTGCTCGGGACGGTGCCAGAAGGGGCAATGTTGAAATATTCCGTCTTTGACGTAGCGACAAATGAGACAGTGGGCAGTGGAGAATTAACGAATGTCACCAACGCGGGAGATGTCATCACTGGTCAGGCCATCTTAGGTAGCAGCGACTACAAGCTCTGGTGGCCGTCTGGTCTGGGTGAACAGAACCTGTATAATATTGGCGTTGAAATCATCTCTCCCTCAGGAACGAAGCTGGCGACTGTCGTCAAGCGTACCGGCTTTAGGACCATCGTTCTAAACTTGAGCGAGGTCACACAAGCTCAGCTTGCCCAGGGAATTGCGCCGGGAAACAATTGTAAGTGCTTCAGTGGGGTCTTTACAACGTTCATGCAAAGCTGATTCATCCAGGGCACTTTGAAGTCAATGGCCATGAGTTCTACGCCAAGGGAAGCAACTTCATTCCACCAGACGCTTTCTGGCCACGAGTCACACCGCAGAGAATCCAGCAACTTTTCTCATCAGTCATTTCAGCGAACCAGAACATGCTTCGAGTTTGGGCAAGCGGTGCATATTCACCAGATTTCATGTATGACCTTGCCGATGAGATGGGAATCCTACTATGGAGCGAATTTGAGTTCGGAGACGCTCTCTACCCCGTGAAACCTGCTTTCCTCGAGAATTCAAGACGAGAAGCTGTCTATCAAGTTCGAAGAATCAACCACCATCCGTCTCTTGCCCTTTGGGCGGGGGGTAACGAGCTCGAGAACCTTGAACTGCACGAGGTGTTTGAGGCAGCACCGGAGGAATACGATCGCTACCTGCACGAATATGAGACACTTTTCCTAGAAACTCTCCTTCCGGCAGTGTATGGAAACTCGAGGAGTATCACGTATATACCTTCGAGTACAACTAATGGGTACCTCTCTCTCAACTTTAGCAGGCCTATCCCGATTATACAGCGGTACGACAACGTTACACCAGGAAGCATATACGGTGACACCGACCACTACAACTACCATGCAGATATGGCCTTCAACATAACAACGTATCCGCAAGGTCGCTTTGCCAATGAATTTGGTTTCCATAGTATGCCGTCTATGGAGTCCTGGCTCCCTGTCCTTCCAGAAGAGGAGCTTCATTTCAACTCATCCACGATTCAACTCCGCAACCATCACTACCCCTCTGGCGGCCTCAATACATCAAATTTTGCCAACAGCACAAAGGGAATGGGCGAGATGACTATTGCAGCAGAATTGTACTATCCTGTCCCAAATAAGACATCTCCACAGGCGAACTTCTCGAGTTGGATCCATACTACACAAATATTCCAGGCAGATTATTATAAAAGCCAAATCCAGTTCTATCGCGCCGGAAGTGGACGACCTGAAAGGCAGTTGGGTAGTTTATATTGGCAGCTCGAAGATATATGGCAGGCGCCGACTTGGGCCGGCGTTGAGTACGACGGTAGATGGAAGGTCCTTCATTACATCGTCAAGGACATCTTCAAGAATGTTGTAGTCACACCGGTGTGGAATGTGAGCAGTGGAATTCTGACCGTTTATGCTGTCAGTGATCTCTGGTCGGAGGTGCAAGGGAGTGTGAGCATGGCATGGTTGAATTGGGCGGGGGAGGAGGCCAATATCTCTGGAGGACACGCGATGGGCACAACGGACTTTGTTGTGAAGCCGCTCAACAGTACTATCCTGGCAACTATTGATGCCGGTGGGATGTTTAGAAGTGGTATCAACGACGATAAGGATGCCGTACTCGTTGTTAATCTCACGGCCACTGGGACACTTCCCAATACCAACGCCACCAAGACTTTCACTCACGCGAATTACTGGACGCCAACTCCTCTCGCTGGCGCGGCACTTAGAGATCCGGGTTTGAAAGTCAGCTATAACAGCGAAACCGATCAGTTCACCGTCACTGCAGTGAGCGGCAATAGCGCGTGGACTTGGCTTGCTTTGGACCCTGACGATTCCCCAAACACAATCATTGCTTTCGATGATAATGGGTTCTTCTTGCGACGAGGGGACACCAAGACAGTTGGGTACGAGATCATTGGCGGCAGCCAACCATCTGCTGGTTGGCCGGGAAGAGTGACTGTACAAAGTATTTGGAACAATACCTTGGCGGACTAGAGTGCCACCAACGTAGCGACTGAGGAACTCGACGGCTGGACTTGTACTTCAGACAAGCTTTTGGGCGACTGAACTGTGCCCACCACATGATCTGCTCAGTGCGGAAAGGTTTCGTGTCTATCGAGGAGCCCTGATCACTCGCATGAACTATCAGCCCCGATCGCTAGACACCATGTTGAGAGTTTACGTGCTGTGGTGCTGGAAAAGGAAAATTAATCCATTAAGGTTCCTGCCGCGGAAAGACCGCTAATGTTGATGGAGTCTAGAATGATAATGTGCCAGCCACTTCTTTCATGCATTACCACCATGAAAGTGTCCGACAATAAGCATCAATGTTCTTTTCAGGCTTTGCTTTCTGTGTCGACATGAATTGAGCTGATAAAAATCCGGGACACCTTGCAGAATGGGGAGCTTTTTCGAATTGTGAAAGCATGTCGAGCAAATAGACATTCAAGTAAATCGCAGTCAGGCTCCAGATATGTGCCCGTCGGCCCGTCTTAAGTAGCTCGCGAGCATCAATGATCTGGAATGGGGACAGTTCCGCTAACGTGAATACTGAATGAGGTTCAATGCGCGGATTGAAGTTGATGGAACATGTGTGAGTCTGAGTCCGGTGCGTGCACTTCCAATGACCCATTAAGCTATGCACACTTCTATCAAGTTTCTTTTATTTTCTTCCTACCTGAGGTCATCGGCCAGGTTCGTAGCTAGCTTTCAAAGTGCACATGCGTAAATCAACACAGAAATCTATCGGTCATGCGTGGCAAATGTCCGTTAAGGGACAGAGAACAAGGAGATGCGTATTGAGTTGATATCGAATCTTGGGATTACAAGGCCGCTGCACCTGTGGGCATGCGGCTCCGCAGCTATACGCCTTTGCACATAGCAATCTTATTCCAAGTCTTGGCCCGATGACGAGCGAGGGAACAGACTCGTGTGTCTATCAGGGAGACACGCGACCAGGAAAGATCGACGTCCGCCGAGAATTTGCACAAGTCATTCGGAATGCTGATGAGGAACAGGCGGGACAAAGATGAACAACCTTGGATCAAAAATAGGCCCTCGGTCTACTTTGCCCACCTGCAGTGTTCGCATTTTCATGCCTTTCCCCCCCCAAATCCACCCCGTCGAGTTGAGGACATGCCCGTCAGCAATACACAACCTTGCGTGCAGCACGGTCACAGTGCATTAGCGGCACCAGATTAGTCTTAGGCCCCAGCCAGGTACAAACTTCTGTGTGCAGATAGTCAGCCTTTGCCGGTGCCTGGCAGATGAGGGATGCGGGGGGAGGGGGATAGCCCGAGTAAATCCGGCATGGTCTAGGTTAGTAGGCCCACTTACACCCTGATAAGCTTTACCATGCCCGGCTCCGCCACGCGTTGCCGGAGAGAAGCTGCGCTAATAAGGGTAAAAGCAAACAAGAGGGCGAGAGATAGGCATCGTGTCAGAGTCAGGAAGCTGCAATTCCTCATACCATGACCAATCTTTTGATATCGCACTACCCTGGCGCGAATTAATGTCTCATGCACGATCCATCTTTTCGGTCCGGCCCACGAGGCCGAGAACCAGGGGAGCACAACCCAGAGCAAGCGCGAAGCTAGGATGAGCTGATATTGGATGGTTCGGGCTGGCCTACTTGAATATGTCTAGGCCCTGCATCCTTCACGTACGCCCATCCTACACCACTCACCCCCGCCTCTCGCTCCTTTCACCGGCATCTCCAGCTCTTCGAGCTCCAGCCTGCCAGCCAGCAGTCTCCTAGGTCTCTCAGGTATCACGGTCGACCCCTCAGACATCCGCTGCCATGGACATCAGGCGCCTTGCTCCGGCAGCACAGCTGCTACTAGTTCTCGGCCTGGGCCTCTCCCAGCTCACATCGGCCTTTCCTACGGCCTATGCCGAACCCAACTCGACAGACTCTAAGCTCGGGGCTGTCGCCTCTGAGAGCGCTGTATGTAGCAACATAGGCATTCAGCTGCTCGAGCAGGGCGGTAACGCCATTGACGCAATGGTTGGCACCACCTTCTGTGTCGGCGTTATCGGCATGTACCATAGCGACATAGGTGGCGGCGGCTTTGCCCTCGTCAAGAGTCCAAACGGCACCTATGAGTGCGTTGACTTCAGAGAGACAGCGGCCGCGTCTTACTACGAGACCATGTATGTCAACCAGACAGACCTGAGCCTCTATGGAGGCCTTGCAGCGTGAGTACATGCCCATTCTACTATACACTTAGACTGTCGGAGACGAATTTGGCGCTGACCTGGACGTAGTGGCGTTCCCGGTGAGCTGCGAGGGCTCGAGTACCTTCACCACAAGTATGGAACTCTTCCTTGGAAGACGGTGATGCAGCCCGCCATTAATGTGGCCCGTAACGGCTTCCAAGTCACTGCCGACACGGTCCGATACATCGCCTCAGTCACCAATCCCGAATTTTTGACTCAGGATCCGTCTTGGGCCATTGACTTCGCCCCCAATGGTACCGTTGTCCAGCTAGGCCAAACCATGACAAGAAAACGCTATGCTGACACGCTGGAGACCATTTCCAACGAGGGGGCGGCAGCTTTCTATGAGGGCGCCATTGCCAACGCAACCATTACTGCCCTTCAAGCTTCAGGTGGAACCATGACCCTGGAGGACCTCGCTAACTACACCATTGCGATCCGTGATGCGGTCGACGTTAACTACCGAGGCTACAAGGCGACCTCCTGCAGCGCTCCCTCTGGTGGCGAGGTGGCACTGTCGATCCTGAACATTGTTAATGGTTTCGACGGCTTTGGTGACCCAGCCCAGATCAACCTTACCACCCACCGTCTGGACGAGGCCTTTAGGTGGTCGTATGGGCTTCGAGTGAACCTCGGCGACCCTTCCTTTGTGCCTAACCTGACTCAATATCAGGCCAATATGCTTTCCGAGAAGGCTGCTGCCGAGATTCGTTCAAAGATCTCGGACACGACGACATTCAATACTTCTTACTACGACCCCCTAGGCATCGAAGTCCTTTCTGACAATGGCACATCACACATCGCCGCTGCAGACAAGAGCGGCCTTACCGTGTCCATCACCACGACGATTAACACCATCTTTGGCTCCCGTGTAATGGTTCCCGAGACCGGGGTAATAATGAATAACGAAATGAACGATTTCTCGACTCCTGGTTCCACAAATGCCTTCGGCTACGCGCCCAGTGAGGCCAACTTCATCAGGCCCGGAAAGCGACCGCTGTCCTCCATTTCACCGACTATCGTCGAGTACCCGGGTGGCGGGCTATTCTTGATCAGCGGGAGTGCGGGTGGTTCGCGTATCATCACTGCAACGGCCCAGATCATCCATAACGCCCTAGACCGGAACATGACTGCTGCCGAGGCCCTTGCTGCACCTAGGCTGCACGACCAGCTAAGCCCTAACGTCCTGTCGTTTGAGTATGCGTTCGACAACTCCACAACTGCCTACCTGGCCGGCCTGGGGCATACGATCCAGTGGGTTGCACCCGGGTCCAGCACGGCGCAGGCCATCAGGAGGCTGCCCAATGGAACGTTTGACGCGGCAGGGGAGCCCAGGCAGCTTGCTAGTGGCGGATTTGCTATCTGAACAGTTACAAGGCCAAGATTTGTGTATATAATTGAACCATATATAAAATTCTAACCAACAAGCGTGCCATGTGAAAACTGTGTCAACGCTGGTCGTGGGATGCGCCTTGTATGAAGGAAAGAGCTTGAAGCAATTTTCCCGACAAAATCTTGGCACGGGTTTCTTCTGCCCGAGCTAGATCGGCTCCTCTTTTTCTGCTATTTACAAGCCCCGGAACACATTTGTTATCGTCCTTTCGCTGTAACCATTATAAACAGAATTAGCTGCGATGTATTCCTTGGCGAGGGTTCTAACCCTGGCAAATCGACGTCGTTGTTTTCCTTATCATAACGTTGTGACTGCTCTCTCTGCCGTTCCTTACGTCCCCGCTTGCAAGTCTCTTCAGGGTCAAGTCTCAAATCGTCCCCTACCCAGGCATCGAGGATACTGAATATCTCTTACACCATGGGTATGAGGCGCGCTCTTCAGACCTTGCTGCTGTGTCTCGGCATTACTGCAGTAGCGGCCGCAGACCGCAAGAACCTCATCATCGACACGGATCTCTTCAGCGACTGCGAGTGAGTCACCATATCTCTGTCTCTCTGTCTTGTTTCTCAAAGTACTGGTATCACAAGCTCGCCCTGATCTTTAACTGAATCCTATAGTGACACGTCAGCTCTCCTTCTTGCTGCTACAAGTCAAAAAGTGAATCTGGTCGCTGTGAACATCAACTACCCCTCTTCTTTTTCTGCCCTCGCGGCATCCGCCATCCTCTCTCACTACGGCCACGATGAAGTACCCATCGGGATCTCAAGACCACTAAATAATAACACATTTATCGACACGCGGTCATACGAATTAGGCGAGTACGCGAGTAAGGTCGCATACCAGTGGCGTTGCGAGGATTGCGCTGTGCGGTGGAACCATGTGGAGGATGATTCCTGGGAACCCGTGGCACTTTATCGAAAGACACTTAGTGAGGCGGCGGATGGCAGTGTCACTATCGCCTCGATAGGGTTCTTTGACAACCTGTCCGGCTTGCTCGACTCTCCCGCTGATTCGTACTCGGACCTCACTGGCCGGGAGCTGATCGAGAGAAAAGTAGCCGAATTGGTAGTTATGGGCGGAGGCTATCCCACTGGACACGAGTTCAACTTCTGGGGATATAATTCCTCGGCGACCGCTCATGTCATCAACAACTGGCAAGGCCCTCTGGTTTTCTCTGGTGCCGAGCTCGGCGGTAATGTGTCTAGCGGCGGCGACTTTATGGCTCGTGCCCCCCTGAGCGATCCGGTCCGCGCGGCATATGTTTACTATACGTACAACACCTCTCGCTTCTCATGGGATCCTCTTACCATGCTTTATGCTATAGAGGGCCTTGGGGAGCTGTTCGAGTTCGGCAATGAGGCTGGATATAACTTGGTGCAAGCCAACGGTTCGAACACATGGATCACGGACGAAAACATCCGCAATCAACATTGGCTAAAATTGAAGGTCGATAATACTACGGCAGCAGGGACCTTGGATAAGATGTGGCTTGAGGCCTCCTGGTCCTTTGCTCCCAAAGCGGATGGAACGCCAACATTGGAAGGAGCCTCAACCTCAGCGAGATTTGCAACTCGGCCCAGATTGTATACACTACATCATCGCGAGGAGCTGTGAGTCCATCAATAGTCCCTCGGTCTCCGGGATTTTCCTCGTGGTAACAGCAGCAACATACTGATACAATGTATAGCATTGAATGACAGACCTTGGAATTATTAAGAACTGTTTGACAGATCGAATCATGTCCTGACGCACACATCAACCCCGCAGATCGGTGGAGGTGCGTCTACCGCGGAGTAATCCCACCCCAGTCCAAAATGAACTCAAGGCGCACTAAGAGTTGTGTCAATAATCATCATTCATCACATGGTACGCCGCTCACCGTCCAGACTCTGGAACGCAGTGAGAAACTGCTCATTGGCGAGTTCAAAGCCTGCAGTGACTCGTCACAACTCGGACCATGTATATTTTAAAAAGTAGGGCACTAGCTCCCAGAAATGGTTCAAAACCTCTAGCAAATTTTAAATTCCCATCAAAACCCAGCCCGCTCGCGCAGCTCATAATATCCGATTCCAACTCTACTAGCAGTATTCGCAATGGACGTGGTCGCTTGCAAGCGCTGACCCGGCCCTGGCTTCGTCCTGCCGCGTCCGTCCAAACAGCCAGGATGGGTCCGTAGTGGCTCTTCCTGAGTTGTGAAGCCCTATGAGTGTTTTATTATGCATCATGACACTAACGAGTCCAGCAATTCCTGTCCAGCGAGCCTCATCTCGACGATCCTGCGCCTCATAGTCATCCCACTGGCCTGAGAATAGCCGTCGTTCCCTTGCCCGGTCTTCTGCCTGTGTCGGAAGCTGGACCGGATCTAAAGGCCCTAGTCCGATGTCTGTTATAGTCAAGTCTGGACCGCAGCGGATTCGAATAATGCTGTTCAAGTAGTCTTCGAATGTCACACCGTTTCGCAAGCGCCAGGACGCATCGCTATGGTGTCCAGTGCAGTCAATTTGACTGCAGAGTTGCCACTTGCCACCATTGAGCTGATGAAACGTGTGGAATACTCTCATGGGAAGACTCCATATCGTAATGGAGTTGAGGGGGCAAGTTGACTTGGCCATTTTCTCAGCGGAATTGTTGGCACGGCCGGTACAGTGGCTACATTTCTTGCTGATGTCAGGAAATGGACGATAGATGGCAGAGAGGTCCAGCCCGCCAAGGTATGGGTGGTCTCGGATCTCGTCCAGGTATTCGAAAACCTCTGTCTGCAGCTCGGCTGGGAGGGATCGCTTGGCCATTTCCACCTGCGCTACGCCCCGACTGTCCCTTGCTATATTGCATTCTGCAAGCTTCCGAGCGTCCAAGATGAACTGTCGCGATCGGCGGAGGGCAGCACGATCTCGGCCATGCGTCTCTCCAGTGTCTTCATCTTCAAGGGTATAGTAGTAAGACTCTCGAATCGGACCATCTGAGCCAATTTCTTGCCACATTAGCATACGCTCGCGGTCCGTAGACTCATCATAGCCAGCCCGGGAAGAATCTGGATGCCGCGGATAATGTGCCGTATCACCCTCTGTCCGTGTCCAACGCCAACGAGGCCGCACGCCGTTCTCAGGGGTCAAATTGCTCGGGTCTGTTATACAGGCGGCTTTGATATGGTCCCGTTTCCGTTGTTCGTGGAACTCCATGACTGTCTTGCCAGGGCTGACAAAATCCTGACAAGTACCGCCATGGCGGCATCCGCAGACGTGGACCGGGTAATCGGTGAAGACCCATGTGAACATTTCTCGTTTATCGCTTTGGCTCCATATGTGTGCCAAACAGGATAGTAGTCTATCGTCTAAAGAAATAAGAAAGTTGCAGCGTAAGGCGATTGGTTTAGAGCTTGAGGCTGATATGGGCAACGTGCGAGGTAGTTGGCCACTCTGCCGGAAGGCTTGAGTGAGGTATAAGGTCATGCGTGCTGCTATCATATACCCATGGCTTTCTATCCCAGTAAGGGCGTTGATCGGGCCGAGGAAGCTCTGCCATGCTGCAAGAATCTTTTTGTCCGGTGTCGCCGCAGACCCTTCATAGCCGCCGAATTTGCAGATATGGAGATAAAGTCTCTCTAGTAATACTTCTAATCCGGCCCTGGCTTTGCCACTTTGGTTTGTACCGCTTTCCAGGGACACGTCCGGATTTCGTTGCTTTTGGATAAAGTCCTGTATGTCGGCGGTTAAAGCTTGGTTGTCTTTTGGGACAGAGGTGAAGGACATCTTCTGTTTCGAAGACTCGTCCATGATGTTTGTGCAATGCTGACTACACGTTGATATATACGAATAGCACGTCGATGATGTTGAGAAAGTCGGATTTAACGCAGAATGAAGACGCGAAACAACCAGTTCAGTGCCCGCATGAAGAACACGAGTTTCAATATATGCAAAGCTCCTTCCACGCTAGTGGCAGCTGCCTAAACTAAACCAGGGTTGAGGGCACTAGCAACGGATGTGGTCTTCTAGGGAAGATAAAGGGGGAAAGGGGCCTCTTTTTCTACCATCGACCAGGAAATTGGAAACTTGATTTAATTACTTCGCTTAAGGTCGGATAAGTTGTTCAGATTTCTGTTGTTACCCTCAATTGACAATTGCCCTTCAATCATGTAGAAGCAAACTTCAGTCATCAAGGGGTAGGATATTCCGCTTTCCCTCGCTCAGTTGCTCTGCAACGGTCAGTGTGAATACGATTAAATCTTGCAGAAAAGAGAAATGGAAGTTTGAGAGCTGCGCACCTTCTAAGTAGCTCTTTACCTGTGTGTAGTCCTTGCAGACTATATATAGCATTAGTATTTGGCCCCATTCGAAAGTGTCCATGACGGAAAGGATTTCTCACCATGACGACCATTGAACGCATTGTCAAGATTGACGGGACCAGGTTGCCCATCTTCCCCACGAGGTTCAACCGCGAGATCTCCAGCACACATAGCAGCTTGTCGCATGTAGTCGATACAATGGAGGAAGTGAGCTTCATAGTCGTCTGGCTCCGGGAGATCCGGTGAATTCGTTAAAACTGCCGAAAATATTTTGCCCATGATGTACTGGTATTTGCAGTTCAGAACCGGGGGTTTTCAGACGGAGAAGAGGGTACTACGTACTACACAATGGAGCTGATGTGTGACGGATGTTGAGTTGTAGACGAGACCGCCCGGCCCAAAGCCTGCTCCAGCTGTTTACGTTCTCGTCTTAGTTTCTTTATAGGTGCAGTGCAAAATTGTTTGGTGCCGAACAAACCTGGGTATAAAGTCTCCCACTTGGTTTGAACCTTTGGATCGAGAAACTCAGTTGCGTTCAAAGGGACGAATTCGTAGTCCGCCTTCCATTGTACGACCTCGGTCGGAACTGTAGGTGCCTTTTGTCAGTGCGATGCCGCTGATTTCAAATCAGTGCACGGAGACGAACAGTATTTTGTTTCCTCAACATGGTCTCCTCCGACTTGCGGCGAACAAGTTGTTGTAGTGTTTCTGATTTGGTTCCATATGACCAACTGGAACCCCAGTATAATGCCGAGTAAGCCGGTAGTGATGAACCACCGGTATTTTGCAAGTGCTCTCACGCGTTCCAGCCCTTTTGATTCTCCCAGTCCGCCCATCTCTGCCGTTCGCCAACGTTTCTCCTCTTCGTTAATCGGTGCATCGACTTCTTGGTGTGCTAATAACCCTTCCCTATCCTGCATTCTGGCAGCATCTTTATAGAACTGCCGATTGTCCATTTCGCAGAAAGGTAGCGATGGCTTTGCAAGACGCGATTTTAAGAACAATAAATTAAAGCTTGACGATTCCCAACGTACTTTATGCACTGAGGGTAAGGAAAGAATGTTCAGCTTTGCACCTTCATATTGTTGTTGATCAGAAGAGCTGAGGGACTACACGCAGTTTCACAATGGGGTTCTGAAACAGCAGGGCGGGACAAATCGTCCCAACTTACACTGGCGTTTCGAAATCGGAGGGAACACCGCCTCTGCTGTTGATCTCCATAAACTGTAGATCAAGAAACCAAACAGAAGAACTAAAGTCAAAATTATCTGCCCCGGCCTTGGAGACTATTGTGTTTTCAACATCAACCTGGATTCTTTATCAAGAACGCGAGAACGCATATCCAGAGCATTCATTCCGAGCCCGTTCAATGGAGATCGAAATGACGACATAGGCTAAGATCAATTGGTTTTGTTCTCAGAACTCTATTCGGCCCTATTTGAATGTTGAGCTTTTCCTATCGTCGGACTCTTTAACCAACAATTGTTCCTCAAACTATTGATCGCATGTATGCCTAGCTCGATGCTCGATTACCTGAAAGAGTCGAAATCAGATATGGACATGCAGACAAGGACGAATCAAACCTCAACGCATCTGCTCAGAGACCCTGCCACGTAAGCTCCCGCGTGGTTCGTACCTGCCGAGGTTAGTAGAGCGGCTTCAGTTGTTCTGCATCTTTGCACCTTTGGTAGACCAGGAAGATAGCTGCTCAAGTTCTTTTTCTACTCTAACATGCTTGCAAGGTCAGAAGAACGCTTGGTGTCCGATTTTGGGCGAGCTTCGTGGTTCATTACGTAGAGACACACATGCGAATTGAAAAGTGCTCAGCCATGGTCTCAAATTTCTTTGTACAGGGTCAGACCTATCTATTTTGAACTATTTGAAAACGGCCTGGCTGAACAACGTTGCACCGAAACCATGGCAGCTGTTTGTTGACAAACAGAGGTCACATGCTCAGGGCTTTGAGAACACAAGTGCTTGGGAATTTTCATGTTTATATGAGATTACTTGAACTAGCTGTAATCATATCGACCGGCCTTTGAGTGTTACACGTCGAACAAGGCCATCAAAGGCACTTCGACAATACATCTGCACTCCGCACAATCTAGCTAGTGATCCACATTGAGACCGAGCTCATCTGGTAGACATCCTCAGACCCCTCTTCAATGCAGCACCCGATGGTGTGTCAGCACTTTAGAAGCCCAGTGCCTTGTTAAAGGCGTCGGCGGTGGTGGCGTCCTTGGTGCCCAGGCTCTGGATAGTGGCCTTGGCGCTCTGGCAGGCATCCTTTGCAGCCTGGTTGGCCTCGCAAACGTTGGTCAGCTGGTCGCAGATGCGGTTGGTGATGATGTTAGGGTTCAGGGCATCCTGCTGTCCCTTGGCGACGAGGGGGTCCGTGGGCAGGAACGTGCCCTCAGTGGCCTTACGCCCGGCACGACCAAATTGGAAGTCCATGGTAGGCGTGCATTTTCCGAAGTCGGCACCAGCGAGCGAGGTTGTGGCCCCGGTAGCAGCTGCGGCTCCGGCAGCCGCTGTGCCGTTGTTGTTGTTGTTGTTGTTATTGCTGTTGGATGCGGCAGCTCCACTGGCGTTGGACCCGGTGTTGGACCCGGCGTTGTTGTTGGAGCCCTTGCCCTTGCTGGAGCTGCAGGACTTCTTGCCGCCAGAACCAGCGTTCGCATTTCCGTTGGAAGCGTCGGCGGTGGCATTGCCGGCGTTGCTAGAAGCACCGTTGTTGTTGTTACTGCCCGCGGCGTTGTTGCCGGCAGCACCTGCCGCAGCGCCCGTGGCCGCACCACCTGCGGCAGCCTTTGTGCCGTCAACGGCGACGGCGGTCAGGTTGGAGAAGCCCTGAGCGGCCATGATCTCGGCCACGGACAGGCCGCTGGCATCAAAGGGGGTGGTCAAGGATGTCTTTGAGTTGGCATTCTCGACATCTGAGCCAGTGACGGCGGGGTCGATCAGAGGCACGACACCGCGCAGCTCTGCAGTCGCAGGAAGGGTGGCATCAGAGCAGATGCTGGGGATGGAGACCACGAAAGGGTTGAAGTTCTGCTCCGCGGCAACCAGGCCCTTGGCGGCGTCGATGACGGACGGGTCCGTGCCAAGCTGGGTGACAATCTTGTCGGCCAGAGTGAGCTGTGATGGTTGGGTCAGTATTGAACGGTGCACGGGGACTCGATATTAAGCCACGGCTTACCTTGTCACACGGGTTGGCAGCTGCGAGGAGAGACCCGGGAATTCCTCCCGCAAGAGTAGCAGCCTCTCCGGGGTTGCCAAAGTTTGAGAGCGATGAGACGGCGGACACAGGAACCTGCTCCTGGCCGAAACGGGCCTCAGTGTAGGCCACAAGGGCAGCGACGATCATCGACTTGGACATCATGGTTGCTGAGTGCTGTATTATTGGAGGTAATAGACCGAGGACGTGATGTGTGATGTTTGTAAGAATGCTTAAAAATGGGTAATTCTTGACCGTGCAAGAGGTTGTGTGTATAGAAAAGAATGAATGTAATAGTAGTAGTGAAAGAATGTGGTAGGGAACCGAATGTTCACAGAACTGGTAAAGAATGGAAGATCACGAACTTGGGTCTGGGAGCGTAGGCTTGGAGATGATGATGGTGAGGGCATGAGAAAAGTGTCATCCCATGTGCGCTGGTAGCGAGGTCTTTATAGATCGCAACCGACCCAAGCTGGATGTGAGTGATGTACAAAACATGATCTGAAGGCAAGGTACATAGGTAGAGTAGAGGGCCATGACGACTTGAATCACCAAGCGATATGTTCCCCTTCAATGCCGATCATACGTGCCCTGGGCATTGATGGGTGGCAGGGATGGTGAGACGAGGTCCCCTGAGACTGCCCTGCCGTCCCCGAACGTGTGCGGTGCGGCAGGGCAGGGGAGCATGGGGAGGCAGAAGGCAGGGTGGTGGGCGAGGCGCGCGACAGAGGACGAGAAAGGGAAGAGGTCGGCCGCTTGGCGCATGTGGACAGGCATGGCCGTGGTCGGGACGTTGAGGCTCTGGCAGCTAGGGACGCCACCAGTCGACATGATGGGACGGAGCATCATGCGATGAGCACGGGGGAGCCCTGTGTTCAGATAGGGTTGCTCTGACAGCACCGAGTAAGTTGGGAGAGAGGAAGGAGATGTGACGAACACACAGCCCGGCGGGAGATCTGCAGAGTGATAGTGATCCTCGGCCAGGTCGAGTAAGGTTGCTGGAAGCTTAACTGTGCTCGACAGTACCACAGTAGGGTTTCGCCCCGCAGGTAACCAGACAAAGTCTCGGGCAGACGGGGACAGCCCCATCCCACGTGTGTGTTATGAGTGGGGACCAAAACAGGCCATAGCTCCCCATCGCCGACTTTGTGCCGTTGAGCAGACGCCTGTGATGACCCAGGTCGCGACAGGCAGGCTGGCCGGATCGAAGTCGGCCGTCAACCATGGATGGTGGCCGTGTGGACCCTGCCCTGACTGGTCTGACATACACTGAGAGTGTTGCCGAGCAAGGCAAGCAAGGCAAGGCGGCGGCTGCTGGTGCACAGTTGCCTCTTTTGCCCTCGTGGACCGACCCGAGCGAGACTCGCTTGTCCTGGGGTCAGGCTCGCGCCCTATAGTCGCAGGACTGCAGGCGCTTTCACTGGTGTGGGGCTTGGCAGTGCAGCATGTGCCGTGCTGGTACAGCTATTTACAGTCGGCTGCCATGCCGTGGCGTGCCATAGGGACTGCCGATGCGAGGTGGTGTGGTTGCGGCGCGAAGGAAAGGGAAGTCCCTGGGCGACATGAGACGAGACGACGTGAGGCGCAGGGGAGAGGAGGGAGAGGCTCTCCAGGTGCAGGCGAGCGAGTTTCTGGCTGGGAAAGGCTTAGCCGCGGGGCTGTGAAGGGGTGCGATAGGGGCACGGGGCAAGATGCAACAGGAAGTGCCCGTGGCTAGGACCAAAAGGAGAAAATGTGGGTGCCGTGTTGTGAGAATAAACTCATCAAGGTTGTGCGATCCACGAAATAAGCACCTGGACAGCACAAGAGCCTCAACGCTTGGCAGGGGGGGTCCCCTGCTGCAGGGAGCCAGCTGAGACACTTCGGGTGGAGGCACGCGCAGTGACTGGCAGCACTGGCTGTACACTAGACTGGGCTGGGCTGTTTTCTCTCTCTCTTTTGTTACACGGGGCTGCCGTACTTGAGCTTGAGACATGCTCCTGTTCTCATGAATTTTCCGCAAGAGGCCGTCGCCTCTCGAGATGGCCTCCTCTGACGCCTAGCCCAAGCTCATCACCCAGCTCCTTCGCCAGATCGGACCGCCTAGCCGCCAACAATTCTTCTGGGCCACACTTGGTCACATCCCACCCAACCCAATCTCATCCCATCCAATCCCATCTCATTCAGTCCATTCCCTCGCGTTCCACCTCCTCCGCCTGTGTTGTTCAGATCAAGCTGATCTAGCTGCCGCTCTGCACATACCGGTACATGTCAACCCAACCAGACATTAGATTTCTCAGCCCTTCTCTCGCCCTCGCCCAAATAAATGCATGCATGGCATGCCCTTGCTGTGAATGGCCCCAAATCCATATAGTAGAAAGAGATCAGTTGAACATGCATCAATCACATTCACAGCTAGCTCTACTATGCAATTCAGTCTTGGTCTCCTGTCACAGTCCTCAAGCGAGCACATGTGTCATTTGCGAAACATCGTAACCGTGACAAAGTTTGAAGAAACCTAAACGCAAACATTAAACACTTGCATTGTTTTGCCGTCGATCGGTAGGCCCCTGGAAGTCTATTGTCCTACAAGGAAACACGACGCCATCATCATACCCAACCACACGAGAACCTTCTTGCGACTGAGCGTAGCCACGCCGCTGCCAGATGGGGCAGTAGTCGTGGCCGATCCCGTTGCGGCTGCAGTCGTACTCGCGCCCGCCGCGGTGCTTGGGTTTGACCAGGAGCTTATGCTCGTGGAGTTGCTTCCGCCCAGAGCAGCCCCTGTCGTCGCAGAGAGAACGGTACTGGCCGTCCCCGATGCGGCTCGAGAGCTCGCAGCTACCGTGCCACTCGCACTCGTCGCGGCACTGTCGTTATCAGTCTTGTCCACCATCGACCGCACCCACTTTGCGGCATCATCTGCTGACTTCTGGAAGTAGTCCAGATGGGTCGACACATCGTCTCCCTGTGCGCACACTGGATCGGTCGACACGCAGTACGATCGGAGGACCGAAGCAAAGGCGCCCACCTTCTCGAGCACTGCGCCACTCCGCGGATAGTAGCTGTTCTTGTCGGCACCTGACCCGACGTTGTACGACTGCCCTGCTGTGTGGCGAGTATCACCAAAGACCAGCACGGCAGCAACTGTTGCCCAAGATCAGCCCGACTGCTCATTTTGAGTTCTGCTGGAGTGAGCCCGGCCTCCCCCAGCAAGGAGACGTGCCGATCTGAATGTGCACTTACGATGACTTCCAGGGCTTGCCTTGGCCGAGTCAAACCCATCGACCTCGGGCTCTACCGTGTCGTATATTGTGAAGGCCCCTCCATTGCCACCCAACATGTCGCCTACAACATGCGCTCCAAGGCTGTACCCAGAGAGCACAAGCTTCGCGTCGGGACAGTCCTTCACGTAGGCTGTGATCTGCGATTTGCCCGCCGTGACCCCTTCGTACACCGCATTTCCATAGACGCTCCCCTCCATGTCGTCGAATAAGATGTCCTCATATCCACACTCGTCGCTGGTGAGCCCAGAACAGATGGCATTAACTAAGGCTTTCTGTCTCCCCGGATATTCTTCGTTATATCCTCGCGCGAGGAATATGTGAGTGCCTTGGCAGGTGCGCTGCTCCTGGGCCTCGACCGAAGACAACTGCTGCGAGACAATTTCTGCTTGGGTGCTGAGAACGAGTGGGAGGACTGTCAAGACGAGGCCTAAAGCTCTCGAGCTTGAGAGCATGCTGCTCACCTACTACCCAGTTAATTAGCTCAGATCTGTCTTGTCTAGATCAGTGCAATATACCAGAAGTAACCTCAGCTAAGAGCTTCACAATGGTCCCAAACGCAAGCTCAGCATGAGAGAAGCGCAACAGCACAAAAGTCCAATCACACTGGTGTGTCTCCTGCCTTGTCCTTGTACCGTACTGTCCGGAAAGCATCAACGGAGCCTTTTCAAGAGTTAGATGAGAGTGAGCCATGAATCAAATCAGATTCCCAATCGTTATTCACGCATGTGGGTCTTGTCCAGCTTTTGTTTACAAACTGTCTGTTATCTTGCCAACCCGCCCGTTATGAGGTCAGCTGTGGGTCCTGTAAGCGTTTGTGCCTGGTTCCTGGCCTGGCGACGATGAATTTCCTGTTTCAGGGTTAAATATGGGACCGCGACGCGCGCAATAGTCGCCCTGAGTGGCTGGTCGGGAACATACAGCACGATGCCTATCTCGCGGAGCAGATTCGCGCGATGATTCCTGTGAGTGTGTGGCGGCCATGGCGAGGACTTCACCATTGATCGATTTTCACAAGGGACTAATGCAGGGTGATGAGATCAACAATTGTTTGCCATTTGGAGAAACGTATAATCTTTGGACCAAGCAAAACTAGAGGCATGAGCTTGATCAGTCCACTGGCCTACCGGATTCATGAGCGGCTGGCACTGGATGGACATGACGCAAGCAAGCCAGATCAACCTTGCGTACCGCATACGAACTGACAAGATCGGAAATCAGCTGCATTCCTCATCTCCTTCTGTCTCACAGGCGCTATGATACATGTGACTAGACACTCAAGTTAGTTGGGCTGCAGGATCAGCTTATATGTGGCCAGCGATGTGTTCCAATCTTTCACCTATTTCTTCCCCAGGGACCCTGAACGGATTTTAGAGCGCACAGCAGACTCTAGCAGCCGCAGGGCTCCTATAGCAAGCCGTTTCAATGAGAGCATGATTAATGCAGCAAAATAAAATTTGGAAAATAGAGCAGTACGGATCATATTCCCCGTACAAGCACAAGCTATGCGACGATTACAGAGACACACTCACGCATCTGATATCGGGCACATGAGCCCTTTCAGACAGGAGTTTTCTAACAGCAACGTGCTCGTGGACCCTCTGATAGATTATGGTAGTTTGCCAGTATACTCAGTGACACGATAATTTCATTCAAAAAGCAATCTGCGATATGATCTGCGAAACCGTCTCATCTTGCGGCTCCCCTGCTTCTGGCAAATCCTCAGATTCGTCATCCATGGTGATTTCCACGATGACATCTTCACCATCCACAGAATACAAGAATTCGATGGTGTAACTCTCATCCAGCGGGTTATGTTTCATGTCTCCGTTGATAAAGTCCTCGGCCAGGCTTCTCGTCTCGTCCCAAGACCTCCCAAAAACAGCATCGTATCGCCCGCCTCGCATCATCGTCACGTCTTCGCACTCGGCCCCCTTCGGTTCCACAAGCTGCTTCTCGTACTCAACTTCCACCTTCCGCAGGATCTCAAGAGCTTGTGACCACGTCCCGCTGAGAAGCCGGATGCGTTGCAGTGTGAGGAACTCGAGTCGAGTCCCCGAGTCCTTGAGCTGCGCAGCTAGGCGTTCCAGGTCGGAGAGGTGCAGAGCAAAATCAGACAGATGGATGTCACGGAGGCTGAGCCATTCGGGGTGTCCCCAGCGGTCTAGCGAGTCCGCGTCAGAAAGAAGAAAGGGCCCGAGGCCAGTTTCTCGATTCTCCACGTCGAGCCCGCCGTCAGACCATCCGCTGTCGAGACGCAGCCAACATCTTTCCAGGCTGCCACTGTTTGTCATCGCCGAGATGAAGCTGTCGAAAGCATCGATCTCCTCTTCTGATGGGCTTTGCCGTATTCGTGGTTTCATCTCCGCCTGATGCAAGAAAATGAAACTTTTCAGATTCATCTTGTTGATTGCTGTTCCCAGGCTGATAAAGTCACTCATGCCAACTTTTTCAAACAGAGGGTAATAGTGCTCTGCGCATGTGATTGTCTGCAACGATATCCTGTCAAGCCGGGCTCCGACTTGGTGGATCGCGATTGGAAGCTTGAAAAGAAGCTCAACAGGGGGGTCGCCGAGTTGTCGGTCCGTGGCCTCATCCCAAGACATAGGCTGAACCAGTAAGTCGATGTCCACCAGACCAGCATACTCATCGGTTTTCTGGTGGGACAAGTTCTCTTGTTCCATTTCGCAATCCTGTTGAAAGTCATGAATCTCGAGCCCCTTGGCCTTCGGCATCCTAGCCATGGCTGCTGCAAACCTCCTAATAAAGACATCGTTGTGTCGAAGTTGCTCTTGATCCTGATAGCGTAGCCGGTAGATATGGTGAGCGATATGCAGTAGCTGGAGATTCCGTTCCTCCTCGCTCTTGTCTTTCTCGCCAGAGTTCCTACGCTGCAGTGCCATACAATCCTGATTGGACTTGTCAAAGTCAATACTCCAGGAACCGATGGCGTCTTCCATCTCATCCAGGCTCACGCGACTCCATGTCTTGAGGACGGCCTTGACCTTCGCCAGCACCACTGCAGACTCATGTCGTCTCGTGTTGAAGCTCTCATCATCAGCATCGTGAGCGGCTTCCAAATTCTCCTTGTACCGCAATGCTTCCCCAAATACCTTGTTCACCGCGTACCAGGCGAACCGTCGAACATCATTAGCGAAGATTGGTGTGTAGAATTGCGGGACAAGCCTAACAATATGGACCCCATTTCGGATCACTGGATGGCTGGAGATGGCCTCGAGCTTTTTCAAGGACTCCCAGTTGATCCCATCCAAGCGTATATAGTGGACCAGCAGATGCGAGCTGCAGGCGGCGAATCGGCGGCACACCAGCCTGACATTGGCAATATCCTCAGAAGAGCTGGCAAAAGACGTATGCTGTGCCTGATTGGCAGGGTTGTAAGTCTTGACCGCACTGAAGATTTCAACGAGGAGCTCGTCTGGGAGCGAGAGAATGTTCTGTGATAAATGATGTTCCTTGTCCATACCGACTGTTGACGGTCACCAGATGAATACCTCTAATGTTGTGAGTTGGTGATGCGTAGTGTCAATAATACGTCCTCTGATCTGGTGGCGCTCCAAGTTCATCACCTGCATTATGTATCTAAGCGCTGCGCTCATTTGTGTTGGTCGAATTGCTGGTCCGGTCGCCACGTCTTGGCCCTCTATTTTTATCAGCGGCCGCCCGTTGGTCACGGTTGGTCGCGCCCGCCTTTGCGGCTCCGACCTCTGTCTTTCTGACGCCGGCCTTCAATTTAATAAGTTCTGTTGGATTAATTGCGTGCCTGATTGTTTCGACCTCTTCCTGAACCAGCAACGTGCTCCACACTCAAACACGGCCAGACACCGCCGAGTCAGGGAGAAAGGCTCTATCGACGAGGTCGCAAGTGCTGGCCCTCCCACGAGCAGCGTCTTCCACATTCTACTTATTTTGGCTGCAACATCCAAGAATTTATCTTCGGATATCAAACGTCTCTCTTGATTTCCGTGAGTCACAGCAAGTCCGACGCTGTGGGTGACTGGTACTGAAAATGAAGTAGGGGCGTGCGACGGCGGACGTGATGACCATATACATTTACCAATACCAAGATGAGGCAATGAGAATATGGGGGCAAACAGAAGCTTCGTATGATAGTTTTCAGGTCTATGTAGCCAGGAAAGGTGATGGACATGTTGACTGAATCTCATAATTATCAAGCGGTCCTATTGCATCGAATGCTTCCATCGTACCTGAATATAGGTCACTCATGATGCAGCATAATGTGTCGCTCGTGGAAATTTCCCACAATGCAAAAGCTGAACTTCTCTGAAATATTGGCTTCGGCCGACGTGACTTCGATGTGTTCTATAGACCTGATGAGACGGTGAGCAAAGAAAACAAGTGCATGACGCGCAACAAAGTGCACGCGCACTACTATCCCCAAAGGAGTAAGTCTCTTAGGGTAAAGTCTCTTACAGCTTTGGCATTTATCTCACATAGGTATGCACTCTATTACCGATCGAATTCAGTGGTTGAGCAACCATGGAATGTTGAAACCATAGAACTATAGGGCGCTTCCGGAAAGGGAACACGGGGCCGTTGGCAACAAGCAAGTTTGAACATCCTTTGTACTGTGCTTGATTGAAAACCATATCGCCACAAATCGCCTTTGACTCAAGTGCATATGTACGGGTGTGCAAGATGAAGCATCCGCCTCTTTGTCCAAAGGACTGGGCAATACCTACCTTTCCAGCCACTCAAGGCCAAACCTTCTCAAGAGCACTCGTATATCCCATTCTGCTGAGCAGCTCCTGCTCAAGATATTCACTTATATCACCTGAATCAAGACTATCTGATTGATTGAAGATGAAAACTCGCAGCCTGATATGCGCTATATCAACGATTGGAATAACCACGGTCAATGCAGAATGTAAACCATTATCAGGTGAGACAGAATGACATGCTGGAACCAAGCCCAAAAAGTTCCCCGTAGACCAACTTGCTAATGCTAGACAGAGACCTGTGCCCCCATCCCAGGAATTGTCTCACCCTTTCGCACAGACTTCACCAAGATTTCTACCGCAGACGTTGCGAACAACGGCTGGACTATCGCAAACTATGCAACCTTCCGCACAGACAGTGCGAATGGTGGAGTCTTCCCCATTGAAAAACGCTTTGATGCACCGTATATCTGGACAACGGCTTACTTCCTATACGGGAAAGTCGATGTACAACTCCAAGCTGCCCCTGGGGCAGGTGTTATCACTTCAGCAGTCCTAATGTCGGATACTGCAGACGAGGTCGATTGGGAGTGGAGCGGTAATGACTATGCCCAGAAGCAGCCCACGGTGCAAACAAATTACTTCGGCAAGGGTATAACAGGCAGCTATGATCGCTCGACATTCGTCTCTCCAGGGTTCAACATGACAACTGGGCTCCACACATATGGTATAGACTGGTCGGCCGACAGTTTGACGTGGTCTATCGACGGAAAAGCTGTTCGGACGCTATATAAAAAGAATTGCGACAACGATCAGCATCAATACCCGCAAACGCCATCGCGCTTCCACCTCGGCGTGTGGGTCGCAGGTGATCCGTCTAAGCCCCCAGGTGTCATACAATGGGCCGGAGGTCTAGCAGATTTCACTCGGTTACCGTATACTGCTTACGTCAAGAGTGTGAACCTGGTGCCACAGTCAAAGTGTGCATACTTCAACTACACCGACAAGACAGGCTCCAGTAACAGCGTCCAGTGTCTGAATGAATTACCTAAGTCTTTATCTACCATTCTCAGCTCCACCGCGCTCAACACCCTCAGCGCTGCTCCTCCGGCCCCTTCTACCACCACAAAGGACACCAGCACTTTGAGCGCAAGCTCATCCCAGTTCCTCTCCTCGAGCAGAGTCGCGGGTGGTGCGAACACAACGAACACAGCCAACGGCGGGAGTGCCCAGGCAAGTAGAAGCACAGGATCTGTTCAGCTCACGACAAGCACAGTGTACAAGACTACCATCTATGAAACAGTCACATCGTGCAACTCGACTGTCACAAATTGCCCCGCTAATAAGCCTCTCACCTCGACTGTGCTTGTGACGGATGTTGTAGTCGATTATACCACAGTCTGTCCTGTAACTGAAGACAAGAGTCAGTCTTCAGCACCAAAAAGCTCATCTACGGAGCCGGGGTCGAAGGCACCATCTCCATCAGCAGGGCACACGACTTCATTGTCGACAACGGGTGGGCAGACTCCTGGCTCTAAGCCTTCTTCATCCATGGGTGAAGCCACATCTTTATCCTTGAAGGACTCCTCATCGATCAAGACACCAGGACAAACCACGTCATCTGAAGACTCAGCCCGTCAGGAATCACGAAAGCTTCCTGCCTCTCCTTCTCCTCAAACCTCCACGATTCCAAAGGACTCGTCTGGTAAAGTCACTGGGTCTCAATCAAAGCAAAGTTCCGTTCTGTCAGGAAACACTCCAGAAGCCTCCTCTAAGCAGCCCGAACTCACAACTTCCACAGTTTACAGCACAAACATCTACACCGTGACTTCATGTGGACCAGAAGTGAAGAACTGTCCGGCAAAGTCAACAGTTGTCACAACGGAGGTTGTCGCGGCTTATACAACTGTCTGTCCCGTCACCAGCACTTCAGGCGTGTCTCCTGGCGGTTCCCCAGGGGTGTCCACTGGCAATCCAAGCGAGACTCATCCTAGTGAGAGCGCACCGCCACTATCCTCATCAACAAGCAATACTCCCAAAGAAGGCTCAGAGAAGCAGTCGTCGCAGACGATTTTTCAAGGCAACGGAAGCGAATCCCTGACTTCTTCATCAACAATCAGCCCTCCAAAGGATGGCTCGCAGAAGCAGTCGCAAATTGTGTCCTCGGGTAAGCCAGGCGAGACTCATACGGGTAGCGACTCACCATCGCTGCCTGCTTCCACTACCGTAGCTCCTGAAAATGGGTCGGGGACGCAGTCGGAGAAGGGAACGTCTTCGACCAACCCAAGTGAATCTCGTGTCAGTGATGGCACACCGCCGCAGTCTTCGTCTACGGTAATCCCTCCCAACGAGGTGCATGCTATGCCGTCCTTAACTTCGTTGGCCGGATCCCATGACGCGACCACGTCGATGAACTACGGCCAACCCACTGCATCGCTGTACAATACAGACACAGAATTGAAACTCTCGGGATCACTGTCGCAGTCCGCACCTCCATCCGCGGCCACGCCCGCAGACAAGAGCGGTGATGCGAGCCCGTCGGCACACAATAGCGCCCACGAAAGTACGGATAGCTCAGGCGCCGCAGCAGAGCAAGGGTCCGCACCTCCTCCAGGAGCATCGCCTGGGCCGGACGGCTCAGTCCCTGTTCCGGCAGCAGGAGCAGTAGACTCTCATTCCTCTACGGGGCTCGCCCACCCTGTGCCAGCCGACAGCGGCTCGCCGACCATCCGCAGCACGATTACACGAACAACAACAATCAGGCTGACCAGCACGCGGCAATCGACCTCGACCTTGTACACGACGTCGGCGACGGTCATAACAGCATGTAACCCAGGAAAATCGGGAGCGGACTGTTCCACCATCTCGTCGACCACCACCGTGGTTGCTTCGAAGTTGGTCACGCCCGTGGCTTTCACGACGACAGATGTCGTTGCCACTACAGAAGTCACTGAAGCCCCCGTGGCGGGCAACGCCTTGTCTTCTGCCGCAGCTCAGGGGGCGTCTGGAGTTGCAGGTTCCGGCACAGGCACAGGCACAGGTCAACTGCCTGCGGGGCCAAAGACGACGGCTTTGGCAACAATTGCTGGTTCGGGACGAAACTTTGAGGTAGTGCCTGGGTTTGTATTTGCATTCATCTTGGCTGTCCATCTCATTTGACGGGGGTTACGATAGAGTGGAAAAGCCTCAAGGTATAGATGAACATGAAGAAGCCATCAGGGCTGTATAACTTTTTTCACATAGCATTTATGTACAGTTTCAATTTTAGGCTTGGATAACTTTTATATATGTGACCACAGTAAGCGAAGTTGGTGAAGGTGTTTGAAGCGTAGGACTTCATTGACCAACGCTCCAAGCTGGCGACCGGGCTTGACACAATTGATGGGTTGAGTACCAGCGCATGTGGCGATTGCGACCTCTACAGAGTGCTCATTCCTTCGTTGAAGTCCTGACACCGCCGCTTGCAACTGCCAAAGAACTTACAACTCACAAGATGTCGGTTGTTGACGAGAGATGTTTCAATGAAACAATATCAGCCAAATCCACCGTTTGTTGCTTAAGAAGTTGGACTATACTCTGCCCTCTGGAAGGTCGAGCTCGTGGTCGAGCACGTGGTCGACGGCCTGAAACGTCGTCTCAAAGCCATGCGCCGGGTCGAGGACGAGTCGGCCGAATGGGGCCCATATCTGTGTCAATCAAGGGTTTGAGGTGTTCAACCACGGCCAATCAAACCCAGGCAGCGAGCGATTGGGATCGGTCGTGATGGGACGCCCAGGATCGGCTCCAGTTGCGCCTCCGCAACCATGGGGATGGGATGCTACATGGGCGGACTCGGACTCGAGTTCGTTCCGTCCTGGCTGAGCTTCTTTCAGCTTGCCGCGGCAGTGGCCGACATCAGGAAAGTTTGATGGCTCTGGCCGCCTGCAAGGTGGGCAACACCCCCAGTCACAGGCGGGACACACTGCGTCGCAAGAGAAGGGGCTTGCGCGGCTCCGATGGCGAGTGGCGGGCGCAGTCAACGGGCTAGGGATGGTGGCGCCGTAGCGTTCTGGGCGGTGCAGTTGCGGATGTGCAGAGGCATCAGATCAAACAGCCAGATAAGGTTCGGACAGGCGGACAGGTCGGGGAGATCTGGGAATGCTGAGATGCTGTTCTGTCGCTGAAGCTTGCCGAGATGGGCAAGTTCAGACGTTGAAGATGATCAGAGCGTGTTCGGGTGGGTATTCGGGTCGCTACCGAGTCATCTGCAGCAGTACCGCGCACGCTTTGTCTGGCTGGGCAGGTTGGTAAGGTTGTGTAACAGACAGTTTGGCACTGTGACAACATACTCTGGCGGCGCATGGCAGGCTGGCTGACAGTCGACAGTCTGGCTCTCCCCAGCTCAGTTGGGCCCCCTCCCCACCAAGGGCTGCCACGGTGTTGCACCTCAAAAGGACGTGGACCTATGGATCGGCCAGGGGCGTTGGGAGGTGGTGTCGCATTGAAAAAGCCACTGACGTACGGTCACCAATGAGTTCACGTTCTGCTGATCGGCAATTGGCCCTCAAACTAAGTGCTAGACATGGACATCTAGAGAGCAGACCACAGCACTGCAGCACAAGGACACTGGGCATGAAAGCCTTGGAACCCATGACTTTAGATCGATCTGACTTGTGGAAACAGGTGCGCCATGATTGATGCGGAAAGGGAAGACTCGACCTGGACAAGCAGGCCCGGAACTTTGTGCTTGAAAGGGAAAGGAGCAAATCCAATTGCAGAATAGGGTCGGCCGAAGCAGAGAATGGCTAGTTCGAGGGAAGAACAGTCGACAGTACTGTACAGTAGTCGTGTCTGGGCAGACTGTGGAAGATATTGTCCGACAGATTGTCGACAGCGGTGGCCAGCCCACCCTGTCAGACAGACCTCTGCACAGCCTCGATGGGTTGGAGCTACAGAGTGGCAGACCGCGCTGGGCCCATCACGCCAGCCGGGCCCATGTCGTGTGCGCGGTCGTAAGTTGTTGTAGCCATTGATTTGTAGACTGAATGGATGAGTGAATACGAGATGAGTCGGTGAGGGCTCCTGACACGATCGATAGAGGGAGGAGAGACGACAGCTTATTGTTAGAGGAGAGTCCAGATACAACCGTGACAACGTCAGCAAGTGCAAACTAGATGCAAGTACAGGCGGCCGACAAGACGACCATGTCGAAACGGAAGCCACAACACGGTGAGCCAAGCCGTCGGGACCCCTTGCACCTGCACGACTGCACGTAACTGCACCCAGAGACAAAAAAGGGTCGAGTCCAGAACCTGCTTGCTGGCCTAGCGTGCCTGGCTGGTCGCCTCTGTTAGCACACTAGATGGGAGTGCCACTGGATTCTTACCAGTTGGTTCCTCTGACGGCATAGGCTCCCCAACCCGGTTTTCAGCTGTGCTGTCTCACAGGCCCCACCACCGCTGGTAACCATGCACCATGGAACGAGCCTTGGAAGCGTCGAGGAAGCGTTGTCCGTCAATGATCTGCTTGCGGTTGCCCCCCCTGCACCCACTGTTGTTGACCTGTGGCGGGTGACTGGTGCACTTCGGCACCCAGCACCACCTCAGTCCAAACCAACACCAACTCATTGAATGAATGCACTGCGCTGCCATACGATCCAATGCTCGTTCAATTCTCAAGTCCCTCCTCATGCTTGTTGTCTTGACATGATAGCCTGAGTCCTCGTCATTTGTGTCTCTAACTGGAGGGTGATCGAGTCTGCCATCCCACCACCCCACCACACCAAACCCAAACCCAAACTCAACCCAACCACCAGCAGCCCATCCACGACGACAAAAATAAATAGCCTTTGACTTTGCGCCCACCTCCCTACCTCCACCTCTTTTTATCGCCCGATTCCCTGCTGCCTCGGCCTCGGGACCGCTACTCCCAGGGTCTCAGGACTATTGTACAAAGTACAGGCTTGCTTTTCCCGGGTCGCCCGTAACAACCAACGTATTCCCAACGCCCCCCACCCCCAGCAAGACATCGCACGTCCAGCGTCTCAAGACCGGCGCTTCCATGACCACTGGCGGCTGTACGTACCCTGTCCGTCTGCATCCGCCACTCTTTCTGCCTTGCAGGCAGTGATTGACATCGTCCCAAGTCCAGTAGAGTTTCCAAACCAGCCTACTCCTGTCCTTCGATCCGCGCAGCTGGGCCGGTCTGGTCCATAATTCCACACAATTAATGTCCCACGCCCGCTCCACCACCCGGCCTGTTCCCTGTACGATAAGACGAAGACAACAATAACAACACCCTTATTCGCAAATCCCGCCGCCTCTCCCCAAGCCGCACGCTACCAATTTCCTCAGGCCAAGATCCATTATCCACTGCTTCCAAAGTCGACCTGATCATCGTGGGAAATTACACATGGAGGATTCACGGATATAGGGAGCCGAATATTTACACCCGCGAGCCACGAACCGCATTTCCGTCGGTTGGCTGGCTGACCGACTGCCCCACGACGTCAGCACCTTCTCGAGCCTCAACACCGGGCCGCACAACAAAACAGCTCAGGTCCACCTGCCCCTCCACGCTGCATCGACGACTCTGTCGTCGTTTGCGCCGCCTCCCGAACCTCAGAAACTCACCATCACCCTCGACTCGTGCCACACCATTTCAGCATGGAAGCCGCCGCGGGAGCGGTGCTGTCTACAGCGCACGAGCTCTACACCCGAGCCAACGACACCTCTACCGACACATCCAAGGACGAGCGCCCGCCCGTATACAAAGTAATAGGTATCTGCCTGGCTATTGGCTCTGGCCTGTTTATCGGAACGTCGTTCGTGCTCAAGAAGGTCGGACTGCTCAAGGCCAATGAGAAGTACCAGGAAGAAGCCGGCGAGGGATATGGCTATCTCAAGAACGCCTTCTGGTGGTCAGGAATGACCCTTATGATTTTGGGCGAGGTTCTCAACTTCGTCGCATACGCATTCACAGATGCCATCCTCGTCACGCCAATGGGAGCCCTGTCCGTTGTTATCACCAGCATTCTCTCGGCCATATTCCTCAAGGAAAGGTTGAGCATGGTCGGCAAGGTCGCTTGCTTCCTGTGCATTGTGGGCTCCGTCGTCATCGTCATGAATGCGCCCGAGGAGTCTTCGGTCGCGGACATCCAGGAGATGCAGAAATTCGTCATCGCGCCCGGCTTCCTTAGTTACGCTGGCGTCATTATCGTTGGCTCCGCCATTGTCGCCTATTTTGTTGGGCCCAAGTATGGAAAGAAGAACATGATGGTGTACATCTCCATTTGCAGCTGGGTTGGAGGCCTAAGTGTCGTGGCGACCCAGGGCCTGGGCGCTGCGATTGTCGCGCAGATTGGCGGGAAACAACAATTCAACCAGTGGTTCATCTACGTTTTGTTGGTGTTCGTCATTGGAACGCTCCTGACGGAGATCATCTTCTTGAACGCAAGTCGGCCCCTCTGTTGAATTCCTGAAGCTTGTCTCTAACACCCTTAACAGAAAGCATTAAACATCTTCAATGCCGCAATGGTCACACCAACCTATTACGTTTACTTCACCAGCACCACCATCATCACATCTGCCGTGCTATTTCAGGGCTTTAAAGGGACCGCTTCCTCGATTGTGACCGTTGTCATGGGTTTTCTCACTATCTGCTCCGGGGTGGTCCTGCTACAGCTGTCAAAATCCGCCAAAGATGTGCCCGACGCCGCAGTTTTCAGTGGTGATCTTAACCAGGTCCGTACAATTGCTGAACAGGAGCAGGCTGAGTCGGAGCCCAAGGCAGACGCTATTCGAGGCGCCGCTGCTCTGGTGCGCCGCTTCTCCACAACACGTGAGAAGATGGAGATAGAAGAGTTGAAGCGAATTCGTGCCGAGAAGGAGCAGGAGCGGCTCGAGGCGGTCAGCGAGGACGGACAGCCGCAATTCGAATGGGACGGTTTGCGGAGGCGCAGAACAAGTAAGTCTACAGCATGTCACCTAGCATCTTCCCTACTTTTGTAATGAGGTGAAGGGCCCGAGTGGACCGCCAAACAAATCCTCGAAGCCACGCCAACTTGGCATCGCGGCTACTACCTCTCTGTGGTAGCTGGACAGAAGGCGCATAACAACTGACTGACCTTCACCCAGCGCTCGGAAGTCAACATAGTAGGCAGATAACGACGCCGCAGAACTTCCCCATGACACCGAATACCGGAAGCTCACACCCCCCACTTGGCATGTCGCACTTTCCAACCGACCAAGAACTCGCCGAGCAAGATAGACCGTTTAGTGCAGGCCTTTCTAGTATCATGGGTACGATCCGGTCGCGCGCTACGAGTGTGTTGCCAGGACATCCGGAGTTCAGACAGTCTTCACTGGGGAGCGACTCGTCGAACGCCCTGAACATTTCTGCCAATAAGATCCAAAGCCCCATGCACCCTGTGCAGCTGACCGAAATTTCTGTGGCCCACGGCGGCGCTTATGGGGTGCCCGCTGGCGTTAAGACCGACTACGACCCGGGATCACACGGCTCTTCCGACAGCATCGGTGCCCCTGGGAGACACATCCAGTTCGGCGGCGAGACCAGGCACACACCAGACAACGCGAGCCTTGCGCCCCCCACGCCACCGCCGCATGGTCAGCAGCACTCAGCCAGAAGACAATTTTCCTTCCAGAACGTCTTTAAGCGAAACCGCGACCACGGAAACGACGGGGCAGAAGAGAGGCCTACAAGTTCTAAATCCACGAGCAGGCCAATATCCAGCAGGGGATACAGTGCCCCGCACGCAAAGACCGCGACTGGTAAGTCTTTCGATATCAAACCCTGGTTAGACCCTCACTGTTCTTAGACCGGTTGGCTAACCACCCCGTGCAGAAGAGGAACGTTTAGGTCTCGTAAAGGGCGACAGTAACGACCGAGGGCCTGGTTACTCATCAACTCCGGCGTTGCCCTTGTACGAGGAGGATGACTTCGAGGGGTCCGACGAGTATCCGTACGATGACGACGCATTGTACAGTGACGATAAAATGACGCGCTATGGACGTGGTATCACAGACAGTCCGCCGAGGGGAAGATCCGGTAGCGGCGACTCAAGTGAGAAGGGGAGCGAGCCTCAGAGAAGCAGATGGAACGAGGGCCGTGGCAGGGACCAAACGCCACCAACACCGCCGCCCAAGCCACCGGCACACGGAGGTGGTGCATATATATGACAAACCTTCCAGAAATTATTGCAGCTGGGTTGCTGCTGTACGATACAACTCGATACGATGACTATCCTGGCGTCCGGTTTGTTTTCGCTGGTTTGGGTCGGCTGGTTGCATTTCCAAGAGCGGATGAGCTGATCATAGCGCCGTTTGGGATTGGCATGTTAGCATTGGGTGTTACACGATACCGAAAGGATACATTGGTGTGATTGGAGCGTGGTAAACAAAGCATGGGCAACTGGCTGGAATAGAGACATATCACGCCGGACGCGTTTAACTACAGAGGAAAATGGATGCAACCCTTTCTCTTCCCCTGGAGCTGGTTTGAGTTATACAGCCGGGAACAACAGGACGAGGCAGAAAACATTACAGGCCTCGGTGTATACCCTAGAAGGACTGGGCATCTATCTGCATCAGGAGCAGATATAATGGAGCAAGCATAACGCAGTGAACGTTGAAATGAAATCAGAGAGCGGTAATTTTATCATCTAGCCTACTTGTTTGTTCACTATTGTTGGCCCACCTGATGAGTGAGAAAAATGAGACTTGATGGCTCGATGGGGGCCACAGACGAGGGCTGGATTGACCCATACCTACGTATGTAAAGGAATCCCTCCGTTCGTAGTCAGTGGGATGAGAATTTTCTGACAATTCGGGTGATCGTAATTACTACTAGGCAATCGAAAGAGCTAGTACCCAGTGGCCAATTCAAACAGATTGACGGCCACGATTACCGCTGAGCTCTGCCCACATGGTTCTCCACATTCTGTGGCATATTTCGCTGTCATGGGAGTCACTCCAGCTACATGTTATGACTGTCAGTTGGATGAGGATGTATGTAGCCTAGAATTGGTGAAATAGGATCAGTGCCCGCCAGTCTTTGAACTGTATTTGCTTGAAACATGAAATTAAAAGCAGGGTGCCTATATGTGTACTGCAATGACTCCTTTTGCCTACCACTAATTCACGCCAAACAACGTAAGACTGTGGTCACTGCATCACGAACATGGCTTGTTTCAACCTGAAGTCCAGAGCTCAACGGAGGATTAAATATGACAGAGATTAAACTTGAAATTGAATGCTTCTCTTTCACCGGACTACCGCTGAAGTGCTTCGCGTATACCAACTAACATGGAGCCTGAGAGCAGTTGGGAAGAAAAGAGCAAGACAATGCCTGAGCTGCCATGAGATGGTAAAGGGAGACATTTAAAAGCAAAGGTACTTGAGAATATAGATATGTGCAACACTGAACAATTTTCCTTAAAAAATTCCTTGCCTTTCATGAGGTTTCATTTTCCACTTTTGAGTAACCCACGATGCCTTTCCTTCGCCTGTTGCTGTACATATGTCTAACCACGTGATTGGACCTTCGTTCAAAGGTTACCGGTTGGTTCCATGCGGGACTCTCTTGCTTCTCAAGGCCTCTTCAATGGGAGAATGTGCCGATGTCACGATCCTCCTTGCCGGAGTTGTCATATAATGTAGTCCATCATCAAACCCAACCCTCGCACAAATTCACCTAGAGCGACTGGCGCGTTCGCTCCCTCCTTTCCTCCCCTTGAAGTGGTCTGTAGGCCCGCAGTAGTTTCCACGGTTGTCTATGTGCCCATTAGCCATGGACGTGCCGACAACCGCCCTAGAGCTCTTCTCCGTTGCGTTTGCGGCCCTAGTCGAGGCTTCTGCACTCTTCCCAGCCGCCTTGGCCGCCTTCATGCTCGCTGCGGCAGCCTCCTGGCTCGCGTTGGCAGATACCGATGCCGGCAAGAGGGCGAGAACCGTGGCCTATGATTTTGTCAGTAGCAGATTCCCGCAGCTGCCAATAAAGACCGTGGGCAGTAGTATTGATGGGCGTTAGTATGTCTTGGTCGCCCATGTTTCATGCGAAGTCACACGTCGCGCAGGAAGAGGGGAAATATATAATTAAAAATTACTGACCATGGTGGCGACGCTCGCCCAGAGGGTCTTCTTTTTGAACCAGGGCTTATCGCCGTTGCCATCGTCGTCTGCTCCTGCCAAACCGGGGATACCCAAGTCTGGGAGAGTAGAGGAACGGTGACGGTGCTCTGCTTCGCGGTCGCGGTCGCGGTCCCGTTCTCGGTCTCGGTGTCTTCCTCTGTCCCTCGAACGCACCCTGATTTGCTTGCTGCTGCTTGAGGTGTCGTTCAAGTCGTCGAGTATCTCTGATCCGGAGGGGCGCCTCCGTCGCCGGTGACGTCTCCTTTGATGGTCCGCATCCGGGGACCCAGAACTGGGCGATGTGGACATCGAGGCCGAGGCTGATCGATGGGTGCGATGTCGTTCGGCTTCTTTCACGACCATGCTTAATTTCGATTCGCGGACCGCTGTGTGCTGCGTCTCTATTATGAAATGACAACGGGCTCGTCAACAACAAAATATCTATACCACAACCATATCGTACATTTCTCGTCAACGTCTCAAGCCCTGACAATCGTAGCTCAGACAGAGACGAGCCTTAAAGCAGGGTCGCGAGAGCTATGTATCACTTCTATATGCCCATTTACTGGTCGGGTGCCTCCTTGGAGACGTTGCCGCTAGCTCTTCCCGTGCTTTGACTGATGCCCAAGCTTATAAGTGAGACCCGCCCTGGGATATCCTAGACAGCGAACTAGCTCCGAGCTACGGTGCGAAAAGCAAAGGTCATCTTAACACATCATCGCCGTGCCGCCCGTGCAAGAAGGTTAGGCACATCAGATAAGGTTGGCACTTGCGTCCAATAGTGTGGTGGGAGCGTCACTGTCGCTGCCAACGGTCCGGAGGGTGCCTTGACGATGTCTTATCTCGTGGCAACATGACGGGGTTTAGGCAAATATCACACATTCACGACGCAATGATCTCCCATACCACGTGGGGTGGTGTGGCTCCTTCGATGGACGGTCGGTGGATGGTTGGATGTCGAACGAACGAGAGCTCTGGGCTCTGTCTGTTCTTACACCACATCGTTGGGGATGGAGGTGGAGATCCTCACGGCAGATAGCGATGGTCGTGACCGGAGCGCCTCTCAACGCATAAGGTTTCAGGTAATGAACAAGGTTTTGTGAATATTCAGATGTCATGATTGCGCCTTGGGTCTTGTTCTTCGCATGGGTGGGACCCGAACTTCGGGAAATAGCAAAGCGAATCAACTTGTCTACCAGCTGGGCACAGGATGAAAGCAGAAGGGCCCGACATTGGAACTGACGTAGAAGGATATCGCGTCTGGGAACTCCCTGGCTTTCATATGATCGCCGGTCTGGTCCAGCCAATGAAGTCAGACGAGAAGCGACTCAATTAGCTCGTCCTTCTTGCCCCAGTGAAACATTCCAGGTCTGGCAAGTACACGGCTCTAAACTAACCGAACCTTTGGGCACAGGTGGCGATTGTATGTTTGGTGCAAGTGGCCAGGCTACCAACGGCAAACATTCAATAGCAAAGGACAAGTGGAGCACAAGGGTCGATGTGAGGGTTTGTACGCCAAGAGGCCAATTAGAATGCATTTCTGGAGTTGCTCACTCATGCCACGAAGTGAAGTAACACGCGGCAGCCAGTTCGGTTCTGAGAACAGGTCAAGCCTTATATGCATCTACATGACCACTGGGAAGTATGTTAAGAATTTTTTTGCTTACTAAATGGGAAGCAACATTGACATATAGTTGAGTTATACCAACTTGACTCATAACACACTTCTGGCATGTCTCAGCCAAAGCAAACCTCGAACACATTGCATGTGATTTCACTCGTCAACTGGGAAAAGCTGCTGCACACACTATTACGTCCTTGTCGCCGACAACCTCTTACGCTTACAAAACATGCAGATTTTTTGTTGACGATATTTCTGAATTATTTGCCTAGGTCGGTTGTTTGACAAGCTCTCAGACAGAGCGGTTCCGGCCATTTGAAGGTAGTAATTGGTCTGCCTAAAGATCGAACATGAATGAATATGGGCAGCTATGGTGCTAGCTCCCAGCCCCTATACATGTGATGGGCAAGATCGGCCCACATGCTCTGTAAGATCCTAGCCGAATTGGTGTGGCGAAGCATGTCTTTCCAAGGTATCTCATCCGCTAAATTACACTTCTCCAGGCACATAATTTGCGGTTGATGGTTGGCAGGGACTGTGAAATGACTGAAGCGCTTCCCGCTGATCTAGATTAGTGTCACAGTTCTCGTATGGAGATATTTTCAAGTTGCTGGTCTTTCCAACCCGAGCAAGCAACTTTCTGTGCGTGGAGAACCAAAAACATCCATAGGAGTTTCGGAGAGATTTCAATCAGACACAATTTATGGTCAAAATTATTAAAACAGATCGGACATTTCGTCGAGTTTGGATACGGCATGGAGGAAACAGCAGATCCGAGCCGGACTGCAAATGGAAGTTTTGTCCCCTTCAATTATGGTTTCATGAGACGCATTTAAGTTGCTAGAAAGTAGGTCAGTGCCGGTGGCCAAAGCCGACGGGTGAGCCTAGTTCTTGGTTACATGTGGGCAAGCACGTAGTTCGTCTCAAGTGATCAGTCCACGGCCTCGACTCACAGCGCCACTTGTTAGTTCCCGCGACGGCGCCAATGGCTAGCCGCGTTGATATTTACACTTGGATAACAAAGCCTGGCATACATGGCCAAATGAAGCCACCAGACTCGATCCGTAAATTGGATATACCACTGATGTGTAGGACAATAGTGGCATTCAAATAGAGCAAAGCTATGATCTACTCTAAATCAGGCGCTGAGTCAATAGAATCAACCTAGATGAAACTGGAAGGTGAACATGCTCGCTAGATGATCTTCCGCTCCTGCAACATGCAGGTAGCTATGCTAGATGTACTTAATCTAGAACTAGATCGTTCCTGCTTAACAAACACCAAAAGGAATCGTGCCATCCGCAAACCAAGGCAGCAACGACGCCAAAGACCAAGCTCAAGGGATCACGAGTGAAGTAGACTACCTAGGTAATATTTTTGCGTCTACCTTGCGTGTCGAGGTAGCATCGATTCCGTAAGGACAGGCTCTTCTAGTGCCCAGATATGTTGGCTCCAAAGATCTTTCGGGGTACTGATTATATGTATTAGGCCGAGAAACAAGAGCGGCAATGCCTCGAAACCACCTCATGACCCGTCACCTCCCATAGCTCGTTGTCTGTCCAGCTTTGCACGATGATGAGGCTACAAGGCCAACACAGCTTTATCAGGGTCCTCCTCACCCTTGGGACTGTGCTATGAACCGGAGAGCCTGCTGGACCAGCTAGCTCGAAGACCGCGCTTCCCACGAACTTTTGGCTTGAACTCTACCTCAAACCCATTTCAGAGGGAGATTCCAGCTGCCAAAACTTGTTCACAGCCACACAATTCCTGATACCACCACAAATATTCCTTTCATTACCTTTCATCTACTGAGATTTTCGATGAAGTCTTTCATCGCATCCTTGCTGGCCGCGTTGCCATCTCTGGCTCGCGTCCAGGCATATCCCTCAAACCGAAGTCATCCTGTGCCGCTCAATAATAAGACCTTGATCCCGCTGGTCGTCGAAGGTGGTGCCTGCGGCTACGAACACAATGAGAACGATGCTATCTGTGGACATGGACTCTGCTGCAATATCGAGACCGTATGCAATATGTTATTTGAAATACACTCAGCTCAGCATGCTAACAGTGGGACTAATAGGGGTTATGCGGTTCTGATGACCTGTCGTGTAGCGCAATCAACTGTCTCCCCAGGTATAGTACTGGCTGCGAATGGCAAGGCGAGATAAATGCCGACCTCCAGGAGAAGGACCCATTGTTGGACCACTACTCGCCCGATCAAGCCTCATCATCGTCTTTGCAAAAGCGCCAGGATGCGGCCGCACAGGCCGTGGATGCGAATACATCCTCGGATGAAGGATTGTATAAACGCCCATCCCTCTCCTGGTTGGTTAGTCTACCGCGCCAGAAGTTGGGTTCCGTCCCTTACGGAGAGCTGATCACCACCTGCACCGAGCCTGGGACCATTGCTCTGACCTTTGACGATGGGCCTTGGAAGTATACCGAAGACCTTCTCGACATCTTGCGCAATTACGGGGTGCAGGCGACTTTCTTCGTCTGCGGTGGCAACATGGGCGGCGACGGACAGATTACCGACTATGGCCACCCCCATCTCTTGCAGCGCATGGTCAACGAAGGCCACCAGGTCGCCACGCACACTTGGGCACACGCAGATCTGACTACGGTCGACGAATACGGGATCCTCGACCAGCTGCTGTTCAACGAGCAAGCCCTGGTGGAGGCCCTGGGGAAGATTCCGACATACTTCCGCCCGCCCTACTTCAGCTCCAACGAGGAGGTGTTGGATACCGTGGGGCAGCTTGGTTACCACGTCATAAACGCGGGTGTCGACACTAATGACTGGAAGGGCGATTACGAAGCTGCAAAACAGACCTTCAGCCAGGCGCTCCAGCAGGGCCAGTGGGATGGCACCGGCAAGATCGTCCTGGCTCACGACATCCACGAGCGCACGGTGCACGAGCTCGCCGGGTACATGATCGAGCAGGCCCTGAACGCCGGGTACCGCCTCGTCACCGTGGGTGAGTGCTTGGGCGACCCGGAACAGAATTGGTACCGCAACCCTAGAACAGGCGGCTCTTGGACGTCCCGTGACCCTGCGAACAGCGAGCTGGTTCAGCGAGGTATGACACCTTCTGATGGACAGAGTAAGGAGTTCCTGGAGTCGTTGAAGAGTCAACAACCCCCAGCCTCCACCGAACACCATCACGGTGTGCACTTGACCGCCGGGCATGCGCCGCCTCTGATGTCTATCCCGACTGCTACCGAGAAACATAACATACTCATCACTCGGGCAGCCGAGCCTTCCGACCCTGTTGCTGCTGATGTGGCACGATATGAGATGGAAGGGCGCTTCGACGCGCCGCAATGGGCCGCCACCAACGCCGAAGAAATCCTCGAAGTGTCGGGCGCCGCTGAGCCCCCTTCCGCAGGGGGATCGCGTTTCTCAAGGGCAAACTTGGGGCTCGTTCTGGCGCTGATAGATTTGTTCATTCTCCTCCGATAATTGGAGACGGTGAAGGGCTCTGAACGAGTTCTTGGCGTTCTTAAAGAGTTAAAAATAGTTGCAAAGGCCGGCCCCGGGCTAACAGCGACTCGAAGGGTTTTGCAGTGCCCGAAGAGAACAGGGAGGGGTACGCCAGAGATCGACAGATGATTTGTTTCCTTCGCTAAAGTATCCGTAATGCTTAATAAAAATAAGTTTTCCGCATTTTTGTGAAAACTGCTTGACATCAAAGATGTGACAGGTAGATATTCAAGACATGACGTTGAAACAGGTGGCAATCACGCATCTGAGGCAGGTTTCCAGCCGAGCAAGCCTGAGTAGGCTTTTGGGTTCTGGACCTCCTTTTATCAGCCATATCCAGGTCCTGTGATGACTGAAATGACTTACCCGGACACGTACTTGATCCTACTTGATCTAGAACAAAACCTTTCCGCACATAGTCTAGACGGCTGCCAACGCGGAGGATCGGTCGCGTACTGCATCACCTGGCTCAGCAGTAGTCCGGTCAGACGAGACCTTGCCATGATGTTTTTTTCTTTCTCATTTTGTACAAAGTTCAAAGAAGTTGCCTGATGAGCACCGTCTCTCCTCAAAAGACCCAAGATGAAATGGCGAATATTTCAACGGGGCTTACTGCATGGTGACAACCTTTCCATCTATTTACCAGGACGCTTTTCTTCCTAATGCCCGCCTTCCACAATAGCAAGGTCGCTGTCACGAGTTCATGCCCCTGTACCTTTCCCTTTCCCTTCCAAAACTTCCCGAGGGCCTGTCAGTCTCCTTCTGGTCCCTTTCACCAGCCACCGCGCCCAGGCCTAACCTCTTCCAGCCCAAGCACCTGGTTGATCTTGGCCGCCAGTTCCCTAGCACCACCCATCAGGCCCTGAGCCTCTCTCGCATGCTCTGGCCTACCAGCAGCCCTTTCGGTCTCAAGGATCTCATCCATAGTCTGCACGGCCCTGCCAAGCAGCTGCACCGTCCAGCGTCCGATATTCCCTCCCCCAAGCTGGCCGTCTAGGCCCCGCCGTTCCACCTCGCGCACCCATAACTCGCAGACAGCCAGGATCCACCGGACCACGACCTTTCGACGCCGGCCTGTGAAGGGTGCCTCCTGTGCATCGAGTATGCGTTCAAGCACACGGGTGACGATGGCATGCGCAACGCCAAGGTTGTTGACAAAGAGCAAGACAGGCCAGTTTGGATCGGCTTGGATGTCCTCATTTTGATTCTGCGTGATTGCGTACTCGCACAAGATCGTCAGAACAGTATCGATCGGGAAGACATGGTTGTTTAGGCTGGTCCTGTGAGCAATGTCCTGAACCTTGTTGACCACATGTTCATAGGGCAAGGGAGGCGGGCCGAAATCAGGGTCGTCGGCAGGCCGACCCCTCTCCTCCCACAAGCGGTGTGCTTCCTCCGTCTCAAAATGCGCCGCATTGATGAGGCTGCGCCATGTGTCAGCAATGAGCCGCGGGGCGTGATGGTCGGCTGCATGGTAAATGAGTAGGGAGAGGTCGTAGTAATTGGCTGGCTCGGCAAAACCATTGAATAGCTGGTTAATGTATGATTAGCGCACATGATCATTTTTTTTTCATGCAATACAAGGGGAACACTGACCTCTGTCAACGAAAGTATAGGGCCGTTCAGAGCCTGCTCGCAGTCGCCCTTGCGATCGGCTGGGATCCGCTCATCCGCCTTGAGCCTCTCGAGAAGGTCATCTTGGATATGCGCAATCTCCAACAATGTGGTGACATCGTGGTTCAAAACCTGCTGATGCTGCCTGCTGATACCAACCGTAGACACACTGGCATTGCCCTTGGCACGACTCAGCAGGGTGATGCGGTCCTTAATTCCTATTTGGAGAACCTCGTTCTTCGCTAATTCAGCCTGGACTTCAGCAGCCTCATAGAACCTGCCACGGTGTGTATAGAAGCGACAGAGAAGGTCAGCATGACGCGCCTCTGTGGCTGCCAGTCGCTTAAGGAAGGTGATGACGTGCGGCGAGTCGATAGCGAGGATGCGATCGGTCCAATTCTGTTCGATGTACCATTCGTACAGGTCGAAGTGAAACACCTCGTCGTCAGAGCCGTTGACGACGTTGTAGGCCTCATTGCGCTTGGTGGCAGACAAGGTCAGGCGTCCGTCGACGAGTTCCGGCTCACGAGCGGATACTTCATCCAATCTTTGCATCACTTCGTGAACAAGGTCGTAGCAACTCCTGCGCTCATTGAAAGCCGCCTGCCGAGCGTCATTAGGGGGTCTGCCATCGTTGATCCACGACAGAGCCGAGTTCCCACGGTCCTTCTCTTGAGCCACCCTCAGACACAGCTGAATTGCCCCTGCGTAGTACTGCAGGTCGAGGTATTGCTGAACAGCACCATGGAGATTAGCCAGGGTGAGGCTGCCGGCGACACGCTCAAACAAACGCAAACTCTCCCCAAGCAGTTGCCGAAGGTGATTGGGATTACCAGCCTGTTCCGACGCCCTCTTCAATTGCTCTTGGGCCTTGAAGACAACTACGTCGTCCGGACTGCAGAAACTGCCGCACCGCCTCCGCAAAGCGTCAGCAACGGTCTCCACATTCGCGCCACTCTCGATGTTTCGGTTGACGATGGCCTTGACTAGAAGCTTTGCAAGGTCCCGGCCCGCTTCTTGAGAGAAGAGTTGTTCATAGGTGAGCTCCCGGAGCTGAGTTTGCGTCGGCGCGTCTAGGCGAACGAAGATTTCCGCCACACGCTCGTCAAAGAGCATTAATACGAATGAGATTCCTTCAGCAATGTTTTCCATCAACCTTTGCAAAGAGTGCAATCCCTGGTGCTCAGACTGCATAGCTATCTCTGCGAGGCGGTTCTGTGCGTTGGCAAGGTCCTGGGGGCCATTAAGGCCCTTGATAACGCCGCGATTGGCATCAAGGAAATTCCGCAGACGATCCAAGTTCTCTTGAACAGAGTTTAATTTGGTCAGAGGGACAGTCGAGTCAACGACAACAGCACCGGTCGCATTTGTACTCTGTTGGATGACTCTCGACTTCCACAACATCCGGACCAGGCGGGTCAAATACAGACCCAAAGCGTGGTGTCGAGAAGACAGGGTAATCGAGTCTGTCTCTGTGACCGTTGGGTCACCTCCGAAATCGATGAAAACAGATCTTGCACGGTCTTGCGTGACTTGGTCAATCACACGGGCGGCGCCGTTGCGGAGATCGTTGCCTTGACCGCAAGCGATAGCAAGAGCCGTGGAAACGGTTTCGTTGCGGCCGTAGAGGTGAATGAACCGCGTCGTCTCGTACTTGACAGCATCGTCACTTGCAGATTTCCGTATGACTGTCGCAAAAACATCTACCATCCTCCGTCTTCGGATGATATGGATGCCCATATTAGTCATTATAGCAAACTCGGAAGGAGACTGGTCGAATTGAACGGCGAGTTCATTCCCGAAACCAACAGGTTGTCCAGCCGCCGCGAAAGGTGGTGTAACGGATCCTACAGCAAGGACTTTCACTCCTGGGCCGAGGTCGATGAAGTTTGCGCTCTCATAATACCTCATGGCCCTCTCGTTGTGTGCAACAGTGCCGTGTTGCAATTTGATACGACCAGTCTCCGGAGCGGAAACGAACAGGATATCAGTGTTAGGGTTGTCCGTTTTCGCAACAAAATCGAAAAAATAGCCGGGCGCAAATCGTTGGCCAAACCTGCTCGTCGTGAGAGCCTGAGAATTCACGTTCAGATATGCGCCATCAACAGCCTGCTGCGCGTGAGGAGCCTGGTCGGCCGAGGGGGGGAATTTGACAAATTGAACCTGCATGCTCTGTGGGGCGGCACCTGACGTGGATGATGAGCTGGTAGCACTCAGAAAGATGCGGCAGCCAGTGCTGGTCAGAGCTACCAGGTGCAGATTGAAACTCTCCTTCGATGAGATCGGACTAATCGATACGATGGTCAAGTTGTTTGTCAACAGTGGTGATCCGGAAACAAAGTGAGTCGTCTCATTGAAGCACGTTGTCTTGTCCTTCTCGATGCACTTCGTCAACTTGTGCAGGCCCTCGAGTTGATAGACCCGGATGGTTGAGGCATTGGAGAGTGTGTATAGCAGTTTTCGGCTGTCGTCAATCACCATATCGGCCAGGGACTCGTTCGTCTTTGGCGCCCAGAGAGCACTTGGGCTGGGCAAAAGTGTGCTCGGATGAGGTAGACTGGGCACCACCGAAGACCATCCTGGGTGTGTATGGTTGATTTTTCCACACCTACTGGAAAACCACTTCTCCTCCTGCTGATAGTAGAGCTCATGCACATCGGTGTCGTTGTTGCCGCCAAAGAAGATTCTACCGTCGGCAGAGCCAACAATGAAGCTCACATCGAGGCTGCCCTTGTGTAGCGTCATCCTGGTCGAGTAGAGGTTGACAGCGTGGGAGCCGTTGGGCGTAGGTGTCGCAGCGATGCCGAGAAGAATCATTTCTGTTGCAGTCGCGAGCACTAATATATGTGTGATTGTGTCGACGAAGACGCCAGCCTTTGGGGGCACCAGAGCCAGGGTTGTGATGGTATGGGGCGACTCTTCATATCCAATCAGTTCTGGGTCTGGATGAGTGTAGTCCCAGAGATAGAGCGCGTTATCAATAGTAACCCAAGCATGGTTTATCTCGGTGAACAGTCCCATGTTTGTCGCAATCTGGCCGCGATCGAAGTTCTCGAAGACCCGGTCTGGGATCGGGTACATGGTGGGCTTGTGGAAGGGGGCAAGTCCTGGGTCGACGGTCGCGAGATCGTAATCGGATGAGGTGCGAACTATTCAAGCTTGTGAGTAGAGTGCCACCACTGGACACATGCGATATGGGGGGCTGCTCACGTTGACACAACGAGTTCAGCTCCGGGTAGCTGCCGTCGAGCTGCAAGAGGTCGTTGACCACCTTGGCAGCTCTGAGCACCGGGGGTTGAGCGGCATTGTCAGGGACCATCTGATGCGCGGGCGGTGCAGGCGGACCAGGTGGTTGCGGTTGACCAGCAGCGCCGAGAGGACGGAACGGATCCGTGGCCGGCCTCGGGGGGTCCCGTCCTAGAGGCCCTCCTCGCGGGCCCCCGGCTGTTGCATCCCCGAAGAGGTTGCGTCGTGTGGCATCATTGGCGGGCGCGGGAGTATTGATAAACGCGCCGGGCAGATGGCGCAGCGGCGTCGTGGTAGCCATGTGGGATGGAATGGAGTGTCGAGGTCGTGGGCGTCAAGACCAAAGCTTGATCTGGAGTCCTCGCCCGGACAGCCCCTCCTCTACCTAGGTAGACAGAGCTGGTCGGTCGCCAAGGAGGTCAACGGTCGATGGTCGATGGTCGATGATCGACGGCAGCAGCTTCGCCTCGGCCGCTCCTCCGTCGTGCGCAGAGGCAACCGAATCGCACGAAGCTATCGCAACATCAATGAGACCTGGCCTGTCGAGTCGCGTCGAGTCGAGGACTTGGAGGAGCAGGAGCAGGAGCAGGAGCAAAGTGTGTTGCAGGCACAGGTCGCTGAGATCGTCTGGTGATCTGAATGGCGTTGGAGGGAGGCTGGCAGTCAATCGACCAGTGTGGTCTGGTCGGGTCCTGTGTGGGCTGGGTAGGTGTGGCAGGTAGGGGAGGTTTGGTACGGTTTGGTCTGCTGCAGCTCTCCGATTGCAGTCAACACAATTTCTTTGCAGGGGTGGTGGTCACTCAAGCAGTCAGGCAGGTCAGGGAAGGCTGGGTCCCAATTTTCGGTGGAGACGCGAACCTGGCGCGCTGGGCCTTGGAGCTAGGCTGTTTTCGGGCACGACAGCTTCAAATACTCAGTCCCTCGACACGATGCCACAAAGACCTGGCCATTGACATGTTTCATGCGTGTCATCGACTACAATGTTGAGACCAAGCCAGATGGATGTACTTGTTTCAGCCGAGTTTGCAACAATATCTACTTAGCAGACAAGTGCCTACAATGGTAGGAATCCTCAATAATTACCCCTCCGTGCCACTCCATGCCCTTCGACAGCCTTTTGGCCTATCGCCTTTCTTCTTCCCTCGGATATTTCCTCCTTCTTCCAACCCTTTTTGGTGGCAGTCTGACAGCCTGCACAATACCGAGCCGTGTAATGCATGATAGAGTCTACCCATCGCCTTTGATTTGGAAGATCTTTCAAATCTTGCCCTCCTCGCCTCCCATGTCAGTCTCCCCAAAACCCTCGCAATTGTTGCCCTACAGTCAGTTACCATGGTTGGCAAAAATCTGTCGTCCTCCCAAAATTCCATTATACTACTCCTTCTTTGCTTCCCGTGCTGCCTTGCGGAGAGCCCTGACGCGGATGTCTTTGTGAGCCTTCAGGTTGAAGCCAATTCCAAGCTGGCTGCCGAAGCCAAGGGCCTTCTCGACCCACCACTGCATGATTGCATGGCTCCACCAAGGCGTGTAGGTGTACGCGATATTCTGAGTGCCTCCCAGCCCAATCTTGCCAAGCGTGGCCTGCACGAAGGGTCGGGGAGTGGGGATCATGGCGGACGGGCGCTTGATCTTGCTCATGGCCGACACCACGAGGTAGGACAGAACCAAGTAGACATCGACGTTGCTCTCCTTGAGCTCCCCGGCCAAGGCGCTACTCCAGTGCTGAAGGAAGGCCTTGCTACCACTGTAGGTCGCGAGGTACGGGATGGGCATCCACCCGCCAAAAGAGCCCATCGTCAGGATCAGCCCACGCTTCCGCTGTACCATGCCTGGGGCGATGATCTGCGTTGTCTTCAATGTTCCGAGGCAGTTGATGGTAACAATGTCCTGCAACTCTTTCTTGTCCGTCTCGACAAAAGGGACTGGGATCGCGTGGCTCTGGCCCACATTGTTGATGAGGATGGCGACGTCAAGGCCCTGAACGAGCTCGGACAGGCGGTCGTAGTCGGACGAATCATCTCTCGAGTAGTCCATGGCGAGCACTTTGGTCTGCACGCCCTGTTTGCTGGAGCTCTCGATCTCAGAGGCCAATGCCTCGAGCTTGGACTGGGTGCGCGACACCAGAACCAGGTTGAATCCCTTGGAGGCGAGCTGTTTTGCGTATTCCTTGCCCAGCCCATCGGATGCTCCGGTCACAACAGCCCACGAACCTGGCTTGCCATACTTGCGGAGGTTGGTGCCGCTGAGGACGAAGAGGTTGAGCAGCAGCCGAGCGTAGCTCAGGAGGTGACTGGCGACATAGAGGGTTCCAATGCCAGCCAGGCCGAGCTGGACAGCTTGTGGCACAGACGAGAGGAGATCGCTGACTGCCATGGTGCTGCTGTCGGAATGTAGTCTGTGACAATGGTGTTGACGGAGGGGAGTTGGTGGAATTGACTGGCTGGCCCGTCCGTCGAGCTCAAGAAAATGATGGGGCTCAGAGCTCTTGGGCCCGTCAACAAATCCTGGAGCCGAGGTTGGGCAAGGTACGTACCTCTTCCATGCGATGTAGCACTGTCGGCTTAGGTACCTGGGTACTGTAGCCAAGGTCGCCGATAGACCGGCTCATCATCGAAGTGATATCTGGAACATATTTGTCTCAACCACTCACCTGCTGGAGTGATCAACTGATTATGAAAAAGACACAGCTTCCAGGGAAAGCTTCCACGGTATTTGGGCATTCTTCTCAATTGCCAATGCCGCGAGCCACATGAATGTTCTCGACAACTACTACGCCAGACATAACGCAACCTTGGGGATAGCCGGTGGTAGGTCTGCTCATCCACCTTCTCAAGCCATCCGGCCATCTGGCCGCGCAAAACGCCAGGCTTCTATTTCAAGACTGCACAGATGATCCAGACTCCAAGCTGCCGCTCAGCCGCTCACAGTGGCAGAGAAACCATAGTCTCGCCGACACTCTGCAGTCTGGGCACCCGGTGCTTCTCGAGAGCTGCTCACAAGACAGCCTACTGCCTCCTGCGGGTCGATATCCTGCAATGATACAAGGCGCAGACTGGACTTTCAGTGCAATTAGAACATCGTCCACCCGAATGTTGAATCGTTGCGATGTGTTCTGGGTCCTTTCAGCTGCTGGCCTGCATCACGCTAAGACCAAGACGTGCAGTGCCCAAAGATTATGGAAAAAAATGGCCTTGGTCTGACGATAGGTTCAACGAGACCGATATGGCCCGGCCATTCTAGACCACACACATACGGAAACACGTCGTCGCCAATTCAAAAGATTTGGCTCATCTCAGGTCTTTCACTTCAAAATTGATGCAGCCCAAAGTCCTTGCCATGCCTGTACAGCTGAGGCAGCAGCATGGACTCAATATTCGTCCAGTCGCCGTGGATCGTCCGGGGCGACACTATGGAAGCTTTGGAGCTTGACAAGGAGCCCGAGGGCATCAATATTCTGCTTACCCCTCCAGCCTTCCGACGGCCTCCACGATCGCATCGCCTCTTTGTCTCCATGAGCAGACACACATAGCCTGGCGGGTTGGATGCAACCTCCTGGGTTTCCTCTTCACGGCCTCATCTGCCTCCAGTATATGCGCCAAGAAACCACAATGACTTTCGCCAGTGGAATGGTGTTCGTCGGGTTGCCAAGATAACTCATCGCCGGATGGCGAGCATATTGATAGGACATGCCTGCTCGACCGATGCTCGACCGAGCCGTCCGCTCTTGGCCATGCCGAAGCCATTTGAGCGCGCTCAGCATTGATGCAGCTCGTCATGCGGCAGCTGAAAAGCTGACCAAAGCAAGGCAGAGCATTGGCAGTACGGGAATGGAGGTCTTGGCCTTTTAACAAGTTGATCGTGTTCACGGACACCCTTCATCCGATCAGGCGTGCGCTTTGGTCTCGGCCCGGGGCTCGGGCGTGGGCGTGGGCGTGGGTGTTGGCGTCGTCTGCACTCTATAATAAGACGACTTTCTTTCCTCTAAATGTCTTGTCACTGGGACTCAGGGCTCCACGCTACGATTAGTGGTTGGCGCCGTTTCCCTCAGTTGCCGTGTTTTAGTCCAGGAACGCCCCTTTCACGCCGCTGTGACAGCCACAGATAGAACAACGAGGGAGGAGACCACATCACGCAGAAGGCTTGCAGAATTCGGCCCTGTGGCCTTCCCTTACCGGACGCGATCAGCTTATTTTGTCTCCCTTTGCAATAATGTGCTGCTCGGGACAGGCTCGCATAGGTACCTTATGTCGCAGACAGTAAATTGCACCAGCGAGAAGATAGCAAAAAGACGCCAACCGCTACTTGGCTGCTGGTTCCGTTCGCCAACATAAGGGCAAAGCAAAGATGGAGAGCCCAGCTTCCAATTCTCGGCGCGATCCAGACCGTCGGCGAAGTAGTGTGCAAGAGTTGCCACAGCCAGGTGCACAGCACGGCCGTATAAGCTCTCGCCCAACTCAACTCCACAAGTGCTAAAGCCACCTCGTGATTGATGGTTCTGGCGCGCCACTATATATCCAGCTCGACAAATGCCAAGTCCCCTCAGACAAGCCGTCTTGGTGCCTCATCCAGCTTACTAGACTGAACAGCGTTCGCGAACACCTCGGACTCCCCCTTCGATGGCCGGGAGGCGCCTACAGTCGCATGCTCGGAAAGCCTCATGGTCATGTTCATGAGGCCAGAAGCCAAGAGTCTTGTGTTTGGAACTACAGTGGTATCGAGAGTCTTCTCGTATAGTACAGGGGCTAGCTGAGGTTGTCGCGAGATGTTATGATGAAGGAGGGCGAAGTGGTTGGATATAAAGCTAGGGGACGGCCCTCGTAAGTCTCTTTGAAAGTATTGAATAAGAGTCATCACCTTCTTTCACAATATCGTCGTTCTTTACTGGTACAATACTTGTCCACTCATCTTGAGTTTGCTCCAACATCATTCTTTCGTGCTCGGTCACCATTGGAACCTACAATGAAGTTCTCAGCCATCACTTCTGCCTGCGCCGGCGCAGCCTTCGTCGGCAACGTTGTGGCACATCCAGGAATGGCCAAGATAGTAGATGAGATTAAAGCAAATATCATGTCTCGTCAGGGCGGGCCTGTCGACCCAGCCCTCAACTCCAACGAACTTATTGGCGACCTTTTGACGTTGCAGGACAGCCAGCTCACACCGGTCGCTAAGGATATCAAGGCCACAATTCTAAACCAAGCTAACGGGGAGAGTTTGGAGACTTATTCCAGCGTCCCTAGGCTTGGTACATCGCAATGCAAGGCTGACACCTGCTGTGTGTGGCAATACATTGCCAATGAGATGGTCACCGCCTTCAAGGGTCCATCTGGCAGATGCACCAATGCTGCAAGGGCAGCCGTCCGCCTCGGTTTCCACGACGCGGCCGGATGGTCCAAAAACACAGGGCCAGACGGCGGTGCCGACGGGTCGCTGATCCTGGCGCCGGAGGAAATCCGCCGCCCAGGAAACCGCGGCCTCGAGGAGGTTGTGACGCTGACCCAGTCTTGGTTCAACAAATACAAAGGCTATGGAATCTCTGCAGCCGACCTGATTCAGATGGGTGCTAACGTCGCCACCGTTGTCTGCCCTCTCGGCCCTCGCACAAAGACCTATATTGGACGCAAGGACAACTCCAAGGCTGCCCCAGATGGCCTCCTCCCACCCGTCGACGCGTCTGCCGACTTCCTAATCAAGCTGTTTCAGGACAAGACCATCCAGCCCAACGGTCTCGTCGCACTACTAGGTGCACACTCGACTGCTCAGCAACGCTTCGTCGACCCTCGCAGGGTTGGCGACCCCCAGGACAGTACCCCCGGTGTATGGGAGTCAGTATTACCCCTTTCCCGCTACGTTTGCCTATCCGTCTTTCATTAGAACCTTCCGGAATGGATCGTTTAGGGCACCGTAGCAGGTGACTAACGCATAGCAGTATGCTCTATTATAACGAGACCATCAGCCCGAACGCGCCTGCTCGTGTGTTCAAATTCGCGAGCGACATTAAGCTGGCTGCGGATCCCAGGATGAGCAGACTGTTTACCGCCTTCGCCGCTCCCAACAACGCTGCGCAGCTGCCCTGGAACCTTGTAAGTGATCTCTGAGAGCCACGACCGCGGAGCCCACGAGGATCTGCTAACCCGGCTTGTGTCTAACAGCTCTACGCCCGCGAGTATGTGCGCCTCAGCCTGCTGGGCGTCAACAACATCAACTCGCTGACGGACTGCACCAAGGTGCTCCCGCAGCCCGTCAGAACATTCGTGCCAAATGACAGGTGCGAAGTGAAGACGTGGATGTCGTCGACTAAGAACGTCCCGGCCATTGCCAACGCCCTCCTGGACGGCAAGCTCATCACCTCCATCCCGGGGCTGTCAAGCCTCTTGAGTAGTATCCTGGGCGGACTTCTCGGGCTAATTGGCATTGGCCGCACGGGGTCAAACTGCTGACGAGCTGGTATTGGTGTGACTTAGCTGCGAAGGTGTGACGTGAGCGACGATGGCCTGGAGCTGTGTGCCAACAGCGGTTTTAGTATCTATCATACTTGGTGTTTTCGATTCTTCTATCCCTTTTTCTAATAGTAATATTGAGTAGATCAACTGCTCGTGGCCGAACAAAGACGTTGTCATGAGAGACAACTATTATAAGAAATGGAATCGAGCATCTCGCAGTGCGCTGAGCCATTTCGAAGCTCCGTATATTGACATTTTTGAGTGCGCAGGGGTTGAGATAGCACACGGGAACAACCCGCTGCGCAGCCAGATATGCTGCATTCATACAACATGAGTTGGACGACAATGGGATGATGATGAGGCGTTGTTGTGTTGAGGAGGTTCATTGTCGTTGGCCGGAAACAGCAATGCAGTAGTAGCTTGCCGAGCCGGGTCCGAGGATGTTTATTTGCGTCCACTTTTCTCACACCACTCGCTCACTGCACATCGAGCTTCTGGAGCCTTCCCAGAAACCGACTGACGCTGTCAACTCTGGGACAATCTTGAGAATCGTCAATTGACTTTTCAAGACACACCACAGAGCTTCAAGACCCTGAAGCCGCCCCAAATCGCTAAGGATGGGCAGCCTGTACTCGCTTCTGCCGCCTGCCGAGGACGGCATCCTCCCCTATTACCTGCTAGTGGTGAGCCAACCCCGTTGCCCTCTTCCACCAAACTTCACCCACGGTCCTGCCCTGCCTCGCAACTGACTCAATAACTCAGGTATCGGTAGCGGCCATTGGAAACGCAGTACAGAACCTCCTGACACTACACTACACCCGCCGCATTTACAACGGCCTCTTCGTCCCCAGCGCTTCGTCTCGCACCAACCCCGACTCCGTGTCGAAGCTCCAGCCCGTCGTCGCCGCGCAGGACCTCAAGGACAAGCCCACCGCCGTCGATCAGGTCACCCCGCTGGCCGCGCGCCTCTTCGGCGTCTACACGATCCTCGCGGGCGTCATTCGCGTCTACGGTGCCTACCGGGTGCACGACCCGGTGCTGTACCAGATGTGCCTGTTCACCCACCTCCTGGCGGCGGCGCACTTCACGAGCGAGACCCTGATATTCAAGACGGTGAGCCTGGGGTGGGAGCACGCGTTCCCGTTCGCGGCCGCGTTCAGTGGGAGCTTGTGGATGGGGCTGCAGTACGGGCATTACGTGAAGGCGTGAGGGGCGCTGGATGGGCGGTGTTTGCGCCGTATACCAGATGCAGGACCGCACAGGACGGTTAAGTCTAGGAGAATCACACTCGGGGCGCCCCGGCGGGGGGGGGGGCATTATACATTTTCTCAGGGGCACGTTCACCGTAGGGAAGATGCACGGAATGTTGGTTCTATTCTCTATATACTAGTAGTGCTTAATACAAGGCGCGATGAATAGGATGTACAGTAAGCTCTCGCGTTGTAGTCCCCTACTTCAGGAGGCTCTTCCGGTAGACTTCACCTCCCAACGGCCTGAGCCTCGCCGCCGCCTGCTCCGGCGTGATATCCCGCTGTGGCTCAGCCAGCAGCTCGTATCCCACAAGGAACTTGCGCACCGTCGCGGAGCGCAGAAGGGGCGGGTAAAAGTGCATGTGGAAATAGCTGTTCTCGGCCTCTTCCTCTGTGCAGTCGAGGGGTGCTTGGTGGATGCCAGAACCTGGTATCGTCAGTCACTAAGGTCTGCCACAGTCTTCTCGAGCAGACTGGAAGGAGACTGGCAGGGTGACGCTACTTACTGTATGGGAAGCTGCACTCAAACAAATTATCATATCGTCTGGTGACCTCCTGGACCGCCTCGGCAAACCACACCCTCTCCTGATCGCTGAGGTCCACTAGAGCGCGAACATGCCTCTTGGCAATGATCAGCAGCTCGAACGGCCAGACCGCCCACCACGGGCACACGACCACGAACCCCTCATTCTGCCAGACAACACGCTCACCCTTCTCAATCTCTAGCTTGACGTAGTCGGCCAGCAGGTGCCGCCCGTCGTGCTCCGCGCGGTACTTGGTCATCTGCGCGATCTCCTTGCCCGGCTCCTCGGGCAGCGTGCTCGTTGTCCAAACCTGGCAATGGGGGTGGGGGTTGCTGCAGCCCATCGCAGCGCCCTTGTTCTCGAAAATCTGCATGTAGCGCAGCTGGTGCTTCGGCCTGTCGATGTTGTCTGGCAGCCCGGGCTGCTTCTGCAGCAGCGGCAGGGCGGCGGCGACGCTTGACAGGGGATTCGAGGGTGACAAGTGGGCGGCGTAGATGCGCGTCCACGTCTCGATGACGGGGAGAATCTCGGCGGGCGACATGTCGGCCAGGGTCACGGAGTGCTTCGCACTGAAAGTCAGGACGTAGCACTTGCCCGTGACGGGCTCGGCGCGGAGCAGGAGGGCTGAGAGGTCATCGCTGGAGGAAGGCTCCGGTGGGTGATACTCAGCCTGCTCCTCCTTGACAGCACTGTAGTCGTTTACGAAGACAAAGGTGTTCGCGTATTGCGGGTTGGCGTCGCCTTGGGCGCGAGGGTTACCAGGACAGAGGTAGCACTGTTTGCACGACGCAGGTCAGCTCTCGGTTTGCGACCAAGGCGTGTGAGATGGGAGCGCGGAAACGGGAGAATGCAGACGGACCTGCGGATCATAGTCTGGCAGGGTGTTCGCTTGTGCTCCCTCTTGCTGTCCTCTAGTAGACTCATGTGGTCAGGCTTATTTTCTTTGCTTGCGCATCTAGCAGACAGGCCTGGGAGGTGACGAAGGGGGGAGGGGAGGAACACTGACTGCCATGGTCGCTTTGTTCGGTGGGGCGAGACCAGCAGCCAGGACCCGGTCAGCGGGTTATACCTGCGGTGGGAGATGTCGTCGAGGATCTTGTCGGGCATCTTGAAAGGTATGTACAAGGGAAAAGCGCAGGATTAAAGACAATGAAAAAGAGAGGCCAAGGGAATGACTGGCCTGAGATGTAAAGACACCTGAGCCTTTTTTTATATGTCCTGCGTGCGGTTTAACTGCGCGCACTAATTCAGTCTTCGGTCCCTCTGGCGCAAGTGGTGTTACTCTCATTGTACCCCGCCATACTGCTCCTGGGCCATGTGGGGGCATTCCTCGCTCAAGCTCTCGCCGCGACCCATCACCCCAGTCCCCCAGTTTCTGTGAGCTCTGGTGTTGGCCTCGGCTGGGATGGGTCGTGATTCGGGGAAACCGGCGCCAGTAGACAAGTGGGTCCAAAACACCATCTGTCAGCAACTGGCTATCGTGACAGACGGCTATTTGTTTACTGAGGCAGGTGACGAAACTGACAATGTAGCAGGGGAAGTCAGGGGCCCGGTGCAAGATGTGTAATCCACCGCGGTGATTTGGTGGATGCCGGCCGTATGTAGCACTCATAGAGATGCGAGAGTGAGAAATTGTCTCCATCTTCTTGACTTTGGCCGCTTCTACGACCGTGAGTAGCCGTCCCGCAGTCTCTTTGCGAGCGGACGACTAGTGGCATTTGCAGTACTCAGACTGGAGCTCTTTCCTATCATTCCTGCATGGGTGGTGAAATCTCTCTTCCCTTGCAAGTGCGCTGCGCTTCACTCGTGCATAAACGAATCTGCGAATGGCACGATCACGCGTCTGTCAGCGTGAAATTTTATTTTCTGATGGTTTGCCAAGTCATGGATGACCGTTCTTATTCTGCGGTCTGGCTATCTGCTGCACCTATGCTACTGTCTGGAGTTTCTAGCAGCCTGGAGAGGTACAAATTGCGCTGTTGGATTCTAAGTTCTATAAGCCTCTGGAACCCAACGATCACATCGGTGTGAGCACGTTGAAATTTTGGGTGACGGATATTGAGGAAGCAGCACGGCTCTGTCGCAATACCCATACAGCAGACATCAGAGGAAGAAGCACGTCTATTACAACTAAGAGCTTGTATGTGTATATTTTAACGTGCTGGCTGGCTGGCTGGCTGGCTGGCTGGTCGGCTGCTGGCAGCTTGCTTCAATACGTTAGCTGCTGCCAAGGCCAGGTTCTCTCTCCTCGGAAGGCTTATCTTCTTATCGGATCCCCTAGCGTCTCTGTCTCTTGTGGGGGCAGCCTGGGAGCTCCGAAAATGGTTCCTGCGGCTCAAGGTCCCATCGTCCGACTGGATCGGCCAAGACTCCACAGCTGCTCATCCGCGATTCCACCTCCACATCAATCCAGCAACGACGAGCTCATCTGTTATCAATGCGCATCCTCAGGCATCGGACTCACGCGTCGCGTCATCGATTCCCGCCCAGTATTGATCGATAATTCACTTGCCTTGGCTTTTGGACCCCTTCGAACGCGCATCTCTGCCTCCTCCCTCTCAAACGTCACCGCAATTACTCTAGGCTGCCGACACAGTATCACTTGATCGCTGCTTCGACCCTCGGCGGCCGCCATGGCTGTCATCCGGAAGAAAACCGCCACTCGGGGTAGCGAGGGAGGTGTTAAATACATATGTGATGTGTGTTCTGTAGATATCACATCTACTGTGAGTTCTCCCCGCCCCCGCCTCCCCCCTTCCAACTCTCTCCACACCTCCTCTCCCCTCCGTCACTGGCACCTCTTTGCTCTTTCGCACCCAAGCTCGCTCTGCCAGTTCTGACCATTATCGTTGCTACCTTCCAGGTCCGGATACGGTGCGCTCACGCCACTTGTAACGATTATGACCTCTGCGTCCAATGCTTCTCCAAGGGCTCAACAAGCAACACCCACAATCCTGCCACGCATCCCTATCGAGTAATAGAGCAAAATTCCTTCCCCATATATGACGAAGAATGGGGAGCAGACGAGGAGCTTTTGCTTCTTGAGGGCTGCGAGATCTATGGTCTTGGGTCCTGGGCAGATATCGCAGACCACATCGGCGGCTACCGCACCAAGGACGAGGTTAGGGACCACTACGAAAAGGTTTATATCCAGTCCTCCAAGTTCCCGCTCCCTGAACGCTGCAGTCCTAAAGACACGGCCTTGGCGAATACGATCACTAGGGAGGACTTTCAGGCCCGGAAGAAACGGAGAATCGAGGAGCGTAAGGATGCCATTAAGAATGCCCCAGCCCCGCCGCCGAAAACTAAACCCACCGCATCTGTCCCCTCTTGCCACGAAATCCAGGGCTACATGCCAGGCCGCCTGGAGTTCGAGACCGAACACGCCAACGAAGCCGAGGAGGCAGTTCAGCTCATGCAATTCGAGCCCGGAGATGGCATCAACCCAAATACTGGTCAACTAGAACCAGAAATGGAACTCAAGTTGACAGTCATGGAAATTTACAACTCCCGGCTGACACAGCGTGTGGATCGCAAAAAGGTCATTTTCGAGCATAACCTCCTCGACTACCGAGAGAACACTAAGCTCGATAAAAAGCGATCCAAGGAGGAGCGGGACATTCTCAACAAGGCCAAACCATTTGCGCGCATGATGAACCATCAGGACTTTGAAGACTTCAATCAAGGCCTTGTTGACGAGTTAAACCTTCGCCAAGCCATCACCCAGCTTCAAGATTGGCGTAACATGGGTATTGGCAACCTCAGAAGCGGTGAGAAGTACGAGCAGGACAAGTCATCTCGCGCACAGAACAAGATTCCTATGGGCTCCATGGATAGAGAACGTCTGGCGGCGGCTCAGCGTAACAAGCAACCCCCGCCGTCAGATCCACCGAGTGGGGCCGCCCTCCTGGTAGCCCCAGAACTTCCGATACGCCCAGCAACCAAGAATGGTCTCCAGAGTGGCGAGGCTGCCACCGATGGGGGCGCCAAGCTCACGAACGGGAACCACACAAACGGTGTCAACGGCAGTAGTGTTGTTGTGGCCAATGGCGTCGACTCGTCGAAGAAGCCAACCCATGTGCCACAGCCTATTTCTGGAGTCACCCCGATCCAGCTGACCCAAGACATGCCCGACTACCATCTTCTCACGAACGAGGAAGTCAGGCTCTGCGAAGTCATCAGGATGCAGCCGAAGCCCTATGTCATGGTCAAGGCCGAGATTATCAGGGAAGCTGTCAAGGGTAATGGTTCTCTCAAGAAAAAGCAGGTAAAAGAAATTTGCAGCAAGAACCCATCGTCATGGGATTCGCGCAAGGCCGGCGCAGTGTTTGAGTGTATGGTCGCCTGGGGATATATTTCCAAAGCTTAAGCACCCACCAAAGACTTCCGTTGCAAAAACCAGCAATGGGAATCCTATTGGTCCATCTAGTGCATAGTTATCAATCTTAAAGATTATGCTTCGCATCCGCAAGCGACAGTTGAACGACAAAAGCTCTCTTGGGCGGGCTCAGTGACACAAGCCAGGCTTCTGATGGCAATTTGTTCGATATTGTGTCGCTTGTGCTTTTGCCAACGCACAATACCTTGCTTCTGGAGCTGTCCATCATTGCCATCCACATTCCCACGCGCAAGAAGCATAGGGGGCAGACTTGGAAGTATTCGAACTACATTCACAAAAATTGAGAAGCACCATCCACCTGGCTTGGAAGGACGCGGAGGGTAACTTCATTTCCTTTCTTTCCTTTTTCTTTTCTTTTCGCGAGGTAAGAAGACACTCGAGAAATATGTACATGAACGATGTTTGATTATAGATCTAACTTTTCCACAGAGAATACGAAGTTTTCAAAGGGCTCGAAGTACGTTTGTCTGGGGGTCGAGATGACCTGCTTCACTAGCAGTGGAGACGCTGTTACTGGTCCGGCCATTCCACGAGAATTCGCTTTGGAAATTGATGACTACAGACGGTATTCGAAGGCAACGCCGAGTCTCAAGCTGGAGAGCTCACCTGGAGCAAGCGACGAGACGGTGATAGTGTTGACGTGAGATCCAGAAAGGGTGTCGCAAGGCTTTTGTTGTCAGACTGAAACCTGCAAGCAGTGAAGCTACGCATCGGAGGCTGACAGGTTGCAGGATCTTGAGTGCGACCCTGGGAAGCCGGGAGATGCGCCTCGCGCAATTGCTCGAGATGGAGTATTAGAATGGAGACCTTTTTCTTAGGCCAAGACGTGAAAGACATTGGTCCAGCTGTAGACATTGAGAGGGTGTCTTGGTCAGTGAGTGCGCATCATCCAGGGTCACCGGGCCGCCGAATAGCGAGAAAAACAAACAAACATACAACCCCCCATGCTCCCTATGTACGGGCGGCGATCTCGTATCGATGCACTGACTCGGCAGCCGAGTCTCGCTCTTTTCGATGTGTCTACTGCCAGGCCATCTCTCGGGCCAGCGGCCGGCTTCGTGCTCCATGCGAGTATCAGGGAAAGGCAGTGTCAGTGACGTTGGCTGCAGGAAGCCAAGTCACGATGGGGTTTCAATATCCAGATGAGGATCTTACTCATCGGCATCCAATATATGCAAATTCGCCGAGAGTGTACAGACTTTGAGCTAGGCACGTCTGTCTCCGGAGACCCATTTAGCCTGAGTCCGCTTTACAGCTTGAACTAGGCACGGGACAGCCTGCCGGTCCACAGAAAGTGCTCACCACTTCACCACTTTGATCAGCGCGCAACAACATCAGCCCATGTGTATGCCCACTCTGAGCTCACGGGGGTCTCGTGTCATGCTCAGAGCCGGTAGGCTTCTTAATGTCCTGGTCTCAATACCGCAGCGCCTTGGCTAAGTCCGTCATTAGCTTCGACGTGATCGCCTTGCGGGCCGATAACTGTCTCGGCCCGTCGCTCCAGGAACAAGCTGAAGAATGTGGACCGTAAGCTTCTCGCTCCCTATCTGTGAGGTCTTGATTGCTTCTTGGCTCTTTGTGGCTGGGGAATACGGCTGACTTCTAGTCATTATATATCGCGTTGTTGGGACTGGATGAGGTGTGCCATTGCATAGATGAAGTCCCCAAATTAGAGAAGATCTCGGTAGAAGGCGTTCGGTGTTGGCCGTCAAGACTCTTCCCTCAAGTGGACTGCTCGCTTTCCGTTACAGTTTCACTTGTGCATTGCAACTACCTTTTGAAGATTTGTCATTGATGATTGTGTACTGGACCGGACACGCATTCCAGCCCTTTACCTTCTTGAATACTACCTCGAGATACCACCAGAGAACAAGAAACAAGATGGCAAAGGAAACCAATACAAACCCTACAGTCAGAATTCTAGTGATAGGAACAGCTGGTGCCGGGAAGAACTGCCTGGAGTCGAGATTCACGACATCACAGTATCCTCCGCCCTACGATCCATCTCTCACGTTGTGCAGCCGACGCTTCCTCACCCTGGAGCCAAAACCATCAAGCGGTGGCGACTCCCGTTCGTCGGCGCTCCCAGCGCTGCGTGTCTCGACTGATTTCCGTGAATCTACGCCCTCGCTGCTATCACCGCCAGACTCCGCAGGTCCAGCAAGCCCCATCTCGGACCCCGTGTCGCCAATCTCGTTCGTTAGCACGACATCAACGCTCAACACCAGCACAACGAGCATCCCAGGCTCTGCTTCCTTCGGTCGCGAAATTGGGCTACCCAAATCACAGCCGTGCATCAAATGTGAACGCAGAGCGAACACCTACCTAGTAGAGGTGGTCAACTACCCGGCCCTGCAGTCTGCCAAGATGCGGCAGCACGTTTACACCAAAGGAGAATACGACGCCGTGCTCCTTGTGTACGACGTTTCGGATCGAAATAGCTTCGAGAAGATCCAAGAACTCCACGCAGAGGTACCTCTTGGTAGTGATCATGGCAGCAAGCATCACAAGAGGCAGAGATCGCACATTTCACGAAGACATTCCGGTCCGCCAACGGAGGCCCTGCAGAGGAGGAACAGCGCGATGAGCTTCTTCAATGCGGGCGGTGGTTTGGTTGGCGTTGAAGAGGAAGTGGAGGCTAAGAAAGGCTCAAGAGGAGTCGTGGTTGCGCTAATCGGCAACAAGGCTGATGTTGATGATGAAGATTGTGATCAGATTGAAAAGACCGTTGAGGAGGACGGCTCCCAGGAGCAGGATTATGATGATGACTGCGAGTCTGCCCTTGCCGTCTTCGGCGACGCCCTTCAGCGCGACCCTCGCGATGAAGTCAGATTCGGCGCAACATCTTCGGTCCTGGGAATCACCAGCAGACCAAAGCCCTCTCACGCTGAAAGTTCCGAAACTGTTGAACGGTGGCTCCAGATTGTCGGGAGGGCGGTCGAGGAAGGAAAAGAAGGTGCCCACGATGTCCTAGCTGTCCCAGAACCACCGGCAAGCAAGTCCAAACCGGGGAGATTGGTCTCCAAAGCCGAGGGTGAGGATCTGGCCAGATCATTGCAGCTGCAGGTTCCGTTCCTTGAGACAAGCGCCAGGACAGGGGCAAACGTCGACGAGGCATTCGAATCAGTCGTGCGCTCGGTCCTGGGCCGGAACCACACGCATTCAACCACAGAGCTTGCCAAGAGGTGCAGGGAGAGGCACGAGGCTGAGCAGCAGAAGCGTGCCGGTGTCAGCCGGGCGCCAAAACCCGGGGATCGGACTACAAGCAGCGCAGGACCAGGGCGCGCACAGGAACATCACGGCCGCTTGGCTTTGGAGACTAAGCTGGATAGGCACGGGCATACTGCCCACCTTGAGCGCCCTGCACCTGTCCAACATGTCCCTAGCCGCGAGAACATTACACGCCGGGAGAGCTTTATGGGCCGCATGCGAAGGATGCTGATGCATGAAGAGCCACGTGAAAGGGAGAACATCCGAGGCTCTAGGAACAATTCTCCTATACGGTCTTTATAGAGGGTGGGTTTTTGAGAGGAGGGGTGGAGAGCGGTGGCGGCTGTGTCATTGCTAGATTCTCTTGGCCGTTTGGGGCAGTTCTTTGATTTTATAGCACATCTACCGGGTGTTGTTCCAGCCCTGGTATTCCAATGCACAGATTTTCCCCTTCGAAGCCATAATAGTCTCTTTACAAAGTCTCACAAGTTCGGTCTCATGCGCCTGGCTGACGAGGTTTGTGATAATTGCTTTTGCGCAGATCTCGAGTGTTTCAAGCGATTATGCTTACCCAAAGCTCCATTTTCAAACACCGGAATCGACTGATACATACTCGAAAGCCGCCTACTTACTCAAAGATGTAAGAAGTTTTTAAGAAGCGACTTTAACCACGACTTTGCCCCTCGCACGCCCAGTATTCAGCCTCTCAAACGCTTCCCGGGCTTGGTCAAAGTTAAAAGTGCTATCAATAATTATCTTGTCCTTGGGAAGACTCAAGATCTCCTCCAAATAAGAATACTTGAACTCAAGATTGACACAAGCATACGACGGGCCGAGACCTGCCCTCCCGAGCAGCGCGCGCAGTGCCATCTGAGGGTTCCATAAGTAGATGCTCCTGCCGCCCATCAACATGCGGTTAGTTTTATCACCGACGATAGTGACATATCTCTTAGCTATGCCAAGACACTCTGTCCCGCCAACGCAATCGATAATGACGTCGGGCGCGAAGCTCCTGAGCCGGTCTGGCACGCTCGTGGTTGTGTAATCGATCGTGTCGCTCGCACCCATGCTACGGACGAAGTCCGCATTGCGGCCAGAGCAAGAGGCGGCCACCGTCCAGCCCCGGCTCTTCGCAAGGTGCACAATGTACATGCCTGTACTTGAACTACCGCCCAACACCGCGACCTTGCCGTTCGTGACGTAGTGCTCGACCTCTGCGATCACGGTCCGCGCCGTGAGCCAGACGAGCGGGAGGGCGGCGGCCTGTTCCCAGGACCAGTCAGCGGGCTTGGGGATCACGACGGACGTCTTGATGTCGAGCCTGATGACCTCTTGCAGAGTGCCCCCCGGGAGGATGGGGGCGATCCCGAGCACCTCGTCACCAGGCTTGAAGCCCGAGTCCTTGCCTGCGTCCTGCACCACACCCGAGAAGTCCTCGCCTACGCCCTTTTCGAGGGCGATGATGAAGCTTGGGAGGTACGGCCACAAAGGAAGTCCCATTAGCTGGACGTCAACGGGGTTGATGGACGCGGCGTGAGCTCGGACACGAATCTCTGAGGATTTGAGTGGTCCTGTGTCACCTGGTAGGCTCGACTGTTGCAGTGCCTCCGGATAACCCCCTTGGGTGAATGTCCAAGCCTTCACTGCCTCAGCCATACTGATATAGTCGGGCTGGGCATGTGATCAGATCAAGTTTGACACACTGGCAGGTTGCACTCTGAGGATTTGAGGCTCGGGTAAGGAAATCAGCTTGACGCGAAACAACGGCGTCTTCTGGTAGAGCCAGCTAATTGATTGTGATAGCAGGAGTGCAATCACCCCGTATGCTTTTATATGTATGGTATGGCCCCAGAGGGCCGTGCCTTGTTCTCGTCGGACTGCGCTTGTCCTGCAAGCGCAGGCGTGGGTACCCCCACAGGTGAACATTACTAAAGAAAGACGGTATAACTAAAACCCGCCACAACGATGTCGATTACACATTCTCGACAGTGCCCCAAATTCCAACGACCAAAGTCGTCAAATGTCTGTCAATTGACGAGGTCCAAAAGTCATATTCCTCACTCTTTCTCGGAGCATGGAAAGAGTCGTATCTTGGTAACACGTGATTACTTTCACAACGAGCAAATGAATTCTGGCAACTGAGGTACTCGGCTGTTCATGTGGAATGTTGGTCTCAATCTAGGACTGCTTGGCTCCTCAGCGAGTCCATAATCATGATCTTCATGAGAACCCCGCCGTCTTATGAATGAATAGGCCTCAAGTATGCGATATTAGCATTCATTGCGCTAGCTTTCCGACGTGCCTTCTTTCTACATACCTACCTGCTTAGTGGATACGTAATGAGCCTCCAGGATCCCCATTTATCAAAGTCCAATGGATGATGAGAAGATAGAGGGGATGAAGGCGATGTCGAAGGCACACAAGGCACCTGTAACACATGCACTCCAAGTAGGCTCGTCGTCTACGAGAAAGAATCCTGGAGATCTCACATGCGCAAACAATCTGCTTGTTACTTGACAAAGTGGGCCTTTCAACATCACTTTGGCGAGCTCTACATAGGTAATAGACTGTAGCATATTTTCATAGCTGGCAAGTCATGTAGTTTCAAACCCAGCTCCACAGTTCGCGGTTGGACACGGAATTAGTTGCTTCCATGTTTGACATGCTATCGCCGGCTGAGGCAGTCTCCGCACAATCATTTCAAGTGTCCCACAAGCTGATTCACTGTTATCCCACAGGTACAAAGACATGATGTTTTCCAACCATGAGAGAAGAGCGGGGTAAAGAGGAAAAGCAGGTCCAGTGGAGGTTTTGGACGCAATATATTCAATGCTGTATAGCCGCCAATCCACTTTTCCCAGGTTTAATTCGAGAGGATTTGTTCTCCCGCTGCAGAGGCGACCCATACCCAGATCTCTGGGGCTCGGCTTGATAGTCATAAAAGCACCATGTACGCCATGCCATGTTGTATGCCACAAAACATGATGTCGATCCGTGGTCAGAGTGGTATACTATAAAATGGAAGTGCAGACAAGGGGCCTGTGGCAACCGTCACTGTCCACCTTGCAGCCACGGCTTCTGCACGCGGCGTTTCAAACCCAGCCACGTCTTGCACACCAAACAGCGCCAGGGAGCTGGTTGGGGAGCAACGGCACTTGAGTCGGTAGGTTCCTACCAGTCGACGGCCCAGCCGTTGTTTTCTAAAAAGTCCTCGCAGGCATCCCTCAGGTCAAGATTGGGCCGCAAGTCAGAGACATCCAAATGCTCCCTTGTGACGGGATCCGTCTTGGAACGCTTGAGGTGCTCGAGGATGCTTGCCCTCTCGTAGCTCTTGCCTGTCTTTGTGATTACAGGGTCGACCAGGATGCCGAACGTGATGTCGTCGACTGCCCAGTCGGGCACCTCTCTCCGCTTGCCCTGCTCGCCCCTTGCCAGCTGGAAGGTTCCCTTCATGGCGGCAATCTTTGCGTCCCAGTCGGCCGTGACATCCTTCAGCTCGAACTCGTCCGAGCACTCGGCCAGGGCCTGGGTGCGCTCCTTGTCGAGCAGCTCGAGGACTTCGCGCTCCAATGCCGAGGACTCGCGCAGGCGCCTTCGCTCCTTGTCGTCCCACCGCTCCTTCTTGCACCGCAGGACCAGCTGTGTTATGGCGCCGAGGGACTTGTCGCCGGTTTTGACTGCGAGTTCGTGGGCTCTTTTAACGTTGTCGAGGGCGTCGTCGAAGTACTTGAGCTCGATCTGGGCTTGGGCGATCAGGAAGTGGGCCTTCATGTTGTCCGAGGAGAGGGCGAGGCATGTCTGGCAGTCCAAGATGGCGTCCTCCCAGCGCTGCAGCCTTATGCGCGCTAGGGCTCGGTTGGTGTAGATCTTGGGGTCTTTTGGGTCGGCGATGATCCTGTGGTCGGGAGGTGGTGTGTCGGCTCGAGGCACTCGTCGCGGAAGAGGGGGGGGGAGGGAGGAGGGAGGGCGCGTGGACTTACGCCTGCGAGTACAAACCCTCTGCGCCCCCATAATCACCTCTCGCGAAGCGCTTGTTGCCCTGTTCCTTAAGGGCAGCAGCTTCTTGTACTGCCATCTTCCTGGGGGGGCGATGGCTGGGCAGTATGCAACGTTTCGAACTGGAGTGGCTGAGGACGAGGCTGGGTCAGGCTCGACCCTTCTCTTTTATTGTTGGGAGGATCTGTCTTTAGCAGTGCTGAGAAAGGCGCTGTTGTCTCAGGAGGACAATCGCCGGTTCTAGGTCAGTGTCAGGAGTTGAGAGCGTAGGTGGTGAGCATTGTCGTTGTCTCGACGTCGACGAGAGGGCAGAAGGCCAAGGGCAGAAAGATGGTCACACTGCCGTGACTGGGGTTAGCAGCTACGATGCGGGTACGACACGGTCCAGTACGATGCGATGCGAGACAAAGCACAGAAGACAGGTGACAGGTGACAGGTGACAGTATGGTGACAATGTAAGGCCGGCAGGGACGTCTATATGCCGTCTGATTATGTATATGTATGTATGTGTACAGTACTGGTCGGAAGGCGCGGGCACGAATGGGCAGGCGTCAAGGTAAGGCAAGGCGAGGTGAGGTGAGGTGAGGTGAGGTGAGGTTCGTCTGGTGCTGTCCCTTACTCCTGACTATGTATTGGGGAGCTGCAATGGCCGAGCTGGTTCGAGCTGGACCCTGGAATTCGGGCGAGCTTTGCTGTACCTAGGTACCTAGTACAGGGGCGAACCCCGCCACAGCCGGGAGGAACGCCCAGCCTCGGCCTGTTCTCGCCCAGGCGCGAGTGCAGCCCGTTGCACATTTGTCAACAGCGAACATTCTGGAATCTCGTCTACATGTCTACTGCACTCACTAATCTCACCTCACCTCACCTCACCTCACCTCACCCTACCTCACCCCATGGCAGACCACCTCATGCTTACATCTCCACTCACTCAAGGCTGTGAGAAAACCTGGCAAGTGCCTGCTAACCAGCCCACAAAGGTCTAGTCCACACACACCAGGCTACAGGCTACCAAGGCCCACGAGACGCAAGGCTGAGAACATATTTGCAAGCTGGCATACATACAGCCAGGGTGCTGGGGGGTATCATTGCTATTCCAGGACTGGCGTCCTCTTTATCCTCGTGATGGCTCATTACTACGTATCCATCATCAAAGGTACACACATCATTTATGATTAATACAGCCCGCCCACAGTCGCCAATATACCGAGTGCCAACACACCGCCTACCACGCCCACACACCCTGGCACGAACCTCCCAGCAGCCCCGGCCGTCACAGCTGGCCCCGTATAAGTCGCGTCTGCCGGCCCGCTGCTTCCGACGGTTGACGGCCCCGTGGCCGCCCCGCTAGCAAGCGGTGACACGACGGTCTGCGAGTACGTCTGCCCGTCTGACACTACCGTCCTGGTGAAAGTCGTCTGTGCTGGTACCTCTCCCGTTGGAGCCGCCGATACTACTGTCTGCACCTGTGTCTGTCCATTGGAGGTTATCGTCCTCAGGAAAGTCACCTGCGACGTCTCCGACGCCTGCCCTCTGCCTGCCGACTCCTGTGCAATCGAGACAAGCGTCTCATACACCGTACTTCCACCTGACGTGGCCGTCCTGACCAGCGCCACCTCCGACGCCTGGTTGTCTCCTCCTGGGCCTTGTGAGATAGAGACCACTGTCTCCAGGACCGTGCTGCCGCCCGACGTGGTCGTTCGGACCAGAGTCACCTCTGACGCCTGGACACTAGGAGCAGGCACGATCGACACCAACGTCTGAACAGAGGCTTGGCCGTTGGTGTTGACTGTCTGCACCAATGTTACCTCCCCTGGAGAGGCAGCGGCCACCGGCGACACCACTGTCTGGACGAGGGTCTGCTCATCTGCTGTCACTGTGCGGACGAACGTTGTTTCGGCTGGAGCAACTGGGGCAGCGTTGCTGGAGGGGCCGACCAGGGTCCTGATAGCTGTCACGCCGTTGGAAACCTCTGTGGAGATGAAAGTGACCTCTACAGATGAGACTGGGCTGTTGGGCTGCTCTGGGCTCGGAGTCTGTTCCGAGGGCGGTATTTGACCAGACGATTGAGCGGGCTGCTCAGGAGCCACCTGACTCGTAGCTGGTGACTGCTCAGCAATCGATGTCTTCTGAGAGGAGGGCTGCTCAGAAACTGAGGTGGTCGTCGGTATAGGGCTAGGCGATTGCTGCGTCGAAGTAGGCAGTGGTGTTGATTCAGGCGGGCTGAAATATTTGTCGTCAGTGCCAAGGATTTTCAAAATGGCGATATCTGATACTTACGAGGGCGCCTCTGCCGTGCTTCTCTCTGAGGACGCCGGAGCTGGGGCTGTATAGTGTACAGCTTCCACGGTTTCGGTTGCCTGGATCAGGACGGAAGCCGAGACCATCGAGTGGCCCACGGCTGTCTGAGCACAAGTCGCAAATGTACACGTCCTAATGTCCTGGCCTGACATTTGCTCGACGACAGTCTGAAGCCCGGCAAGATAATCGACCATTGCCGGGGTGACTGTTGCTGGGTTATGCCCAAAGTACCAGTCTGAGTTGTGTGCTGTGTAGAAGAATTTCGCAGGATCTGTAGTTGCAGGCATAATGAGTTTACTGTCGTAGTCGACAGTCCGGGAAGTGAGATCGCGCTCTGTGCAGTTTGCCGACCAAAAGTCTATGTACTGTATCCATGTCTCCGGATAGGTCCTATGGATGGGTGAGTCTTCTCCAGGGGATCCGCCAGTGAGACACATAACACTTACATGGTGAACCAGCCGTCTATCACCGCGGTATTGCGCACGAAATCCGTCACCTCCGGTGCGCTCGCTGTGATAGTCTGGAGGCTTGTTATAGCGCTACCATTGGGATATGTTGTGATGTGGGGGACCACTGTGTGAGTTATCGTCTCTGCGTTGGTCTTATTCCAGTCATACACCATCGCCAAGTTCGCAGCGAGCCCACAGACTGGTACGCCTGGGGCTGCCACGCTGGTTGTGGAAGTGGAAGCAGAAGTTGGGGCCGATGTTGAGTTCAAGGCCCGAACCTGCTGCACGCCTGCAACACATGCTACCCAGGCCAGCGGCCGGGTTTGGCGAAAGGGTGTGACCATTTTGCAAGCTCAAGATGATCTTCGGGTTCGGGAATCTGTACCAAAAAACAACAACAATGAAACTCTACACCCTCTCTGTAGGTACGCGCGGAAACCCGATGATATAACATCTAGCTAGGAAGCCATGGGCCAGCGACGCCAAGAATAGGGCCCAGATGGGCTCATGTTTACGCTTGTGGGCCAGGCTGGCCGTTGTCGCCAAGTCCATAGTGTGAATCCTTCTATCCACCTTTGCTGACTGCAGTACGACTTTGACCAATGACTAGAATAAAGCGCTCCGCCTGAAATTGGAGGCTGTGGCCCATTCACCTAGAAAAGCAACGCGCTGAAGTCCGGAGAATTCTTTCTTACGCGCTGCCTAGGCTTCTGCGCGGCCGTAGAAGTGGTCCAATTTCATCGACATCCGCGGGCTGCCCACTGCTTCTCTCCACTGATCCGCGCTTCCATGGACTCTTCTCAAGGGAGTACGAGTCTTGACTGTGCCGGGCATCTCGACATCATATTCTTCTTTGACTTAACAACATATGGATTCCTACCATAACCGTTCATATGGCGCAACCTCTTTCTGTTGACGCAACAGAGGTTTGGGATGGGGTGGACGGGAGCTGGTCGACGTAAGTTACCTCAGCACACCGGGAACACCTGTAGGGCCCACTTTTGCTAAGTCTCCCAGGTTCATCGTCCGCGTAGGAACTCCTGAGCAGTATTTCAGTGTATTGCCATCCACAGCAAATCAGCAGACATGGGTGCCAATACCAGAAGGTTGCGACAGCAGCCGCGTTGGAAACTTTAGTAACTGCGGAGATAGCCGAGGGGTCTGGCCATTCGAGAACGAAAACAGCAAGGGCTTCCAATCAAACCAGTCGTCTACCTGGGAGACCATTGGCATCTACGAGCTGTACCTCGAGGAGCATCTGGGGATAGACGGGAACGGGCTATTCGGATATGATTCCGTGGGCCTCGGCGCATCAGGCACCGCGGTAGAGAAGCAGGTCGTGGCCGGTATTGCTACATCGAACTTCTGGCTCGGCTCGCTTGGACTTGGGGCGAACTACACCAACTTCTCTGATGAGGAACAACCGTCATCCTTGTTGCGGACACTGAAAGACTCGGGATCCATACCGAGTTTATCGTACGGTTACACAGCTGGAGCTCCTTATAGTAAGCCACTGTTCTTTACTGTAAAGAAAAGGCAGAAAGAAAGAAATACCGGGCCGCTGGCATATTGTTTCCAATATGTGCTAATTCGTACAAGGATATTCGAAAGTCGTCGGCAGTTTGACCCTTGGAGGTTATGATTCCTCGCGATTCACCACCAACTCTATCTCGTTTCCGTTCGGTTCCGATTCGGAACGTCCGTTGGTCGTTGGACTCCAGTCGGCGATTGGGACAGACACTCCCAACGGGACGGTCTCTCTCTCAGGGGTTGGCAGCGGAATCCTTGCAGTAATCGACTCGACTGTTCCAGACTTGTGGCTACCTGAGGCGTGGTGCGACCTTTTCGAGGATGTGTTCGGGCTTAACTACGTCGAAGAGACGGGTCGATATCTGGTCGATGACGATCAACACGCAGCGCTGTTACAACTCCAGCCAACTCTCACATTCACACTGGGCGCTAGCACCACGGGCGGCACTATTAGTAGATTCGATCTCCCTTACGCTGCCTTTGATCTCGAAGGGCAGTACCCTGTGTTCCCGAACGCGACGCGATATTTCCCTATAAGAAGGGCAGCGAATGACTCGCAGTACACTATCGGTCGTGTGTTCCTCCAAGAGACTTATTTGACGGTCGACAGTGAACGCGGCATCTTTAATGTCTCGCAAGCTAAGTTCTCGAACCCGCTGCCTTCATCGGAGCTGGTTGCTATAGTATCGCCGTCGGATGCCACGAACTCGACCGCAGGCGGGAATTCTACGTCATCGGTGGTTTCCGAGGATACTGAGAATGGAATCGGAGGAGGCGCAATTGCTGGTATAGTTGTTGGTGTCGTGGGCGCGCTGATGATTGTGGCCGGACTCCTGTTCTGGTGGCTCCGACGTCGCCGCAACCAGCGTGGTGAATGGCCAGATGCGGGGACCACCGAACACAGCGCCGAGGACGGGCGACCACCTCAGTATGGAGGTGAATTGATTGGCAGTGCTGCCAATGTCCCTGAGCTATCTGACGGAAAAGCGAGGACGGAGACAGCGACACCAAAGTCGAGACATGAGGCGGCGAGTGCCACGCCTCTTTCAGAGGCAGGGGGCAGGGAAAAGTATGAGGCGGAAGGTAGTACGCCATTCTCAGAAGCGGCGGGGACAGAGAGATACGAGGCCGAGGGAAGCACCCCAATGTTCGAGGCGGCTGGAACGCCTAAGTACGAGGCTGAAGGGGATACGCCCATGTTTGAGGCAGACGGACGCTCACGTCAACGTGTATACGAGGCAGAGGGTAGCACACCTGTGTACGAACTTCCAGCGGGATAATTAGGAGGATATATGGATGGATTGCCAGATAATCAGCGATTCTCATCTTTGAGTGTATGTATGCTTGCATTATGCCGATACTACTCACGTAAAACTTATAATTGCAATTGCAAGAACTTGATGAGCTGTCGCATTGGGAACACTTGAGTGACTATATATTTTGACATTTTTATATCGCAGGGACTGCCCCAAAAGTCGTTGGACACCCTGTAACAGATCACTGCATCCATCCAAGCTCAATGTCCCGCACTTGATTGGATAGATGCATCTATTGGAGGCTGGATTTTCCCAAGTCATCACATATCATAATTACGTAGGTATCAACTATGGCTTGGCATAGTTCAAGTGCTCTGGCAGCAAGCGGCTGCTTGAAGACATGTAAATGTATACATGCAAGCTCTTAAACGAGAATCTAAGTACACGACACTTCGCAACGACCAATTCATGTCCAATCCCATTCATTATTCAAATCATGATTATTAGAAGCTTCCTGCAATTTTGCCTTCTGGGCTTTAATCACTTTGAAACCCTCTCATCGATTTGTTAAACTACAGAGGAAAACGGATGCATCCATACCTCTGCTTGTGGTTTTGCCCTCCTATGATGACTTCCTGATTCCAACACGATTCAGCCCGCCGTATCAAATGATTACGCAAGCTCAATTCGAAAACAATTTGAATTGCTGGGGCTCAAAAATTGCGTTGCACACTTAATGGTTGATTTCAATATTTCTGGCACTGCTGGATCTATCGGTCTTCGGAATTAGAATTAGTGCGCGGTGCAGTTCCAGCTGAAACAAGATCGTCACGGGCCTCCTTTGCTGTCAGCACCGACCTTCACTTTTTAGAGCTTCTCAGCGCCGTCGGCCCCATGTCTGAATTTTGTTAAACTGCCACGTAATTTGCAGAGCTCCTCAACACATTGAAGCTGCTCCGAGATGAGATCCTCAAAGCTACTTTTCGCAACTTGTTTTGGGCTGCGTCCGATTGCCTCGAGATCAGCCTACGCAGAATCACAAGCGGAATCTATTTGTCCTATTTTACCGATAGGCATCTGGCAACCACCCACTACATGTCCTATTGATGCACCCGACTCCGTCGGTAATGATCCTGTCTCAGCCCAAGGGGACGACTGGTTCAGAAGTGACACCTGCCACGAAGTCGGTCCTGATGAGATCTGTGCTTTCACTCAACCCTCGTTCAACGCCGGCCATGGCATAGCTGTGGTCACGACGGCTCAAATACTTGAGAAAATGGTGTCTCTGCCTATTTTCACTATCCCTGGATCGCAAAAGCCTGCACATCAAGAGTCAACCATCCTCGCTTACCGAGATGAACAAATCTCCGGAAAGGGCATTGGTCTGGTCGCGTTGAGGCCTATACAAACCAATGAGGCCTTCCTAAGTCGCATGCCGATAGTAATGGTTGACGATACGGCCTTCAAGCGCCTCGGGAGAGCACGTCTTACAGAGCTACTCAACGAAGCTATCAGCGACTTGCCAGAAACCCACCAGGCGGAATACCTCAATTTGACTACGCACGGGGAGGTCAATACCCATCATGAAAAGGTTTATGAAATATTCATGAAGAACGACTTCCTCACACCTGTAAATGACATCATGGACTTTCATTCTGTCTTTCCGCAAGGTAAGTATTTACACCATCTTGTCGAGCATAGCAGCGCAACACTGCTGAGGGGACTCTTTGACGTCTACTTATTCTTCTGTACAGTATCCCGTTTGAACCATGCTTGCCGACCGAATTCTAAGTATACTTTCGACGCGTCTACGCTGTCCCAGTCTGTCTTTGCAGCCCGAGAGGTTGAGACTGGAGAGGAGCTCACAGTGGCGTACTTCGAGTAAGTATCGACGCGGCGCTTTCCCGCGTTGCTATTCACTTGTAAACGCTTCATGCGAGTGGGCATGACTGACTTGGCCCGAAACAGCTCGATCCAAACACACTCACAGCGGCAGTTGCTCTCAAAGCACGGATGGGGCTTCGAATGCACCTGCTCGTATTGCTCGTCTGGCGAGGAAATCATTAAGGAATCGGACAGAAGAATTGAGCAAATCCACATGTTGCAGAAAGATCTTGACGACTATTCCCCAGAATCGGCCGCAACTCCTGACAAAGCCGAACTTCTCGTCAGGCTATTCGAGGAAGAGGGCCTTATCACCCGGATGGTGGAAGCCTACTACCGGGCTGCAGTCGAGTGGAGTGGTGTTGGTAACGCTGCAGAGGCTATCAAGTTCGCAAAAGTTTGCGTTAAAGAAGGGGAGGTCCTAGAAAGCTCGATCCGCCCTTTCATAAACAACATGAGGGAACTGGTAAAGGACCCATCAGCCCATTGGACGTGGCAATTTCGTCTGAGCCATAAATGAAAGCAAGCTAAAACATATATCATACACTCATCTCTATACCATCGATACAATGCGGTTGATGACAGCTGGTTGTTCGAATCTCAGAACAGAATGAACAAACACCTGACAGCGGTCTAGTCTCTAAATTCCGGAGGAAGGACACAGAGACATTCAAGAGAATCTGTATATTTATGACTATCATATCTAATCGTGAATGTATCTTGTAGAATCAGCACAGCGAGAGGCGATGTAGTTTTCATAGAATTGATCTAAAATAGTTCTGAAATATCGGGTGGATGTCTAGTTGCGAGTTTGCACACGAGTTTGTCTGGTAACCATGCTTATATATGCCGGAGTGTACATTGAACAGGCTCCTTTTATAAAAGTTTCCTCATTGATTGCCCCGAAAAGCTTTTTATTCGCCGATAGGGGCCCGATAAGACACCAAGCTACAGTGTCATCAAGACCGTCTCTTGCGAATCCCGGCGACTGTGTAAAGCAATTTTTAATCGAGACGGAGACTTTTTGTATTTAATGAAGTTGAAACGAGCAGTTCTGTGGTGAAATGATCCATATTCTAGATCCTACTCGGCTATGTGGACGTGGAATTAGTCCTAAAGTTAACGGCCGTTGCAGAACTTTCCGTGGCTTGTCGTTGAAAATGCCCGCTTCCACTGAGCCTCATGCTGTCCATGTTCCGGCCGCGATTTGTAGCCTCTGTACTCATGACCCAGAGGGACTGATGGAATGATTTCCAGATGATCGCCGTCTCGAGTCCTCATGCATGCTAATTTGATGATACGTAACTTGACGGCTGAGGCTGGATATTGTCCCATGACACAAGTTTCGAATCAACGTACTTACTTATCGCGCGTGATCCCCTGGACCTCTAGAAAGATCAGTGGTTCTGTTCAAGCCACTCCAGACATTTCACCCCCACGGCCTCGCTTTATTGAAACATAGCAGTATTATTGTGTGAGCTAACATATCCTCGATTCTTGGATTGAGCGGGCACATCCTTGTACAGACTCCGCACTTATTTGTTTAGGACGAGGTTTGGGTGCTGGAGGTCTTGGATAGCCGGTCCTGTGAACAGAGCTAACGGTGTTGCACTTGACCGGAGAGTCTACCCGGAAACCTTAATGTGTCTAGCGGCGCCCAATCTTCGGTCTTCTCTTTCACCGTAGTGGCAAATGGGCAGCTACTAGACTCGTTCCTGTTCGACTTGAGCGAGCCATGATTCTTACCAGGCCATTGTGTTGAGGTCATGCAGTTTGCAATTTTTCACAATCCGAATCTGAGTGGCATTCTGTAGATGATGTGGCACAGAGCCGGTGAAGATTTATTTCCTCGATCACTCTTGGTCCCGAATTGGAACTTCGGAAAAAGTTGAATCGCTGTCGAAGCGTGCTCCAATTTTGAGGCCGGACACGGATTTGTCGGAAGACAGACCCCTATCGATATCCGACGTGGGTGTGCCTAAACGGAAAGGCGCCCGGGCTGGAGGGACGCTCGTTTTGCGTCTGAGAATCTGGCCATTTTCGTTTTTTACACTCTGCAGATACTCTACATTCGAACAATGTCCGATGCTGGCTGTCATTCCAGCCAGACAAGCAACTGCATTGTCCTTCCTAGCCATCATATGTATGTACATTCTATATTCGTTTGATGCTCAATCAAGCCGTTCTCTGCTTGAGATCAATGCACATGATCAGGGATCCGACATGCCATTGTAGCACATCGTGACAGGATGACATGCATGCAGGGCCCGACGATTTGCATATGCTCCAATGACGGCTCCCAGCATCACAGATTGAGGTATGAAACCAGATCTCACGTAACAAACAGAACCACGTTGTGTGTAACTTCCGGGCACGCGACCATGGCCAAGAGATCTGGCCATAAGACGTTCTGCCAGCTCAGGAGAAGGATATCCGACGGGATCCTCGTTCTGGCAAGGGGGCGATTGGTGAACTTGGACGCTCGCAATCTCCGGGGCTAGGCACATTGGCAGAGGGGCCACCTACAAACGCAGCGAATAGGCAGGTTCAACGGATCAAAACAACGGCCGGGGTGAAATACCCGGCAGTTTGAGCCAAGCTGCTGGGAACGGCGGCCTGGCGCGCGATGATACGTCCGAGGACCTGACCTTACCCCAGACAGCCCAACAGGAGCGTGGGGAAAAGAAGTGGGATTTTCCCCAGACTTACCCCAACATCGACCAGGCCGTCGGTTTGTGTTCCCCACACTCGAGCACTTGGCTCACTGAGCCATGGCCACACCGTCCCTGTCAGTCCAGGTTGTGCGACCGACATCATGCCGTGGCACGCCAAATGGGGCCGTTACTGACGTTGGTAGATCGTTCCTCCCCTCACCCGACGTCAGGGGACTAGAAAACAGTCCTCTTTCCCACCCCTTTCGTTCTTTGATTTGCGTTATTCCGGGCTTTTCCTCCTTTCCTCTCCCTCTACCGCCACTTCTAGTCCTCACTGGGGGTTATTGTTTCTTCTTTTTCAACATGGGCGACAAAATAGAAGACCTTCCCGCGTCGGAGCACATCCACGACCACGACATTCTCGAGGATGAAAAGGCCATGGCCGAAACAGCCGAGCACCTGCGGAAGCTCACGCCAGAAGAGCTTGTCATCGAGAAGAAGTTGAGGAAGAAAATCGACTTACTGATCATGCCCTTGTGCGTGCTGGTCTATCTCATGAACTACATCGATCGGTGAGCAATGTTCCTGCTTCTTTCCCCCGGACTTTTGTCTCGCTTGCTGACAAGAGAAGCAACAACTATGCCGCTGCTCGACTGCAAGGTCTCGAAGACGACTTGAACATGACGGATGAGCAATATCAAATTGGTCTTTCTACGCTGTTCGTCGGCTATGTTCTGATGCAGGTCCCCTCCAATGCCATGCTTAACTATGCCGGGCGCCCGTCTTGGTACATTGGCTTCTTCGTACGCACTAATCCTTCAAGCATTTCTAACCGAACTATCTCGCGCCGAGAAAGCGCTAACCTCTTTACGTTGTACAGGTCATTATTTGGGGCTTGGTGTCTCTCTTGACCAGTCAGGTCAAGACCGCGGGGCAGATCATTGCCACTCGGTTTATTCTTGGCTTTGTTGAAGCTCCGTTCTTCCCTGGCATTCTGTTCTATCTTTCCAAATGGGTACGTATGAGGCTAAAACATTCACGCTGCCTCATCACAGTCGCCCAGCCTCCTCTGATACTCGTTCACTTCAGAGTCAGCTATGGATTACTGACAAAACGCAGTACACAAAGGAGGAACTATCCTTGCGGATGGCCATCTTCTACTCCGGTTCCTTAATCTCAGGTGCTTTCGGAAACCTGATCGCCGCGGGCATCTTGAATGGGTTAGCAGGAGCACGCGGATACTCAGCCTGGCAATGGTTGTACATATTGGAAGGTGCTATCACGATGTTCTTCGGTATGCTCGTCATCATCGTCCTGCCCGACTTCCCGGATACTTGGAAGAAGCTGTCTGAGGATGAGAGACGGGTCGCAACCCGTCGACTCGCCATCGAAGCTTCCGAGGCCGACGTCGATGAAGCTGGGGGCATGTCACAGCTTCGAGGCATCAAGCTGGCCTTAACCGACCCTAAGACATATCTACTCGCTTTGGCCTATCATGGTCAGACTGGTGCCGCTGGTATCCAGAACTACTTTCCGACACTTACCCAGACTGTCGCCTCGGATCGTATCCATGCCCTGCTACTCTGTGCACCGCCATACATCTTCATGGTCATCTACTCATTTGTGCATTGTCGAATCTCGGACAAACTGGCCAAGAGGTTCTGGTTCTTCACCTACCCTATCCCAATTACGATCGTGGGCTTTATTAGTACGTTGCCAATCAATCAATCGCTGACCCGCTTCCCTCGCTTGTCTCTTGACTCGGACTAACCAATTCTTCGCCAGTTTTCATGACGGTCGACAATTTTGCTGCTCGATACTTTTCCTTGTTCCTGCAGATCTTTGTGTTTGCCCTGAACGGAATCATTTATGCATGGATTTCGTCTTCGATCCCGCGTCCCCCGGCGAAGCGTGCCGCCGCCTTAGCCTTCATCAATTCGGTAGGCAACGCCGCCTCGATTTGGACGCCATTCACATACAAAACCAAAGACGCACCTCACTATAGGCCGGCTTTGGGTATCTGTATAGGACTTCAGTGCCTCGCGGCCGTATGTGCGGTCGCATTGAAAATCCTTCTCCAGAAGCAAAATGCTCAACTCGCCAGGATGGAAAACTCCGACGCTCAGCTCACCGAGCACGATGTCAAGAAATTAGAAAAGACTGCGCAGATCGAGGGTGTTACTGTCGCCGAGGCAAGGGCTTTGCAGAAGGGCTACCGTTATATTATTTAAGATTATGCCGTCATATCTGGACAACGCGTGATGGGCATGTTCAGCTATGTGACGTGTGGAGGAAAGTAGCTCCAATGTGTCATAGGAATCAGAGATGATTGTGTTAGTCTCTCCAAGAAGTGTTCTTTGAAATCCCTTCTATGTGCTCATGCGACGACGTGGAGAATTGCAGCTGGGCTGTGTAGAAGTTGTCACTCAGTCATCCTAATGGTTCGAATTATTGTGAGTCAAACAGGAAACAAAAGACGACATTGCATACATTGCGATGGGCCCGTCATTCCTCCGCGCCTCACTTTGCCTGCTGTTTCTCTACCTCCTTCAAAACCATGTAACACTGCTTAGGTTTATGTGTCAGGCTATCGAACGCCTCATAGCCCCTCAGCTTCTCTGGTACTTGCTCCAGCTCGTATGTCCACACCAACAACGTGACGAAGAATTTCATCTCCAGATAAGCCAACTTCTTCCCAAAGCAGCCCCTGAGACCCCCACCGAACTGCATCACTGGACCTGCATGGACGTCAAATACATCTGAACCCTTATCATCGGTCTTGATCCAGCGCTCCGGTCTGAAGGCATTGACGTCGCTTGGATCCCAAAGTGGAACAGCACGGTCTTTGTTCTCCCTCGACGAATCTGATCGCATGTGCTCGGGGATTGAATCATTTACGGTATTTGGCGTCATGTACCCAGGCCCGTGTGCCATCATGAACACGTCGACCCCCTTGGGTATGTGGTGGCCGAGCAACGTCGTGTCGTGAACAGCTGTCCGTATAACCGCAGGTGAAGTACCCGCGCAACGGGCCATTTCTTCAACCACGGCATCAAGGTAGGGGACATGAGCTGTACTGATTTGCTCCGCGGTAGGTACATTATTCTCCGCCCCGAAAGTCTGGTGTAGAATGCCCCGTAATTTTACTTGCACGTGCGTGTGGTCTGCCATGAACTTGACTGCCCAGGTGAGAGTAGTTGCTGTGGTGTCGTGTCCGCCAATCAAAAACCCAAACATCTCATCCTGTGCACTTAGACTGTCGTACTGTGGGGGGCGGTTTTCTTTGGCTGCAGCTTGGGCTTCACGCCGTACCATATAGTCCGTCGCACACGTGATATGGACAAAGTCGCTTATGTTCTGGCCGTCGCCGAGGTTCAGCAGCCGTGACTTAGCATCATCGAGTCGTTTGCGGATCAGCTGGTCTTTGTGGGCTTTGGCTTGGCGATACGATGGCGTCAATTGCAGTAGCCAGTGAGTTTGCTTGGGCATCGGCGAGGTTACTGTGACATCTAGAGCATGCGTTAAGACTTTCATGGATAGCACGGCAGAGTTATAAATTGGCTTTGGGAAAATGATTGGTTGATCTTTGGCTGTAGGCTTGTCGAATTTGGAAATGGCTTTCAGGAACTCGATCTCGGTTGATAGGGACAGTAGTTGACTACCAAAGGCAACGTCCCAGACTGTGACGATGTGAGCGCTACAGTAATGGAAATCAATCAGTATATTTAGTACGGTGCTTACTCGAGTCGAGAGCCATGTGATTGATATCTTCAGCGGGCCCAAATGGACGGCCCTCAGCGGCTTGGGTTTTCACACGCCAGAGGTTCATGAGATTCAAGATATGCCGGCGGAGTGTTGGAGCTGCAACCTATGCGAGTTGAATATCAGACACAAGAGAGTCATATTCACGTTGCCGTGATCGAATCTTGCCTTGTTGAGGAACCCAGTGGCCATCGTGTCAGCGAGCAGGCGACGTCCCTGCCTGAACTTTTCGTTCGTTGGCTGCACAAGGTGATGATTCGGCACTGTAATCTCTAGTATTAGCCAGTATTGTTGAACAGACTCAAAAACAAAAGAGAGGTGAAATAAGGCTGGTGTGCGTATAGCCTTGCTCGCTAATTGTAGGTGAACACAAAGGGGCTATGATGAGGGACAATGTGACGTGGAAGGAACCTCTGGATTATACTCACACGTTCCACTGAAGATATCTGGTTAACGCGTCAGTCAAAATGATGAAGTCAAATTTTTTAGAAGCTGTCCGTATGTACCATAAAAGAATACAGAGCGATCAAAGTCTTTGGTGCGTCGAAGTACCATATCTTGGGCCTCGCGAGGGTCGGTTATGAACACCGTTGGCTGAGAGAAGGGCTTCAAGAATAGTTGAACGATTGGCGAGTTCAACTTCTCCCCTTGCGCGGTCATCCAGTCGAAAGTAGTAGCATGCTTTCGCTTGTGCTCGACCATTGCAGGCGCATCTCCCAATATCCGAGTCGCGGACGCTTTATGGTATGGAATACCCGGTATCGGCTTGGGAAGAGCAGCACGGTAGAGTGTATATACAAAAAAGAGGACAACAGGCAACACAGCGCATGTCACGGGGCTGTAGAGGATAGACGACATCATGTGCGATTGTGGGTGGAAATGTTCCAGCGTTGCATGTAAGACTACTCAGTAGAATGGCTGAGATCGAAGGTGAGGGAGCTACTCTGTTTTATCTTTGTTCTCAGGTTTAGCCTGTCTCCAAATCCGAGCACTGAGGAGTCGATCGAAAGCCAATGGCCTCCAAAGTCTCGAAAGTAATCAGTAGCATGTTGGTTCTGAAGCCTAATTACTGCACGATGCAGAAAGGCCCTGTTGGTGAACGTCACCGAACAGTGGCATGAATATACAAGACCCTGCCGCTGTGCCCAGCCCAGGGCACCCACCAATGTCATACTGCCTGGCTAGCTCCACTGTTCGAACTACGACTGTGCGATGCAAAAGACCCCTGTTGGTCAAAATGTGGCACAGAGGTGCTCCTGTGAGAGCTAGCGGCCGCTCGATACGACCCCAGCAGAAACCACTGCAGATGTCAGCAATAGGCCAAAGCTACGGTCCGTATCATATCCCTCCACCAGATTTCAGTGGTTCAATTCTCATTTGGGAGAACGGATCGATTTTCTCAGGCCTAATTTAACATTGTACGGAACTTTCGAACCAATGCCGTAATTCCACACAGTAAAACAACTCGGAATGCTCGGCGGCTTCCAGGCCCGCGACCTACGCAAACAGCTGAGCCGCTGGCTTGAAAGAAAACCTGTCAACGCATGGAGGCAGTTGCGCAAAGAAGCAGCAGACCAAGATGATTGTCTTGTTACGGAGTATGGTGTAAATATTCAATAAGGAACTTGTCTTGAGCCAGGCACAGAAATTCTGCGAGACTTGGGTTGCCGAGGATGAATATAGCGGCGTGAAAATAAGACCAAACGAGAAGTCTTAAGCAGCTATTTCCCGAGAAGGATTTGTTCTTAGCTATTTGCTTGTTTCATTGTCCCTGTCGGAGGTTCTCCCAGATCCAGCTGCGAAACTTGGACGACAGGCCCCGGCCACTTCTGAACAGAAGCGCACTGGGGCGGCCTTGCGCTTCTCAAGCCGCAACATGCAGCGATGGTACATATATGTTTGTATATATATATGTGCGTCATCTGCGGGGCGCTTTGCTTGTCTTCATCAGACATATGGGCAGCTGTGTTGTCTTGGTCCGTTGAATTATGTAGACTATCAATCTCGTCTCGAATACGAGTGGGCCCTGCGCCACCAAATTTTGCCGAGGCTCGCCCGATAACCGACGTCGCCTCAATCTATGTCTGAACTGGGCTCGGTTGAAATTTCCACGTTCGTCCCCTCCCATCCACTCAGTATCAACTCCCACGAGCACCGACCATCACGCTATCAGAAATATGGGCGTCTTCGAGGGCCGATTTCCTCAGTGGGCTTACCTCATTGGCTACAACGCAGTCTCGGCCCTGCTCTGGACGTTCATCTTCGGCAGGACCGCCGCAGTTGCCCTGAGCAATGGCTTGAGTGAGGTGTACCTGCACCCCAGCGTCAAAATCATGGTCCTTTTCACACAGAGCTTGGCGGCATTGGACATCTTGCACTCGATCATAGGTACACTGATCATCCGTTGTCTCTTGCGGCCGCCCAACTGATACATCCATAGGTCTCGTCAATGCCCCGGTCCTTACTAGCTTGTAAGCATCTCCTGGTCACAAATTAAGCCTTGCAAGAAGAACATCTGCCCACTATGATGTGTTTTACCACTTGTCCTAAAGCCTCTAGCCAGACTGCAGCCTCTGAGACAGGCTATGGGCACGTGGTGGCTGATTCCTCTCCATCTCTGCAAATGCTCCTTCCTTTGTGCTTTGGCAGCTAACTCTGAATGCCGCAGTGTACAAGTTGCAGGTCGATGCACAGTTCTATGGCTTGTCGTCGAGACCTATCAATCATCTGGCCTCAGTCCATTCTACGGGTTAATGGTTCTTGCATGGAGTGCGGCGGATACGATTCGGTATTTGTACTTCGCCACGAGACTTGTCGGTGGTCACCAGTATTACAATTTGACCTGGCTTCGGTATAGCGCATTCTATGTGTTATATCCTCTGGGTATCGCCAGCGAGGTCGGGGTCGTCTATGAGACTATCTCAGAAGCTTTTGCGCTGGGCTACAATACTCACGCTTGGTCATATATTGCAGCAGCGACACTTTACATTCCGGGTGAGTGTGTTTGTCAACACGAAATGGCCTGCTTCGGCTGACACAATCAAAGCTGCCCCTACTTTGTTCAACCACATGCGACGGCAGCGGAGAAAAGTGCTTGCATATGGAAAAAATTGATCCACGAAGTGTTGGGACTCACTGCCGGAGTAATCACAGCAGACAGCCTTGGTTGTCACAGTATCCCAATCTGCCGTTGGTGGGGAAAGGGATGAAATACACCGTCGAAGTGGAGAGGTAGTCGAAAATACTCTTGAAACCATGCACTATCAATATACCAATTCCCACAGGCTATCAAGACCAAAGACTAGGCGGCCGCCTTGGGTTTCACTGCACCCGCAATATCACATGTGAACCTGATGCAGCCAATCCGAGTCGTTCACGTAACTTAATTCCTACACAAGCAGCCAATCGTTGTTATTTTAATATTTTTCACGCGTGGATATAACAATATCAGCAAGGGCGTGCGATGTCAATCTTCTGAGCAGGGGAAAAAGGTCAGATCCACAACGTTTCCCTCATGGATTAGTTGAAGCGCCATCCGCACATGTAGGAATATAGACGCACAGTGCCAAACCTCAAAGCTTGATACTGGGAGCGTGTCCTGGTTGCATCGCTGAATGTCCCATTAGCTCATCATGATTGAGGATGAGAAGCCATGTCTCGGGGCTCAGTGCCAAGTGACAAAACAGAGTCTTTTCTATGTATGATCTGCCTCATGAAATTGCACGTCATGCTTGTCGCGGGATATCGTGCTTACCCATCCTGTCTCCCTCCATATGTTTCCCGACCTCCTCGTAGCCTGATGGAAAGGCTTCCGTGGACTGGTTGTTTTGTACGGCCCGCTCAAGCTATAAAGTTTCCAGCCTCAAGAGGCACATGTTCAGGGTTCAATTTCCAAATTTCGCATTGAAGCCAACTAAGTCTCAGTTTTAGCGCAGCTTTGATCATAGTTTCATCGGATGACCGGTGGGGTATCTATTTCCGTCTAAACGAAACTGATCTGAGCGCGACCCAGCCCTTGACCCCAACTGACGCCGCGCCAAGCAGTACAAACCAGTATCTCATCAGAATGGCTGTATCCGATTATACCCACCACGCGCCCTCATTTTTGATTATCTAGGACGGTCGACCTGCATCGTTCGCTGATTCCGCACACGACTACAGCGCTGTTCTCAGAACGTCCAATGGGGACACAATCCAAAAAGTTCTAAAGCTCTGGCAACTCTCAGGCCCTTGGAGTTAACACTAGTACCGAACTATGACACGCTCAGGCGTGTAATCCATGCACAGGCTCTCCTAGACAGCTGTTAATTCACGAGTGTGAATGTCGTGCGTTTCACGCCCTGGTTTTCTTGGAGTATACGAAGGTGGCTTTTGACACGAAACGAGCAGCTCAGGTCACAGGGCACGTGAATGAGGTGGCTGCCTCCTTCGGAAACAGAGATTTAGCTCGGTCGTTTTTCTAACCATGCGATAATGGCTTCTGGGGTTCGATTGCCTCGACCGCAAACATCTATATATTGACCTCCATCGACTCGGAATTGTAATCGCCCCAGATATTATCAACTCGAATTCCTTCACATACCGCATCCGTTTGCACTTGCGTCGATCACGAGGCCCACCTAGCATTAATTCCCACCATTTTCTTGTCAAAATGCCTTCTGAAGCCACCATCACCACTACCCTTGCCACAGGCGTTAAAGAAGAGGCCGTTATCGCCTCGCTCCACAACCACGAGGTTTACATCAAAGTCACCTGCCCCCATCTCATAGACTACAAGAAGATATCCGGGGAGCCGGCTGTCGGCCAGTCTTGTGTGTATGAGGTCACTGACAAGCGACCAATCGGGCAAACCACATTTCGATTAACCCTCGTCAACCAACCCAAGGGTATCGACGCTACCGTAGACGGAAAGTCTCCCACAGGCTCCATCCATATTGAGAGCAAGTGGTCCGTCACTTCTGGCCGGATCGAAGAGAGCATTGCTATTGACAGCAATGCGATCATGAAGAGGATGATCAAAGGCAGTGTTGAGAAGAGTCATCCTGAGCACCACCAAAGCTTTGTCCAAGCAGCTAAGGCTTGAGGAGTGTTAAGAACGGCGGTGAAAATAAGTGTGCTCACGTGGAATTGGGATTTGGATGTCGGCTGAATGTAATGAGGTAGAGGTGGCCGAGACGGGTATGGACTTCAATTTTTTTGTTCCAGATGACATCAGCGCCTATGGTTCCTAACATAACTTCATGTACCACTCGTTCATTCATTGCGTATTCATAAGCTTATGTTTTGCCACTTGCGATTTCCTCCTGAGTATAATCTACTTAGCTACCATATTAAGCTTGTTCAGCTTCAAGAGCCTCCAATTCCTCTGTTCTCGAACGACTACTAGGGTCGAGGTAGGGTGCCTCGCCGATACCGACAGCCCTGTGTCCAAATCTTTCTCCAAGACCCTCGTAGTCGTTTGTAGCCGAGTGGAAGGCACTGCGGTTGTCCCAAATCGCTAATAAGGACTTCAGCAAACTGAACCGTAGGAATTGCTATGCTGGAGCACTCACCAATATCGTTGGGGTTGCGCCACTTGAATCTAACCTGAAGGTCGTGATTATCAAGAAGGACTCTTTCGAACTTACGCAGCAGCTCGTCCGACTCTTCTTGGGTAAGCTCATTGATCCTCTTGGGAAAGGGACCTAATGCAAAGATGCTCTTCCACCCAGTAACTGGATTTGTCCTCACTACTGGGTGAACAGCGCTTAACTCGCCGCCAATATTGTGTGGCGATCCTCTTGGTTCAGTATAGACCTTGACGTTCTCCGGGTCTGCCGCAGCAGCACGAAGGAATCCATCGCCACTGAAAGTGGCTGTAAGCCCCTCGAAGAATTCCTGGTATTTCTTGGAGAAGCGATCATAGATCTCATAGCCGGACGCCCAGAGGGTGTCGCCTCCCGTCTTGGGGAGCTGGGTGAGACGCAGCGATGTGTAATCCGCAGGGTACGGTTCGAACTGGATATCTGAATGCCACTGAGCGGCGTCATAACGCCGTTTGTTGGGCTGTTCTTTGTGCCGGAACAGCTTCTTCCTTGCAAGGCTGGAGATATGGCTGATTGCATTATCGCCCACTCCAAATTCAGACGTGCTGTTCTGTTATGCGTTAGTCACCTGCTACGGAGCCAGAAGCAAAGCCCGCTGAAAAGTTCTAATCAAAAGCAGACGGGCAACAGCAGTGGAGGGAAGCTTATACATACGAGTACTGGGTGAATGTGCAGGGTTGATGTCGACGGCTTGCCGGTAAGCTGGCCTAACTTGTGCACGAAGTCTTTCTGAAGGTCATCTGTAAGGTTATCTTGAGCACGGAAGAAGATCACGCCGCGTTGAGAGACTGGCGAAATGGTCAGAAGGTACTGGTCAGAGTATAATGACACGAAAGCAAATTGACTCACTGGTGATTGCTACGTCTCGAAGCAACTCGTCCGAATTAGGAGCCTTCAGAAGGTCGTCGACAATGTTGACATTCACAAACTCGCGACCAATAACGGGCGTTGTGTCCTCAAACGTGAATTGATCCAAAGCTCCGCTGAGTTTCAACGGCTCCGGAAAGGATTTCTTGTTTGCCGGAGCGGAGTGGGCGGCAATGTCCGAAGTCGCAGAAGGAGCCATGATGGATTGAAGTTATAAGTCGAATGGTGGAATTCTTTCTTTGGTCTAACCGATTCAGGTGAAGAGATATAAGTATAGCAGGAGAGTTTCGACCTGATATTATGTCTAAGCAAGTTAAGGGGTCTTTCTACATCTTTATACTGGTTGGTGGCATCTCGTTCATTCGTTTGTGTTCCATTCCGATGATGCTCGTTCTACCAAGCCGCTATCAGCACGCAATCGCAAGTCGAGATTCGCAACCGCATGTTGGCCCGATGAACCAGCGAGCGTGAGGGGGACGAATGATGTGTCCGAAGCACTTTAGCGAATGAACGATTGCGAAAAGCAATCTGAATTACAAATACTGTCCTGCATGTGTAATGTCGTTGCCGGGAACGCAAATGAATCTGCGGATATCGCCCGGATGTCGTATAGGTTTCCCTTCCAGGTAGACAGTGGACCATGCATACCAAGCACCAGGGTCTGCCAATCTACGTTCGCACGAGTAGAGAAATCCCGCAGCAGATATCGCCATACATGTGGAAAACTGGTCGAAGACGTTATTGCAATGGATCAGAGCCTGACAGCTCTGGTGGTTGAGATAGTACACGGGTACTTCCTGGCTCTGCTGCTGAGGTAATTTCTGCAGTTCTTGACCCTGCATTTGTCGCACATGATGCTCATGAGTAGGCATCTCGGTAAAATCACCCAGCTTCATGTTAATCTCAGAGCCCACACCACTTGGCGCAGTTTCTGGTTACTCTGGCAGTCGTGTTCGTGCACCTTTGGCTTTCCGAGATCCCCTGCTCCGCACAAAAGATATTACAACAGCGAGTCCAGTGAGACCGACTGCTGCACCAACTCCAGCTCCAATGGAAGTCCCTGTGTCACTCGATTGGCTTTGCAGAGGTGAATCTGGGGCAAGATTCGATGTTTTGGGTTGCAAGGTCGTTGGGGCACTCACAGCTGGTGACACGAAGCCAGCGCAAATAAGAGCTGTGTAGTCATGTATCAGTAATGAAGGCTTTTAAATACTTCTAATAGTAACTAAGTTGAAAGAAATTTGTTGATGGGATCTAGGCAGGATACAGATTGCACGTATGTTGACTTGTAGATATGGGTCGTTACCGGGCCAGCCGCCACGCCCAACGCGCAATACGCATCGAAGAATTACAGAGCGCTCGTGCCTTGGACTGTGGTAAAGGATGAGTTATAACTGGCTATCACACCTGTTGAGATAGCATTGCTGAAATACGAGCTATTGTCGGTACAGAAACAAGTAAAGCTCGTAAGAGCATACGTGTCTTGACAGCCGCTATTTTCATCGCGGCCGATGGTGCTGAGAACATCCCGGCACAAACAGGTAGCTTGTATACCCTGGGGTTGTATCAATGTAGTTTTCAATTTCTTTTTTCCACCCCAAGCCACTGGTGCTTTCTGCTTGGCCGACTCTGAGTGCAATGCTTAGAAGAAGAAGGGAAAGAAAATACAGCTGCGCTTGAAGCGTGCGACAAACTCGCGGGCTGAGTTGATGACTTCGAAGGGATTTTTCTTTTCATGACGAATGTCCTTGTGGAGAGAAATAAGAGAGCAGCCTGTTTACTTGTGTCTCGTAGATTGAAATTCGCAGTAAAGGAGCGATTATAATAGCATTTTCAAGTATGGATCCAAGGACCCATGAGCCATGTGCGACGAAGGCCTGTACTTCGGCAGACTTCAGTAAACCACTGGCTCAAGTCTAAGGTGTGTGATCTTTATTTGCTTCAGGCCGCAATGAACTAGCCCAGATGCTTGAAAACGGACTTCTCACGAGTAAATCAATGAAAAATCATAAGCAAAGGCCTTCGGAGATCTCAATAAGCCTGCATCTTGCTCCAATGGTGGATTTCTAACGCTAAAACAGGATATTACTACAATGATGCTGCTAAACAATTATTCCGTGTGTCAGACCGGACATGCATCCATTCACAGAGGAGACTCTCAGCATTGCGCCTGTGCCCTTTGTGCCTTCAAAATCCACCACCGCCTACAAGTGTAGATAGACATAGCTCACTCTGAAGCTATTGCACATGATCAGATTAACTCTTCCTTTAATTTTGTCAGCGATATTTTCCAAAGCTTGAGAACTTTGGCCTTCGGGGAGAGTTTTGCTCAATTTTGAGTGTGTGAGCCGGCAGCAGGTGTACTGGCCGAGATGTTGTAAGTGGAATCGCCGCCGAAGAGAATAGCATTTCTCCAATGGCACGGCGAAATTTCCAATTGGTTTTCTGAAAGTCGACAGACTGAAAAGTGATGGTGGGCCGATTGCAATGCTTTTTTTGTGTGCAAATGGATGTCAGGCGGTGGAGAGAAATTCAGCCGCAGACAGGGATGTCATTTCCACGAGACAGCACATCGGCACTGCCAGCACATGGTTGCAAGCCATACCCATAGGGCTGGGTTGCCCCTGGCCAGCCTGATGTTGAAGATCCACATTAAGAAGCCAAGAAATTGGCTAAATGGACGTTTTGCTATATCATACAGTGTCTTGAGTTTCTAGCGTAAAATAATTCAACATCGACACAAACCTTAGCTCACTTCGAAGCCGGATCATAAGACTCAAAGCAGCCCGTGTAGTATTCGGTGAAATATCAGTGGGAGATGATCTCTGCTGGGCTGGGCTGAAGTTTGAGGTGTAAAGATCCTACAGAGAGTGGTGGGTTAAGCTGTGTGGTGATTTCGTTCCAGCTGGTGGAGATTGAGTGGCGCGGAAGGAATCTGACTGCGTCGGCAACGCACCCATTCTGGGATTGGCTTCAAATTGTCTACAAAAATAAATCAGAGGTACTTTTGAGTAAGGCTGTATTTTGAACGCAAATTCTCAATATTGTGCTGGCTGATTGTACACTGATATCCCATAGCTGCTCAATATGAAGTCAATTTGCCCAAGTATGATAATCAGACCAGGCCGCTATGTTGAAAGTCGTTCCAGGCATTCTCTCAATTTCAATGCCCTTTCCCCCAAATTTTGGCCTTTAATAGATCCAATGAATCTTTCATTCATAATCTTCATCTACAGAGAACAGGCCCTCCAACAACTAGACAAGAATGGCGAATATCGGTGGGGTGACAGCGAGCCATGGCCGTCACTACCATAACGAAGATGCACACCAGATATCTCAGCAGCCCATCTGCAACGAGGATTTTGACCCATATGAGATGCAACAAGATGCATACGAGGAGTCCTGTTATACAACACGACAGCCTCAGCCTGAAGGCAAAATCGAAATCTACGCGACGACGCAAGCTGCCAAGCCCAGCCACGAAAGAGCTCGAAGCTGGACGCCATGGATGGGCAGATCCACAGACGAGAGAGTCCAGCGCAACCTTGAGAAGCGATTTAGGAACAAATGGTCCTTCTATCACATGCGTCGGGTCCTCTGGCCGAGACGAATGGCCGACACCGACCCAGAGACCAGCACGCGAGGATACACCGCCGAGTTCGAGGAGGCCAACTCCTGGGAGGACCCCAAAGGCGAGGTGGTCAAGACAAAAGATGGGAAGTACGAGTACCGAAATGAGTTCCACCAAGTACGGGGCAAATTCAAGGACACAGCTGTCTACCTCTCGCCAACACATGCCTTGCCGCGGCGGTTGGTCGTTCAAGCGACAGGCCGCGTGCTGGCAAGCATCGAAGCGGGTGCTGACACGGGCGACTGGATACGAACCAACGTCAAGGGAAACGTTCCGGCCGTGCTGAAGATTTCGGAATGGGCCCTCGGCCCTCTCGATCGTGGAAGGTGGTGGGACAAAATCCATGCTGCTTTGCGCATGGTACTTGTTTCCGTTCCTTTGCAGGTAATGCTTGCTATGCCATTCTCAGACTGGGATTCGGATAGTGAAATGGCAGATACTTATACCGAGTTTCAAGGATATCACTGTAAGTAAATGTCTAAGGACTTCGTTGATCTGAGGGATAATTCTCTGGAGTGTGTGATTTGGTAAAATGGCGCTGGAGATCGAAAACGTCTCTGCTCATTTCCGAGTGCCTTGCTCCGTGTTTCGGAAGGGAGAAATAATTTACTAACAGGTAATATAGGGGACTGGCCCAAATACTCTATAAACGTGCTCGACGAGGCCCCTGGGCTAGACGGAAAGCCTAGACGTTTAGGTGAACACACGGTTGATGTGCGGAGAAGGTCTATCCGTCCCCACAGAATTGTTGTGAGGAAGGGAGACGAGTGGGTTCTCGTTGATGCGAAAAGTTATCCGTCCGTTCGCTATGTTTTCATCAGCTACCAGTGGAAGCAATTTCAGACTGGCGCGAATGGTGAGGCAGACCAAGAAAAGATCAAACGCATGGCCAGGCAGATCGCGACAGAAAAGGGGTACAAAGCTTACTGGCTTGATATCCAATGCATCACTCCAGAGAATGGACTCGACAAAGACCATGACGTTTACACCATGTGTGACATCGTGAGAAGCTCTGGCTTGGTTGCTATTTTACTCACTGAAGACACGGAGCAAGCACGAATGAGCTGGGGGTCTCGCTTGTGGACTTTGCCCGAGGGTATGTTGGCGCCTGGCGATAGTGTTGTCTGGTGTTATGAAAGAGCCACAGGGGTCTTGCACCACGACGAAGTGCACAAGACCGAGATGACTTCCTCGTTCTGGGGAGAGCCCGACGAGCACCTGTATGAAGGAGGTTCGCCGATCCGCAGTCTCGCAGAACACTACTCCGGTCTCTTAACCTTAAGTCGCCTGGAGCTTCTACCCTCTATCATCAATGCGTTGGCGGCTAAAGGGTGGACGAACAAGCAGGAGGGTCACTCTGACCTAGCCTATGCAGTGATGGGCTTTTTACATTACCGCCTCGAGCGCAACCCAGAAGATACCCTGTTCCAGAACCTAGCCCGGCTCTCTTTGAGCAATGACTCCGATCAGATTATAGTAAGTGCTATTCTTCTGCTGCTAAAATTTCCTGATCTTTGTGCTTTGGAACATCTTAGAATGTATCACTTTGGGACCCGTAGCAGGTTATTGACGGGTACTAGGAGCGCATGGTATCAATCCTGCCACAGGGGCTAGATAGCCATACATATCTCCCCGACCGGCTCCTCGACGTCGACGACAGTGATCTCTTCCGGGGGCTTGCCTTTCCAGATCAATTTGGCACACGTCTTCATGGGATTACGCCGCTCTGTGACGTAGTAGGCGTCGCACATGCGGACAAAACAGTTATTATTGACAACGCCAAGGCTATACACATCCGCTGGAAACGTTTCCCCAGACCAATAGTGGAGCGGCACAGAGGTATGAAGAAGATCATCGCCGCCTTCTTCGTCGCTGCAGGGCTGTGGTGGCTGCTCTGGGGCCTCCAGCTCATCATCCAGTGGCTCCCCTTCTGGGCAGACTGGGCGGGCAATGGCGTCAAGATCACCAATCTCGCCTGGCTCTGCGGCGCCTTCCTCATCATTGCGGTCTTACTATCTGCGGCCGCGCCGTTGTCTGTCCGGCGGCTGTTTGGAGGAAAGGTGGAGAAGAGCAGTCCGAATCTCGTCGCATTCGAGGGCGTCATGCCGATTGGTGAGCTAGAAAAGATTGTTTTTGGCAACAACAACGGCCGTCTGACCTACGCCCCATCGTCTACGCCGTTCTGCGCATTACCTTTTGCTCGTCACCCTCGGGAGAGGAGAGGGCAGGAAGCGCATTGGATATCGCACCCCGAGACAACACAGGACTACCTCCATAATGTGCTCCCTCGCGGGCACCGCCTGTTCACGCTTGTCGACATGGGTGACTTGAGCGTTTCAATCTTCTCTGCTGAAAGGCCGCCAACTGTGGCCCTTCTCTGTGGCCGAGAAGGTGGCATGGTGCGTGCCGTGTTGTGTAGCTGGAGGTTTGAGAATGACTGTCTCTACAAGGAGACTGTGATAAGGGTTCCATCTACTGTGTATGAGTCCGCCACGCCGAAGGGATGGTTAAAAGTATGCCTGCAGACGCAGAATCAGGCCAGATGGAAGAGCATGAGGGGCTCGAAATAGCCAAAGGTCTAGCAGAGTAGCCTAGATCATGTGCGCCGTGAAATTCATAACAAAGATCAATTGGAAGATGAGAGGAAAGACAAGAAAGAAAGCAAAAGGCAACCAGTGTGCGCCATTATGAGCCATGCCGTAAAGATCTCGGGAGACGCGCTCTATTCGGAATCTGACTACGTCTGGCCGGACAGGGTAAACGTACATGAATGTCGCACTGAATCTTCCGCGTTCTCTTGCCAATTACATCTGCTTTCATCCAGAGAGAACTAAGCCAGAGCGCCATCACCTGTCATGAAATATTCGTTTATTAGGGGACTGACATGAGCGCATTCAAGCATCCTCGAGTGGTGCTCATCAAGCCAGCGTGCAGCGCGTGCCCGAGGCTATACCTAGTCTTTACAACTTTTAATCCCATATGATGGGATTCACTTAAACTCCTCTAAGCCTGCTTGATTCCGTTCCATAGGCACCCCGTGCCAGAATTCATCAAGAATTGTGCTCTTTGTCGCTTGCCACCGTGACAATTTCCGTCCCACTCGACGAACAGGTGCCCTGAGCATCGGCTCCTTCTTGTGGCGAGATAGTGCACTACTCTTCCTCGTTCGCCTCAGTCCCGTCTTCATCCTCGTTCGCCTCCGCAGTCTCTTCCTCCTCAGCCTCTGCCACCGGCTCACCATTCTCCATCTCGACATCCACCTCCGTCGCTGTGCCACCCTCCTTCTCCAGGCGCAACCACTCATCCCACTCAGGGAACAGCTCCTCGTCACCATCAGCGCCAGGAGCTCCGATCGTCTTTGCAACACGACCCTTCTTGCTCTTCTCCAAGGACTCCTTCCACTGTTTGACCACGTCCGCAGTCAGGCTGGGCTTATAAGTCTGTGAGAAGAGTACAGCCTCGGCAAGCCGGTCAGTCTTGATGAGGGTGTTGACACAGCCCTCAACATCCGCAAGGAGCCATTTTGCGGAGAAAGCAACGTTGTGCGCGCCGGCCTCTTCGGCTTTGATGGCAAGTGATGTCAAGCCTTCCCGGTCGGCGGTCGAAGAGTACACGAGCAGCAGTGAGCCGAGATCGTTAGCGTGCGTGAAGCACTCGGCGGCCAGAGAGACGTCCCATGCGGTGAGAGCGGCATCACCGACTAGCAAGCATGCGTTAGTGGTTAATCCGTGCCAATTGTGGGGTCGAGACGCAACTTACCGGTCTTCCAGCGGTGCTCGACGTCAGCTTCCTTGGCGAGGTCGAGCGCGATATCCAGTCGGCTCAGCGCGAGGGCAAGCTCAAATTTGTGCTCAGGGTCGGTCGCAACATCCAGAGCCAGCTCCTTGTGGCCCTGGCCGTCCAAGAAACGAGCAACCTTGTTGAGCTCGCCCTCCGGAATGGCCGCAAGCAGCTCCTGGGCGGCCTCAAGCTCCTCTCGGAGGACCAGAGTCTGGTACTCAAGCACAGGCAGTGATAGAGCAAACGAGGTGACAGCGACATCCTTGTTGCAAAGGTAGATCCTGGAGTCGCGCTGGATGTAGCCAAGGATATACATCGGTTGGTCGAAATGCGACACTGTGTATGTCTGGTCGCCGACGAGGTAGTTCAGACGGTTGGTGGAGTTTGTGAACAAGAAGCAGTCGCCTACCCACTCCCCGGTTCTCACACCTTCGCTGATGTCAGTAATGACCTCGAAGGCGGCCTCAACACCGTCGTCTTCGACTTGGCCGGATTGCAAGCCCTCTTGGTATGCCTCGCGACTGAAGCGCAGGATGTAGCAGGTATCATCGCATGCCAGTGCAACCAGCTCTCCACTTTCGCTCCAGTAAACCTCACGAGGTTCCACCTCGATTCGCCTGACCAGGCCACCTGTTGCCCAGTCGAAGAAGCTAATGCCTCCTTGGCCCTTGACACCGAGTAGAACCCCCCCAGCCAGACCGTCCGCCTGGAAGCCGACGTCCAAGCCGCCTTGCTTCTCCACAAAGTTCTTGAAGACCTTGACGCTGGTCGGGGACTCGCGGATGGCGAAGTCATTTGAGTTTTCTTTGGAGGCCCAGACAAAGTCTAGCGCAGACCCGAATTGCTTATTGCGCCATGCGAGTGCAGTGTACACGATGAACTCGCCATCACCGCAGACCGCAACGAACCGTCCGTTGGCTGAATGTGAGAGGGTGGATGGGTAGACCTCACAGCTGCCCAGGTCCTTGGTGGTAAGGTTGATCGGCACGTTGTCTTTGGTTGCCTCGCCGCCCTTGATGATGGCGGACACCACCTCGTTGTGTTTGGCCCAGATCAGCTTGCCGGAACCGTCCATCGAGACGGCCGGTTCCTCACGGCCGAGCTTGACGACAACTGATCCTTCGTCATAGCCCACTGCGACACTCTGCTTGCCCCGTTGGTAGCTAACACACCAGGCTCGTTCCAGGCCGTAGTTCAGACTTTGTTCGAAGCGATAGGTAGCAGCGTGCCATATCCGCAGGGTTCCGTCTTCTGAGCCGGAAATAATGACGGGAAGCTCGGGATGGTAGCATGCGAAGCTGACGTTATTGGTGTGGCCTTCGAGTGTGGCAATCAGAGACTTGGTCGTGTAGTCCCAGATCTTGACTGTTCGGTCGTCACTTGTGGTAAGGAGGTATGGCTTGTCGGAGTGTGGGTAGTAGTCGACGTGGTTGACGCCTTTTTGCTCGTGCGCCTCCAGGGTGAAATTTGCTGTTGACGAGCCAAGCGACCAGATCTTGACTGTCCTGTCCAGACACGCGGACGCAAATGTGTTGGTATCCTTGGGGTTGATCGCCAGGGACATGACATAGTGCGAGTGGCCCTCGAAGGTCTGCTGGCACTTCCAGCCGAGGTCCCAGTTCCATAACTTGATTGTCATGTCATCACTAGCCGTCAGCACGAATGGCTGCGTTGGGTGGACACAGATCGCTCGAATATAGTCAGGATGCGCTTCGAAGCTGGCGACCTTTTCTGATGTGTTGTAGTTGTGGACTCGTAGTTGGAAGTCGTCGCTGCCGCAAACAATCCAGTTCTTCCGCGCAATGAATCGACCGGCACGCACAGGTACGTCTGTCAGCTCAAACGTCTTGACGATGGCCTGCGTCTCATAGCTCCATATGTATACGTGTCCGCTGTAGAGGGTCGTAAGGATCCATGGTTCTGTAGGGTGGAAGTCGATGCCCTTGACACGTTCGCTCCGGGCAAAGAGCTGCCGCTATGAGTGCAGAGAGATGGTGTTAGCGATTGTTGGGCTCCATCTTCTATACCGAGGCATGTTTTCGGGAAAGGCCTCTCTGGCGCTGCCTGAATTGGGCAGAACCAGCTCTCCGATATGCCTGGCAATCGGATCCCAAGTATTTGTTGCCTTCTTGGAGCGTTCGGCAGCGACAAGACAGGAAGGAGAGGGTGAGACTATGATGCGCGTACCTTTACGTCTAGCCTCATGTTGGGCAGATGCTATCGATGTAGCGGCTTGCGTTCAGAAAGGTAATCACCTGTCGAGGATTCGAGGTTCGCGAGGTTCACGGTGGTGGGGTGTATGTCTGTGGCAGGCGAGCCAACATTGAAGGGGGACCTCCTTTCCTATGGTAAACAGAGTTGAGCTTCTTGAATCAGGATTGACTGATGAGATTGGGTGTAGGGAGAGTGAGATGGCAGGGGCCTATAGAAGTTCGTCGGGCTGGTGTGGATAGTGTCCCTGTGAGTGAATGGCAAGCTGCTGCCACGTCTCAGGGAGCTCTTGAGAGGTCCACTGCCAATTGAGATGTGGTCTTTGGGGAGCTCAGCCTTGGAGGGAGCGCCGTCTGCCTGAGGCAGCAATTTGTGGGGGTGTGGGGAAAGTTTCTCTATAACCACCCCCTTCCCATTAGGCTTGGCAAACGCACTGCTGAGTGAACCCAGAGTCCTCATAAAGATGGATGGGTTTGTTTATGTACGGGCTGGAATTCGGTTTGAGGCAAACGATTCTTTAAGTTCAAGGTATATCATCGACTAGTCTCCACACCCATCATGGCTACTACTCCAGGATACTACTGCAAGTTACTATCGCAAATGCCATTTCCCACTCCAGCCATTGTTCCCAGGGCATTCCAGACTGGTTCTGCTCCTAGAGTTGCATTTCGCTTGCAAACACCATCATTACCAACACACATGAACATCACGTATCACAGTTTTGATATTTTCTTCACTCTTCAGGATGGCACACAGCACAAGACTTTTCTTTCAGGCCATTGAATTTATTTGGTTGCTCTGTCTCATACAGGCGTTTTGGACGACAACGTCCAGTCACCATCTTTCAGGTGATGCTAAGTAACAAGCAAAAATGAAAAGCCAGCCATGAAATGGGGTATGCATGTCCTTGAACCCGTTCCCCTAACACCATACGGTAATCCCTAGAACCAATTTGGAACGCCAAGTCTCGTCTCATCATGAAGTTTGTGAAAATTCGGCCAGTGGCCGTATGAGAAGTTCTCAAGACATCTAGTCCTCGGCATCGGCCTGCACCTTCTTCACGATGTCCACCATCATGGGGTACAGCTTCTCCGATTTCTGCAGGCCGCAGACCTCGCCCACTATGGAGTCGGCATCCATGGTGGCCATCTTCTGGGCGAGCTCCGTAGACTCTTCGTCGCCCTCCACATTTTGGAAACGCAGTGTCATCTCAGCAGCATCGAGAAGACCGCTGCAGTCCTTGCCCATCTCCGCAAGCGCGGCAGCGGGTCCGATGAACCGCTCCTTTCGCCCAAGCTTACGGAGGGGGGCACGACCGACACGCTCGACAGCATCCTCGAGGTGAGGGTTTCCAATGCGGGAGATGATCTTCTTGACGTATGCAGCTTGCTCCTCCTCTGTGGTTTCGTGCTTGGAAACAATCAGGTCCGAGGTATTGGCAAGAGCCTTCTTCACCTCGGCCAGGATCTCCTTATCTTGGAGTGCGTCGTAAACGGTGCGCTTCTTGCGGTTGTATCCATGGTAGGCAGCGGTTGCATGGCCGGTGTTGACGGTGTACAGCTTACGCTCGATGTAGGGCTCGAGATGCTCAACCCAGTTGATGCCGTCGATGGGGGGATGCTCGCCCTCGAACGGGAGCTGCTCCACAACCCACTCGTAGAATTTCTCGAGCTTGACGTTCAGACCGGCATCGGCATCTTGCGCAGGGACAATTCTGTCAATAGCAGAGTTGGCGTAACGGGCGCGCTTGTGATGAGAGTCGAGGCGCTCTGCAGGGGTGTTCTTGGGGTCCTTGATGTGGTCGGCAAGGGCGGTGGTGGCGTTGATCATGTTCTCGCAGGCAATAACAGCCAGCGGCTTCAGGTCATCAGCTCGCTTGTCGATACCTTGGGCAATGACAGGTGCAATGAACTTGAGAATGGTGGGGCCGACCGAGCATGTGACAACATCAGCGGTTGCAATCTCGTTGACGAGGTCGTCTGCGTGAGTTCTCGAGTTGATGGCACGGTAGTTGGTGATGATGTTTTCTGTTGTGCCCTCGGTGCCGACCTCGATGACCTTGTACTCCTTGGTGGAGTTGAGCTTGTCAACGACATCGGGCACGACATCGGCAAAGACAACCTCGTAGCCGCTGTTGTGCAGAAAGCAGGCGACAAAGCCACGGCCGATGTTGCCAGCTCCAAAGTGAACGGCCTTGAGGGCCTTGGTGGGATTCACGGAGTTCGCCATTGTCAAGGGCTTATGAGGCAGACCGATGAAAGCGAGTAGACAGGGTGAAGATGGGAAAGGGGGGTGGATGATAAAAGTGTTGGGATGTAGCCCTGTGTGATGGACTAGTTTTGGATGAGAACTGAGAACAACGACGATATGGTTACAAGTCGTGTTTAAGGGGTCTTTGGAATCGAAGTGAAGTTGTTGGTGATTGTTGGGTTGAATGAAGTATGGTAAACAGGAATAGAATAAGGAAGGGAGGGACCATGGATTTATGTACCACAACCAGAGGTGTCCAAAGGCGAAGGGGGAGAGGGAGGCGGGGTCTGTGGTTCGTGAGTCGTAGTTGCCTCACATGGAATCCCTCGTCCCTGACGTCGCTGTGGTCGGCTGCCGGGGAGAGGAAGCAAAGGGAAAGCCCACAGGGTAGGGCAGGTGGGGCCCATGTATGACCAGGGGGCCAGTGTCCAACGCTGTCGGCCCAGCGCTAACAGTCTCCGACCGGGCCTTTGGATACTGGAGGAGTGGGGCCTCACTTCCAGGTTTCACACAAACAAAACCTGCACCACCTGCACCGTGGAATGTGTTAGAACCAGACCTATGGGTTCTGTGGGTTACCCAACGGGCCAACAGACGCTGGCTGAAACGGACCGGTGTTGGTCTGGCCAAGGCCAAGCTTGCAAAACGGCCTGCTATCTCAGCCACCCTCACCATGTCGTGACCAAGGCCTGATTGGGCCCTTACAAATGAGAGATTTTAGTGCATGACAAGGTTGGCCGCAAGCCCGGAATGGGACGGCTTGGAGGGGTCTTTCGATTGCGTCGTCATTGTCATTGGCTTGGGCGCAGTCTATTGTAAGGACGAGCGGATGGGCTGACCGGACGGCTGAGACATTTATTTTGTTTCTGTGCATCCTGCAAAGCACGTGTGCCTACGGCAAAGCCCATGGCAGAGACGGTGAGAACTCTACAGGTAGTACAGACGTAGACTACGAGTATACAGCGCGTTGTTACTGTCCCCGTCGTTGTCACTGCTGCGTGGACCCCAGCCGCTGAGTGTGACGAGCAGGCTGGCAACGTGATGGTTGTGTGTATGTACTGTAACCCCCTCCTCCTCTCGTATAAGCCGGCTGCAGGAGAGAAATGCTGTCAGTCGCACGACGCAGCATCCGAGACTCAGTAATCTTGGGTGGTGTTGACCGGCTTATTTCTCGCCGTCTCTCTTCGCCTTGCTCAGGTGAAGAATTAAGAGTCACTCTCGACTCTGCCCAGTGTTCACCCCAGAACCCATATTGAGACAGGCGATATTCCGTCAAAATCTCTTTGCTGGAATGCTGTGATCTCTGGGCTGACAATGAGTGGGGCCTTAAGGCTGGGCTTCGGCGATGGCAGCGAACAGGTGGTGGGTTCTCTGCTGAGCTGACGCCCTTCGGCGACGGCATTTGCCTCATCAAGGCAGATAAGCTCTCCCGCTCAGATCGTATAAAAGAGACCTTACCGCCCGCGCTGTCCTTGCCGATGCCATATTGTTATTTCGCGGACCATCACTTATTAGACTTCGAGGTCCAAGCGGCCAAGGCTGGCTGACTGGCTGGCTGGCTGGCTGGGTCAAAGGCGCCGCAGGCTATAGCCGTCCCTCCATCAAAAGATCAGCATGAGCATGGAATTCCCCGACTGCCATTCCCGCCGTTCACCTACTCTATCTCGGACACCACCTGGACGCCTGTGCCCCCAATCCTGGACATCCTGAGCTCAACAAATGTATAGTGTAACCCGAGAACCTCGCCCATACCCCAGATTCGAGCCATCTGCTGGGGTCGAGCGGGGGAAAACCACGAGTACGGCTGGACAGCCTCTGATCATTTCCTGTCTTGTCGTAACGTGGCAGATGGTGTTGGTGTCACAGGCGGGAATACCCACCGTCAGTGCAGTCCGAGCCGTCCTGGCTTGCCTGGCAGTCGAGTAAAGTTCCAAATGACCACGAAGGTTGAGATGCCCTACCCAACGACCGTTTTGGCCTTGCCCCTGTCAATCAGTGGCTTGGGGCTCGCACGTTGCAGCAACCGGCGAGCGCCAGAGACTGTGCGGGAGATGTGACGGTGACGTCATTCCAGAAAGGGAGTGATCAACGTAGCTAACAGTAGATGATGTATGTCTGGGTCGGGTATGTATCAGACACTCCTATGGTACAGGCAACATTTCCCGATCCCGAGAGCAGTATGACGATGCAGCGACCGGTCGACTACTACTGTACGACGGCACGGACGGGTTGCCAGTACCCGGGCACGCACGCATTACTCCGTCTATCTGTTTGTTAGTCAAGCCAGTCTTGTCTGGCGCCGTTTTCACCACCGTTCTTTTGGGTCTGGGCCCGACGAAACTGGCCCGTGCTTTGGACTTGTGGACTTGGGCAACAGGATGGCCCCATCGTCCCGCATCGTTCGTCCTCTTGCGTCTTTGGGGAAGGCATGACCGTGCATGGCGGGGCACAGCTCCACGACGTCATCGGCCAGGGGCGTCATTCGCCAGCGTCATACTGGCGGCCCCTGACGGGAGACAACCATCGCGATGACTTTGCCTAACTGGGCCCCTTGCATCACAGCGGCCTCATCTCAGAGTACATAATAGCCTGCGACGTTGGGTCCTTTCGTGCTCCAAGCCGGGCTCCGTCGCAGATCTCTGCCGAATGACGCCAATGGTCCCTGCAGCGTGCTCCATTGCCTCCCCCGCCAAGTGCCATCGGCTCATTCCCAAAATGACGGCTCACGACGCCTTCACTACTGCACGGCCTTGCAAGCTCGTATTGCCTCATCGCGCATGGCCCGACGCTCCTTCGGCCTCAGTCCTCACCGCAAACCTATCTCGGCCCCGGCCAAAAAGGACACTGAAGCCATCGTCAGCGTACATGGTAGTTAGTCTCGCGCTGATCGGGTGAGTTGGAATCTCAACATCCGACCGCCCGACCGTGTGATGCAGTCGAGTCTACGTACTTTGCTGTGTGTTTCACAACACCTGCACGATGCCAGCCAAAACCGGTCCATGTCTGCACGGCTAGTTCAACGGTCTCTTAAGAATATTCCCAGCTTCCTGTGCGATGTGGCCTCCTGGCCCGGTCCGGCCACGGCGTTTCAAGACTCCCGGGCTGCTTTCCAGGCCGCTGGCTACCGCTGGCTACCGCTGGCTGATTGTCTATAATTACTTCAAGTCGTGGCGTTGCTTCATTTGTACAGTCCTGCATTAATCCACATCCATTGCGGCGGTTGGATTTCAATTGCGCCAAGGTCACAAATACACCCGCCCAAAAGAATCATCGACGGGCCCATTATAAGCAGCCCTCCTCCCTGAGCTCTCTCCACCGAACCTGAAGATCGCGAAGTCTGGACCGCCGCTTTGCCCGCCTTGGGTAGCACAACTTGATTGGCTACCTACTAGACAAGGCCTCTTCTACCGCCTTTTCGCTCCCGTCGGATTACTCTGTTGGTCAAGCCATCCTTCCAGGGCCTGCACAGGGGAACAACGTGCCAGGCAGTGACCGTTCTGAGTGGTGGGAAACACAGCCAGGCAGGCGCTCTCCAGTCTTGTGCGTTTTGAAATATTGACATGTGCTCTCAGTTCCATTGCGAGGTGATTATTCTGACTGTCAAATGGCTCGAGTGGTTCAATCCGTCCGTCCGACTGCACGGCGGCCTCTTTTGCGGGAATTTTTTTCTGGATGCTGCACATCATCTCGCCATCGACCAACAAATGCAGTCAATCGATCGTGCATCGACATGGGCGATTGAGGCAAATGAATGGCTCAGCAACGGCTCGATGGTAGGTGTCTCCGTGTGACCAAACCTAGGCGAGCCAACGTGTGCGGCACCATCCACTTCTCTTGCCTTTGAAGACGCCCACGGGACGCCGTAGCCGTCGTCACTTGCGGGCTACCGGCAGAGCTTAAGCGATTCATTTAGGACAGCTGATGCCGTGTAGGACTGTGTTTTCACGATGGCTTCCATCAGGAAGCACGGCCCGTGACTATCGTGCGCCTCCCTTATCTCTTGCCCCATGGAGACTCCTGCATCCTGCAGTAAACGGTCTATCCGTCGTGCCGTGTCAGCGCCTGATACGGGGAGTGGTCGGGGCTGTGGGCCACCCCAGATGCCCCCAGAGTGTCCACTTCAAGCCCGCAGACCCACACCCACCGCTCTGGAAAACGGACCGAGTTGGCTCCATCCCCAAGGCCGTCGTCGACGAGGGGCGCACAACGCGGCTCACCCCCTGACAACAATAACACAGCGATTGTGTGTCCCTAGCGCTCTGGCTAAAACACATTGTGGGATAATGCCGCCGACTGTCAGGGCTCCCCCGAGGTCATTGGACCGAACCGCCGCGGTGGGGCCGGCTTCACCCGAGGAACTCACCGTTTCGGCGCTACTTTGACCGGACACTGCCACCTCCCTCGATATTGACTGTCTCGGAGCCTATTGCCCTGCCCTCCACGATGCCGCTTTCAGGCCAAATCCTGGCGTCAGGTGTCATCAAAACCGGCTAATCGGTCAGGAACGGTGATGATAATAGTCCATTCTCGGCGACTAGACGATTCGTTGCTTGCATTACGTCGCTGGGCCGTCGAAACTCAAAATCACTGCCTCGGGCAGGTCGGGTATTCGGGATAGATTAGCAGATTGATTTTCTGTCGAGTCCGTCGACAAAGGCACTCTTTCACATGCTGTCACAAGCAACAAGCAGGTGGTTACTAGTCAGCAAGGTTGCTTCACGCAATTCTCCGCCCCATCGCAGTTCACAGAACGCGACTGATACCTCGAAAACAATTTATGTATCCAGCCACGACAGCCTCGGAGCTGAGCTTCTTTGAAACTTTGAGCAGCACCAGGACATGGAGTATATTGAGCCAACCGTGAAACCTCAAGGACTTTAGGAGGGAAATCCACCCAACAGAGGAACATCCGTCATACCTCGTCCTCAGAACGTCATCAGATTTCTTCAAGCAGATGAACATGCCCATATCCAATATTCCAGATTGTTTTCCTGCCATGAGTCACAGCTTCCCATGCGGGCAAGCCGCGAATCTGTCGTGCGTAGGCTAACAACTCACTTGGAACCAGTTCGTCTTGACCTGCGTCGTCGATACGAGCTATCAAAGCCACAGCGTGTGCATCTAGTATTGTCGGCCCCGTGGCAGCACCAAACAGCCAAATGCCTTGCTCCTGCTCAGTGTTAGATTCCTGGTGGTATTCGCGATAGAGCAGTAGAAGCCGCTGGAAGAGATCGGCAGCTTGTGCCTTGGCCTTCTGTATATTTTCTGGGCGTAAAGCGTAGGCGAGGTTTCGATAGTAGCTAAGTCTGTTAGCTATACAGACGCACGAACTTCACAGATTGGCCTACTTACTGTTCCCTTTTATACTCCAGTGCACGCCGATACTTGTCGGATATGTCCGTTTTAGCGAGTAACCTGTCTAACCCTGGGTCCGGTACCTCCACGGCTTGCTCCTTTGAAGGGCTCTTGATGCTTAAAGAGAATGCCTGAATCTCATGTATTTTCTCTAGTAATGCGTCGACCTCCCCCTTATGCGTGCCACCTAGGAGCCCTGGAAAGAACGAATCCCCGAAAAACTTTGAGATCGCCACGCTCTCCGTCATAATCTCGACGCGTGGCTTCATCGATCCATCCCGCCACTCTCGGGTCATAACCGGTACCTGGCCATTACAATTGACTTCAGTAAGGAACCATTCCTCAAGATTATCGTCACGATGAAGGTTTATCAGCTTGTGTGTGATATTCGGTACACCTTTGGGACCCTGGTGGTATTCTTGCCCAAGCGCGATGGCGAATCGCGCCATTATGGAATAGAGAGAAAATGGGAAAATGCAGAGGGTATACGGTGGGCCATCAGAGGTGCTGAAGGACATTTCATCTTGACTTTGTTCCTGTGAGAGCTCACTGCTCGGTAAAGGCATTTTGATAGTATCAGACGGAAGAATAACAAGGCCTTATGGAAGCTCGAAGCTTTGAGTACCTGGGTAAGACAAGAACCAGAAGTTCTGGGGGAGGATAAGCAGAGAGGGGTTTCGTGACACAGCATCGCTAAACTCCGGGCCTAATCAACGCACCAATGGGTCTGTCAGATTTCGCCCTTTTCGGTAAAGCCTCGTAAATATTTAGGGGATTTCTCAGACAATGCCTCAGTGTCGACATCAATAATGCTGGCAATTCTTGACCTAACAAATATCCATCTACTTCTGAGCTGGTCCACAACTGCGGGCTATAAAGGATCACGCCCTTTCCCTTGCCAGCGCGTCACGGGACATGCCCTTCACAATCGTCCACATCGTTTCCCGACTCTCCCAGATAGGCCACAGGATACAAATCAGCGCACTAAACCATACCCAAATAAAGGACACAACACACCATCCCACAAAGCCCGCTCTCGTGAATTCCCACTCGCTGCCAAAGAACGAAAATGGGACGAGAATCACTGCTACAGTCCAGTACGCGATGTTAAATCCGTAGGCAAGCTTCGTTGCAACCCGAGCTTGCTCGGCATCCACTGCAGCATTTAAAATCAGCCATCAAAGAACTAAGACAAAGGGTTTCATGGACACAAATTTTGACACCATGCACTCAAAGCTTATTTCAAAGGCTTTAGCCTGGCCGAGGACTTCAAGGCAAGTAGACCACAGATGGTGTGTATTAACTTTAAAAGGAAAAGCGTTGTGTCCGGAAGCTACTTACTAGGCTGTGAGTATGAAGCCTCGAGGAAGTCCACAATCGCGTTGCCTGTGGGAACTACCGTCTCGGGGGCTGGGTCCGAAGCAGGCTGGAGTTCACCAGTTTCCCTGGTTGGAGCTATTGGACTTGACTCGGCCTTTTCCAAGTCCGACCCAGTGAAGTTGTTGACCACCGCAGTATCTCGTGGAGCTTCAGTGGAAATACCTTGCAGAATCTTGTCCTGCCTGATCTTTGCAAGAAGGTCGCCATCGGCTTCTGCTGCCCCCCATTTGGTTGGAAACAGGTATGATAGCACAAATGCCATTATAACACCTGTGCAACACGATGTGACATTGCCGGCGACAGCATTCGTTACGTCGCCTGTCGTTTCCACTGAGATGCTCCCACTGCGGAGCTTAGTCACGACGAACCAAGCGACCAGGCCCAGTGCGGTCCCGATCCAGGGCGATATCAGGGCTGCGCAGGAGGACATGGGTTCCCACAATAAGATCAGTCCGACGGGAATTGACGCGCCGCCGACAATAACACCAAGGACCGTTAGCACCCAAGTGAGGTTAATGCTGACGGCGTTCAGAATGCAGCAAAATGAGGCCAGAATCACAGAGAATATGATGATGCCATAATGACTTATTCGGACAAGCTCGTCCGAAGTTGCGGCCGGTCTGATATACGTCTTGTATATGTCGAACGTGATCAGACTGGACACGGCGATGAGTTCTGCACTTGTTGCACTCGTAACAGCCATGAATAAAAGGAGGAGCATAAGTCCTGCACCGCCGCTTCCTAGCAATGCGATAGCCGTGGCGGGAGCAGACAATCCACTGCCGTTCTGGGCTGCCGAGAGCGGATTGGGATACGTCGGGAACGAGGGGCTGGATGTCAGTGCTGCACAACCAAGTCCCATCGCCGTGGCGAACCCGAAAGGTATACCATACCAGGCGATTCCACCAAAAATATAAGCTTTAACGGATGTCTCGGGCCTGGAGGCGATTGCACGTTGCCAATAAGCTTGATCCAGCCATACCGTGCAGAAACCCGCGACAAGTAGGTCAATAGCGAAAACGAGTCCGTCATCTGACTTGAACGTCAAATACGATCCGTTATGCGCGTTCCCAGTGATTGGCATGTCCTTTCCGGCCTCAAGTAGCAGGTCGTAGAACTTGCTAATGCTTCCAACTGTTGGGTTCGTCGCGTACATGCTGAATCCAAACGTGAGGATCGCTACGAAAAGGATCACCGTGTGTGCATAGTCGGCGATGAACGTGCTCCTCAAACCTCCAGCGATCACATAGGCTGCAACCACCAATGGGATAAGGAAGCATGCGCCGTAGACGTTGACACCGGACAGAGCGCCGACGACCTGGCTCCCTCCCAACACGAGACAAGAGCCCACGAGCAGGTTGGTTGCGAAGGCGAAGAAGAGATAAGTGAGGTGATTCAGGCGACCGTGGTGCGCAAGGATGATTTCTGGGAAGGTGTGTGCGCCAGGGGCGTTGGTTTTGATTTTTATTGCGATCAGAGCGAACAGAAGGATCTGCGAGGAGCCCATCGCTGCGTACCACATTGGCCCGCCGATGCCATACGAGTATGCGAATGTACTCGACGTGAGCAGGGTGGAGCTCCAGGTCCAGGAACTAACAATGCCTGCGGCAATGAGCCCCGGCTTGACGCTTCGGGATGCCGTGTTGAACTCCTCAGACTGCTTAGTTGAGTAGGTAGTATAGCGATTCTGGAGATAAGTTATAGCCAACCTGTCGAATATGTCAGTCGCTATCTGAGTGGATCTGGCAGCCTAGGGCTGCTTGGTGGTAATGATTCCTCACATCATGAGAGCGAAAAAAGCGCCAATGCCAACAACGATGCCATATCCTACACCTTGACTCAAGACATGGACTCCATCCCCACTGGACATTTTGGTAAATGTTTCTGTCTCACAAGGGGGGGCCCTTTCTCCAAGATCGTATGCAAGCAACAAGTACGACGGAGGTCGGTGGATCAGTCGCCTGTGACCTCGGCCGTGAGCTTCCAGAAAAGAAGGAAATACCTGACAAGGTAATCAAGTGAATATGCTACTTGGCCATGCGTGAGAACAAGCAGCTAGAATGTGTTTCAAACGGAACAAGCCCTTCATACATCTAAGTCCGGCTTTTAGCCCAACCTCTTAGCTCCTTGGATCAAGTTGTCACTGTTGGATGCAAGTGAGGGGAGGAGCAGAATTGAAAGCCTACCACACACGGATATATGCTTTCGAAGAGTGTCTCCGATCACCTTATCAAGGTTGATGACATCTTCAAATAATCACCGGCAGGGGGTACCACACCTGTGTGATCGACCGGCAGGTCAAGGTGCTTCAGGGAGATAAGCATAACACGATATGTGATAAGCGTGGTACACATTGCAGATCTCCCCGGGTTTTTATCGGCAAGATAGCCTATATGTATAGCAAGCTTATGACCGCTTGGCTTACAACTGCCGACCAACTCCAAATATCTTTCGGAAATCCGCCGGTCGGAACTTTCGTGGCCGTCGACGAAGAGCCTCTTATCAGACGTCATTCGAACATAGTGCTGTTTGTTGAACTCAACGACTGCTCTTCCAATTAGTCGACTACCACGGTTCCACAACCATCGACTGGAGCTGAGGAGCTGGGATGCTGTGACTTTTTATAAGTAAAGTAGCTGGAAGATCATCATCCTGCCCTATCATGGGAAGGACCATTGCCTGGCCTCAGAATTTGCCAATGCACAGCTTTGGGAATTGAGCAGACTTTCGTAATTGACTTATGTGTATACCATTTGTCTCAACCTGCTAGATGTAAGAGAAAGTGGTGCAGGTGTATTCAGGATATCGCGAAAAGGCTTTTCTCTAATTTACTTCATGTCCCCCCTGACGCTTCGCTGATTCGTTGCTGGAGAGTTTCCAGGTAGTCGAATCTCGAGCCTGAGAGACTTCGAGCCCAAAAGAGCTCTTAGATGCATTGATAGCCTCATGAATAGGCTCGTCAGTGCAACGAAAAGAATAAGCTGTAATTTTCATGATATTTGCTTGTTTGAGAGGAGAGCTTCCCGTACCTTCAAAGCAACAATACATATGCAACTCGATCTTTAGTCCAATGGTCCGAATTGGAGCTATAGGCTCTAAATCGGATAGAATGTTCCTGACCCTATACAGAAGGTGGTAAGGCTAGGAACAACTGAGTATTTGAAAAGAAAGCAAGCAAGCATGAATGCTAGAAATAGATATTACTCCCGATCTTTACACCCGTGACCCCTCAGAAGTTTTGAGAATTGAGGAAGGGCTGAGGATGCGGGAAGCTCCTGCCTAGCCCTTCATACGTACTCTCTGGATGAGGCGTAGTTCCGGAAGGAGGTTCCAGATACAAAGGATAGATGACGACTTTTAACATGTAAAGTGAAGCACAGAGAAGTCCAGATACAAAGATCAGAATTCCTCAGCTCGAAATATGAACAAAACAATTTCTGCTACAACTAGACAAGCCAAAGGGACTTATCCCGTAGAAAGGTGTCCTTGTGGCAAGGCGTGGCGCAGAACTGAGTTGTGTACCTCCTTGATGAGTGAGCTCGGTGTTCCAAACTTAATTCAGTCATGGTTATTGAGATTGGGTAGGATGTAGCACAATTTCTCGTGATGTGCTTGGATGCACATCTGTGCCGCGATAGCATCTGCCTATGCATTGCCTGGAAGAAATGCCTTGCTTCTCGACGGTGAGCATTCCTGTTGACCACGTTCCTGGCTACCTTGACGTCTGATCGGGGCCAAGAACCTCGTTCCATCTTTTTCTCTCCTATTTGCGCGAAGTGCTGCTGCATCAAAACCAAGTTCGTGTTGTACTTTTCTTGACCGTTTGTCCCTTGGCTTCGGCGCTCAGGAAGTGTCGGAAGATGTAGATTGTATCACTCAGCGTGCCTCGATGAGGTGTCTGGTTTTCATGCCCAGTTCCTGTGGCGTTTCGTTGGGGTGGATTCTATTGCCCTGAAATGAAAATGGGAGGAATCAAGGTAAACCTCAAAGCCCGTGGCTACGGCAGTCATGAGATCCACAGCCTTGCTTGGTGTCTAATTTAGTATGTAGCCTTGCGATCGGTAGGTACTGCTTCGATCAGTAGATACTGCACGCCAGACAGCTCCAAAAGCAACTATCAAGGTCTCTTACTGGAAGGTTGGTGATGCACTTACCATGGATAAACTGTAGCCTCATTGGCTTGTCAAGCGGCAAAGCATCACAAAGTGGAGCCATTGGGGAGCGACTGTCTTGTGTGGACGGACCGTTAATGGGGCCTGGGCTGGAACGCCATCGTCTCGGATGTTAACAGGCTCCTCAGCAGGAATATAAAGAAACATTTTGATGGGAACGATCGCACTTCTCCGCAGTTCTCTGCACTTCCAAAAAAGAAAAGCCCCCTGATTCCTTTCAACTTCGCCAGCAAACCACTCTGGGAGGAGGTGAAAAGCGATGCTGTCAACGTCGGCGCCATCAAGGTTGTGAAACTTGATGCGTGCCACCCAAGCAGGCCTGCGCAGTTGGGAGGCTTGGGAACGAGATGTCGATGGACAAGAACGATGATGACCGACGTTCTAAGACTATATTGCCAGTCACACTGGAAACGTGATACGATGAAAAGATTCAGGGATGGCTAGGTGCCTCGTGGGGTTGTAATACGTGGGCGATCAAGGGCAGGGGAGTGCTCTGCACATCTGGTCAATTGATGATCATGGAGAAAGGAAGTGCCTCGTCACGCTTTGCGAATGCGGTTGACCAAGGTGCAAACATTCAGGATGCTCCGCTCCAGGATGGGAGTCGGTGGTTTGAAATGGCTTGAATTTCTTGGCTGTTTGTGACAGCACAGGTTTGGGGTGACCAATTGTCAAATCTTCATGCAATCTCCCACAGCTTCCAAACCGACCTCACGAGACCCTAGTCAGCAACATCGCACCTGAGGAACCTAGGAAAGTCTTCAACGGCCACTGCGTGATAAGAAATCAAACATCGAACGCCAGCCCTGGGATATCACCACTCATAAACAAGACACAAGATGCAAAGACGTGTTCACCAATGTCCCGAACATATACCCAAATGCAAATTCCTCAAATTGGCCCCTTGAACACACCAGAATGTTGAGCCATTACGTTCTGTATTGCGGGAAGCCAGGAAAGGTGGCCGCCTGTCAGCCGATCCGTCAGTTTGATTGTGGATGGCTCCAAGACTGCCAGGGCAGACTTACGTAGCCTTGTTTTGCCAGAAATTCCTCAGCTTGTTTTTGCCGCATGGCCTCCCGAGCCTTGCGCTTCTCTTCTGCGAGGTCGACAGACTCGGTCAAGGGCGCTGATGACTCGGTGGAGCCGCGGGGATCCTGTAGCCTTGCGTAGTCGGCAGCATTGCCGGACTTGGGACGGGAGCCCTTGGAGAAAATGTTGAGCTTGGAAGGCATCTCGCTATTTGGTTCGATGAGATTCGGGAGTCGTTCACGAGGCACGTAGCTTGTAAGTTATGTTCGAGATCGGGGATAAAGTGTGTAAGAGCAGTATGTTGTATTGTGTGGCATTTGTGAATGCCTTAGATGCCTGAAGGCTGGACGGAGGAAGCAAACTCTTATACACGGTCCTTGCATGCACGGCCTCGTCACGCTGTCCTTGGCACACATTCATATTATTTCTGCCTGGTTGCCGGTGAGTCGAACGGAGGGCGCAGTCAAGGTCACATAGGCCCCGCCGGCCAGCCGAATCTGTGTCGGTGTGTTGCTCATTGGATCTCCAGCTCCTAGTTCTGGGTGCTATGTTTGTCCGTCTTACTTCACCCGCCCTAACCCCGATATAATTAGATCGGAATTCACGCAACGCCATACGCGTCTAAGTCAGCCGGCGTTGGAAGTGCCTGACTCATCTGCTTCGGAGCTTAGGTACCAAGCTTGTTGTGTTTTGTCAGAGGCACAGAAGCGGGCTCAGCAATGACAAAGAATCCTGCGAGCCCGGAGTGGTTAGCGCACGCGCTGGCCAGGCTTTTCGGAGTACTTCGATAGCGAACTCCGAGTTCCGAGCCATCCAATCTCCTTCACATCATCATCCTGTCGCTACTCCCACAGGCTCGCGTAACAACAATCACTACGTATCCCCCTTCTAAGCGACTTTCTGGGCTCCTTGGTAGACAAACTGAACAACGCACCGTGGTCTGAGACTTTGGCCTTGAATCCGTCACTGCTTCTTCTGTGTCCTGTATCCGATACATGTGCACGTGTACCCACCACGATGTCTCGGACTACCAATGCCGGCGTTCAGAGCATATCCTCTGCTCGCAACTCCAGCCTGACCGAGAAGTATAGACGTAATGGGAAACTGCAGTCTTGTGAGCCATGCCGCAAGAGCAAGCTCAGATGTGATCGTGAGTTCCGACCCTCCGATCCGACAGAGGTCTCCACTTTGCCCGAAGGCATTGTTCAAAGCCATCTTGATGAAACGACGAGAATCACCTTCAACACACCATCTTCAGAGCAGCTGTGACTGACAATCGTGACAAGATGTGGTTCCGGCTTGTGGGCGGTGTGTCAAGCGTCAGCGAACCGACCTTTGCTTCTATCACCCCAACCCACTCACGCAGGTTAGATGCCCATTTTCCTCCTCAATATCCCCTGCAATTTAATAAACCTCTTTTCGCCCCTTCAAAGGAGTGTCATAAGCCTGCTGTGTATGATCGCAAAAGCGTTCGTAACTCTGCTTCCCGTTTGGCGTGTCCTAGCAGACGCCTCGTTCTGACCATGCCAGCAGCAACGATCTCGGACACCTCCCAAGGCGATCCCGACTCCTTCTTCCTCAGCTTCCCAGGCCAGTCCTCATGTTGTCGCGCAGTCTATCGAGTCATGCTCGACATCTCCTGAGATCTCGGGGTCCTGGGCTCCAGATACCCTAGCCGTCTTCAATTCCGATACCTCAACCACTCCAGCTCCCGGCCATGCCGTCTGCCAGCCCTTCCACAGGGCAGCCTCTGCGCCCCTGCTGGATTATCAACGGGCTCCAGAGGTGCGGAAAAATGCCGGTTTCCTCGGGCCAAACTCTTATTCCAACATCCTATCTGAAGGGTTATGCATCCTGGAGCCTGTTTCCACAGACTTGGATGCGACTATTAGTACACAGCAACAGAGAATCCATATCAGTAATGAAAGGATAACTCAGGGATGCAAGGTTCTTGCATTCTTCAGACGTAGGCCTATGATCCACCGATTCATCGCAAGATGGTACGAAGTCTGTGAGGGCACACAAGGCATTGTTATCGAGGCCATCATGAAAGAGTGGCTCAAAAAGCTCTGGCTTAACCATGGAGACACCCTTGCGAGCCAAGAGCCGACCAAGATACGAAAGCTGAGTGAGCTGATCTGGCGCAACACTTTAACGCCATTGGTATTCAATGGGAAGACAACTGCACTGGAATGGGCCCGTCTGGCCACTGGCCCAGGGCTTCGTTGGGAAACCTTGGGACTCATTGCCGTGAACATCGGTCTCTGCGCGGTTGAGACATCCGAGTCGGACCAACTGTTCGTGGAGGGTGAAGTGACGCGGTTGTGTCTGATTAACCTCATGAAAGAAATTTCGGAGGACTGTCTGAGCTTTTGCCGGTATTGCGAAGTGCTCGATGATTTATTTATCTGGCTCTTGTCCGAGGATTCGGGTCTCGTGGGTGCAGTCAAGGGAGACCGAGATTACTCAACCTACAGGGCAACAGGCGAAGCGCACAGTGCCGTTATCGCCATGGGCCTTCATCAAGGCATCAAATCAGACGAAAAAGTACCATTCTTTCTCGCGGAGATGCGCAAGCGCGCCTTCATCTGTGCTTACTACCAGGAGATCAGTGTCGCCTCATTCCTCGGTCGCCCGCCACGGTTGTCGTATCGGTACTGTACCCTTGACCCACCTCTCGACTTGACAGAGAAACAACTGTGAGTTTCATTCTTAGGTTGACTCAAGATTCATTTATCAAGCCGTAGGCTACCACGGCAGAGGCGAAAAAGAGTTGCTAATCAGAGACGATGGACAGCCTGCAGACGGGCCCTGAGCTCGAAGCTACACTTGCATCTCTCGATAAAGATGGGTACAACACAGCCGGCAACTTGCAGCATGCCGGTTGGACTCGTTCCTGTACGCTCTTCTCCACTCGAGGCTCGTTTTCCACCCACTAACATACTGTAGACGCCAACTGCGCCATGCGCCGCGAAGATGTGATTGATCTTGCCATAGGCCACTACACACGCGACGAGATCCTCGCTCGCGCTAAAATAATACAGGAAAAGCATGATGCACACTGGTCCTCGCTTCCGCCTTACCTGGCCAAGCCCTCCATAGAGCCCTTTGACTTCACTGACGCCGCCGCCGCCAAACCCCTCCACGCTTTGCAAATCATCGTGTTGCGCAACGGGCGGCGGTCTAACGAGCTCCTTTTGCAGAGAGGTTAGCACATACCTCTCTTGAGACCTGACTATGCGGCCATTCCACTGATAGTCCAATCGCAGTTCTCATTCGGAAAACGGGGGCCACCCCTGAAAAGTTGATAGCAACCGCGCTCGACATCTTCAAGGATATCCTACAAATTACACACCGGCACGACATCGCGACGATTTTCAAGACGAGCTTCAGCTTCATACTAAGCTCCCACGGGCTGCGGAGCGCGGCGATCGTGGCGATCGAGTTGCTGAAACAAGAGATGCTACCCCAGTACCCAGAGGAGCCGCTGCTCCCCCGAAGCCAGACGATCCAGGACCTTGCCATTTTTGCATCCCGCCTGGGGTCGGTGCAGCCGACAGACGGGTGTTACAGTGTGTGCGAGCAGGGCAAGAGGGTGATCACGAAGATCTTGGACAGAATCCTCAGCCCCAGTCCGCCTGTTGCTCCACAGAGGCAGAACAGTGGCAGCGTCTGCAATCACACGCAGGGGCAGGGGCAGTTGCAGCCTCAACAACAGATGCAGGGGATGCTCCCAACGCTGATGGACATGGATGGCACACCGATGAATACACTGGGGTCGATGAATGGAATGGTGATGGGTGTCCCGGATATGGGCTACTCCATGGGGATGACGGATGTAGGTTTCGGCGCAGAAGCACCCATGAGCTTGGGACATGATTCAGATTTCATGAGGTGGCTGGATGCTATGGATTGGGAGAGGATAGACCATTGGGGCAAGATGTGATTTTTGTACACGGGAGTCGTTCAGAACGAACCAAATTCTAGCCTGCGGCAGCAGAAATATCAATATTTGAACCTTCAACGCATTTTTCTGTCAGATGCGATTTCACGGACACTCCTACGAGCAACTCAGAGGTAGCCTTATGTCTTTCGGTGCTCATAGGTCAGGGACGACAAATTCACAAGCACAACAAGGCAGCATAGCTCGAAATTCAACGCAGTCAATTTGTACCTGCTTGAAGCACACTGAGGTGCTTGATTGTCCCGGTAACTTCTTGAACGTAACAAAGGACTGGCCACAAAGGCAATTAAAGCTTCGTCCGGGCTGAGGCGGCTCTTAATCTTCCTCGGTGGCCGGGTGACTGGCAGCACTATGAATGCTGCCAGAGCCATCTTCACAAAACTAGTTTCTTTTCCCTATGCGGGCTTATCCTGCTCGATCCTCATCCGGGGACTTCAAAAAGGGTATCAGGTTGTCAAAGTTGCGGCACTCCGGTCGGATTATTTGGTGAGTGACAAAGGAAAGGAAGGGCGATCGGAGCCATAATTATGTCTTTGGTGTTATCAGGCCGTAGCAGAGCTTGGCGTGACTAAAAAAGGCTCAATATGTGTCAGCCCTGGTATTCAACCGGATAAGGAAACAGAATTCCACTCACAGCCATCATCGGGGAAAATAAGGACACTACCAGTGCCTCGATGCAGGAGAGTCCTCCGGTGCAAAGATATTTCTGTTGTTTCTCTTGGGTGGCGGGCCACCCCAGAAATCTGATCTCCAGCTCATGGTCTCTTGGACTCTCTGCTTCTGTTGAGCCTTGTTAGTTCTGTCCACTGTAGGTCTGGTGATTTGGTGCTTGAAAGATCCTTTGTCTTCTCTTTGGCCAGTGGTCCAGTTGAAGTTATTGGATGGTGGTGGTGCATACCAGGAGTGGTTGTCGCCGGAGCGGTCGGCCTCGTGGGCGAATCCCTGGGCTTCCTCGTAGCCGTCATCCTCCTGAAAGTGGTTGTTAGTCCAAATGTCTCTCTTATGGCCTATAGTTGTCCATCCGGAAGTAGTGCCTCGAATCTTGGCTCTTGGAGATCCATAGGTAACCTGGGCAGGGTCATGAAGAGGACGCAGACCAGCAACTGGTGTAAGGTAACCTCTCATCCGAGGATATTGGAGCCGCTCATAGCTATCGTACTGGGGGTCTGTAGGGCTCCAGGCTCCAACTCCGATGTTTTCATCCTGGTGCCGAGTATTCTGACTAACCTGAGGGTGAATGTTGTAATTTCCATTGGTTGTGTTTCCGTTGGTCAATGGCTCATGGTCGGTCCCGCCGTTGGTCGAGGGGGCGCGGTCTGCCACAACGTCGGTACGGGCATCGGCAGCTATGCGAGAGTATTCTTGGTCAGCATCATGCATTTCATCTGGAGGTAGCGACCATCCTCCTGCATTGCCTCCCCATTTCTCAGTTTCGGCGTTGCTTGGAGAACGCGAAATTCTCCTCGCGTAGCCCAGAACATCATCGGCACGGGACGTGAGGTTTCTACCTTCACCATGGTCCGATAACCATCCCTCAGGGGAAGGATTTCCATTCCAGCCCCATTGATCTCCAATTCTACCCCGGTCTGGGCCCGTAGGCATTGGGTATCCATGGCTTTCCAGCGATGCTCCAAGGAAGTCTCGAGGAGTGGAAACCGCATGCCACTTGTGGTTGGCACGGTTGGGATGATAGTGTGTAGTTTTCTTACCCTGCCCTTCATCTTCAGCACCACCAGCGAGGTGCTGAGCGTTGGTGGTGTTTGGGTCTACTCCCGGAACGTGGGTCTCTGTTCCGGCGTACCAGCCGGCGTCGGTGGGCGCAGGGGGCGGATTCTGGTTCTGGTGAAATCCCGGCTTGTGGTCAGCGGTCTTTTCCTCTTCCTCGTCCGGGTAGAAGTTTGATTGTCCAACAGTCTGTCCGATCGCCTCCTTGCAATCCCTGATGTTGGGTACAAGCTTCATCGAGCGTCGAAATCGTTCAGACGCGCCACCCCAGCCGCTTGTGAAGGCGTCTCCGCCAGTCCGCTCAAGCTCGAGGCTCAGAGTCGAGTTCTTATGTATGCGCGAGGAGAATTTTGGCCTGTTTGTGCTCACCTCATCATTCAATCCCTCGTCGTCCGCGGCGAGAGGGTTTCCAAGACCGTCTGTGCGACGGATCTGTTTGCGAAATCGACCATTAGAATTCGATTGATTGGGTAGAGGTAGGATGTACTCCTTGTTTAAGGGATGAACTACGTTGACGAAAAGCTCAGCACCATCGTGGACGACACCATAGGCAGTTGGGTCCACCTGGACCCATTGGTTATGTAAATCACCGTTGGCAAGCAACGGCTGAAACAGAACAACGAGGTTCTGGACTGACGCGATCATTGGGTATTGGGATCTGGTATCTCTAAGTAGGTCCTGGTATGTTTGAGGGCGTGCTATCATGACCGTGCGATCGCCGAAGGTAATGAAAATAGTCGAAGCCATGTTGCTTGGAGTGTGGATTGATTGTTGTAGATTGTGTTGTGGACTTGAGACGCGTGCTGCTCAACGCGACGTGAACGATAGAACAGAACAAAAGCGCAAGGCTTGCCAAGAGATAGTCAGATCTTGAGGTTTTGAAAAAAGGTAGGGGTAGATGAGAAGATCTGGGTGATGAAGCCTAGGATCAAAACCAAATGGAAGCGCAGGTTCGTTTCGAGGTCTTGCAAAAGATTGGCACCAGTGTGGATGGTCAAGGCTGCAACTGAAGGGGTGGCGCAAAAGCTAGCGCCCACGGACGAAGGCTCGCTGTGGACAGCTGATAGAACTGAAGCAATTCCCCTGGCAGTGACTGCCATAGAACCTAGCGCTCTCTCTCTCTCTTGAGGTCCTGGCTTGGAAGTGGGTCTTCGCTGTGTACTCAGTAGAGTCACCCGTATTTCTGCTGTCCCACACAAGAAAGCCTTCCTCAAAGCTGAAATTGCCTGGTAACTATTTTCCTTTGGTGGATAGAGAATGGACGGGAAGTTGCTCGATAGGCAATCCCGCTATGTCCTCGATGAAGAGAAGATAGACAGCAGGCACCGAATGCCGTGGACAGTAGCTTGCAGGCTCTTAGTAGTGTTCAACGCAAAATCCCCTATTTGGTCTGAGTCGCACAATACTCAATATGGTATTGTTGCTCCAGAGAGACAGAAAAGTCCTGCACACCTTGAGGCTCAAAATCTTGTGTTCTGTGTGAGATTAGTTCTCTGGAGTCCTGATATTGTAGACTCTGTTCATCACCCCGCTTCAGGTTCTCTTGTATATGCTCCCTTGTCAACGTGGACTAAAAGCACAGAGCCTAGTGAGAGGAATTGGAAGGTCTCCAGAATAGATTTTGTAACAGAAAACCACCAAGATGTCTTCTTTGGCATCCCAGATTGTTGAAAAACCAGACCAATCAGAGCTTCAGTGTCCTTATGGCTATGTGGATATGAAAAACCTATCCAGTTCAGGACTTGGATGAATAATTCCGGGTTGGTGAATAGAAACTTCAAATATTTCTAAAGCTCTACAGAGTGAACTTGAGTAAGGCACAAGTTTTCACAGCTGGTTTGAGTAAGGAGAAGTTTGAAGAACTAGTCAAGTCAGCATTGTACATCAATGTTAACGAATATGAATACGTGTCAGGACTTCTTGAGAAGCTAACTGAGCAGGGAGACTCACAACTCTGTGGGAAGGAATCAGATAATGGGTTGTGAAATTGAACGGGTCAGATCAAAGCTCGCCCATCGAGTAATGAAGATAAGCAACAATTGAAGTCACTTGATCAAAGCCTCAACATATATTTGTTGTCTCCGACTGTAAGGACAGAACCACGGGATTAGGCTATTGATCCGGACCCAGAGGAATGGTGAATCCCTGGTTCAGACAAACACGCGTCAACGTTTTCACAATCTTCCCCTCGATTGTGAAATTCCAGCCATGAGTTTCCTCGTCAGACACCGCTGGTAAAGCTTCAATAAAAGATAGTAGGGCTCTTGATGCTGTGACACCACTGTTGCTTGATGCCTTCGTTGAAAGCTCCGAGGCCCTGGCTGAAGCAAACGGATGATGTTGTTGATGAAGACGGTTTGCACACGGCTTTTGCACAGCCCCCTGAAACAAGACTGGGAAAGTCTTGCACAGCAATGTGTTGGTGATGCCAGTGAATTCTGAACAATTGTTGCGGTGTTGAGTTTGCAACAGATGACTGGCGATATGTGATAGTCCGGAAATCAGTACCCAGATGAAGCCACAAGGTTAACTCGACTAATTGACCTCTGTCTCGTACAGTCAGGGTAGAGAATAAAAGCCTTCCCCTGAGGCGTGTTTCCATTAAGAACGAACCAAATTTCGAGGGTGGCAAACGGGTAGTTGAGAACCCTCAGGCCTGACCACTGAGACGAGATAATGACGGGAGATATGATGTCGAGAATCTCGATATCAAAATTTCTTTACCATCACGATGCGGGAAGACAGCATCAAGTCGTGCTTTGAGGATGAATTTCGCTTTGTGTCGGGGTAAGCCACTTGTTGATATGGCAGCAGTGGACCAGATCCAGGTGCTGAGAGTTTTTGAAGTGATGGCCAGGTTTGAAGGGTAAGAGGCGGAAGTGGTGAGAATAGTCCAAGTTGCGAGTGAAGCTGAAGCGGTGGGCTAGGTCCAAGTGGCGTGAAAGGTGGAAGTGGCTCGACGATGAGCCCCGTGGAGATAGGTGCAGGAAAAAGCCGACAGACAGGTGGCAGCTGTCAGGTTGGTGGAACTGACAAATAGTTGGACTTAAGAGGCTAAGTGGAAGATTCAAGGTGGATGGATGTTTCGAGATGAGTGAGAGTGGCCCGAGACTGAGTCCGGGAGGATTTGTATGGGTAGACGAAGGGAGCCAGGTGGGAGGGGGCACTGGCTAAACAGCTGGAGGTAATGGAGCGGGTTTAGATTAGTACAGCAAGCCACCAGACAGATGGAAGCTGTCAAATCTTTCGGACTGGCTGAGTAGACGGGGGCGCTGAGCTACGTTGAAGACTGTTGAGATGGTGGTTGTTAGGTAGACAAGTACTGTCAGTGTTGTCGGATATGTAGGAGTGATCAAGCAGCTGTAGGTGATGAGCCAGATAGAATGTTATCAGGGCAAAAGTTGTCAGATGGACGAGTGTTGTCGGATGTGCAGAAGTAAGCAAACGGTTAGAAGTGATGAGCTGGGTGGAAGTTGTCAAATGCCCGGGCAGGTAGAATTCGTCAAATAGATGGTTGTTGCCAAATATGTGGTTGTAGTCAGACAGGTTTGGAAGTCGTGGTGTGGAAGTTGACAGACAGGGGGAAGTCGTCAGATGAAGGCATCCGATGAGATAATTGGAGGTCGCCCGGGAAGTTTCAGTGATGAGGTGGGAAGAAGTACTTAGCCAGACCAAAGGTGTGAGCTGGAGGTGGCTAGCTGAATGGAAGAGAGGACAGGGCAAGGGGAACAAACGGGCGAAGAGGGTGAGCAGGCCCAAGACGAGGTAGGTGGAAGCTATTCAAGTACGCAGCGCATGTATTAGGTCAGAGTGGTAGTTAAAGGTTTCTGGCAAGAGCTTGCATTCACGTTGGTGTCTAGCGTTTCCAGAAGGACATGAGAGGTAATCTCAGTGCCTTAAGTGTTGCTACATACAAAGAGATCCCCTCTCATGAAAGAGAGGAATAAGGCTGATACCTTGAGTCTACATAATCCAACAGTGGTCAGGAGAGTTCCTACGTGGGACATGGAGCACAGCGAAGGTAGATACAAGGAGACACAGAGACAAATGTGAGAACAGAAGGAAGGGGGAGTTATAAATTAGCACTGCTGGTCCTAAGCTAAATTATTCATGGATGATGACTCTTTACTGTTCTGGGTTATGATCGACTCAACAACGAAAGTATGGTATTATGCACCAAAATTAGGATGGATGGACAACTACAATAAGTCTTCCATATTAACCATGACTTCACTCATTGAACAGTCAGCTGGATGATAGCAGCTGAAAGGGCTGAAAGGGGTTTGAGAATACCATGCGAGGCTGTTTCCCAGATATCAACATGCCCTGGTATGTGTCTCTGACCCATGCCGCCCGAGTCCATATTATCATGCTCATAAATTGACCTGGACTTCATGATCCTGGTAGTTTGTGAATCTCTTCTTCTGAGGAATACATATTGACCGCGAGACAGAGACAGGGAGAAGCATCTTGCAGTGTTAGACATAAATATCTGTAAAGCAAGGATGCCATTCACCATTCTCGACACTTGCCTGTATGTTTCAAATCTGTAACGAAATCTGCCTTGCCTCATTGTTGACTTTGCGTTTCTCAATTCTCCCGAAATGAGACTGATGCTTCGTTCCAACGTTCTGGCTGGTACGCACCTGTTAACTTGAGGCCATCCCCAATCACGGGCGAACCCAGCTTTGAGTGTTGTGGTTGATTGATAATATGAGACACGACTTCATCAATTAATCATGCGGCTGACAGAGCGATTGGATATTAGGAAGGCATTTCCTTCACTGTTAGCGAGAGGGTTGGTAGTCGGGCTCAATACCCGGTGTGATCATTGAGCCTCCGAGCCCCTGAATCAGTCGAATCGGAGCCGAATTCGGCCGAATGCTACAACATCCACCGTTGTACTCCGAAAGGGCGCGCTCCTCCGCTCGATGGATGACATCAGATTATATCTAAGCTTTCCAAGTCGACAGCACAACCTCAGGTCGTAGTCGGCTATCATTTTCTGATGCTTTGCCCATAAAATAGAGTCTTTTATGTTGCACATCGCCTGAGACAAAATAAACCAAAACAAGAAATGCCTGCCGAGTCGAGGAACTTCTATCCCAACCTCCAGAGGCAGGTCACTGCCACGGCGAGCGGTTCGAATGTGGTGAGCTATAGCTCAGAGCTCGGTAAGGACAAGCCTATCTTGACCCTAATTCACGGATATCCGCAATCCTCTTTCATGTAAGTAACGCGACCAAGAATGAGCAATTTTTACATGCTGATCGGACCCGCATGCAGCTGGCGTAATGTGATCCCAAAGCTCAGCAAAGAGGTCTCCTTCTTTGTGCCGGAGCTTCCGGGTTACGGTATCAGCAGCCCAGCGAGGAGCAGCGCCCCGAGAGACATTGGCGGTGCACTCCTCGAGGCTCTCCAATCTGTTTTCAAGCTCTCCGGGTCGTCACCTCGGCGCCTCATACTCGGGGGACATGACCGCGGCGCGCGCATCTGTCATCGCTTGGCCGTGTCCAAAGCCGACTTCCCATTCGTCAAAGTCATCGGTGTGGTTCTGCTGGACATCGTCCCTACCAAAGTGCAGTGGGACAATTTCTCGAACCCGGCCGTTGCAACAGGCTACTTCCATTGGCCACTGCTGGCCAACGTCGAGGTAGCTGTTCAGATGATCAAGGCGTATGGGGGAGCGCAGTGGTGCCGAAACGCGCACATGAGGCTGGCAGGCAGCAAGGAAGGGCTGGCTAGGATCCAGTCGGACAATGCCATCGAGATCCACGCTGAGCTGTTTGATGAAGAGGAGACGTTGCGGCACACCTGCGAGGATTATGCGGCCGGAGCTGCGCCCGAGTATAAAAAGCAGGAGGATGACCAGAAGGCAGGCATAAAGATTAATGTTCCGACTTTGGTGATGTTCTCCCAGCAAAACCTCGGTGCGAAGATGAACGTCGCAGGTATTTGGAAGAACGACTGGATCGAGGCTGGCGTGTGGTATGATTCGGTGGCGGTTGGGGATGGGGTTGGGCATTATTTACCTGAAGAAGGTCACGATGTTGTCTCAGAGAAAGTACTCCAATTTTTGAAGGAGCATAGCTGAGGGATGGATGTTTCAAAATGGGATGATGCTAGAATATCAGCCAGGTCTGTATCAGGTCGAAAAGGTGACATGCATCTGGCTTAGTTAATTTGACCGAGCTCAAGAGAAGCCTGTTTGGGTGAGAGGTCCCTTAGGTGGTGAGGATTCGGAACAGACATATCTAGCATTTGATACGTAGACGTAACTCATTGTCTCAGAACAGACAACCAAACGTGTTATGCTTTGCCCTAACAAGCGTTAGGATTCTGGTTCCGAGAGGGGAGAGCAGAAAGGGTTGACGTCACTGGTGTCAGCCGTCATCGCTGCCTGGATGCATGTGCACTCAATGCTCGGGGACTCAACAACTCTTCCTGGCGAGAATGAAAGAAATGGACTGCGTGGCGTAATACAAATCAAAATGAGCAAACCGATTCGATCAGTTGATGTCAAAGGAAGGTACTTCTGGGTGGACGGCAAACGAGTAGGTGCCCCTTCCCCCGGCGCCCGATCAGGAGTTGCTCTGCATGGATCCATGTTGACCTTAACTGCGGGTTGAAGCTCCTGGTCAAAGGAGTTGTGTACCAGGACCGCAGCAGATTAAGCGACCCGCTCTCCGACGACGGAATCGTGGACTTGCGAAGGGATTTGGAAGTGTTCGAGGAGCTGGGACTCAACACACTCTTTGTTTGTCAGTATCGACTGGGTCGAGAGCAAGCCAGCATTCTTGAAACTGGAGCAAAGACGCTGACTTTAGGCAGACCAGGTTGATCATACGAAGAACCATGATGCAGCAATGAAACTTCTTGAGGACTCCGGCATCTATGTCTTGGTTGTAAGGCAGGCCTGAAGAAGGCTCGCGTCTCTGGGACACGAAATGCTAATATCAGTGAGCAAAGTGCCTGTGCACTCCAGAATGTTCCATCAACAGATTGGCACCGCTCGAGTCGTACAATCAAGACTTATTGGGCCACTACTTCTCCACCGTCGATTGCATGGCAACTTATTCAAACACCCTTGGCGTGCTGGTTGCGAACGAAGTCATCAATGACCAGGCCTCAACAGCTGCTGCACCTGTCATCCGGGCAGTCACCCGGGACATAAAAAGATATATGGCTCTAGCTCATGAAGCTTCCGAGCAGCGTATCCTGCCCATTGGCTACAGCGCTGCAGATGTCAGGATGAATACCAGGCCATCTTTTGATTATCTCACTGCTGATTCTGTGGATGAATCTATCGATTTCTTTTGCGTGAGTAGGGACACCACGGTTGACTGAATGTCTGCCGGTGCTGACTTGTACTGATCGTGCCAGTTTAACAACTATTCATGGGCTGGTAGGAACTCATCCATGGAGATTTCCGGATACGATCAACTCGTAAGTGTTCTGAAATTTCTAACCTTCACCTAAAATACAAACCATTTCATGACGGCTGTTGATATCTCTTTTCTTTACCAGGTCAACGAGTTCTCCGACACGCATATTCCCGTCTTTTTCTCCGAGTATGGGTGTAATACCGTCAAGCCCCGCGTGTTCCACGAGACCACAGCTATCTACTCGCCCGAGATGACACATGTATTCTCTGGCGGTTGTGTATACGAGTTCCACCAGGGTCCAAGCAACTATGGCATTATCAAAACATCGCAGCGTCCCGACGGAAGTCATCGACTGGTCAAGACCGATGAGTTCAAGACGCTCAAGAAGAGGCTCCAGGGGTGCACTGAGCAGCCCAGCTCAGTTGAGACGCCGGAAACAGATCAGGCTGTAGCGGCGACGCATGCGTTTCCGGAACTTTCAGACACGTGGAGAGCGTCTCGTGACGTGCCTCCCAGCCCCATCGACTGGGAAGCAGTGTGTTCACAGCTGGATCTGAGGTCGTGGGTCGTACTCCGGGATGACATGCAGAGAGGCGGTACCGTGCCGAGGCAAGCCGATGATTTCAACCTAAGTCTCCAAGTTGCCTTGGACTTGCAAATTGGCAAGAGACGATGAGCCAAAATCATTGTAATTGTCTCAAGACTCTATGAATAACGCTATTCTTGTATAATGGCCCAACGGCCTCCATGCAGCAGCCTCAGGACCGTGTGCAGCTGAAGCCGCTGTCTGGGGTTTTACTACTGGCTTGGTGAATTTGACAGCAATCAATATCTTTAATCCGTGAAACGGGAGGAAGTGCGAGACTTACAACAAGTCATCGAGAAGCGATCCGTGGGACAGGGCGAGGTCGAAGTGGTGAGGCATAGACTATTGTCGAAGGCCGTGACGATGGGGCTGAGCTGTCAGTGTAATTCGAGGACAACGTTGATTGTCTGCTGAAAAAAGCTCGTGGCGGCGGTGACAACGGTCCCTCAGACTCATCTGGATGGCTTTTGCGCATAAGCTGCAGCGTTGGTTTCTTTTGAGCAAATTTTTCCATAGAAACCGGCCGCGGTGCAGCTATCGCTGAACCAGAAAGGATTATTGCCTCATGTGAAGGAAGCTCTGGTAACCATTTGGGAACATGGAAGCTTTCACGAACTAAGACATCCCCAGGACCCAGTTGACCAGAGACTGCATCTGTGTAATTTAGGTTCCCTTGGAGGAAACGGCCCGAACTTGGGTCATCATTCCCTCGTCGGCTCGTATTCTCAACGGCAGGATGGACTTGCTGGATCGAGCACGGCCTGTTGACACTGACTTCGTGAACTGGCACTGAAGCAGGCGGGTTCTGTTTCTTGGCTCTTGAGCCGCGTCTCTTCCTCCCAAAAAGGCCAATTCGATAAATATATTCCGAAAAAAAGGTTTCACCTCCTTGGCGATGGCCTTGGCCGCCACGAGCTCTTGCACGGTGCATCCTTCGCCGCTTCTTCTGAAGCAAAAATAACAAACTACCTCCAATAACAACCAATATCATCACTGGAAAAGCACGTTAAATGACGTTCTATGATCCCAAGAAGACCACGGGCTGTGGAACAATTCCATACCGAGAACCTGGAGGATCAAGGCGGGCGTCATCGGGGTGACTTGGGATTCCAGTCCATCAGCGTCTTCTTGAATATTTCCATTTGCCTTCTTTTGCAATCCTGTGACCTGAGTCCTCTGTGTCGACCCGCTCGCAGTCGAGTCTGTTGCGCTTCCAGCCGGCTGCAAGTTTTGAAGAAAGTCCCTCGATGTTTGTGTTTTCCGTTGAGACAAGTCAGGGGGCGCAAAAGGCGTCATTGCGATACTCGATTCTACCATTCCTAGAGACCTCCTCTCGTCGATCACCATTACCAGAGCGCACGACGAGATCTCAAACCACGGGCTGTTGCTTGTCAGACATCAGATCGGGCGAGCTGGTAAGGTGAGAGGTGATGTGAGAAGACTTCACGTCTTGAATGTCACCCGTGGCCTTACAAACGTATTATTTGAACTTAGAGACCCTTGCTTCTCTTGGAACCTCGATCAAATTCATCTCCGCAGCCTGGGAACGGAATGAAACGGCAACACGTGGCTGTGCGAATCGGATGTGGATCTCGGTAAACATATCTGCCGATCGTCGTGCATACCACAATACCAATACAGATCCTTAACCAGTTGTCGATGCGATGGCAAGGCTCAGCTGCCTTGTCCTTCTTTGGCAAAGCTCCGGCCTGACTGCCTGACAGCACAGGTTTCAGCGTCATGGTCTGCCAAGCCCCATGGGTTGAGCCTATTGCAGACCGTCTCGCGCATACCGAATCCTTGGAACCTGTAAAAGCATGATTGGCCTGATTCGTCGCTGGACGAACCTTGGCTCATGTGTAAGTGGCCAGTTTCGGACGACCCTTGGCTGTTGCAGCTGGCTTGTACAAATCGCAGACGGGCCTTCGGGATCGAAACCTGCTATTGACATGGTCCGTGTGCTTATGTGCAAGAAACGTCTCAAGGTGAGAAGAAATTCAGAACTACCGAAACCGTTGTGCCCCCACGTCAATCCCCTTCCCCAGTTAACAGATTGATTATTCTCACGTCTCTCTCATCAATTGGGAGAAAATAAACTATTCACAGAGAAAAATGGAACACTGTGATATACTGAAGCATTAAAATACCAGACAAAGAGGCGATTTCACCTCGATTAAATATATACCCTGATTTCTAAATTACCGTATTTTCACAGCTTTCAGGAGAATCCCCCTTTTCATGAAAACACTGCGTACGTCCTATGGTCAAGGAATATTGGCGGTATTGAGAAAGAATTATAGATATTGAAAAACAAACTGGGTCCAAGCAAAGGGATTTTCAGGTCACAATATGGATCAAGATCAGGGGTGTGAACTGTACACTTTTACGGTCGCTGAGCGTATTGTATGTTTTAATTCGAAATCCCTTGATTATGGTCGACTTGCAAATAGTTGTGCCTGAAGAGTAAAGATGTCGAAGTAAAACTGCACTGCTGTAACAGACAAAGGCAGAAACAGTGGGCGAGGGGTTGGGTAAGCAGTCCCAAGGCGCTTGCCTGCCGCGACGACCAACACACACTTAATTACCAAGACGCTGCTTTGATCATCCGAGTCTTCTCTTCAGCTTTCACAATCCTTCAATGGCTGCATGTAAATCCGGAGCAGCCCTATTCAATGGCCTCGGAGTTCGAAAAGATCAGGCTGTCTGGGATTTGCAGGTCCGCCGCTGGCACGCAGGGGCCTATTGTCGCCAAGGCCTTACCACCTCGTCATCCCGTCAGATCCGAGCTCTGTTGCTTCCACCGTGGTTGTGGATGCTGCTGTTGAGCACAGGAGCTTCCATGTGCGCTACCTTTCCCCGGGATCAAGCTGCGGCTGCGGCACTATTTACGACGGTACCGGACTATGTAACTCGTTACGGTACGGCTGACCCAACCCATCTCGCCCGGTAACAGCAGACACTCGAACCAAGACCTCAGGCTAATTTGACCAGCACCGCTCGTCTGGCTACACTCGGAGGACCCATTCAGGCCATCGGACCTATTCCAGCATGTGCGCCATACCACGCCCATGGTAGATGGCGAGCCTTTAGACGGGCTGCCGGAGCTCGACCTGGACAACCTAGCTTTGCTGAACGACAGGGGACCCGACGGCAGTCCGGTCGCGCTGACGGCTGCCAGTGGTGAGGTTACACATCTGCCCGCTTGGCTTCTAGGGGAGACGCCGGATGAGACTGGAACGCTCCACAATGCGACAGCCTGCGTTGTGATTCTAGTTGAGTTCGAGGGGGAGTCTGGCGACCTGGGGGCATTTTACTTCTACTTCTACTCCTACAACCGCGGCGCCAATATCACCCAGGTGCTGGAGCCGATAAAAGGCATGCTAGAGGGGGATGTCGAGCCCGGAATGCATTTTGGAGACCATGTCGGGGATTGGTAAGTGCAACTACTTTCATCCTGCTTAGGTACCGGCTATTTAGGCTTACAGATGGTTCATATCAAGGGAGCATAATATGATTCGGTTCCGGGACGGGAAACCTACTGGGATCTATTTCAGTCAACACTCTGGCGGCGCTGCTTATGAATGGGACGACACGGCCCTGACCGTGGAACACGAGCGAGTGAGCCTGTTGCAACACATCCAACCGACTGTATGCATGCTGAATCTGAAAATTCATCTAGCCCATTGTCTACAGCGCATATGGTTCTCACGCGAATTATGCATCCCCTGGGTAGGTCGACTAAGATACCTCGTCCCTTGATATGACCCAACTAATATCCGCCACTCCAGAGACCACGTCCACGATGCGGTGATAAAGGATCACTGTGACCGAGGCCTGCGATGGGATCCGGTGTCCTCGGCATACTTCTATAGCTTTAGACCCCTTACTTCCGAGCTGACCCGTATTTTTCCACCTGGGTCACCCCAAGAACCCAACTTCACGTCAGCAATCTACTTTTCCGGGCTTTGGGGCGACGCGCAGTATCCGGATAGTGACCCTCGCCAGGAGACCGTTCCCCGCTTCGGCCTGAAACGCTACGTCTCTGGCCCTTCAGGCCCAATAACGAAGCAGCTTGTGAGGAAGGGCCTGTCTCCCGACCATCGGGAGCCGAAGACTTGGGTGCAGTGGGGCGTCAGCCTCTTCATGTCTCTCTATCCATGCTGTCTGCGTGGGTGGAGAGTCTGGGCTTCGGGCATGATACTTATTTGCGTGTTGGTTTTGATAGTCTTCGGCATCATTTACGCCGTGAGGCGGTACGGGGCAAGGAAAGAGGGCTACCAAAAAGTCGACACTGGTGCGGATATACCGCTGAACAACCTGGACTACAGGGACGACACCATTGTACACGGTCACCGTTCCCAGGGCGACCAACAGTAATGTGTATGGGAAGCGCGCACCTTGCACTTCGTAGACGCAGCTTGACGCTCTGCGGATGAAGGTGTGGTACCTGCCTGGGTCACCCACGAATTAGAAGCTAGCTGGAGGCAATGGATGTGGGCCGCGTGAAAGTCTCAGAGGATTACCCAGCTAGTGGCATGGCCCGTCAAAGTGGCCAGCAACAGCAGGATAAGGCTGCTGTGGAGGCTCCCACTTGAATGCAACTTAAGCAAAGCACTTGAGCACTACCAAGTCCCGCGTTGTCTGCGATTGGACTGGCATACCGTGAGCTATTTCATTTACCAACATTAGTTTGGGCATTGAAGAAGTGCTGGTGGCGAAAGCTTGTCTTGTCAAGGTGTTGGTGAAAAGATTGTGGGTACATGACTTTGGCTTGGGAGTGAAAGACAAGGTGTGGAGATCACCCACACTTGTGGACAGAATTTGGGCCTGCTTCGTCTCACTGGCCACCCTTCTCCGGTACCCGAAACGGAATTAAGATATTTGTAACAATAATGGGTGAATAGATCAAGTACTTAGAACTAGAGATATATTTTTATTGGCTCTTTCTCGATGAGTTCCAGGACTGTTCTAACAATTTCGGGGTTCAAGGGCTTTAGATTTATGATCTTACAATTACTAGATTGTTAGAAGTAAAGGTTATGCTCAGAGTGGATTGTCAGAGGCTATAGGAGTGAGAATGTGTGTCTGAATAGCGAGCTGCTCATCAAGCTTGCGAGTGTCTGCTTTTGTGTCTTTGTAAGCTCTTCTCTTGCTTTAGTTGCAATGGGGCCGCCTAGTAGGGGAGCCACTCTGCTGGCATCCTCTTACAAACACACATCAATGTTCCTACTCAGCCTTTAACTCATGCAGATGCCATGGAATGAGGGAATCCAATTGTTCGCTGTAAGGATTCATCTTGCTGGATGGGCAGGTAGGAACATTTAACGCAATGGGTTGCAGCCTATCTGGGTCCAATTGCTCTTATCCGTGATCATGGTAAAGCATGTGTAATGGTCGTATAGACTGCTCAAAGCTCAAGCTCAGCAGATCCCCGTTACATTTGCCATTTGTCAGCCCATCATGGGACCAGATTTATGTGCAGTACCCCGCTGATCTTTTTTATGTGGGATCAATTTTCTCGTGAAAAGAGATATGTTGAGGACTTTGTCATTTGCGTGCTTAAGACTACCAGGGGAGGACGACAATGCGTGTCCCTTGGTTTCAAACATGGTACATCCAGATGACAACTTGGTCTAGACGACCTCGCTCAGAGCGTTTATGTACAAAAAAAAAAGACCAAGGTCTGATCGTCTGATAGTTACTGCTGATTCCAATTCGAAAGCTTCATATCTGTAGTTGAACGTGTGAACGGGACCGTAAACGCTGCGACGAACCCTGTTAATTGTAGATTTTTTCCTCGTTCAGACATTTTGTCCCTCAAATCAGTCTCTGTATTGAATGACGTGAGTATAAGAGGCACAGTAAAGGACGCAAAGAAATTGTCATTAAGGGGCCAAGTTGGGTGTCATATGAAGTGACAAACACCTCAGGTACTTAAGCAAGCGCAATCCTTCTCTGGCAATGGTCCACGCGCGCATATTTAGATCGAAGGGCGTTGAAAGAAGGTGTGAATAAGCTTTGGAGACCTTCTACAAGGGGACTGGATCGGCGGCCGGGAAGCCAACGTGAGCGAGTGCACCTGCGCGCCCCGGATATGAGATGCCCATTGTCGACACATGCATTATCTAGCTACTACACCACCAAGACGTTGGTATGTCTGTACATTCGTAGATAAGTGGGCCACTCCAGCGGCCCTATCACGATATCTTGGTGCCGGATTGCTACGTTGCCTGCAATCTCCACTGCTGACCGTTTTGACTTACCCAATCGGGCAGGTTCTCGGTTCTCGCTGCGCGGTCGGGGATGGTAGGTGGTGCCAGACCGAGGCAATACGAGCAGGATGGATCCTTCGACGCGAAGAGACCATATTAAGGGACTGTGGCGCTGTATGCTTCGCAGACGCTCTGATGCATCCCTTCATGCCATTCTCGAATTCTTCCATTGCATAGCTTTTTTTGCAACGAGAATTGGCACACCGCACTATCTATCTATGTCCTAAAGGGGTCGCAGGTCTTGGGACAGCCCATTGACCAACCTGATTGGGGCCGGCTGCACCCAGGGGCGCTGCAGTAGTATTCGCCAAGCTTTTGCTGTGCATCGAGTCATATCAGAGGCTCGCACCGGACCTCAAATTACTACATCTTGGCGGTCCAAGTGACTGCCTCATTCAGCTACTCTGAACCACTCACCTCCAAGTTGGCTGCTATGTGCCGGATGCCAAGGTAATAGTATGCGGAATTGCTGTGAGCGGCAACGGGCTCACCTCTAAATGGAAGTTGGATATGGCCCTTGGAACAGGACGTTGGAGCCCCAGGCTGTCCAGATGTTGGTTGGCCAACAACAACGAATTCTTATAAGAAGTGATGCTCCTCCCACGATGCGCTAGAATAGGAATGATGTGTCGGCAGCATCCTCAACGTAGTCCTCGTTCGCTATGCAGTCACTCGTTCTCTTAGGCCTTTTGGGCAGCTCCGCCCTCGCTCATCCTGCTGTCCAAAGCAGCAACAAGAAGACATGGAAGCCATCGTTATCGAAGAGATTGGTTGATCTCAACCAATACCGCCTGGCTACCACTGCTACATACACCAATGCGACTGAGACAATTTCCAGCCCGGACACGAAGCTGATCAAGCGTGACGACTATGTCGCTACCGCCACTGCCCTTGTCAAGACAGTTTCTCCCAATGTCGAGTTCAGAGTCTATGACAGCTACATCGGCACAAACGGCATAGGTCATGTCTACTTCCGGCAAACTATCTTCGGTCTTGATGTTGACAACACGGACTTCAACGTGAATGTCAGTGCAAATCCTCCTCGAAAAAATAATCACAGGGTGGCCCTTCGAATTTTCACTGACAATCTCATAGATCGCCAAGGATGGCTCCGTTTTTTCCCACGGTAACAGCTTCTACACTGGAGCTTTGCCAGAGAGCAGCCCCTTGAAGAAGCGTGATTTCAAGGACCCAGTAGCTGCTCTCAGCGCCGCAAACTCCATCCTGCAGCTTGATGTCAAGACTGAAGGCGCCACCGCTGAGGCAAAAGACGGTGTTGAGACTTACAACATTGCTGGCACATCGGGAGCTCAGTCCGACCCCGAGGCACGTCTTCTGTACTTCGTCAAGGATGACGGTACCCTGGCGTTGACATGGAGAGTCGAGACTGATATCTCGAGTGATTGGCTGTTGTCGTACGTCGATGCTGTGACGACCGAGAAGGTCTACGGCGTGGTCAACTATGTTGCTCAAGCTCACAGCCATGAGAAACTGGTTCCTAAGCAGGCCGATATTAGCGCCACCTACCTGGTTTAGTAAGAATTTCTCACTCACTGCTTCTCAATTCTATGTTAACCTTCTGGTAGTCCATGGGGTGTGAATGACCCTGACGAGGGCGGCCGCGTGGTTGTCACCAACCCCTGGGACCTCAAAGACTCGCCCTTGACCTGGCACAATGATGGTTCCAAGACTTATGACACAACCTGGGGAAACAACGCTGCCGCTCAAGCAAACCCTACAGGTGCGACGTGTGATACCTGTTATACGGATGATTATCGCCCCGAGTCAGCTACCTTCGACTTCGAGTATGATTACTCACCATCCATGACCGATCCTACCAGCTACTGTATGTATCCCCCCAGTATTCTCACACTGCCGCACCTCCTTCTTCGGGCCGTCTTCTCGAGCGTGTCGTTCTGGGCTCAGTTAGAGTTTGCTAACACACTACAGATAATGCATCGATCACCCAGCTGTTCTACACAGTGAACACCTACCACGATCTCCTCTACGAGCTCGGTTTCACTGAAGCGACGTATAATTTCCAGGCCGACAATGAAGGCAAGGGCGGCAAGGGCAGCGACTTTGCCATTGTCAATGCTCAGGATGGTGCTGGCACAAACAACGCAGACTTCAGCACACCTGCTGACGGCAAGCCCGGACGGATGCGCATGTACTTGTGGACCGAGAGTGACCCAGTGCGTGACTGCACCTTTGAGGCCGGTGTTGTCATCCACGAGTATACTCACGGCGTGTCCAACCGCCTGACTGGCGGAGGCACTAATACCAGGTGTCTTACCGGTGTCGAGTCAGGTGGTATGGGCGAGGGCTGGGGTGACTTCATGGCGACCGCCATCCGATTAAAGGAAGGCGACACAAGGGCCACCGACTACTCCATGGGTGCGTGGGTTTACAATAACCCCGCTGGAATCAGAGCCTACCTGTTCAGCACCAACATGAACACCAACCCTTACACTTACGCGAGTGTGAATGGCAAGACCGAGGTCCACAGCGTCGGAACCATCTGGACCACAATCCTTTACGAGGTTCTGTGGAACCTCATTGACAAGCACGGCAGCAACCCGGCTGCTAAGCCGACTTTTGATAGCGCTGGTGTGCCCACCGATGGACGCTACCTCGCTATGAAGCTTGTCATTGATGGCATGTCTCTGTAAGTTGCTCCACTACTCGAGGACACGCATCTCCTGGATCAAAAGCTAATCTCATCTCAAAGGCAACCTTGCAACCCAACCTTTGTCTCGGCCCGTGACGCCATTATTGACGCGGACTTGGCCCTGACTGGCGGTGCTAACGCCTGCGAGCTCTGGACCGGATTTGCCAAGCGAGGTCTCGGCCAAGGGGCTGTGTACAACTCTTCAAAGCGAACCGAGAGCTTCGTAGTCCCCACTGGCGTTTGCTAGAGTATTATAAACGGCTGGATTAGTTGGATAAACAGCGGGTATCATTGAAATCCCATCCAGCCTGCCCATCTGATTATTTTAAAAACCTCGAAACGGGGGTAATTCATGTCCATAGCTCCCTGGTAGAACATGTACATAGATCTGTGCAACACTCTGCGCTGCCACAATTTGGTAACTTACTTCCTGCAATCTGTGTCTTAATTTCGATTCGCACATGTTCGGTGACATGAATGAAGAAGAAAGTACTTGCAAGCAGTGAAAGCGAGTATGCCATCAATGATAATCCGTGCTAAAGACAGTATGTTCATGATTTGGGAGATGCCTTTGCCTTTTTCAAGTTACTTGAAGCTAGTCTGGTGCTCATTATGATAAGATCAATAGACACCGCAAAAATCAAATAGAACCCATTGGGCATGGAGCTTTCGAGCACGCGGTCCACGCCGTGAGATTCTTGACGCGAGATTTGTAAGCACATGTGGGGCCTTGCCTCTCGGAATAAATAAGAAGGATGGGCTGGATCAGACATGTAAGCAATGCTATTGCTTCCTGCATTGCGTCTTATCTGCCTAGCGACTGCTCGGTATTATCTCTGCGCGACGCACTACCGAGAATCACTTACCGAGGCATTGATCAAATGGCTGTCAAAAGTAAAGTCAACTACGACCTCGAAGTCTTGGACCGTCCAGGAATTACAGAGTCAATACAAGATATAGCCGTGCTGCGATCCCAGCTCTGCCAATTGGGACGCTTATGTTTCAACCCACTTCCGAACTACCAAGTCTTCAAAGAACCCTCGAATACATCTTTCGACGATAAGATAATAGTGCTGGCGAAACAGAACGACGAGATAATCGCTTTTCTATCGGCTGTGGTTCTCAAAATTCCTGACTGGAAAGACCCCTTTGTACATACTGGCTTGACCGTCATTCACCCCAGTCATAGGAAGTCTGGCATTATTCATAGCCTTTTTGCGGCTTTCTTTCTTCACCTATTCTCTTTATATCCTGACGGGCTGTGGCTCAGCACATTATCTAGAATCATCACATCTCTCGGACACATCGCCACATACACAAGCAATGTCTTCCCCTCGCCGCAGTGGAACCAAGAACACCCCACGGCACAGCCTTCAGATATTCATCTGCGGATCGCCAGTGAGATCAATTCTAAGCACCGCCAAGAGATGCTTATCGCCCCAGAAGCGAACTTTGATGAGAAAGCCTTCGTATTTCGTGTAAAGAAGCCCAGATTGACCGTTAGTTCGCATGTCGATGACAAAACTATCTCAAGACAAGATCATCGCAATCTGGCCTTGACGCAATTTTACAGAGATTTACTAGAATCTCCAGGAGATGAGGTGCTCCAAGTCTCTTACTTCGATCCTGCCTTCACCTTTCAGAAAGGGGTAAATGTATTGGCAAAGGCAAGTATAACAATGTCCCCTTTCACAAGACAATTATGACCTGACATATCTAGCTTTGAATTTGGTGAATTCCATCTTCGTATAGAGGTATTTCGGAAGGTCTGAGGCTCCAGCATATATCCACAGATGAAATATCAAACATTACCCTAGCCCGCACCTGAGAATTCACCTTATACCAGATATCAAAAAATCAAAAAGAAAAAAGGAAAGCGAAAAAGAAACCATCCCCAGAACTATATGATGAATCTGTACTGCATTACTCAAGACCCTCAACTATAAAGATACGTAAGGAATTCACGTGTAAGCTACTCAAGAACAATTCAACTATCTCAGCTTTATTATTGACGAGTGAATTATATTAAGTACGCATTTAATCTTTGCAGTGTTGCCTATCTAATTATTTCCTTGGTGAAGAGGAGATTGCGAAGCATCGCCCAGTGTATCTTTTATATAAACCTAAGGACGCCCTAAAGATCAATGCCCATCTACCTTCCGTCTACTTTCAATGAACTCTCCATCTCTCTATTGAACGCCCCGCTGGCACAAGAAATGAAATGCCTATAAAATCTATCTGTCCAAGCTTTGCGCCTCGCACATCTTTTTGTACATCTTTCCCAGACTCAAGAGCTCATCATGCGTGCCCTTTTCAACTATCTTGCCGTCATAAAACACGCAGATCACATCTGCATCTCTGATCGTACTGAGACGATGAGCTACCGCAATAGTGATTCGGTCTCGCGCCGCCGAGGCCTCAGCTAAAGCTTTCTGAACCATCTTTTCGGACTCGGTGTCAAGTGCCGACGTCGCTTCGTCGAGAAGGATCACGTTAGGGTCCCGGATGAGCGCTCGAGCTATCGCAAGGCGCTGGCGTTGTCCTCCCGAAAGCTGGGAACCGCTAGCACCGCATGGAGTATTCAGACCTTCTGGTAGGGATATCACAAAGTCCCAGGCGTTTGCTGCGCGCAAGGCTGTCTCTACCATCTCATCACTGGGTAGTGCCTCGTTCTCGCCATGTTGCTCATAGCCGAGCTGGACGTTCTCCCGAATTGTACCTTGGTAAAGCGTTGGCTCCTGCTGCACAAGAGCAATGTTTTTGCGATACAGACGTGGATTGAGGGTGGTCAGTGTCTCCGAGTCTACGTTAATGGTGCCAGCTGTTGCATCATAATATCTCTCAAGCACTAGAAGAACAGATTTTAGGACAACGTACATATGCTTTGTGAATATGAAGACATGAATCAGAATTACTTACGAGCTATCATGGTACTTTTTCCGCAGCCAGAAGCACCAACAAAGGCAACAAATTGTCCCCGTTTAATCTTAATGTCGATTCCTCGAAGGACCTGATGCCCGGATCTCAGGGGATAGGAAAATTTGACTCTATCAAAGTCAATATTTTCAATATCTCGAGCCGGTCCGTGCTGGGCGTTTTCTGGTGTTTCCACAATCGCTGGTTGTAAGCGAGTAAGCCAGAAGTAATAATTGGCCGCGCTTGCTCCCTTGGTAATACCTATCGTTTGATTAGATAGTATACGTCTTTGCGGACCCAAGAAACTTACTGGTTGTATATGCAAACATCTGAGACGCATTCTGCCCAGCAAAGAAGACACCCATAAATGATACAAAGAACTGATAGAAGGTCACCTCGCCCTCAGAGACCAGTTTGCAGCCGTACCAGAATCCCAGCGCCAGTATGAAGTACTCAATTGACTGTGTGAATGAAAACCAGAACATCATGTGAAACAGGGGAAGCATCGATTGGTGAATAGCGTGATCGAGTTCGTCAGTGTATCGTCTCAGCACCGAGTGCTCAATCGCCAAGCTTGAGACCGTTCGAATAGCCGTGACAGCCTCTGAGGCAACTGAGGCACTATGTGAAAATCGTTTCGAGTTTCCATCATCCATCTTGGTCTCGAGGCGGATTCGAGTGTAGCCGGCAACAAGTAACGGCGGAATGCCAGCAAAGACGCCGACAAGGCCAAGCTTCCACGACACGACAATAGCGAGGATACTGGAAGCGGTGACGCTGATCATGGTGATGAGTATGAGTGAGATATTGAAACCCATGAGTTCGAGGATAGCCTGAGTATAAGAATCGAGGCGGCCGGTGAGGGCGCCCACAGTATTCTCGGCTCTGTCAAAAAATTGAACGTCTTGGCGCAGCATTGAGTCCAGCATGCTCTTTCTGAACTTTTGGTTCATTGTTTGGGCAACAATGTTAGTTATCCAACCCAAGGAGAAATATACAACCAAGCAACCGAGGCCGAGAACGAAGAACATGAGAGCTAAAAAGTTCCCGCGTCGACGCATTTCGTCTAAAGGCAGCTGGAAGATGTCCATGACACCGCCTAGCAGCACTGCCTGTCCCGGGAACACGCCGCCTGTAGAATAATTAATAATCAAAGGAGCTTGCTTTGGGAAGATATTTGACCTACTTGCTGCAACACAGAGCAAGGCCACCGCCGCGTATGCTCTATTGAGCTCCGGCGTCATCCGTACCATGTTTATTACTGTGACGAACAGGCCGTACTGTTTAAAATTTTCGTAGTTGTCACGCTCGCTGAGGCGTTGTAGATGCAAACGGTCTGCTGTTGCGTACCGCGTGAGAGAGCGAGTCAGCTCAATCTCGGTCTGTTCTTGCTCCTTCCTCCCTTCTTCCTCTTCATCAGAGGTTGAGCTCGTGTCCGAAACGTCGGCGTTTGAAGTTGAAGTTAGAGTCTGGGCCTGGACGAGGCGCGCGTATGCGCCGTTGGCAGCCAGGAGCGAGCTGTGAGTGCCTTGTTCGATGATCCGCCCCTTTGCCATAACCACGATATTGTCGGCTTCTCTGATAGTGGCGAGCTTGTGTGCAATAACAATAGTAGTCCTGTCTTTAGAGACATTATCTAATGCCTTTTGAACTATACCCTCAGCGTGCGGGTCCAAAGCGCTCGTAGCTTCGTCAAGTAGCAGAACCTTGGGCTCAGAGATGATGCTTCGCGCGATTGCTAGTCTTTGTTTCTGTCCACCACTCAGCAAGCCACCTCGCTCACCGATGCGGGTATTGTAGCCTTCGGGTAGCTTGGAGATGAAGTCGTGGGCGAAGGCGAAGTCGGCAGCTTGCTCGACCCTTTGCTGTTGCTCTTCAACAGGTGCGTGTTCCCAGGGAGTTCCGACCAAGCCATTCGCAATATTTTCAAAGACAGTACCGTTGAAGAGGACTGGCTCTTGCTGAACAAGGCGGACATTGGTCCGGAGCCAGTTGAGATTGAGGGTTTCGATTGGTTTACCGTCTAGATCGATGGACCCCGAGCGAGGCAGGTACCATCTCTCGAGTAAACCTATAATGGTTGACTTCCCCGATCCGCTGGCTCCCTATGCCACAAATCAGTAATTGTATCGTTATGTGCGACCAAGCTCAATTACCTACCACAAGTGCAGTAACTTTCCCGGCCGGGACGTGCAAGGAAAAGTCCTCCAGGACAGTAACTCCTGGTCTCGTAGGGTATTCAAAGCCGATACCTTTTATGTCAATAACTCCTTCTGTCTTATTGGGCCGTTCACCGCCTTCGTTGAAAGGATTTATTTGAGATGTTCGGTCGATAAGAGTGAAGAGCTGTGCGGCGGCGGACCCAGCTCGCTGAAAGGAGACCGTGTAGGGCGCAATTATTGTGACGTTAAGAGTCGCAATGATGACAGAGAGGAGGACCCTGGTATAGTACGTCAGCTATCCGAGTTCCGTATTCTGCTTAGTTTCTTCCGCGTCATAGCAGACTCACGTAAACACGGTCCCTAAAGAGTCGACTTCTCCGATAGAGAACATTTTGACGCCTTGACAGAAGGCGAGGCCCATCCCCGCTGAGTGCCCATTAGTAGTGGCTCACGGAGAGTGTTGCAGGGGCAATCCGAACCATATATAACGAAATATTCGATAGAGAACAACGCTCCGTAGAGAGGAGATTTCTTGTCACCAAGACTTCTCGCATGCGCGACAAACGTTGCATATCGGGCCACTAGTCTTTCTCGAAGCCCGAAGGCCTGAACAGTTCTCGTTGTAGACAGAACGCTCTCTGCGTACGCGCCTGCCTTGCCATAGACATCCAACATCTGGGTTTCTATCTTGGCCTCGATCGAAGCGACAATGCCCATGAGGATTATAAGAGTCGGTGCAACGCAGAGGAGTATCAGCGTCAACTTCCATTGACTGACAAAGGCTATAATGAAAGCAGTTACAAAAGTTGACGCTGACTGGAAGGTCAAAGCCAATTTCTCGGCAATTCCAGACTGTATCAAGTTGCCGTTGGAAGTCGCCTGCATAGAGATCGAACCTGCAGTGCCTCTATCGTAGAAAGCAACCTCTTGGCTGAGTGCTGACTTCAGATATCGTCGTCGGATGTTGCGGACAATATGGTAGGCACAGTAATTTGAGAGCGTCGTGTATGCGTAAGTCAGGACCAGGCGAGCAATCCCGATGTACAAGAAGTACAAGCAGTAGGTCGTGACATTTTTCATGAACTGTTGCTTTGTGATTTCTCCTGCGACGTAGTCGTTCAAAATGCCAACGAATTCGCCCAGTACAAGATTGACAAGAGCCAGACCCGCTCCGGAGCCGAGGGCGGCAACGAAAGCCAATGCCCCTAGGAAGACATGTCTAGGTTCAGCATAAGTGAATATTCGAATATATGCTGCACCAGCTTTCACCGTAAGCTCCTGGCCGTCCGTGAGTGCCTCAGATTGACCTGCAGACCCCGTTGACGGCTTTGGTTCTATGATCCGGGCATGCTTCTCATCTGGGGTTGGTGAAGGTTCGGCTGTCATTATTGAACAGTGAGCAAGGGAATCTTGCAAGTGATAGCCCCACGCGAAGGGGGGGGGGGGGGGAAGTGAAGGTCACAATGCCAGTACTGTACTGGGTAACATATGTAGTATGGGTTGATCAGAAGTGAATGACAACGAGACAAAGTCCACCTGGTGTCGAATATCTGCAGGGTCTTTGAATTGCATGTGGAGCATGATGCTCCCGTCCGTATTATATCTAAGATGTGCTGCCACAATTGCCAAGCTTCCCTTTCCATCGCGCCCCTGGTCGTCGTCACCCACAAAGTCGTGGCTGTGAGCCCAGTGTGGATGTTTCTGGGAGCCCTCGGCCTCCGAGCACATGGCCCCTGCGACTAGTCGCCCGTGGCGCTGACTAACCGATCGGGCTCGGAGCTCGCACCCCTCGGCCTGCGAGCTCGCCCGGCCGGAGTTGTTGCCCGGTCTTCTTCTGAGTCTCTTCTCTGCCACATGCCACATGCACACTTCCCTTAGGAAGCTTGCACGTATGTCCCGTTTCTAGATCGAGCCGAATGACCCTGGTTGCATCGGTGTGGATTCACCTGCATGTTGAGCCAACAGTGGGACGGCCCTATTTCGACGAGCACTGACGAGATTGGAAGAGCCAGAGTCAGAGCCTCCTCGCTGCTGGCGACAAGATAGCCCCGAGGCTTCAATGGGTGCGGACGACGATTTCGATGGCGATGCCGACATGCAGGGCGCCGTTGCACATAGGAATTCGGCTGCTGAAGATCCCGGGCCGGAGCCCAAGAACCGGCGTGCGGTAGGTATTCAATTAACTACCCGCCTGTGTACCCTGATACAAATCCTTTCCGCCAGCGCCCACTTAATAGTGATATTGCCCATGCATACATTCCATCTGAAAGCATGGCCTCACAGCTAACATTTGTTTCTACACACAGTGTGAACCGTGCCGCTCGCGCAAGGTACTTCTTCACTAAGCTATCTATTCATCCACGGCTACACATGAAGCCCTCCTGACATCTGGGCTGACACAAGTGCGTGTGACACTTTTGTAGGTTGGGTGTGACCGAGGCCAGCCATGCTCCACCTGTGTTCGCTCTCGCGTAAATTGTACCTACGCAGCTTCCCAGAGCAAGCGTCCGAAACGACAGCGAATTCTTATATCCCCACAATAGTGAGTCTGGTCGAGCGTAGCAGTACATCCAAATACGCCCAAAAACTCCCACCTGGCTCTCGCTGACGTCTTATACGGTGCAGTGAAAGAAAAATCGATCGCATCGAAGAGAGGCTTTCAAGCTTGGTCGGCTTACTCGAAAACCTGAAAGTAGACTCGCCGTCCCAGGGCATCGACAGCAAGACCAACATCCCGTTACGACAGATTCCTGAGCAAACCATCCAGAACACGCCCAGCAACTCTGCGCCTACCCCGGCTTCCATACCAGCTTCTAACTCGAGCTATACTTGTCTCTTAGCACCGTCTACGACGCATACCGACACCTCCGATCCAACTTTTGTCGGAGAATCGTCTATGGCGGCACAATATGACTTTGCTAACAATTTCTTGGAGCAGGCTCTTCGTGCTGGGCCCCTCCAGGACTTTAGACTCGAAATGGACGAGACACTGGGTGCTCTGCGCGCCCTTGTTCGCGCTCGAAAATCCCACACTGATGCCCGGGAGGTCACCTTTCCGCACGCGAGAGCCCCCTTGCCCACCCAGCCCTATGAGCGCACATTGCCCAACGCATCTCTAGCCATGGCCAGTCTGAGGATTGCAAAAGGTTAGTAGACACTTCGTGAGACAATCAGGACAGTCTGCATAATTCAAGGTCTGTTGCCAGCCTGGCTAATTCGACCGTCATCCCAGACCACCCCCGTGTAGGCTTTTTATGGCTATGCAACGTCATGTCGATCCATAGTTTCACAGAGCATGCTCTCAGAGTCTTGTTCTCGTCCGAATACTCCGAAGCAGACTACATCATTGTGAACATCGGGTTGTATTGGCTTTTCAGTATTCTCAGCATTGCAACCACCGATGACGACCTTGGCAGCCATGTTCGGCGGGATGACTTGCTCAAGGAGACCCGTCTCTGCCGTGAGAACTTGGAAACGAGTCTCTCCATATTACCTTTCCATTTCCCTGGAGATCCAGATCACATAGAAGCTCTTATCATGGCAGTAAGTCATTAAGCTTTCAGCCTGGTATTGTCTCCCTGCTAACGAGAAATCTGTGCAGTCTTTTTATGCCATTGATAACTCTAAGCCATCTCTGGCTTGGTCATTCTGCTCCGCCTCATCCCAGAGATGTCTGAGTCTGGGTCTCCATCGAGAGGATGTGACTGATAATCCCCAGTCTCGAAATCGAAAGAAGTGGCTTTTTTGGACCACCTATGTGATCGATAAGGCCCTTTCGCTTCGCCTCGGTCGCCCTACAAATTTACCTGACTTTGTGAGAATTCTTAGACGTCATCACTTCAATGAATGAGTATATATATATATATATATATACTTAATTCCAAGGCATCTATTTTGACTACCAGGCGGGTAGGCTTTGATAGAGTTGCTAACGTATTCTTGTTAACAGGATATCACTGTATCACCTCCAGATCCTGGCTCGGGTCCAGAACCGTATTCGTCCGGGGATATAAGTTTCATAACATGGATCCGTGTTGCACGGATACAAGGACGCGCTTATGAGGAATTATATAGCCCCGAGGCTTTGGCACAGTCGGATCAGGTTCGACGTTCTCGGGTTAAAATGATGGCAGATGAAGTTCTGGCCATTATGCAGCGGTCAGAAAAAATGGACGTGAGTCTTTCTAGATTTCAGCTGCCCGGAGTGAAACTGCTACGCTGAGTGATATCGAGCGATACGGCCAGTCCTCACCGATCCACCTCGATCTCCTGCTACAAAACGAACATCTTAAGTTGTAAAACTCACAATTCTTGGAAGCAGTCTAGTACTAACCCAGAATGGGCTGTCACCCTTGATACCGATACATACCAACTCGTGGCCCTGATGGATCAAGTCCAAAATCGGTCTCTATTGACTCTACTCTACCGTGCGATCCCATCTCCGACCGGTTCCGCCTCGACATTTACAGCAGAGTGCGTTGATGCGGCACGTTCGGCTCTTCAGAAACATGAAGAGTGTATGGAACGTCTAAAGCCCTACGATGCCCAATTCAAGACACTCTATTTGCATTGGTAAGTCTGCCAGTGTGAGACACTAGTCCCGCACACTAAACACATGACTAGGACGATTCATTACAATCCTTTCAATCCATTCATTGTTATCTTCTGTCATGTTATCGAGACGAGCGATTTGAGCGATCTTGATCGACTTCACGATTGTGTCGCCTCTCTCGAGCCTGCGTCAAAAACTTCTGAGTCAACCGCTCGACTTCACCGGTTATTTCATGTGTTGTACAACGTGGCGCTTAAGTATGTCGAGGTCAAACAGAATCAAGAGCAGGCATCTGTCGGCCGTGAATTCGATGCTTACCTAAACGCCTTGGGATTCAACCCTGGGGGAGCTATGGACATCATGAGACAGGGCGGCGAAGGTTCTGAAGGCTCTGGTCTGCCGCCGGCCGGTCTTGCTCTCAATATGCAAGACTACCCAGGACTCGAGGGGGTTCCGATACCCAGTCAAGATCTACCTGCCCAGGGCATGCTGCAGCAGGGGATGCTGCTGGGAGGCTGGTTCCACAGCAACCAGCAGATGATGGGCCTGTTGGAAGAGGATACCCTCTGAGAAACCCCGATTTCATCGAGAAGTTCATATTTCTCACGATCTCGTGAGCACCTAGAAGGCCACTATGCTCTTAAGGATCTGACTACGCCGTGTCACGGCGTAAAAGTTCTTTTCGGACTTCGTTCGTGTGTTTGGGTGCTCTGCGACTTGCGCGTCTCGCCAAGCCCCGCGCCTCGTTCATTTGGAATGTCTTGGCTACGCTCCTCGAGTTCTCGTACTCCAGAGAACAAACGTCAGTCAACGCATGGTGACCACACCAGCTTTGCTTCGGCCATCCGCATACGCTACCGCTTTTTCGCCGAGGTCCTCGAAGTGGATTTCTTGTAATGCATCAGCACTCCAGCATCTGTACGCATTTCAGAGCGCGTTTTCAAACCGAAAGCCAACTACTTAGAATCCTGGACCGCCACGACTCAAATAACTCGTCAAATTGTATCATGGGGCACAACTGTGGTAGCAGTGCTGAAAGACTAGAATCCTGGCTAGAATGATGATGAAACCCTGTACTATTTAGGTTCGAGTTGAGACCATAAGCTACGCGATATGCATCCCATTTCTAAACTGCAAGCACTCTCGGTTCCTCTCTAGATCAGTCTCATGGGACATAAGACTGACTCCTCAGAAATGAGCCTTCTCGAGATTGAGGACTCCCGATAGGCAGCTAACTTTGGGCAAAATGGATGTTTGATGCATATTAGTTTTGCTCAACCTTCAAACTTCTCTATGTGGGACTCAGCAGCTAATTCACGTGCCCTCAATTTGTGCTGAGCTCGTAAGGAAATCACTAGGTGGACACCGCAGCATGCTGGGCGAAGTGCTCAGATGTGTCTTTGGCAGGTCTGCTCTTTCTGCCCGTGCCCCTTGAGACTACTACTCATCTCATCATTCTCCACCAATCGCGATCGATAATGAACATTCAAAAGTTTTGCAATCATAAAAATGGCCTCCGTATGACCTCCAGACGATTTGCAGACGATCACAAAACTCAGCGAATGCAACCACAATCCTCGGGGTAGTTCTTTTCGGATTCTCGGCTTGGTTTCGAAGGCCATTTAGCGCCCGAGCAGGACAGGCACAAAGTTAACACGGCGGATGATTGCGGCCCCTCAAAACAAACACATAGATCAAAAAGTACATAAAAGTTAGACCGCAGTCCAGGTGTCTGACAAAGTCTCATGACAGCTCAACTCCAACGCAACTGCCGGCCGCCAAGCTCAACAGCCAAGATGATGACCAGAAAGACCTCGACATCCCCATTAAAAAATTACAAGAGAAAATAGACTCAAGCTGGTACTTACCAATCAAGAGATACCTGATTATTCCGTTAGTCCGATGCCGACAACACTGCAAGATTGCGCGTCCACAGAGACTGACAACCGCTGTACCCCGTAGTGTTCTTTGCCTCATGTGAGCATTCGACTGTGGGTTCAGAATAAGGTTTGCCTCCCGCGCGCTCCTTTTGCCCAGAAGCCCCACGAGACAAGCTTCCCCTGAGTCGCCCATGAACAGGCTGGGGATTGTGGAGGCCACAATTAATGCCGAGGAAGGATTCTCCAACTAAGTCAGTGCCATTCGCAGCAGTATGTGTGCGTGACTGCGACTACCTATGTAAAGCGAGCGTCGCAGCTTGCGGGGAAATACCACTACTGGCGGAAACACCGGGGGTCAATGCTCACAATGATGATGCCCATAGCTGCTTATAAAAATGAGCTCGCTATCTGGACTCATCATGGGACTAATTGGTGCGTCGCAGACAGGAAGTCGAACGTACAATACAGCCAGAGCATAGATTATACGAAATTATGGCGCCCAGCCGTATCGGCCCGCAGAACGAAGCCGCACCTGATTACAAGAATGGTGCAAGCCTCAAGTCCAAATGGCCAGCCGCGGAAGACTTATACGGGTCTAACCAGCCTTGTCGAATTCAAGGCGAGGTGGCGGACCTTGTTGTCCTGGGCGACATACCGCCGGAGATTGACGGCACGTTCTACCGAGTGACAGTCGACCCATTTATGCCTCCTCACCCCGGCAATGTGCCCATTGATGGGGATGGCAACATCACCGCCCTTCGCTTCAAGGACGGAAAGGTTGACTTGAAACTCCGTTATGTCGAAACCGAGCGTTTCCAAATCGAACGTAACGCTGGAAAGGCCATGTTCGGGCTGTACCGCAACCCCTTCTCACACCATCCCTGCGTGCGTGCCGCGGTGGACTCGACAGCCAACACTAACCTGGTGCTGTGGGCAAACAAATTCATGGCTCTAAAGGAAGGAGGACTGCCGTATCAGGTTGACCCGCACACCCTTGATACTATTACATATGATCCTTTTGGGGACCAAGGAATCAAAGCGAAGACTTTCACCGCACATCCGGTAATGTCATACATCGCTCAGCCTTGTTTTGAAGCATGAACTAATCAGCTGAGCAGAAAATCGACCCGTTCAGCGAGGAGCTGGTGGTCCATGGATATGAGGCCAAAGGTCTCGCGACCACGGACATTGTAGTCTATGCTCTGGACAAGGACGGCAAAAAGAAGGATGAACAATGGATCAAGAGTCCTTGGTGTGGCCCAATACACGACTGCGCCATCACCCCTAACTGGCTGATTCTTGTCCAGTGGCCATTTGAGGCAAATGTCGAAAGAATGAAAAAGGGTGGGCACCACTGGGCCTGGAGCTATGACTTGCCCGCAACCTTTATTGTGGTGCCCCGGCGCAAGAGCACCAAGCTCCCAGACGGATGGAAAGAGGGCGAGTATAGAGTCTATCACGATCGAAATGTCATGCTCATCCACACGGCTGGTGCTTGGGAGGGAGACGACGGAAATACTCTCTTTGTGGAAACGACCAGAGTACATGACAACGGCTTCCCTTTTTTCCCTCCCGATGATGGGAGAATGCCTGCACCTGATGCAAAGGCAGACTTTGTGCGCTTCAAATTGGACCTGAGCCAGCCCACGGGCAGCAAGCTCACCACCGAGCCCGAAGTGATACTAGACATCCCAGCTGAGTTCCCTCGCATTGACGAGCGCTTCCTTTCCAAGCCGTACGATGTCTCTTGGATCAATGTTATGACCCCAGCTGAGCATCGCGACGCTGTTCCTCCAGGGGATGAGCACCTTGTCTGGGGCGGACTGGATGGAGTGGCCATGCATCGCTACTCTACTGGCGAGACCCAAATCTACTGGGCTGGCTACGATGGGATCTGTCAAGAACCCATTTTCATTTCTCGTTCAGACGAGGCCGAGGAAGGTGACGGTTGGGTCATGTGTATGGTGGAGAGAAGAGTCGCAAATCTGTGCGAGGTGATCCTTTTAGACACGAGAGACTTTTCCAAACCCAAGGCCGTCATCAAGATTCCATTCCATGTAAAGAGTCAGGTACATGGAAATTGGATTGATCAGAGGAGACTCAAAGAGAGGCGGAGCCTGGTGAAGGAGGGAGTAGCTGTCAAAATCAGCAAGAGGGGCGCGCTGGAGAGTTGGGATATCACTGCGTAGTGGCTCCCATATCCTCGACATCGTGTACGCAGTTTCGTTGACTTGGGGACCTTGGAATGAACGCAATTCGAGACTTGGTCGTATTCTCGTCATGAGCTCCTTATTCAGAATGTGTCCTCGAGTGTGTCCAGTAGGGAAGTACACAATCTGAATTTCAAATCCGCCCATCCTTCAGGGTTTATATTTGATGGCTACCATTGGTAAGTGATTACATGTCACGGTTTCGTCTTACCCTATATGAAAACACACTTTGTGTCTGTACCAACCCCCTGCTTGCACCCGCAGCTGATTTGGGCAAAGCCAGACTCATTGGAATCAGTCAGTCGTAGTACCAGCCTCCAAGGAATCCAGAATCCATGGGACCTTCAGATGACACGACAAATTTGATCTCACAGTACCACGAGAGAATTAACATCAATCAGTACATGCTTAATGATTCAAGACAAAGGGCAAGCTATGACGACAATATCAACATATCCATGCGGAGGACTAATAAGCATGATTGAAAATCGAGCTTTAAGTCCTGAACAGAGGAAAGAAAACCTGAGTTCAGATGTTAGAGGGAACTGATAAGACTAAACGGCTGTCTAATTTCTATTATCATAGTTAACTTTATAAAGCACCTGCAAAACTTTTCCGCACATATACATACATTTTCGCCATTTATTCTAAAGCTAATTCTATCAAAAATTATAATACCTAGACCGTAGCCCATTCGTCAGAAGAAAGAACACCCAAACCTTTATCTGACAAAACATATGCGCCAGCCCGGAGTCGAACCGGGGGCCCATCGATGGCAACGATGGATTTTACCGCTAAACCACTGGCGCATTTATCGATACAATCGTCCAAATCTTTGATATTATATACTCTGATTATTAAAGAGGAGTACACCATTGATACATTTAATGAATATTCAATTTTTAATTCACAAATATCAGTCTAATATCTTACTTTTATTAAGAAAAGAAATGCTATAGTATATAACAAATTAAAATTAAAATACTATAATATAACACAAGAATAAACTGGTAATACACTTAATAAATACTCAATTCTTATAATTATAAATATATATATTTAATATCTTATATAAGAATGTTTCAATATACATTTATTGTATTATTTAAGAATAAAGTACTGCGCTTTTGATTGAGGAGACTGCGCCTTGACCACTGCACTATAGCCACAGGCAGTTTCCTAACAAAAGGTCAGAATTCCAGAACGCCTTCTGGAATACAGTGCAGTCTTATACGGCTGTGCCGTCACAATTGATGCTAAATGTTCAGTTTTCAATTATATATACTCAGTAGCCCTTGGAAGCATGACCCAAATCAGCAAGACCTGGCCGATGTTCTTCTGAATAGTGACCACTCACAGCGTGATTGGGCTTGGTTTGATCGACAATGCAAAGACTTCATGCGCATGTGAAGGTCGTGCGAATGTAATGCTCAGTCTTTCATTCCACTCGAACAAGCGTATTGAATCACTTTCTCTCTGGCGGATAATCATTTGCTCTCTGCTCTACTGGTCAATTTTGGTAGTTCTGTGTTGCCACTTATCCCTGGAGCCTCTTACGAAGCAGCCTTCCAAGGTCCACAGGTGTCTATCTAAGTATATACATTCATACATGCCCGCGGGCATGAGCTACTTCAGCCATCGCGCTGCAGTTCTCGTTTGAATGAAACAAGCACGTGCATCACAATACGATATCGAGGGTTCCGTCAGTCTGCAGATATTTTCGGACACCGTACCTCATTGCCTTGATACTGCTATTGTCAGTAAATAGCACAGTCGACAGGGCGGTCTTGGTGACCTACGAGTACTCCAGGGTGCCAGTGTCCATTATCCGAATACCGTCGATGAATGTCATCACATCCTGACTCAGCTGTGCGTCGCCGGCCGTCATCGCATGGAGCTTCGCAGCAGCTCGATCAAGGCGGTCTCTAGATGCGTGCATCTCATCGATGAGATGGGGGATGACTCTATCCAGTGTCTGGCCGGACTTGTACAGGACAGGCACAAGGTTTACGACGCAGTCCGTGGCCTAATGCTGTGTCAGTAACCGAGTTATCAGGTTCCAAGACCAGAGCCTCACTAGAGGCCTAGGACTCACAATTTCCTTCTTGAGTGATAGAATGTCGTTGATTCTGGAAATCTCGATTAGTTCGTTGCACATAAAACTTTGCAGATGTGGGATTATACATGATGATGATAAAATTACACTCCTCCACGATTTCAGCCATCTCTGGTGATTCCATGACCCATTCTGGCAGCGTCGTCTTTTGGGTGATCCTGGAGAGGTGTACGTCGTCAGCTTCATTAAGACTACTCGCGAAAACACACATGACAAGCATACTCAAGCAGAAGTGTGAACATTCGCACGCCAGTGACCCCGTAACGGATATTCATGTACTCGTCGTAGCTGGGGATCCGACCAGCCAGGCGCTCTGCCTGCTCGAGTTTGTTGTGGGCAACGAAGTGTTCGATCTTGGAGAACATTCGGCAGCGTTGCTCTGCGGATTAGGACGGTCAGTACTACGAGTCTGCGGGCGATGACCACCCAATGCAGTTGTCCATGTACGTACCTTGGCCGAAATTCTGGCAGAACCTCTCCGCAAATTCCTTGAACAGCAGACAGATGTCATCAGGACAGTAGGGCTCCTGATCTTGTGCGGACAGCTGAAGGTGGTATTTGAAATAGGCGAGGGACTCATTCCGCCAGATCTCAGCATCCTCAAAACTCGAGGCCAGCGTGTGTTCGTTTGTGTCAATTGTGTCGTCCCAAACAAACAGGGCTACGGTGAACAACATGGCAGTGTACAGGTCCTCCCAGTCAGCATACGGCCACCAAAGCACAGAGAAAAGAGCGAAGTCACTCTTCTTGAACTTCCTGCATCGCTCAGGGTCAGGAACGCCGCTGAAGAGGAAGTTGATAGGTTAGTTAGGCTCAGCTAGAGGGATAAGAGACAGCAACGGTACATTTCAAGAAGTCGATTGCACTCAATCTGGAGCCGTTCGTAGTGCGGATTCCTTGCTCCCGATGGCCAGTTGCAGAAGCTGTTGGTCATATCAACATGGATCTTCTGGCCCCGAAGCTCGTCTGCAAGTGCTGTGTTGGGGTCCAGCGGCTGGGATAACTTCTCGTTATGAAGTTGTTCCGTAGGGCGTAAGACATGCCGAAGGAAAGAGAAGGCGACACCCATGATGAAGGATGCTGTATGAAGAAGGGCAAACGAGCGTCTGAATGGTATGCGGGTTTAGAGACTTCTTGATGTCGTGCCACTCCGGGGAGGTTTGGGGCTTTAAATAGATTTCAAGGCCACAGGTATATTCAATCGAGGTATGGCACTGTCAGTCACGGCTGTCAGACTTGCATCAGACTTGCAGTGAATTTCCAGCCACCGGTGAAGTCCATTGCAGCTTTGAGATTTGTCACTTCTCAACCAGCTTCACTTGTTGCTTGTTTGAATATTTGTTTCGACCAGTGATGGGTCCATTATTCACCACTAATCCCCATGAGTGCAGTAAGTTTGTCTGTTCTTTTGTTGCTGCTCTGGATTTATATTAGCCCAATCACACTTGTAACATGCGAATTGTTATATTTAAGCACTCTATGAATTCACTGACCCTACTCCATCCCACATCTCCAGCCAGGTATATTTTATTAGATACACAATAATTTGGAAACGTTCCCAGGCTGCCGGAAGCAAGGTACTGTTTTATAGACACGTGGTGGACCAGCGAGAAGCAATTGTTCCTTAGGTACTAATAGCGGGTCCGGCAGACTAAAAGTTCTGCGGTAACAGATCTTGGGGAGGCATTCCGCCGGCTGCACATCGTTAGGCCCCCGAGAGCTGGGAGCGCATTCCGGAAGCCGCAAAAGCAACTTGAATTGAATCACATCGATGGATCTCGTTTGAGTGCGGATCTTGTCCTTATCGGGCAACTACAAAACGTGATCCCAAGCGCCTGGGAACACGATCGATCTTGCATCCCTCGACCCACCTACATCTGACCGGTAAAGTGTACATCATCAAGTCCAGGGGGTGGGAGTGCATTGTTCGAGTTGCACAACATCGGCCTGTCGCGTGGGATGCTGCTGGCGAACGCAGACTCGGAGCCTGGCTGAACATTCGGCTATGGTCTCGGGCACCTGCAGTTAATCGCACCTGAAGTTCACCCAATGTCAGCGCGTTCTGACAACCAGGATCCTGGCTCGCCGGCCGGCGCAGACCGTGAATACTTGTGGCTTAACGGGTTCGGGGAACCACGATAATTCGGGCGGGCTCGAAACGGCTCTTTTTCTCACAAAGGGGACGAACCCGCAGGAACCGGCATTACATCGTCTAAGCGAGGAGAAGGAATGGACAACCTAATCCTTCTATTTCGTCAGAAGTTCCGGACCGGTCACTGCATCATGCGGACTTGTGGCCGCTATCAGCCGCGCGCCTCGGACCTCGGATCTAATGTCGCAACACAATTTTCCGGGAACTTTCGTGCAACGATCCGGCCTGTACTTGCACTGGAAAAATGAATACTAGCAACATTGACTTCATCCCTTGACAATAGAACCCGCGAACGTGTGCTGAAACTTGGGACAAATAAGTGATGAATCATCCTTGAAACTGTTCAAAGAAAAAGAAAAAAAGAAAAAGTCCTGGTATTCACCTTGCAAAAGTTTGGACTCGACCCCTTGCACAGGTCACTACCGTAGTCCTCCATGACTTGGTCACGTCATGACAAGGGCATGCTCATGCTGATGGGCAGGGGACTAGTCGGATCGCCGGATGCTTCTTCAGCTACTGCATAGTACTGTCACAAATGACGACCCACATTAGATCACTGCATGTACGACAAGGACTGCACATGCTTTCATCTGTGCTGAATGGGCAAGTACATCCCATAGGCTACAACAACCCCATCTAATAGGAATAATGCACCCGCTGTATAAATCGTAGTGTTAGCATTTATAGCAAGCTGATTAGTCTGTTAGGCCTATAGCTATAAATAGGCCTTAAAGGGATGCAGCCTTCAGCTGCTTCCTATAACTAAGCAAGCAACCCACACCTAAATAAACACCAATATCCCCAAACATACATTATATTTAAATACATAACCCAGCTAATACTAATTAGTAGTTATAAAGGTAATTATAGATAGTTAGGTATAAGAAAAGACAGTTTACTGCTTTAGAACTTACGTACTATCTATATATATTCTCTGTAAAGCAGCTATACTAATATTTATTTATATTTATAAACTTATATTTATTATAAATATTTTCTATAAATATTAATAAATTATTATATAACTAAAAAAACTTAAATATAGTAAGTATACTTTTTAATTTAATTATCTTAAGTATTTATTATATTTTAAACTAAATATTAACTTTTATTAAGCCTTAAACTCCTTATTTATTTTTATTAATAAGCAAATTTATTGTATTTTAGTAATACTATAGTATATAAAAAAAAAGCTATTATTTATATATATTTACTATATACCTAGTAAATAACTTTATATTATAAATATAACAGGAATAAAATTAGGGGAGTACTATTAGTTCCCTAAAAGTGCAGATAAACCTTATAGGCTAGTAGGGTAGGCTTAGAAAGATTTATTATATAATAGAAATAAGTTATATAATAAAGTAAAAGAATAATTAAAATAATTAAAGTAATGCTTTATTTTAGATAATTTAAATAATTTAATACTTTTACTATTTTAAATAAGTAATGTTTTAAATAAGCTACTAAAAGTAATATTTTTATTATTTTAGCTAAAAAGATAAATTATATAAATTATATTTATTATTAGTAAATAGTATTAGTTTAAAATAGCTTTTTAATAGTTAATTTAAATATTTATCTAAAATAGCTATAAAGCTTTTAATTTACTATTATTATATATTACTTAAAATATTATTATTTTAAATGTTCTTTAAATATAAACCTGTTTATTAAGTTTATTAGTTAAAAATTAGCTATAATTATTATATTTTAACTATTTTTATTTAAATATTTTATATAAACTTTAAATAATAACTTATATAGTTATTACTTTTACTTTAATATATTTTTTAGCTATATTTAAAAAAACCTTTAATAAAAGCTAAATAATGATAACTTTAAACTTTTATAAGCCTAATACTTTAAAATAATTAAAAAAATTAAAAAACTTTATACTTATATTTAGAAATAAATTAGTTAAAATAATAAAATAGAAAAACTTAAAGCTAAAATTAAAATACTTTAAAATACTACTAATATTATTAATATTCTAATTAAATCTAAAGAATTTATTAAGCTTATTAACCTAACCCCTTATAATAATTCCCTAAAATAGTTATAAGCTTACCTTATTTAAGTTAAAGCTTATTAGTGCTTTTATAGCCTTAACAATTAATCTAATAAAAAATAAGTTATATATATAGCCTCCTTTTTAAAAAAATAAGCTTTAATATAATTTAAACTTTATCTTATAAACTTTTTTAAAAAAGATAAGTTTAAATAATATAAATAAAAAACTTAAAATATTTTTAATAACTTTAAAAACTATAAGCTTACTTTTAAGTTACTTTTTTAAAACCTAAATAAAGAATAGTAAGTAAAAAGGGAATTTATAAAACTATATTAAAAGGGATTTATTATAACTTATATTATAAAATTCTGTTAAATTTATACTAAAGTTAACTATACTAATATTATAAAAATTGTTATATTTTATAATAAATTAAAAAATAAAATAAAAAATAAACTATTTAAATTAAATTAACTAAATAATTTTATTTAATATATAAAATTAGTTATTTAAATTAATAACTAAATTTATAAGTATAAATTTAAAAAAAAGGGGTAAAACTTAATATATTTTTTCTGCTAGTAAAATAAGCTAAACTTTAAAAAATAGTATTAGCTATAAATAATAGCTAACAGGTAGTATTTAAGCCTAATAAAACTTAATACTGTTTAAAAAAAACTTAAAAAAAATATTAAATATTATAATTATAATAAAAAAGAATATTTTATATAAAATTGCTAAAATAAAAAAAAAAATAATTAAAAACTAATATTAAAGTAATAATAAGCTAACTTAACTATTAAAAAACTTATAAAAAACTATGTATTTATAAGCTAAATAGTATACTATAATAATAATTATAATATATACTTTTTAAATAAAAAAGTATTAAAATAGTTCTTAAAAATACTTAAAAGCTAAAAAACTTTTATAATAGTAAAATAAAAGCTATTTATAATTATAATTAGTACTAACTAAATAATATTTTTAAATTTAAAAAACTAAAACCCTTATAAGCAAATAAATAAAGTACCCTTTATAGCACTTAATATTAATATTACTTAAATTATAATTTTAAAATAGAATAAAAGTATAATAATATTAACAATTTATAAAAAACTCTTTATACTACTATTAGCGTATTTTCCTAATAATAACCCTTAAATATACTATTAGCACTTAAACTATAAGAAAATTTTATAAGCTTTATATATTTTTAACAAATATAAAATATACTATATAAGCAAAATTAAAAAAAATTTCTTTCCTAAATAGCTAAACATAATAAAAATAGTAAAACTTTATAAATAAAAAGAACTATAATATTAAAATATTTAATAATACTTTTTAAATTAAAAATATACAATCTTTAAACTTTAAATAAACTACCCCTTATATTACCTACAAAACCTTAAATTATAAAAATATTATTTATAAATTAATTATTAAATATACCTTAAATTAAAACTTTAAAACTAATATTAATATTACTAACCTAATATAGTTTTACTACTTAATAAAAAAAACATAATACTAAAAAACTTTACTATTATAGTATAAGCGCTAAAAACAGCAAAAAGGCTTATATAAAAAGCTATTTAATAAATTAAAAAAATCTTAATAAAAAACTAAATAATAAAAAACAACTAAAACTAAATCTAAATAAGCCTTAACTAGCCTTAACTAATACAAAAAAGTCTTTTTATATAATAAATACTAAAAAATATAAATATATAAAAATTATATTATAAATTAAATAATAACCCTTTATAATACTCCTAAACAGCAAAACACAAAAAAACTTTATATTACTAGTAATAATAAACTAATATAAAATACTATAGTAATAAAAAACAAAACCCTATATACTTAATATTATTAATAAATAAAAAGTACTTTA